CTGCTTGCGGCCCCTTGTTATTGATCTTCCTAGTGGAATAATTCTCCGTCGTCAATCGTAATCGCGGGAGGGAGTATAGAGTCGGGTAGAACGGAGTGAGATCGAAGAAAAGTTTTTCATTCGGCATTGAACTCGTGCCAGATGCGGCCGCTCTTTGGTACAGGGGCACAGTATCTTCCTCGGGCCATCCAACTGTATGGGGCAACATGCTCCTGCAAGGGCATGGGCATTCTAGTACACAACCACCCCAAGCCATTCAGATTCCAGGCAAATTCTCCGCCGCATAACTTGTGTTAGGAAGGTCGAAACAAAGAAAACAAATACAGGCTCGATGCCCCGTTCCTATCGCGCGGTCTCTGGCGGTTTACAGTATAGGACGCTGGGTCTCGGGGCAAAGAAATTACTCCAGACTGAAAATCGCGCATAGTCAAGCTGGGAGCAGCTGGGGCACCGCACTCGGCGAGACTAGGACGAGCCGTACGATACACATGGAGGTTGACCGTGTGGAGGCAACTCGGCAGCACAGTGCCGGTCGTTGTATTTTTGAATTTTTCACCACTAAACCGCGTCGGGGAATTGCCCCACTCCGTCAATACCTAAGTGGCTGCTCTCGGCCAGTTCCCCCGGGCGCGTTGGAGTCGTAGTTCGGTAGGGCAAGGGGCAAAACGGAAGAAAAAATAAGAAAAGTAAAAAAAAATAAAAAATAAGGGTGGGTCCGGTACAGATGGTACCTCGCTGCAGCGCCTATCTCCCCCAGCAACGACATGTACCCGGTCTCTACCATCGAAGCCCGTAGCCCATCGACAAACACGGGATTTGTTATTTTTTTTTGGGACCCCCTAATTTATTTTTGCAAATAAAAAAAATTATTTCCCTCACTCGTCCATTATCCACACACCCACTCCGGTTCTCTCACTCTTTTCCTACCGTCCCCCCGTATTATAAAATAGTCCACTCCCTCATCACCCACCCACTCTCTCTTTTTCCTTCTTTCTTTTTTCATAGGAAGCTTCCGACTCGCGCCATACGTGCTTTTGTGTATTGGTGTGTTTGCAGCTCATATCGTTGGGTTCCGAAGGCTTTGTGAGCCGAAATGGCATCGACCAACCAATCCACTACGCAAATGGCGGAGCGGAGGATCTCCTATGCCCCCGATGTTGAAAACGGCGACCGCCACCGTGAGGCCGGCGATGCCCACGACGGCGGCAACCTCGACGAGTACTCCGCCCTGAACCGCTACATCTCGACTGCCCGCGATGGCCGCCGTGGCTCCACCTCCAGCGCCGCTGCTCAGAGCGAGAAGGAGGGCAAGAAGTCCTGGTGGAAGTTCTGGGGCAACAAGGGCGACTCCGTCGACGAGGGCTGGCAGGCCCCTGACGAGTGGCTCCAGACTGAGCTCCGCGCCGGTCTGAACTCCGGTGACGTCGAGCCTCGTCGCAAGAAGTGTGGCTGGAACGAGTTGACGACTGAGAAGACCAACATCTTCATCCAGTTCATTGGTTACTTCCGTGGTCCCATTCTGTATGGTGAGTACATCTGCATTCGAAAATTGACGCGTCGATTGATCCAATGCTAACGCGTTTCCCCTCTAGTTATGGAACTCGCTGTTCTGCTCGCTGCTGGTCTGCGTGACTGGATTGATCTCGGTGTCATCTGTGGTATCCTGATGCTCAACGCCCTAGTCGGTTGGTACCAGGAGAAGCAGGCCGCTGATGTCGTGGCTTCGCTCAAGGGTGATATTGCTATGCGTGCTATTGTTATCCGTAACGGTCAGGAGGAGGAGATCCTCGCTCGTGAGCTCGTTACTGGTGATATTGTCATCGTCGAGGAGGGTACTGTTGTCCCTGCCGATGTCCGCCTGATCTGTGACTACGACAAGCCCGAGATGTTCGACACCTACAAGGAGTACCTCCTCAACGTCAACGACGACACCCTCAAGGAGAAGAACGAGGACGATGATGAGGACGATGCCCGTGAGGCCCACCAGGGTGTTTCCCTCATTGCTTGCGATCAGTCCGCCATCACTGGTGAATCTCTCGCTGTCGACAAGTACATGGCCGATACCTGCTACTACACCACCGGTTGCAAGCGCGGCAAGGCCTACGGTATTGTCACCGCCACTGCCCGCCAGTCCTTCGTCGGTAAGACCGCTGCTCTCGTCCAGGGCGCCAAGGACCAGGGTCACTTCAAGGCTGTCATGGACAACATCGGTACCTCCCTGCTCGTTCTCGTCGTGTTCTGGATTCTCGCTGCCTGGATTGGTGGTTTCTTCCGTCACCTGAAGATCGCTACCCCTGAGAACTCCGACAACAACCTGCTCCACTACACCCTGATTCTGCTCATTATCGGTGTCCCCGTCGGTCTGCCCGTTGTCACCACCACCACCCTCGCTGTCGGTGCTGCCTACCTCGCCGAGCAGAAGGCTATCGTCCAGAAGCTCACTGCCATCGAGTCCCTCGCTGGTGTCGACATTCTCTGCTCTGACAAGACCGGTACCCTCACTGCCAACCAGCTGTCCATCCGTGAGCCCTACGTCGCTGAGGGTGTTGATGTCAACTGGATGATGGCCGTCGCCGCCATTGCCTCTTCCCACAACGTCAAGAACCTGGACCCCATCGACAAGGTTACTATCCTTACTCTGCGCCGCTACCCCAAGGCCCGTGAAATTCTCTCTCGCAACTGGATTACCGAGAAGTACACTCCTTTCGACCCCGTCTCCAAGCGCATCACCACCATCTGTACCTGCGATGGTGTCCGCTACATCTGTGCCAAGGGTGCCCCCAAGGCTATCCTCAACATGTCTGAGTGCTCCAAGGAGGAGGCCCAGCTCTACCGTAACAAGGCTACCGAGTTCGCTCGCCGTGGTTTCCGTTCCCTCGGTGTTGCCGTCCAGAAGGAGGGTGAGCCCTGGCAGCTTCTGGGCATGTACCCCATGTTCGATCCCCCCCGTGAGGATACTGCCCACACCATCGCTGAGGCCCAGGTTCTCGGTCTGTCCGTCAAGATGCTTACTGGTGACGCCATCGCTATCGCCAAGGAGACCTGCAAGATGCTTGCCCTTGGAACCAAGGTTTACGACTCTGAGCGTCTGATCCATGGTGGTCTCGCTGGTTCCGCCCAGCACGACCTCGTTGAGAAGGCTGATGGTTTCGCTGAGGTCTTCCCCGAGCACAAATACCAGGTCGTCGAGATGCTCCAGCAGCGTGGTCACTTGACCGCCATGACTGGTGACGGTGTCAACGACGCTCCCTCCCTGAAGAAGGCTGACTGCGGTATCGCTGTCGAGGGTTCCACCGAGGCCGCCCAGGCTGCCGCCGATATTGTCTTCCTTGCCCCCGGTCTCTCCACCATCGTCGATGCCATCAAGCTTGCCCGCCAGATCTTCCAGCGCATGAAGGCCTACATTCAGTACCGTATTGCTCTGTGTCTCCACCTTGAGATCTACCTTGTCACCTCCATGATCATCATTGATGAGACCATCCGCTCGGAACTGATTGTCTTCCTCGCTCTGTTCGCCGATCTTGCCACCATTGCCGTCGCTTACGACAACGCTCACTTCGAGGCTCGCCCTGTCGAGTGGCAGTTGCCTAAGATCTGGGTTATTTCCATCATCCTGGGTATCATGTTGGCTACTGCCACCTGGATTGTTCGTGGTACTATGTTCATCAAAGATGGTGGTATCATTGAAAACTACGGTTCCCCCCAAGGTATTCTTTTCCTTGAGGTTGCTCTGACTGAGAACTGGCTTATCTTCGTCACCCGTGGTGGTAAGACCTGGCCCTCGTGGCAGCTCGTTATTGCCATCTTCGTTGTCGATGTGGTGGCCACCCTGTTCTGTATCTTCGGCTGGCTCGCAGGAGGCGAGTTCACGCAGACCCATCCCCACGACCCTGCTGGTCCCAACTTCTCCCCCAACGGCCACGTCGACGTTGTCACCGCTGTTGTCATCTGGGCTTACTCCATTGGTGTCACTATCATCATCGCTGTGGTCTACTACATTCTGACCATCATCCCCGCCCTGGACAACCTTGGCCGCAAGACCCGCTCCAAGGCCGACACCCAGATCGAGAACATGATCGCCCACCTGTCCAAGCTCGCCGTCGAGCTCGAGACCGACAAGGAGGGCAACCAGCGCTACACCCTGGGTGCCCGCACCGAGGCGATCGAGGAGGACGAGTAAACGTTTCCTTCAGGGAACTGTGCTCGGCCCTCGATGGGCTCACCTTTCTGAACTCGATACTGGTCCGATGTTCAAATTAATTTTCCTTATCTCTTTTTTTTGATCCCCCTTGCTCATATCCTACCACGCAATTGTGTTGCTTGCACCATCTATCTGGACATGCATACCGTGGGAAACTCAAAAAGGCCGATTCCCTGTCTTTTTTTGCTTTCCTTTCTTCCCGTATCATAGACTTGCTTGTTCCATTTACCCCTTGGCCTCCATTTGCTTTCGAGTTGATAGAGTCAAGTTTTCTTTCTCTACGAGTATGTATGTCGTTAATAGTGGTATCTAGTGAATTATCAAGGGATTCTAATGAACTGGCCATAACTGTAAAATTCGTAGCATTCCAACTTAGCTCACTCCACTTCTACAGAAGATGTTTAGCTTGCTCTCTTCCACTCCTGCCCTTACCCCGCGCTGCCCTCAATCTCTGCCTCTAACAGGTGGAAGCCTAATTCTCCGTCTCCAATCTTTTGCACGTCCTTCCCCAGCTAATTTTCCACCATGCGGGGGGAACAAGCTTCTCTTGACTCAATTTTCGCGGGGAGTGGCGGAAATTACACTTGAACAATAGGCATACTACATGACTTGATCTCGAACATCGCCACTCAATTGGGACAATGAAGCTGAAGATTCTCCGTCTGCCGCAATATTTGGAAATAAATTGCTGCACTCCTACAGACTATAAAACCGCTCAATACACATCTATACTGTCCTTTATGTCCAAGGTCTCAAGCTACAAGACAAGACAAGACTTGAGTCTTGACCTCCTGCCAAAATGCTCCGCCTACTGTCCCTCACGATCCTAGCCCTATGCTGGCACATCCTGAGCGTACACTCAGCAGCAGTCACCCACATATCACGAACCCAATGCCAGGCCAGTGGAACCCACTGCCCACCAGGGACAATCTTCGTCTCAGCAACCGACAAACGCGCCGACTACACAACAGTCCAGAGCGCCATAGACTCTCTTCCAGACGACACATCATCCCAAACAATCCTCATCCTCTCAGGCTCATACACGGAACAACTAAACGTCACCCGTGCCGGCCCACTCACCCTACTAGGCCAAACGTCCAACCCCAAGGACGCATCCAAAAACAAAGTCACCATCACCCGAGCCGCCGCCAATCTGGATAGCACAGGCGAAAGCGTCGACAACGTCTACTCCAGCGTTCTAATCGTCTCGCCAACCCTAGACGCTAGCCTAACAGGCTCAGGACCAACAGGCTTCGCCGTACCAGCCGATACACCTTTCGGAAACAAAGATTTCCGTGTCTACAACATCGACTTCACAAACACATATGCCGAGTACTCCGCCGGCCCAGCCCACGCCATAAGCTTCAGCCGTGCAAACGGGGGCTTCTACTACTGCGGCTTCTACTCCTACCAAGACACGGTCTACGTTGGAAAACTCGGAAACGCTTACTTCTACAAGTCCATCCTGGCAGGCCAAACAGACTTCCTCTACGGCTTCGGTACAGCCTGGATCCAATCTTCCTCCGTGGTTCTTCGCGGCTGCGGAGGCGGTATAACGGCCTGGAAGGGAACGAACACGACGTTTGAAAACAAGTATGGTATTTACATCGTTGACTCGACTGTGAAGGCGGCGAATGCGTCTATCAAGCCGGAGATCGAGGGTTCGTGTGCGCTGGGCCGGCCGTGGAACTCGCAGCATCGTTCCATCTTTGCGGATACGTACGAGGACGGGAGTATCGAGGCGAGTGGGTATATTAATTGGATAGTGTCCGGGGTGGGCAGGTATGAGAAGGGCATTACGCTTATGGCGGAGTATGACACGTTTGGACCAGGGTTTAATGCTACGGGCAGACGGGATGGAAATGTTACTACATTGTTGGATAATTGGGGATACGAGGCTTATAGTGAGCCGAAGAAGGTATTCCAGGACCAGGAGGGGGCGTTTGGGGATGTGAGTTGGATTGACTGGGAGACTGTTTTTGCTTAGACAGTTTAGAGGTGGATGTAGACGTTGATATCCAATGTGCGTACGAGACTTTTCATATCCTCAATGGAAAACGGATTGTGCATTATGGAATCACCCACAACTCCCGTAGACATTCAACCCGCTCCCAAGTACATCATCGGAGCTATTCTTCTGTCGATGCAACCCACCCCGCGTCTCGCCTTCACCATCCTTTCCAACATGAATCCCTTCCCCATTCCCAATGCCATTTCCGACTGTAACCAGCTCCCCCAATCTCCCAAGCCTAGCCAGATACGCCGCCCCGGTATCTGCCCAAACCCTATACTCACAAACCTTCAACTCCCCCTTTGATCCATCTCTAATATCCTCCGCAACGGCAATCCGATAAACAAACGTCTCGTCCCACGCTTGCCCCGTTCTCTTCCAAACAAACTTTGCACTCCCTCGCAAACAAACCGCCATAGAGACGTCATCAACCACCCAAGCGTCATCAGGCTCGAAAGTCATGTTCTTGATATCGAGGTGTTCGGATAAAAGGCCGAAGTAGCGGGCGATGCCGTCTCGGCCTGTGAAGGAGCGGCCGAGGAAGGGGGCTAATTGGGGGAGGCCGTGTTCGTGGCATAGGGGTGTTGGGGTAGTTGTGAATGTGGAGAGGAGGGTGTCTGGTGAGGATGGTTGTGTGAGGGCAGTTAGGAGGGATTGGACTGGCTTGATTAGGGTTGTGCGGGGGACCATTTTGACTTGGGTCTTAAGGTATTATATGTTGATTTAGAGGGTAGATGTGGAGGGGAGGTTGGTATAGAGTTCTATGAATTCATGCCGCGAGGTAAGGAGGATACTTCGAGAGCTGCTGGGACTTACATAACAATGACGTGCAGTCAAGAGGCTCTTTTAAAGTTGTGTTATTTTTATTTCTCCATTTCTGTTACAATCCAGATTCGCTCCAGAATAATTCCCATAATAGTTCCAAGGTTGGTCGAGTCTCGAAGCTCGTTCTCTACTCGAAAGCCGGGTTTCCTTTTTGGATACCCCAGGTAGAAAAAGCACACCCCCATATTTCGCATTGAGAAAAACACCAGTGCCGGCCTTCGCAGTGAAAGCAGTAAGTAGAAAAAGGAAAGGAAATCAAAATGACCCGGCGAGGGACAAGGCAAGAAAGAAAACACCGGGTTCCTGTTAAATCATACATCCGGAGGCACCCCCGTCCGGCCCTGCAATTCGGAAATCACTGCCGCCATGACTTGCCACAGTTCATGCATGTACAGAACAGAGTCATCGGTTCATCAGCACTGCGAGTCTGAGCCTCGGTGTAGGTCACCTTGCGCTGGCCGCACTTTCCGCACTGAAGACTGGTACTGATACTGCGCTCCTGCTGGGGCACCATCGCGTTGTCCATGTTCTGCTTCTGGAGCTTCTTATCCTTCTCAATCTGCTCTTCAGAGCGCAACTCGTCGCTAGTCATGCGCACAAATCTGTCCGGGGTGATCTCACCGGAAACCACGCGCGAGCGCAGCTTCAAATTCGACTTGTTCTTCAAGTTTTGGAACAGACTGCGCATCTTCTGTCGGTATTCTTCCTTGGTCTCGGGCCCCAGATAGTCGTATGCTGCCGCTTCCACGGCGGACGCCTTTGCCAGTATGGTCTTGGGCGATTCGGTCGATCCCAGACAAAGTCCGTCGTACATCAGCCCTGTGCAACTGTCGCGAACTCGGTTCCCGAGGACATTGACATCCACCTTGTCCGCCTTCCACGTCCGCTTGTCCGGTGGGACTGAGAGCTTCGATGCCTTGTCGGATGGGGTCGCTCCCGCGGGTGTCGATACGGGAGTGCCGTTCGCCGGCCGAGGAGATCCGCTTGATCCCCGGCTTGCTGCTCCACCACCCTGCTTCTGTTTGTTGACCTCGTTCCGCCACCTGGAAACGATCTCGCCCGACAGCTGTGCCACTTCCTTCGACGAGTGTTGCTTGAATTTGTTGACAATGATACCGATACGAGTGGACCTCAGTAGATCCTCTGATGCTCGCACGCCTTGTTGCAGGTCCTTCAGCATGCCCAGAATCACGGTTGACGTCTCCTTCTGTGTCGCGGCCTTGGTCAAGGCCTTGGCCTTGGCCTCGATTTCTTTGGCGTCCATGGCCACAGGAAGAGGGAAAGGTTGCACTCGGATGTGGTGGAAAGAGCGCTTTTTTTGCAGATGACGAGTTCCCGTTCAAGCCTGTGTATTCAAATACGTCAGTAACTGACCATCATGATCAATGTGTGAAGAAATCTTTCAATGAGATTTCTAGATTGCCGGCACGGATGAAATCAAGCAAACGTGTTTGCGCATAATCCAGGGCCTGCCTGAGCCAAAAGGTAACCTAAACCACGAGCACAATTTTCTTGTTCTCGCCGGGCCTCCGTGGCAGCTCTGGTGATGTACACCGCAGCACCAAGCCGCACGTGTCTGGCAGCGCACTTTGGAAAGACGCATTTTCAAGGCCAGAAATGTCCCGACAGGCCGGTAGAGATAATGCGCACATTCACGTGTAGCTTGCGACCGCGGAAGTGTCGCAGATGGGGCTTGGGCAGGAGGGAGGGGCGGTTTGCGCGGGCACTTACACACCGAGACTCGGTGAAGAGTGGATGGGAAGTCGATGGAACAGGGATGAAGCGAGGATAAAAAGAGCGAGTGTAGAGAGAAAAGGCCGAGAGCACGAAGAGGGAGAGTGGTGAAAGAGTGGGCAACTCGGAGGTTGCGCGCCAAGACGTGGCCGCCCGATTGGGAAATTTCCCACTGGTCCGCTCGAACTATACAACGATTCACTACGCACGACCTATATTCAAGGAAAACATGGAAAAAGGAAGAAATGGTCACCTGATGACCAGGGGTGTATTCACATCTATATGGAGTTTTCTGTATCCTCCCAAGACACCAGAGCTTAGGGCTATGCATAGGGGTGAAAGCGTCGAGATTATGTGCAGTCGTCATCGTCAACGGGGTATAAAAGACACGGGGAAAATTTTGGGGATAATGGCGTTCAGAGTCGTCAATCGGGTCCTCATGGGATAAAGGCCGTGGTAGAACCGCTTCGTATGACGAGGGCGCGGTGGACTGGCCAGTGTCACGCAATGCAGAGGTGATGACTCCAGAGCCCGTCAATGCTGGATAGTAAGATACCAGGACCAGAACAATGGCAGTCCGCGGCTATTGGGTTTAGATGCCCGTCTTGCCCAGAACATCGGCCAGCGCATCCACGTCCTTGTCGGACTTCTGGGATACCTCCTCTTCCTCGGCGAGGTCGGCGTCCTTGAGGTCCTTCTCAGCCTTGGCCTCTTCCTCTTCCTCCTCCTCTTCCTCCTCTTCCTCTTCAGATTCCTCCTCCTCAAGCTCATCAAGCTCATCAACACCCCAGGTATCCTCGGGGTCATCATCAGTACCGTGCTCCTCCTGACGGGCTTCCAAAAGCTCACGCAAGGCGACGACGTTAGCGTCATCCTCGTCGAAGATGTTTCCGTTCAGCTCAACGCGACGCAGGCTGGGAAGCGCGGTCTTGGCAGCGTGAGCCAGCTCCTTGACACACTCAGCCTTGACCTCGTTGTACTGCAGACGAAGGGTTTGGAGCTTCTGGTTCTTGTTGGCAGCCAGGGCCTGGGCAACCTTGACACCACCACGGGCGGAGAGCAGGCAGTCACCGACACCGAGCTCACGCAGAGAAGGCCAGCCCTCCAGGACAGCAGCCAGAGCAGTAGAGCCCGCCAGTGTAAAAGTATTGTCCTGCAGATCCAGAACCTCCAGGGCACTCGCGTGACGAAGACCGTTCTTCAGCAAGTGCGAGATACCTTCCTGGCGGATACCGTTCTGGGTCATCTTGACTGACTTCATACCCGCCGCGTGCTTCTCATACGCGTGGGCCCAGGCCTCCATACTGCCGTTCTCCAGGCGGTTGCGTCCGCAGACAATGCTCTCAAGCTGAGCAACCTCCTTGCCCTCCTTGCGGGCCTCCTCCTTGCGCTCGGCAAGCTTGCTGAGAGCATTGGCGACGAGAGTTCCAGCAGCGGGACCGAGACCGTTGTTGTTCAGGATCAGGTGGCGGAGAGGGGTGTGGCGCGACAGGAAATCCACGAGAGGAGCCTGGGTGTTGAGGCCGAAGGCATTGTCGGAGAGGTTGATGGTGTGAACGGACGGAATCTCCAGGATGGCATCCAGAAGAGACTTCAGGGCGGGGGGATCTCTGACAGGAGACGCGAGGTGAAGATATCGGCAAGATCAGCGATCTCGAGGCTCTTCTGGGTAGCGATGACAGTGCCGAGGCGCTCGGAGGCACCAACGCCCAGGGTGTTGCCGCCAAATCGGATCTCGGTATAATCGGCGCTCTCAATAAGAGGCTTGATGTGGGACTCAATGTCCTCTGCGGTGTCGAGCTTGAGGCCTTTGCCTTCGAGCGAGAAGACTTTAGGAGGGGCCATGGTGGGGTAGTTCTTCAAGGGAAAAAAAGAAATCGAGAGGTGACAATTGTGTCCAATTTGGAAGTAGGAAATGAGAGCAGCAGGTTAATGACAACAAAAACCACACCCGTAATGGAGATATTCAGGAGGCAGCCAGGGAGGCAAAAGACTAGTGAGGCGGGATGTTTTGGCGATAACCAAAAAATTAGTACGGCGCGACACAATGACCATTAGCGCCGAAATTAATAATCGATGGATTGCTCATCGCGACAGGTCGAGGTTTTTGTTTTCATTCACACCCTCTCACTTTCGCTGTATTTTTCTCGTTTCCAGTCAATCTTTCCTTGATACATATTCCTTCATCACAATGTCGTGGCTCTTCGGTTCTTCGCCTGGTATGTCCCAGTCCCAATCCATGCATCTGCGTCATCTGCGCCATCCGCGATTCCTGATCCCCGGTGCCTGCGCAATGCCCAAGGACCAACACTCCTAACCAAAAAGGAACCTTCCGCTAATACTCAAATCCATAGCGAAAGATGCTCCCACCCCTGCCGAGCCCCAGACCCAGCCGGCGCAAACCGAGAAGCCCAAGGTACGCCCGAGACCGCTACAAGAAACAAAACCGCAACAATCGGACTAACTCTCCGCTATAGCCCTGCTGTGTCTGCAAGGACGAGAAGACCGCCCGCGATGACTGCATGCTTTTCTCCAAGTCCGATGACCCCGCGAAGGAGTGTCAGTCGATGATCGAGAAGTACAAGATCTGCATGGCTGGCTTCGGCTTCAAGGTCTAGACGGGCCTCTCCTTTCAACTTGTATTATACAACTGTACCATGTTCACCTGTACCATAGCATTCATCGGCTGGAGTTTTTGTTTTCGATCTATGTATATTCTCCGGTCTGGATTTGCGCGCTGCTGGACCAAAGGACACCATTGGGCATGAATAGAGATCGAATTTCGAATACAACCTCTCATCTCCCACAAAGGACAAAAGTAATTAGAATTGGTTAAATGTAGCTCTAGCAACACATTCCATGCAAAGTTAAATGCGTATAACGGGGTATCACAAAGTGCAAAGCCACCCAGTGCTTTACTGCTTCTTCTTTCGACTCTCTTCTTCCGCCACCTGAAGATCGATCTTGCGACACTGTATGATCAACTTCCACATGCACCAGAGGTAAATAATTCCGAATCCGCCGGCTCCGACGAGGGCGTTGAGAACCACCCACAGATCCGGCTTACCGGGAAGGGGCTCCACGAACGCCTCGAGGACATGCCAGGCAATCATAGCAATGTAGAACGCAAAGTGCAAGAGCTTTGTGAAGATATTAAGTTCAAATTGTGAGTTTGAGTCTTCGAGCGATGATCGGCTCCGGTATGTCTCGAAGGAGAGAGGAGGAAGTCCGAGGAGATACGCCCAGAGAAGGGTCATCACGGCATACGGCACAGACAGCTCTTCGCGCTTCAGAAGCGGGTACATGGTCCATGAGCCAAGGATATTCGCTAGGCCAACCCAGGCGCGGTTCTCCTTGTTCAGTCCGCTGTCACCGGCGAGCGAGAGAGTCATCGGAAGGAGAGGGAGGAGAACACTCTTTTCGTGCACTTGGAAAGAAAAAAGGAAGAATCCCCAGGAGACGCAGGACATCGCAGGAAGAATAAGCGAGGCCCGCGGATGACGGAAAATGATGGCACATGGAACGATTATCGAACCCAGGGTGGCACCGAGCGAGGCTCGCTGGAGTAGCGAAGTCTCGAACCGGTTGAGCTTGTAGAATGTGTGGATGGCACACCAGGCATTCGCAACCTTGTCCTCGAAGATACCGCGAGCGAAAGGCAGCACGCGGTGAATGGTTTGTGTCAGTTGGAAGATAATTGCATATGCCACAGATCTCTTGTCGAGAGAGACCCGCAGTGCCTGAAGTAGAGGAGGCTGCGGCGAGGAAGCAATGAATTCTCGAGCCTCAACATTGGTTGCACCGACCAGGAGCGGTGCGAACAGCAGAACAAAAGCGGCAACCGTGATCAAGGCAATGTTGACCAACCGCAGGATACGGATCCGGGGGAAGACGCAGACTCCCAGAAGGTAAGCAAACATGACAGGTGCGTAATAAAGCGCCATCTGCTTGAAACCCAAAGCTCCCACAAAGAAGATACAGGCCCACAGCATACGCCCGGCCAAGATGGCATCCAAACTGGCAACTACCAGGCCCAGCATTACGGTGTTGTACTGGAAATGGCCATGATCGATGAGAATGGTGGCAGGCTGGAGGAGAACCGCGACAAGAGCAATCGAGGCAGACCACGCATGCACACCCTGCATCCGAGTATAACGACGAAGGAAGGTGACGATGGCCGGAACGTACACGAGGTACTCAGAGATGACGACGGTAGCGCGCATGTAAACCTTCAAGTTGGGATCCTCAAACCCGCGCGATTTGTCTAATGCGAACCATGCGGGCTCAATGGCGGAACCACTTAAAAGAGTCAGCTAAGGCCTATCCTGTTTTAACATCCAAGGGTATGAAACATACATCTTGCCGAATAACCAACTGTGGTATGCGGTCAAAGGGGGATAATCGAGACCCCAGTACTGCAAGTCGTACAGATACCATTTGGCCATTGGTAGGTGCTGGGTGATCTCCATCCAATGTCTTTGAGCCTCGAAGTCACCGTACATTGGGGGTACCTGGAAGCCTGTGTGATGTTAACCGCGATCTAGCATGAAGCGAGAGGGCGAATGCGCCTACCAGAGTAACCCCACAGAGTGACAGCCCAGCGGAAGAGGCCGACAGCCATAAGGACGAGCGGCAGTATCAGCCATTGCGATACGCCTGCACGTGCAGCCCAGAGAAACGAGACAAGCGGGAAGGTGGGCGTCTGCTTCCCGTCTCCAGCGTCCAAGATCAGGTTGTTGTTTGAGCCGGGGCTGGTCGTGAACTTTCTCTTCTTGCGCGGGCGGTGCGAGGAAGGAGTGGGAGGGGCCATCGCGAATTAGGCCAGGTAGCAACTCAGGCGTATCCCATCGACTATATCAGACAGGAGATTGGCGCCTGTGAAACGAGAATGGGGGAAGTATAGGTCACGACCTTGGAAGATGACAGGGTACCGCGGAGTGACATTGACCAGCGCAGCAACGTGAGAGGTTGCGAGGTACCCGCAGTGTCTCCACCGAGCGGCAAAGTTAGTGCCTCGTTAGTGCCTGGGGCTAACCTTATGAAGCAGGCGGACAGTCATTCTGCCAGCCTCCGATTTTTTTTTTTCCTGAAATTTTTCTGATAAGAAAGCTTCCCCCAGCTGCGTCCATTTTTTTCTTCTTCTTCATCCTCTCTCCCATCCCCCTTCCTACTCTGCTATCACATACTTCTGTGCTAGCAACTTTCTTGATTTTCTTTCAAGAAAACTTCATCCATAAGTACATACCCCCTTCCACTAACTGACGCAGCTGCGTGGGTTCCCGTGCTTTTTGCAAAAAAAGTACACAGTACTTCAACAGACTTTTAAGTGGGCTTTTTCACATCGAGGGCTGTGGGCTTGATCTTCTGCATATCTATTCTGTGGGCTCTGTGGGACATTTCCTCGTGGGTTTCATATTCTAGTTGCGTATCGCCGGTCTCTGTGGGCTTGAACTCTGTCCGTTGCGGGTTACTTGTGGGTATCGACCAGCTTGTGATCAGATCACTCCTGGCTGTTTCTATCTTCCGAGGGTTGTTGCATTTATCACATCTACACGGGTGTATTTGAGGGCTTGTTGGCGTTGCCGCACATTTTATCAAATCGCTTATCTTCTGTTCCCCAGACCACTGTACGTGGGATGTGAGGTGACCCGACTTGTTACACAGTGCTAACATTCTTTCCTCTCTGCAGCATACAATATGTCGAAGACCAAGGTTAGCACCAAGAGTGCCGACAAGAAGGCCTCCAAGGCCTTGAGCAAGGTCAAGGACGCCGGTGTCACCAAGGCCTCCCAGTCCCCTGCCACCAAGTCCAAGGACGTTGCCAAGAAGGTCGCTGCCAAGGAGGAGAAGTCCTCCAAGAAGAAGAGCAAGAAGGAGCCTACCCCCAGTAGCTCCGAGTCCGAGTCCGACAGCGACGAGGAGATGAACTCCTCCAGCTCCGAGTCCGAGGATGAGAAGCCCGCCCCCAAGAAGGATACCAAGAAGGCCGACAAGAAGGTCGCCAAGAAGGCTGAGTCTTCTTCCGAGTCGGAGTCTGACTCCGATGAGGAGATGAAGGATGATGCCTCCTCTAGCTCCTCCAGCGAGTCCGAGGATGAGAAGCCTGCTCCCAAGAAGACCGAGAAGGCTGTCGCCAAGAAGGCTGAGTCTTCCGACTCTTCCGACTCTGACTCCTCCGACTCCGAGTCTGAGGATGAGGCTCCCAAGAAGGCTGAGGCCAAGAAGGCCGAGTCTTCCGACTCTGACTCTTCTGACTCCGAGTCCGAGGATGAGAAGCCCGCCAAGAAGGACTCTAGCGACAGCGAGTCTGGCTCCGACTCCGACTCCTCCGACTCTGAGTCTGAGGATAGTGAGGAGACTGCCAAGTCCTCCAAGAAGCGCAAGGCCGATGAGGAGCCCGCTGCCGCTGCCAAGAAGACCAAGACCGAGGCCGCTCCCGAGGGTGCCTCCGCCAACCTCTTCGTCGGCAACCTGTCCTGGAACGTTGATGAGGACTGGCTCCGCAGTGAGTTCGAGTCCTTCGGTGAGCTCTCTGGCTGCCGTATCGTGACCGACCGTGAGTCTGGTCGCTCCCGTGGGTAAGTTATACATTCTTCACTACATCGCCGCTATCTCAGCTGCTAACTATATCTCACAGTTTCGGCTACGTTGAGTACACCAACGCTGCCGATGCCGCCAAGGCCTACGAGGCCAAGAAGGGTTCCGACCTTGACGGCCGTACCATCAACCTGGACTACGCCACTGGCCGCCAGAACAAGCAGGAGGGTGGTGACCGCGCCCAGGCTCGCGCCGGCAAGTACGGTGACCAGACCAGCCCCGCGTCCGACACTCTCTTCGTCGGCAACCTGCCCTTCAGCGCTTCCGAGGATGCTCTCCGTGACATGTTCTCCGAGCAGGGCTCCATCCTGGGCATCCGCCTGCCTACTGACCCTGAGTCTGGCCGCCCCAAGGGCTTCGGCTACATCCAGTTCGCCTCCATTGACGAGGCTAAGACCGCTCACGGTGCCCTCAACGGTGAGGAGCTCGAGGGCCGTTCCCTCCGTCTGGACTTCAGCACCCCCCGCCCCGCTAACGGTGACCGTGGCGGCTTCGGTGGTCGCGGCGGTGGCCGTGGTGGTGGTTTCGGTGGCCGCGGCGGTGGTGGTCGTGGTGGTGGCCGTGGCCGCGGTGGCTTCGGTGGCCGCGGCGGTGGCAGTGGCTTCGGTGGTGGCCGTGACGGTGGCTTCAACAAGGCCAAGGGCAGCATCCCTGAGTTCAAGGGCAGCAAGATCACTTTCTAAGCTTGTTACTGACTGTATTTTGCTATTACCACATGGGTGTTAATGGGCCATCGGAGGCCCCGGTATCTAAAAAAGTTGAGTGTACTCGATAGTTTAGGATGAGCAAAGTAATCTCATATTTCCACATATTTACCTCGTTCCAATGTTCCATTTCTGTAAAGTTGGAAGTGTAAGAGTGTTATACTGCCACTGGCCACCGCCCGACCCCGCATCTCAACATGTCTGCATGTTGTCGCGCTTTCATTGAAGACCTCCTTGGGCACGTCAAATTCTCCGATTTCTCGTGAAATCCGGATTCTACTTCTAATCCTCTCTTTTTATCTTCTATACTGTATTCTTATATTTCTGTTTCCGTTCACGTTCCCGGTGTTGACCCCTCGCCTCGGTGGCTCCCGTCACGGCTGCAAATCACCTGCGGCGTCTGCTGATCACCTCATCATCCACTCCTCCTTGTTTCTGCCTTCTCTTTTCTCCCCCTTTCTTCACCTTTGCTGGACTGTTTGGTTCTTTGCTTGTATCGCAGAACCTCCAGGGCTGAACTGGCTATATGGTTTGATCTGCAAACACAAACACAAACTGTCAAAGCAAGGCCAAGCGTATTGGGCATCAGTGATGGGGCCGATCGTCTCCACACTGATAAGATAACCTCATTGATTGTTTCTCCCCACACCTGACCGCTCTTGTTCCTCCCACCGGGTGGCCTGATCCCATCTGTGTTCCATCATCCTCTATTTCTATTCTATCCTCCCCATCTGCTCTCCCCCTTTGCTCTTCAACTTGGCCATGCAACCAAATCACTGCGACCTGCTGGGTCAGGTGCGCGAGCCCAGAGCCGCAAGTCAACTGATGCGCGATGGCCACTCGCGCGATCCTGGTCAGCCCCGACCATCCGGTGCGGCTGGCATGAGATCAGAGGGTATGTTGGCTTCCTTATATACCCAGACCTTGTACTTTCCCCTTGGTGAACCAGTTTCGACATGCAGACGCTTTCGCCTTTTTTTTACGCTTCAATATGTACTCACTGCAATATTACATAGACTCTTGGATCGAAGTATCATCGCAGCCGTCGTCTTCGTCCTTGTCCTCGGCGGCTACAAACGACGATATCATTACGACTGGTCTCCGGGTGGACAATCGAGTGAGAGGCATGTACCAGCACCGCAGTCGACGACGGCGCCTTCAACACCTGGCTGCCGTTACCACAGCCCAGGTAGACTACTCCTCGCGCGACACTAGCCTGGCTAGCAGCAGCCAAGAAGAATACGAGGAGAGTGAGAGTGAGCCCGATCCCAATTTGAGCAGTTCCAACGAGGATATGAATCGCCCGGCTCTGAGGGTTCCGCTCCCCGCACTCCCATCCAACCCCTCCGATGCAGATGCGGCCTCGAGCGATGATGAAGATGACGATGCTTCCACTGCGCTGGGCATGGGTATCAGCCCATCGCCATTTGTCCCACAGCCAAACGTATTTTCTCATCCACCGGCAACAAGTGACCCGTCCTGGACTCGTCCTAACGAGTCGCGCCGATCTCAACCCAGCGTGCTTTCAACCTCCAGTCGCCGCACCGCAATCCGCCGAGATTCATACCCACCTAGCACACGTTCCCGTAGATCACAACAGTCCCAGCACAGCCCCTTCAACATGATATCACCTTCCCATCACGCAGATCATGATGCTGCCCTTCGAGCTAGTCTCTCTACCCTCCTGTCATGTGCTGCTGCTGCTCGGGGTCTCCCCAAAGCAGACAATCAACCTATTTCATCTGGTCCTTCAGGCCCCGCCCAACCATCAACATTCCGCCTGGTTGGTGAATCGGTCGCTTTGGGCGATGAAAGCGGCGAAGGAGCTCACTCGCCGCGGTATACAGAAACCAGTCCCTCAGTGGGCGCGCCCCACCGGAGACCCCGCGCAGTGGCGACACCCGGCCCACCGATCGCCAAAGCCAAGCGCCGGTCAATGTCTCCCAAAGACCGCACCGCCGCACCCAAGAAGAGTCGCCGTGCAAGTATATCAGACTCGGCCGGTCCTGTCAGTCCCACTGTCATGACGTGGGTGATCAGTGCCGGCGTCGTGGTCCTGTTCTCTGCAATCAGCTTCTCGGCTGGATACATGCTCGGCCGCGAAGTAGGCCGCATCGAAGCTGGCATGATGGGAGATGGCAGTGTCCCTGGCGCACGCTCATCAGCAGCCTGTGGGCAAGAAGCCGTCCGCGGAGGACTGCGGCGCTTCCGTTGGGGAACTGCTGCCGCGACCTCTGCTAGTCTGGCATGAATAATGCCCGTCACGAAGTGAAACGGTCATGAATGAAATGCTTATGACAAGAGTGTTACGACGCCTGGTGGACGCAAGAGCGTCTGCCACTATAATTCCTTTTCTGCCTCGAAACACTCCACGTTCCCTGGTGCTCTTTTGTTATTGTGTTTTTGTTTCCAGTCAGCAGGGGTGGGACGGTGGTTGTTGATCTGCTGCCTGAAAAAATTGGGTCACCTTGTCTCTCGTTGTGGTGGCTTTTGCCACTGGTGTCGTGGAGTTTAGGGGGTGCATCTCGTTAGGTTGGTCTTTGGTGGCCTTGGTGATATTTTGTCGACCTTCAATCTATACCCTGTTATATTGTTGTCCCTCGATAGAAACGTTTGCAAGGGCAATGATTTTTCAGTAAGAACTAAGATAACAGTAAGAGGTGTAAGTCCTGTTGAGTCAGCCTTGGGATATGCTGGCTTCACATCTGGAAATCATAATTCTCAACCATGGTCCGTAACGTAGAGAACTGGACAGAGAATTGTACCTCCTGAGCAGCCAAAGCGAGGCGAAGAGAAATGGCAATAGACCGAGTGAGGGCTCGACGGGAGCACAATTACCTTTCCCTGCACCTCATCCCGTCAACCTTGGAGAAGGAAGGCACCAAGCTCCCCTCGCATCCGATACAACCCAGAATCACACCCTGCTATCCCTTCATAGTGCCGAACTCGAACCATAGCTCCACTCACCCACTCTCGCACTCAAATCCCTAAACCATCTCACCACGAATATCACATAATAAAAACCAAATAATTTCTGCAGGTACGCACTACCGTAGCATCTCAAACCGTGCCGCAGAGCGTCTGGAGACGTCACCAAACCCCGTGCAGATCAAATAGATCCCCACCCTCCAAAAGCCGACGTAGATCCGCAAATCACAACCACCCCCCTATCCCCCCTATCTCTCTATATCCGAACATCGAGCATCCGACGTACCTGCAGCTAATGCAATATGCAACAATCCGTTTCAGACAATGGATTGTGGATCGGAGAAAAAGCCACCTCCAGGTGCAAAGAATCGTAGCCTCGTGTACAACGCCGTAGGACCGTTGCAGAAAATCCCACCGTCCCGGCTAGGCGCGCCACGTCGTAGCCCGCGTATACGGAGCCGCCATTGACTGGAACTGCGATTGACATCGTCGGGGTTACTTCGACCTTTACTTTTTGTTTTATTGAATACCACACGTCATCGGAAACAAGATAGGGGAGGCAAGGCTAGGCAAGGCACCGTTGCACGTCACACGACATAATCCCGTCGCCTCGCTCTGAATGCGGTGTTTAAATGCGAGGCGACTTGGAATCTCAATTGCAACGTACGGGGCGCATTATTGGACCCGCTCGGGTCGGGCCTCTGGTCCTCACTACCCGGACGCGTGGAGTTCGGATCTTCATTTCCTGGGGGAACGTCTTCTTTGCTTTGTATGAATTGAGACTATTTCTGCGGCTTTTCGGCAATTAGTTGCCACCTGGACAAAGGTGGGTTTTCTGGTATTTGTGTACACACAGGACGAGCTATCGGTGACCTGCAGGGTTGGGCTCCGCTGGGGGTGAGTGCGGAGGGGATGATCTTTGCTGTGTGTGGGGGATGATTTACGTAGGGGTCAATGCGAGTCATTGCTAAAGGTCGGTGTTTGCCTTTTTTGCTTTTGGTGGCTACGTGGCCCGGATACCTGGTTATGTGCCCTGTGTCTTGGATCCTGTGTGAGGGTTGCAATGGGGCCATGGGGACAACGATGGGGCGCTACCTATCTAGTGGAGGGTTGTTGATAGGGGGTCGTCCGGGTTGGGAAGTGGTTCGCGAGTCTGAAACCGGGTATGATGCGAGGTCCACTTTGAGAGGCGTTCTATTTTGGTTTTAAGGTGTGGTGGAGATCTGGTTGAAAGTCCGAATTGTGTTTGTATGAACATCTGCTATGTACATGAATGATATGCCCCCAATATGTATCCCGCTTCCCTTACCCATAGGAATTGAAAAACGCCTCGCTCGTCAGAGATGAAGTGGGCTTGGCCACAAGATAAAAACAAAATAAAGGAAATCAGGTCAAGATCCCCCGCTCGTTGGGGCCTGAGTGTGGTCGTGTGTTCAGATAGATAAATAACAGTGGATACCTCAATTGTGAAAGTACATAATAAGAGAATCGAAGATGGTCGAGGATACCGCGTCGTATATGTAGCAAGAAAGGAAAATAAAGAGTGACTCAGGCGGTCGCCTCAGATCGTCGACGATATTTTAAATCGTCCCGGCTGAGAAACCGGCGAAGTTTGGAAACGAAGCGACCGGATAGACAGTCTATGAAACCGTTAATGATGATGATAATGCGGAAGAGGGAAGCAGACGAACGTACCATGGCTTCGTGGCGCGCAGGCCGGCTCTTGGGGCTGTGTGGTATACGCTGCAGCCCAGTAGCCCGTGTGGCGGTAACCGGTGAAGGTGCAGCTGTTAGGATTGTATTGTGGCTGCAGGGCCGCAACGTGCGGATAGAGCTCCGCTAATGGGGAGAGCAGCTCATCTGGAGGCGGCGAGCGCCGGCTGTCGATGCTCGGTCGGGACTATCCAAACACGTCAGTGATACCGGGAAATGCAAGTTGAAGTCAGGGTTGACGTACGTAGAGTTCGTAATTCGTCTTATACATGGTGTCTGTATGTGTGGAAGGAAGACGTGGAATGCGGAGAAACGGACAAGGCCGACGGTGTCCAGTCACACTTTGGAGTTGGACAGGTTTGCAGGGTGGCTCAGTCGACAAGATCTTGGAATCTGCAGATGAGATGTTGAGATGCAGAGATGCAGAGGCCCGCCTTTAAAGCGAACGGTGCTCTCTCAGCCGTACAGCAGAGCGGATTCAAGGCGGGGCAGGGTTCAGACGTCAATCGGATTTACAGGATGAACTAGCGAGCCGTAGTCCGGTGATATCGTTATCCAGGAACCGGGAGTCGGTCAAGAGCGGTGGAGAGGTCGTGATTGGATCGAGATGCGCTCGGGCGCAAACCCAGAGTTCGATTTGGTCGATTGCAACCGATCCATCGGGGATCCCGAGGATCGATACGAAGTGATCGGGGATCACGGTGCTTGGCAAGATCCCCTCGTTCTTTTTCTGGCCTCCTTGCATCTGCGAGTCCACGTTGTACTCAGGTACCACGTCACACCACCTCAGAACCTGTTCTCTGCGACATGACCTGTGACGGTGGGCCTCGTGGAGTCGGGCAGTAGGTAATCGACATGATGTGGAATCGACCGAACACACCCGTTCCGATATGGCAAAGTATTTGTGGCACACTTCGGCACTATACGGTGGGCCCCCGTCGGCAATGTCGCACAGATCCTAGGATGGACAATGACGAGCGCGGCGCCTTACGACCCTGGTCCTGGCCCTGGCCCTAGGTCGGATACCGTATAGCAGCGCGAGGCCTTCCAAATCATGGCATCCATGAAATGCCAGACGATAGTGAGGTGGAGTCAACCAAACTATTGGGACGCTAATCTTGGGAGAATCTGACGCGACCATACAATTGGACCACAATGAGATTGTTGATCCACCGAACAAGACCGAAGCCACAGCCACACATCCCTTGCCTCTTCGGGCCAAGCGCACGAGCCACATGCTCGGCCACGCCGTGGCGCGTGAAGTGGCTAGTGCAGACTCTGTCCATCTCGGGCTTCTGAAACTGTGGCTCAAGCTCGACCCTGTGGCTGGTTCCATGGCTCCATTCGTCGCCTTACTCGATAGCTCGAAGCCGTATCCACCCTGCTGCCCGTCAGGCCCGAACTAGCCCTTTGATCTTCAAATGTGATCGTTTTTGGCATCACACTGGCCCATGCGGGCCCTCGGTCTGTCCGTCAGTGCTCGCCCTATTAAGAGCCCATTCGCCCCGACCTTCTAGACTTCAATTAACCACCTTGAATCTCAATCTTCAATCTCCCCCCATCTATCTTAAGACACATGTCGACTGCCCAACATGTCACTGAGCATGCAGGATTCCGGAAGAGAGTGCTGGGAAAACTCTCCGCGTATGGGCCTGCGCGAGCACTACTCGCGCGAGCATCCCGCTCCAAGTACGTTGCCCTTGAATACTCCCCAAGACGCATCTTCTGAGACCGCTCCCCAATTCAGGATCTGTCGAGCGAGAAGCTGAACGCACCTCCGATAGGCGCGAGAACCGCCCCGTCGAGGGCATGAACTACACCGAGGCGCAAGCACTCTTGAATGACAGCGAGTTTGGTCGTGTCGACCCAACCGGCTGGTACCCGCACTACAAGAACTGTGTGCAGTATTTCATTGAATATGGCCAGCACAACCAGACCGTGCAATCAGTAGCTGCCTTTGTCAACATTCGTCTTCCATGCCAACGTCCTCACGAGTCTGCTGCGCTAGTCCAGTCTGCTCCTGCACCATTCGTTTCTCTGCGGCCCTATGTCCGTCGTCTCATCGTCACGGCGCAGGACTCGGCGCTCATCATGCGCGCATTTTTCGGCGACGACTGGGCCGCCGGCGTGGGCTGCATCTACAAGCAAGAGCGTGCCAACTATCTCTTCACCGCCAAGAGCAGCGGCTGGGGTGCGACTAAGACAGCTTACGATATCCTGCCCGACGAGCAGGTACCATTCCTTCGACCCCTGCGTGAGCCCACTGAGGAGGAGCTCCGGGCGGCCGAAGCGCGATGGAGTGAATGGCTGGCTATGGAGGATTGGATGGTGGGGGTCCGGAGTCCCTGGTAGGGGGAAGGGGACTCCTCGTGATGAGACATGACCATTTCCTTTTCTATTTTCAATCTTTGTCATTCCTTTGGGCCAAAAGAAGGGGTAGTTTCCGGCGTTGCAGACTATTGTCTAGGATTGGGATCTATGCATCTATGCACAATACCATCGTTTACATCATCATTTATTTCCGGATTCAGTCTTCACCTATCATCCCACAACAACCCAACCTCCCCAAATTGATCGCCGGCGCCAATGCAAAGGTGACAGTGATCGCCGGCGGACCCCCTGTCAAAATCAATAGTGCTGCACCGCCACAGGCACGGACGAGGGACCAGCGTGACAAATAGTTGACGTGCCAGCTATGGGGAAAATAAATTAAAGGTTCTGAGTGCGTCGCGTGCGGCCTAAATTAATTGCAATATAATTGTGTTTGAGGCCCCAACCCTCCAAAAGGACACTATTTCCCAGCCCGGATTTAGTTTGACTCGCGTCTCCACTCGTGATCCCTGCTTTCTGACTCATTCCAGATGTGTCAACCTCGATATCAACTGGGATAACTCCCCTGAACAATAAGTCAATAGTGTCTTAGCTCATTCATCCAGATTGACCCGACCACCCGGTTCGCAGTCTTTGTGACACGTCTCACCACGACGCTCGACAATCCAGGTATCCGGGTCCGGCATTGTCCCGGGTCACCGCCAGCTACCCAAAGAAGGAAAGAAGGAAAGAAAAAACAAAAAACAACAATGGCACAACTCTACGAACACGATGCCACCAGCATCCTCCCTCATCTAGCAAGCAACCTCCCATACTCAATCACCTGCCTGCGCCGCATCCAACACGGGCAGGCCTACGCGTCCCCCACCGCAAAGATCCTGGCCACATTCCCGCCCGACTCAACCCCTGAAGGACCGTGGCTGGCTGCGCGGGTGGATCTCTTCCTAGGCCGACAGACCCAGATCGTGCTCTACAGCAGCCTGGAGTCCCACACGTCAATCGCCCCGATCGTCCCTGTCACCCAGAATGACGGGTCCACACCGGACACCGCCGTGTCCACTCTCGCGGCTGACCCGGCCGACCTGGACAAAGCGCGCGACCAATTACTGGCGCTGATGCGATACATCAAGGTCCATCTTCTTCCGGAGTACCTGTCATCGCTCCCTGCTGAATCTAAGCAGGGCGCAGCTGAGACCCCGACTAACAATGGCGTCCCCTTGATCCCGCCACCCTCTCCAAAGTCTTTCTTGTTCGGGTCTTTGCACACGGGTCTCTTTGTGCTGCTTATGCGTGGAGGTGTCCTCGCTAGCCCGGGCGCCGATGCGGACCTCCTGCCTGGCCTGCGCATCGATCGCTCCGATAACCCGCCGTACTATAAGTATTTCTTCCCGCGAGGTGTATTCGACACTGCTGGCGATGCGGCCTTGCCGGATGGTTATAGGTATCACGATCGGTTAGGCAGAACCGGTGTTCTTCCGGGGCACCTGGACCTTGTGCAGAGTCGGACGAATATTCCAAGGCCCAGGGAGCAGTTGTTGAAGATTCCTGGTGTGGCGGTTTACCATGATGGAAATGGTAGCGCGGAGGGCGAGGATGAAATGCCTATTGCGTGGGGATTCCTCGGTGTGGATGGTGCTGTGGCGACGTTGCACGTTGAGCCTGAGCATCGAGGGAAGGGATTGGCCCTCGTTTTGTCGAAGCAGGTGATGAAACAGGGGATGGCGCCTGATGGCGCGTTTGGGGCTGAGAGGTCGGGTATTCAGGATGAAGCAGTTCGTGCCAAGGTTGGGGATTGGGTGCATACTGAAGTTGCGCAGTACAATAAGGCGAGTAGGCGTGTGATGGAGAAGATTGGAGGCGAGGTCTTGACTACCGTTTTGTGGACGGTTATTGAGCTTTGTGATTAATTGAATAGTCTTTTCACAAGCAATCGTCCATTTGATGGGTCTGTATTTGTTTTTGCATAACGACGCATCTAACTCCTTCAAGAGGTTATCGAAGGATTCGCAAAAATATGCGTCCCGCTTCATGAACTCCTGCAGGACTTAGATGCGTCATTACGCAAGAACAAATTCAGATCCATCAAATGGACGATTGCTTGTGAAAGCGCCTTCAGCTTTGATCTTGTTCTTGAAGGTTTTTAGATGCCGTGTTTATGAATGAATGTCTTGTGTAGTTGCAATATATGGGTACAGAGCTCCGCTTTTCATACAGCTTTCTCCTCCGGAGCCAATTCCTTGTAGCATCCAGGCCGACATTCGAGAACAAACTCGCCAACAGGTCTCTATGATATGTTACTAGGTCGGCATACACGGTATGTAGCACATTGTCTTGCGCTGTTGGTAATTGCATTTGGCAATCTACCATGGAAGAATATGCCCATCGTAGCGGGTTGGACCCCCCTTATACTCCCACGACGGAACGTTGGCCTCGAAGAATTTGCCACTATCTTCTTTGGTGGCGAGTAGAACTTTCTTTACGAGACACTCAGCCGCTTCCTTGGGATCAAGATCTGCAAAGTCTGAACCCATCTCGGTTCGTGACCACTAGACATCAGTTAGCATCGTTCCCTTTTTGCATTTGGAAAGAGGGTGGGTAGGGCACGACGGACGCCAGGGTCGATGCTGAAAACGATGAATCCCTCCTTTTCAAGATATGCAGCATACTGAACGGTCATCATGTTCAGAGCAGCCTTCGAGATCTTATATGCCGGAGTCGGTGGGAACATATACTGAGGTGCCAGGGTGATGGAGCCCAAAGCCGAGGACCTGGCGAAACGGAAACTTAGAGTGGTCTTCGGCAGTCGTTTCCAAAAACTTACACATTGACGATAGTCTTCTTTTCCCCATTGCGGAGGTGGGGCAGAATAGCTTTGGTGACCAAATGAACACTGTTTACATTGATATTCCAATGATCATGCAAGTTGTCCCTAAAGGTGGTTAGCTATTGGCTATCCGCGAGAATATATGGGCCTTGCCCAACGTACATAGCTTCAATGCCAAGTTCTGCATTGGGAGAGGATTGCATGATGCCCGCATTGTTTATCAGTACATCTAGTCCGTTTGGGAGTACTTTTTTCACTTCCTCGTCAAATTTTCTCACACTCTCTTCATCCGTTACTTGCACAGTCAGGACGAGTGCACGTCCATTAGAACGTTCCACAATGCTTTCCAAAGCCTCGCTTGATTTCCGGACAGCGGCAATTACGACATCAACTTCAGTCACGGGCTTTGAAGCGAGGAAGGAAACCATCAAAAGGCCTAAGCCCCGGTTAGCGCCGGTGATGAGGTATGAGGCCATTGTGTGCTTGTTCGATGAAATAGCTTTCTTTGCGGGAGGGACGCTCTTGGGGAAGTTTGCGCTTGGGAACGAATCCAAGTATTTATGGCTATATTGGTTGTTGGGGCTAGCGCTAAGAGTGGAGATTGATTTATAATATATTTGGGGAATTGATACTCCCACCACCCCCCTTTGCTGTTCCCACCACCCCTAACCGGAATTCCCAGGCATATGTATTTTCTGCTAGCAGATTCCGGCCGGTTTTGTTAGGTGTCTATTCAATTCACGAACTCTGGTTTACTTAGTAAGATAACTGGATTTTCAGCCCATTATATCTCCTCTCCCTACACAATTAAACCATCCATATGCATCTCTATTTATTTTCCTACTTAAGTAGTTGACTTTGACGTTGAGTTGAGGCTCAGTGTTGAAACATGTCTGAAACGACTATGAAACGGCACTGAAACGAGACTGAAATGAACCATCTGCTTTACCGGTGGCTCATGGTGGCTGAAAAGTCTATTGTCGCAAGTTTAATAACTCATTATCATACTATTGAATTGTATACTCTTAGTAGAACCATCGGAAATCATCGCTCGCCGGTCCCGCCTGTAGAATCTCGGTGGGGATATCTTTCGCTCTCAAATGAACACCCTGCATCCGATCACGCTTCTTATTATCCATAATCATCCAAAGTCCAAGACACAAGGTCAAGATGATTCCACTGCCGCCAAAGGCAGCAGTGGTAACCAAAGCCGGGATGTACTTTGGTGCATCCTGGCTGCGGAAAATATTGGAGCTCACAATACCCATCAAGTTGGCCATTGGGACAGCTATACTTGTTAAAACGACACGACGACTTTCACTGGCAATGTTGTTGTTATACCAGACGTCTAGCAGAACGGATGGTGCCGATGTGCCCCAGGTCATCATAAAGCAGGCGAAATAAGCGACGCTCAAATCTTTCTCAACGTCAATGGCAGCGTAGATGACCATGCCAATGAACGTAAATAGGAAGCCTAGGGCAATGAATGGGAACCGCCATCTTGTCCAATCACTGCAGAAAGCCAAGATAAGCAACACAACGGCACCGGAAACGTTAGGCGCCACGGTGTACAAGTTGGTTTTGACGGTGCTGTATCCAAGACGATTGATGATGACTGGCAAAAACAGCTGGACGCCCTGGAGAGGCACTCCTAAGCAAATCTCAATGGCGATGATCGCCCAGCTAGTTCCGTGCTTGAAGATTCGGAAGGCATCTCGAATGTTCAGCTTCTCATCAATCACAGCGGAACTGTCAATCTGAAGCCGGAGACATGCCAACTCTTTCTCTTCGGGCGACAGGAATTGCGCCTTGGCGGCTGACATAGGCAGGAACCACATGGCGAACCCAGCAAAGAGGATAGTTCCGCCACCCTCGATGAGGAAAAGGTATCGCCATGGCGCTAATGGACCAGAGTGAATCCGGAAGACGTCGAACGCCAACAGACCCGAGAATGCGGAGGCAATACTCTGCGCAGCATAGAAGATAGCGAGTCGGCGGGCCAGTTCACCTCGGCGGTAGAAGGTTGTCAAGTAGTAAATGACCAAAGGGAAGAAAGCACTTTCTGCCATGCCCAAGAACCACCGAATGGCAAAAAGACCACTGAAGTTGAACGTAGTAACAACCAGAATAGTGTACGCGCCAAACATGAGCATCATCCATGGAAGCACGCGATTAGGCCCGAACTTCTTGCCTAGAAGTCCGAGGAACGGTGCTGTGAGGACGTATGGGATGAAGAAGACACTGAGAATGAGGTTGTATTGGTTGCCGTGGAGGTGGAGGGTGTCTAAGGTACATCCAGGAATGTCAATAATGTCGCTGAGAGGCAGAAGAGTAGGTACATACCTTCAAGGCCCGCGGTCTTTGCATTTCCCAAGTTGGACTTATCCAAACTGTTGAACAGATACATAATCGCTAGCACGGGCAGCAAGCAAGCGAAAATCGAACTTCCGAACCAGCGCTCGCTCCGCGCGAGGGTCGATATCCACGCTCGCGCTGGTAGTCGCATGGTGCTTAGAAGGCAGATCCCGGGTTTCCGACATGATTGCAAAGACGGGGTTGACTTGGAAGAATTCAGGGGAATTCCATCCTACATATAGATACAAAGACCCAGGGTCTTTCAGTACATCGGAGCCGTTATCGAAGGCGATCCCGGAAACACGAGAGAATTTACCTAATTTAGGGTTCGTCGTCTTGAGATAAGCCGTCGCTTGGGGCCTCTCCGCCCGTCAAGTGATAAGTTTGTACCAATGGGAGCCTGACCGAGCCTAAACATTCCGATCTTGTCTGAGCGGGGTTTCTTCGGATTAATTCTGCTACCTATCATAGATTCACCGTGTACTCGACTAGCTACGAACTCTTCACCGGGGCTCATTGGCTGTTAAAGCGTATTTGTTTAAGTCGCTCGGCTCTTACACGATTAACCGAGCACATGACGACCAGTATCAGAGCTATCGATTGATCGTGAGAATTAAGAGTTGATGGATGTCGCACATCTAAACCAGATAATGTCTGGCAACTCTTGGCTTGGAGAAACTTGAAGCAACGGCCAATGTTTAGATAAAGTCCAGCTAGTCAATGTTGCAATTACTGAGACTAAAACCCCGCACATTTGCCCTGCATCACGCCCCGACAACCGATGGCGGTAAACAGCTGCGCGCAAAATGGAACATGAAGTCCTAGATACTCAAGGACCAACAAATTTGTGTCCATCGATCAGGCCAATTCTTAATTTACCATTCGCAATAATACCGAACCGCTTTCTGAGTAAAAGATAAGATAGTCAGTCTCCACTTTCAGCCAGATACCGTCAGCTGAGCTCGAGGTCCCCGCCGAGGGGAAAGCGCGGGTTCGCTATGTTAAACTTTTCGTGATATTACCTGAGCAGCAATAAGCACTCTATGGACATTACTCCGAGTGATATGGATCGGGTATGAATTTACAAGCCTCTTGTTAGTAAATTGTGTAAACAAGTGATATGGGGGTTCCTTATGGCTGCTTATAGGAATGTCGCGCCGACAAAAATGGGCGGCGGCAACACACTCTACTTCGGGCTACTCATGGCCGCGCTGTTACTAAATGGTGAAGACTCTGTTTTAGTAAAAATAGAGTAACACTGACCACATGATAGTTAACTCATGGGAGCAATTCGAAGACGTAGCCACTTCTGTTTCTGTATTGTTTTTGCTCTGCCAAGCAATAATTATCAAATAGTCTGAATACGCCGCTTCTCAGGCCCCACTATTTAACTCCCGAAGCGGCTTAGCGCCCGATGATCGGGGTTGTGGTACGAGTCACCGCTCGGTACTTTATCTTCTTGTCTCTCTCCCTCTTTTCCCAATTCTTGCCAATTGACTCATTCTTAAGCCGCCAAAATGAGCAACACCAAAGGCGTCGCCGAGAACATGCTCTGGGGAGGTCGCTTCACCCGTAAGTTCCCCCGCTACTCCCGCCAATGGCCACTCCTACCTCCGATAAGACACTGACTCACATAAAATCACAGAGGGCCTCGACCCCGTCATGGAGCAGTACAATGCCTCGCTTCCCTATGACCGCATTATGTGGAAGCAGGATATTGCCGGCTCGATCGCCTTCGCCCGCGCCAACACCAAGAATGGCATCCTGACGCCACAAGAGTTCGCCGAGATCGAGCGCGGCTTCAAGCAAATCGCCGAGGAATGGCGCACCGACTCCTTCGAGGCCAAGCCCAACGATGAGGACATCCACACCGCCAACGAGCGCCGTCTGAGCGAGATCATCGGCAAGGAGATCGGCGGAAAACTGCACACCGGCCGCTCGCGCAACGAGCAGGTCGCTACCGACATGCGCCTGTGGCTGCGCGACGAGCTGCGCCGTCTGGACGGCCTCCTCTGTGATCTGATCAAGGTCTCGATTGCTCGTGCCGAGCAGGAAATTGACTACATCATGCCCGGCTACACCCACCTCCAGAAGGCCCAGCCCGTCCGCTGGTCCCACTGGATGCTCTCGCACGCTACTGCTTTCGCTAGCGAGCTGCAGCGTCTGCGTGAAGTTATCCGCCGCGTCAACCGTAGCCCGCTCGGATGCGGTGCTCTCGCTGGTAACCCTTTCAAGATTGACCGCCACGCTATGGCCGAGGAGCTGGGCTTCGAGGATCTTTTGTACAACTCAATGAACACTGTCGGTGACCGTGACTTTGCTATGGAGACCATGCAGTGGGGTAGCTCGTTCATGCTTAAGATTTCCCGCTGGGCCGAGGACTTGATCATCTACAGCAGTGGAGAGTTCGGCTACGTGCGGTTGTCGGATGCATACTCGACCGGTTCGTCGTTGATGCCGCAGAAGAAGAACGCCGGTGAGTCTCTCCACTTCCCCTCCAATCCGTAGGCTCCATATTGACAAGTGAACAGACTCCCTAGAGCTCCTCCGCGGCAAGTCCGGCCGCACCTTCGGCCAAATGGCCGGTCTGATGTGCACCATCAAGGGCCTGCCTACCACCTACAACAAGGATCTGCAGGAGAGCATCGAGCCCCTGCTGGACCACATCAAGACCGTCAGCGATAGTATCCAGATCGCCACCGGTGTTCTGTCCACCCTGACCGCCATCCCCGAGAAGATGATCGCGGCCCTGACACCCGAGATGCTAGCCACCGAGATAGCCGACTACCTTGTCCGCAAGGGCGTTCCCTTCCGCGAGGGCCACCACATCTCCGGTCGTGTCGTCGCCCTGGCCGAGAACAACAAGGTGCCCATGGACACTCTCTCGCTAGAGCAGCTGAAGGGCGTTGACGCGCGCTTCGACGAGGACGTCCAGTCTTGCCTGGATTATGAGCGTGCCGTTGAGCTTAAGGATGCCATCGGTGGCACCAGCAAGCGCGCCGTGTTGGAGCAGACCGCCGTGCTGAAGAAGCTGCTGTAAATAGAAGTTGCAGAGTTTATATCTCTGCGGGTTATCTCACGAAGAAAATGCATCGCGGTAATTTCGGTTAGACAAAAACGATCAGGTTTCATCTCACACAACTCTCGTGTTGTTTCGCACAGCCAGTGTCCAAAAAAGGTTTATACAGGTCCATCACTGGAGAACAGAGGACAGAGCGCGCACAAACCTGCTACAGTAGTTTTCGAAATTAGTTAAACCTCTACACTCTTGCAACTTTATCCCCGGAAAATAAATCCGAAATACGCTAACCTGTTTTAGTTCACCGCTCTATAATTTTGGTATAATGAGAGAGCTTACGTGAATACCATACAATTTATATAAAGGGATATACATGTAAACGCGCAAACAGCTAAGGAATACAATGCTCTAACTTAACGGGGTTTCATGACGATAGAACCACTGTGCTTGAGAGGTGGAGCTGATTTCGATTCATCCTGTAAAAGGAGTGAGAAACGAAATGTCTTCACAACACATTCAGCGCATCTTAGTGTAGAAGGACTTACGTGATAGCCTAAAATTTCAGGCGGTTGGTGCTAATAGAATGCTGGCACAGGCCCCTTGACATGTCCCGAAAGCCGAATTGCAAGCAACGATGGAGGCAGGTGCGCTGGCACCCATAGTAGCTCCCCACGTGAAGCCTGCTGCCGAATAACAAGCCATGACAACCGCAGCACATCCTGCTTGGCACACCCCGTACGCGGCAGGTCCGGCGGATACAGCAGAGCTGAAGATTAAGAGATTATGGAATACCCGTGAGACTCTCATTTGTTTTTGTTTTGAAAAAACTAGTGATATCTGGGAATTCCACGTATTCAGCTTTGGAATAATTCTGGTGTGAATGCTTGGAATAGCACCTAATTCTGGAGATGCAGTTCAGGGAGAAAGAGATGTATTAAATATATATAGCATAGAATCAAGGGATAACGTATTAGACCTTGCTGCCTTAATGGCCATTTAATGACGCGTCGACTACTGGTGGCTGTCCTCTAGGCCTATCATAAAATTTACCGTACCGTTCTTTCCGAGAATAAGACAAATTGGTTACTCACAACGGATATGCATCACATGCAAGGAAGATCCAAGGCTCACATTCCGTCCTTGCTCGATGCGGACTGCTTGTCTACGAACGACGCGGCCACCCTACCCAACGACAAAGTATCCCCATAGCCCATTGCCACTCGACCATTTTTGCGCGGCCCTTGGCAGTAGGTGCAGGTAGTCTAGATGGAAGTTAGGCAGTATTCCTTGCTGCGTAGATACTGATTAATTTTGCTTGAACGTCAACTATTCAATCATTGAACGTAAATCGGGTTTGCTATAGTGTCTAAAACAGATGAGTTGAAAGAACGAGCATGAGTGAGAAAAGCTTCCACGGAGATTTGATATGGAACCTAAATAGGCCATCCCTGATACTATCGCTAGCGAAATGTCGCTTTATATTCAGATATGTGATGCTTTCCTGCTTCCTTGGTTCTCATTCCTAAATGACCACATGGTATCCGTAGTTAGTGGCGCATGAGACGAGATAGGAACGACATGCCTATGTATTCTCTCTCGAATCGGGGAGGAAGAATCCGTTGCAGATACTCAGGCCACTCAGGCATTGGATTCAGTTGCCGGAGTGCCTGAATATATTCCCAGTATTCTGGGTACCAACCAGCATATTCCCAGTCAAGGATAGCTGTGACACGGCCTTCGTCGACAAGGATATTCCGTGGAGAGAAATCAGAATGAGTAAAAACGATATCATGGTTATCCATCAGTGCATATTTGGCATAATGCCGCAGAAGATCTGGTGCTGACTTGACGATGTCTCCTAGGATAAACTCGTTGAACTGCTGTTTGGAATCAAATGGACCGCCTTCAATCGATGCAATCTGGCCAATTATAGCCTGGCCACGACTTTCCCATCTTCGCAATGAACATCATGTACTTTGGGTACAGGTATTGTCGTTTTTGCTCCAATAAACCGAAGAGTTTGTGCTTCGTGGGAACGAAGATCGCCCGACTTCACGACGAGATCGTTCTCATATCGAATAATCGTGCGACCGCCCAACGAATGAAGAGTCGTTCTTTTTTGGTTTTCAAGTTTCTCCATTTTAAACTGAATATCACCGTTCCCTTTGCTTAGCGGATAGATTGGATTGTGATGAGTTGAGTGAAGAAAAGTATGGTCCGGGAGAAGAGAAATTGGCTCGCTGAGTAAGGAAAAGAGGCGATGGCGGGCCGCATCCCGCTAATGTCAGGGCGCCAATTAAATGCCCGGTGAAGAAGATAGTAAGAAGCAAACATTGGCAGGGCATTCATCACAATTGACCCGGCAGAGAACAAGACATCTTTGTATCCGGGTCCTTCCAGACTGGTGAATAAGTATTCAGAGGGCGGCGCAATCATAGGACTGGTTTACTGTAGATGAGGGCCGGGAGCCCTAGAAGATCTGATCCAATCAGAGCTCACATAGGACGGATTTATTCCAAAGTTTATAGGTATAACAATTTGGAAAACTAGTAGAGGGTATCTCCGTGGGTTATATTAGGTTATATTACGAAGAAAATTCATCGCGGTAATTTCGGTTAGACACGGTGTGTCATCTCGTGTTTTTCGCACCGTCAGGGTCCAAAACAGTATGTTCCATGTCCATCACTGGAGAACAGAGGACAGAGCACGTCTAAACCCGGTAGCAATCAACCTATTTGCTCCGCCATCGCGTGGACTGGAAATGTGATCTTGGCGGGTATCGCGCCGCCGCGGTGATTGGCCGCGGTAAATCCCGCAGGAGTAAGCCGCCACAGCCTCCCGCAACCGTGTGCGGCATTTTTATTAACCACGAGAACGTGTGTCTTTTTAAAGACGCGCATTTATGTCTCTCGCCATTTTTCAATATTTCAATATTTCAACATAATCCTGGTTAGCCCGACGCCATGTGGAAGCCACCGATAGACTTCCTATCCTTGCATTGTACGTGATCCTCCCGTTGGAAGTCTCTCGGTTATACTAACGAGCGCCACAGATGCATGGATTATTACTCTGGGCATTTTGAGCTTGGTGATTATCTATCCGTACGGTAATCTGCGAGCCATCGACGCCTACTTTTTCGGCGCGAGTGCATCGACCGAGTCGGGATTAAATACGTCGGTTTTTGACCTTCCCTTCGGTTATCCGTGGATGGATACTGACAGAAAACTTAAAAATGCAGGGTCGATGTCAAGGCCTTGAAGACCTATCAGCAGGTCTACATCTACCTCATTCCGATCCTTGGGAATCTGGGGTTCATTAACATCTTCGTGGTTGTGATTCGACTGCGTTGGTTCGAGAAACGCTTGAAAGCAGTTGGTGCGATGCTTCACTTCCTCCATGGACTGTTCTTAAGGGTCTTATGTGCTGACATTTCCCGCTAATTACTAGCTCCACACCTTTTGAGACCCCAGCCGTCTACAGCTCGTGATGTGGAGGTTCAGCTTCAAGTGCCCAGTGACCGGAAAGATGTTGCAGATCTACCAAAGACACCGGCCACGCAGAAGAATAATGAGGTTGCAGTCGACGAGGTTACGGAAAACTCTCCGAGGTTGGTGTCAATTTACGTTCCACCGGCACTATGTGCAGAAACTGATCTGTATAGCGGTTCCTCCGACATGACGATAGCCTCAGGAGCCATTTCAAAAAGCCCCATCCCCGACCTCGCCCCATTCCGCCAGACTATTCAGTTTGCCGAGGACCAGGGACCGTCGACAAACGAGAAAGCTCTTTATATTCCCCCGCCATGGAGGCGGGATAGAGGTGCGCCGGGTACACTGGCCTTTGTTAACTTCAAAACCTGACCGTTGTTTCCAGGTGATGATTTTGTCGGCATCGACGAGGACTCCATTGATGATTGTAGGCTATTTATTTCTCTGCCCACATCGAGCAAAGTGATCCTCATATGCTAACGTGCTGTCAATTACAGCGAAATCTGTCGTGTCCACCAACACCGACCAAGGACGCATGGAGGGGCTCCGTCGTCGCCAAACCGCAACGAGTATCTATTCCGTCACTACACGACCCCTCGAGCAAGCTGCCTCCATGATGTTCAGAGTCGGCGGATCAGCGGCTCTGAGTCGCACGTCAAGCTCACCGGCGAATAAACGAGAGTTCAAGAATCTCGCTCTTCCCAATATCTCATCCCAGGCGACGCAGAGTCGAAACTCCCAGTTCCACAACTTGACAGAAGAGGATCGGCAAAATCTAGGTGGCATCGAATACCGCAGCTTGAAGCTGCTACTGAAAATCGTGATCGGCTATTTCGTCGGCCTTCATCTTTTCGGCGCCATCTGCCTGGTTGGATGGATCCTTCACTCCGACCCGAGATACCGTGAGTATCTTGCCGAGTGCGGCCAGGGCGACGTGTGGTGGTAAGTCAACCATCTACCCCATCATTCCGACTCCTATACTAATCTTTCTTTAATAGGGGCTTCTACTCCGCCCAAACAATGATCTCCAATCTCGGCTTCACTCTAACCCCGGACTCGATGGTCCACTTCCAAGACGCAACATTCCCTCTAATCGTTATGAGCTTCCTCGCATTCGCCGGAAACACCTGCTACCCGGTTCTCCTCCGCCTAATAATCTGGATCATGTACAAACTCACCCCGGTAACCTCCTCAACAAAAGAAACCCTCAGTTTCCTCCTCGACCACCCCCGCCGCTGCTTTACACTCCTCTTCCCCAGCCGTCCAACCTGGATCCTATTCGCCATCCTATTCGCCATGAACGCCACCGACGTGATCTTCATCATCGTCCTAGACCTCAAAAACCCGGCTGTTAATAACCTCCCCGGTGGCCCGCGCTTGCTGGCTGCTATTTTCCAAGCCGCCTCGGCGCGGCATACGGGCACGGCGGTATTCAATCTGGCGGACGTTAATCCGGCGGTGCAGTTTAGCTTGGTTGTCATGATGTACATTGCTATCTTCCCGATTGCGATCAGTGTGAGGGCGAGCAATGTCTATGAGGAGAGGACGCTCGGTGTCTATAGTTCGGAGGCTACTGCTGATGAAAAGGACGGGAGGTCCTACATCATCACGCATATTCAGAACCAGCTGAGTTTTGATCTGTGGTACATCTTCCTCGGCAGCTTTTGTATTTGCATTGCGGAGTCGGGAAAGATTGCGGATACGAATGATCCGGTATGTTCTCGCCTTTGCTTGTTTGTTTTTGAAGCGTTGTTAATAGCTTCCAGGCATTCTCGGTCTTCTCGATCTTATTTGAAGTGGTTTCGGCATAGTAAGTACTCTTGATATGAATACGTTCAGGGGCTGGGCTAATTCTTTTACAGTGCCAATGTCGGCCTCAGTCTTGGCTATCCCACCGTCAATACCTCCCTGTCTGGAAAGTTCAATACCTTTAGCAAACTCGTCATTTGTTTCATGATGATTCGGGGCCGGCATCGTGGATTGCCGTATAGTATTGATCGTGCGATTGTTCTCCCCGGCGAGAACTTTATCGATCACGGAGACGACGGTGTGCCACAGAGAAGGGCTTTGTCGCAATAACACATGTGCAGGCCATTGACTGCTTCTCGAGTCAAGGTCATGTTTCTTTTTAATGTACATATATTTTAAGCTGCAGGGATATTGAACAGTTAGAATTTCTCCCGCGGTATACACTATTTTTTATCATTATGAACCGTGTATTTCTTCATCATCAGACCCCAGGGGTGCAGTGAAAACCACCTCGCCCAATTAAACCAAACAAAGAGGTCATGGATGTAACGAAGTCTGCTTTGGCTTCAAAGTGAATGTGCTAGGGCAGATCATGACCTGGGCCAAATTGCAATACAGACAATTATCACATTATCCTTCCGCAAAATACATTGACAAAGACGGAAAAGATCGATTCTTTCTATACAAGCCAACCGTAGGGCTCGGAAAACAAGTCATTAATATTCATTAGAGAATCTGTTTCGATTCATCCTTACAAGAACAGCGAAGGCGGCATCGGCCACCTCTCACGCGGTCAAATCCACCTAGAGGCCATACACTCACAGCCCAATCTTACCCCCTGAAATCGTCATCTTTGAACAAGAACCCACCAGACTCATCTTTCCGTCATCCCAACACCAACCCGATCATAGTTCATAAAACTCATCACATGCTCCGAGTCTGACTGCTGTCCCTTCTCTTCAGGCTCAGACGCCAGTACAACAGGCACGGAGTACCGGTCCAGATTCGCGCCCAGGACTACCCCGTCCGGGGTGATGACTCTGCGTGCTGTTTCGCGGGATGTGAGTTCTGGGGTTTTGCCGCTGTCTGGAGACCGGGGACTGCTTGTATCTGACGAGGAAATGGGGTCCAAGGATCGGGAGCCGGGTTTGTGGTGGAGGCAGGATTGTAAACGCGGGTTAGGATGACCTCTTTGGTTGTGAGGTACGTTGATCAGTTCGCTCTGTGAGTGGGAGGCTAGTTCGGCGCGTTGACGGTAGAATCCTGTGTCTGGGAGTTCGGGGAAGCTGGTTTCTTTTGGAATGGCGAGGAACTCGGGTGGGATTCGAGAAGCTGGGGGCGTTTGAGGCATGAGCCCTGGGGAGAGGGAACTGATTCCGGAGGTTAAAGTCGAGCCTTGGGATGGACTGGCCGAGAGGTCTTGCGTGCCCGGACTGAGTGAACTGACACCAGAGGTGGTGGTGTCTGCGCGGGATCCTGTGGTGGACGGGGTTGGGAATGGTGGGCATGGGAGAGAGCCTGAGAAGTCAGTGTTATAGTTCTCGAGGACTGTAGCTCGATTACATGCTTACCGATTAAGCTTCGTGTGGTGGTCCGCGGTGATAGAAGGGTTGTCTTCGCTCGGGAAGACACCTCTTGGTCATGAAAAGCTTGGGAGGACACTGATCGGTGAAAGGTGACGCCAACCATTGCTCGTCGCTTGCGCCGCCAACAGAGCCATAGGAGCAGAACACAGACCACCAAGCCTGCAACAGCTCCCACGATCCCACCGATCATGGCTCCTGTGTTTGTGGACTGAGTAACTCCACTTCTTGGATCGCTTGTGGGCGTGGTCGTGGCTGAGACAGAGGATATCCTAGTCGGACTGCTCAGACGGACTCCAGATGTTACCGTGGATGTCGCCGAAGTAGTCTGCGCTGTCTCAGTAGTGCTGGATGCAGCAGATGTGCTCGAGTCTGAGGATCTTGAAGTCGACGTGGACTTGGATGTAATCTGGGAAGATGAGGTCGATTCATCGTCTGGACAAATGCCCGTCGTGCATGGGTCACTCGAGCAGCATCCACGAAAGTTGCCAGCGGCACAGACGTACCACTGCTTGTTCCCGGTGCATGCAGTGGAGTCCCGAGGCGCAAGGAACTCCATCGAGAAGACAATCGCCGGGAAAACTAGTATAGGCTTGAACAGCAGCGAAGAGTAGGACTAGAGTATGTCAAAATTTCTTCACCCGCTCAACAACGAGGAGATCATAGATGTGGAAGACGACGAACAAGAGAGCAGAGACTCGACCACGGCCTCGACAGATTTCGCAGGTGTTGCCTCCCGTGTCGCCTTCGAGTTGAAAGAAGTCAAGTTCTTTGTCCAAAACGGTGGTGATATCTCCAAGTATAGAATGATGAACGGACGGAGTTGTGCCGTTGCGTAGAGGTGGATGTCTTTGTGCTCTTGTGGCATACAAGATATACCTGCCTGATCTAGTTATCATGTACGTCGATCGATGTACATCTGCACTCCGATCTGGACAGACGAACCGGAATCGTAATGAGAGTTGGCTGCGGAAGAGTTCTTTGTTCAAATCCCATATCCAAAAATGGCATCCAAGAACGAGGATGGAACACTACGAAGGATCCGGTCAAAGAAAAAAGTTAGAAAAAAGGAAAATCCAGTGATATGAAACAACTGAGGGAATAGCACTCAGTACACCAACTCTTCGCCTGATAAAGGAAAAATATGGCTATACAGGATGTAAGTAAAACAAGTCAAATAGAAAGCAGGTCTTTTCATGGACTCCTCCAACGCGTCCCATCATCCAAGCTTAGTAGGTACGCTTGAACGGCGGCACAGCCTTGCACTCATTCTCATCCAGAGTGTTGGCCTCAACGGCACGGTAGTTGAGGTCGACCTTGCCGTGGGCCTCCTTCTGCCAGGTGAGAGTGTGCTTCATCCACTCCTTGTCGTCACGCTCGGGGAAGTCCTCACGAGCGTGAGCACCACGGGACTCCTTGCGGTTGGCGGCGGCGACGGCGGTTTGGGTACTGTGCAATAATTATTAGCTTTTTGGTTCATCTCAGGCGGGTAACAGGGATACATACGCGCAAGTCAACAGGTTGCGGAGCTCAAGAGTCTCAACGAGATCGGAGTTCCAGATCATGCTGCGGTCCTTGGTGCCGACCTGGTCGTACCAGGTATCAACCTCAGCGACCTTCTTAACACCCTCGTCCAAGCTCTCCTGGGTACGGAACACGGAGACATCCGTCTGCATGGCCTTCTGCATGGCGTTGCGGATCTCAAAGGTGGACTTGGGGCCATCGGCCTTGCGGGCGAAGTCGAGGTCCTTGATGGACTGGGCACCGGCATCGGCGGCCAGCTCCTTGTGGGGCTTGCCAGGGGTGGCAATGTCACGGACACGGTGAGAGACGGCACGACCGAAGACAATCAAATCGAGCAGGGAGTTGGCACCCAGACGGTTGGCACCGTGGACAGACACACAGGCAGCCTCACCGCAGGCGTACAGACCGGGGACGACCTTGTCGTTGCCGTTCTCGTCAACGTCGAGGACCTCACCGGTGTACTTGGTGGGGATACCACCCATGTTGTAGTGGACGGTGGGCAGAACGGGGATGGGCTGCTTGGTAACGTCGACACCGGCGAAAATGGAGGCGGTCTCGGAGATACCGGGGAGACGCTCGTGGAGCAGATCAGGAGGCAAGTGGCTCAGCTGGAGGTAGATGTGGTCCTTGTCGGGACCGACACCGCGGCCCTCACGGATCTCAAGGGTCATGGAACGAGACACGACGTCACGCGAGGCCAGATCCTTGGCGGTAGGAGCGTAACGCTCCATGAAACGCTCACCCTCGGAGTTGAGCAGGTAACCACCCTCACCACGAGAACCCTCGGTGATCAGGCAGCCGGCACCGTAGATACCAGTAGGGTGGAACTGGACGAACTCCAGATCCTGGTTGGGGAGACCGGCACGGGCAACCATGGCCATACCGTCACCAGTGCAAGTGTGGGCGGAGGTACAGCTGAAGTAGGCACGACCGTAACCACCGGTGGCCAGAACGGTGTGGTGGGCCTTGAAGCGGTGCAGGGTACCGTCCTCCTGGTTGTAGGCGATGATACCGCGGCACTCACCGTCCTCCATCAGGAGATCAAGGGCGAAGTACTCGATGAAGTAGTTGGTGTTGTGGCGGAGGGACTGGCCGTACAGGGTGTGAAGCAGGGCGTGGCCGGTACGATCGGCAGCAGCACAGCAACGGTAGGCCTGGCCACCCTTGCCGAATTCCCTGGACTGACCACCGAAGGCACGCTGGTAGATGCGGCCATCCTCGGTACGGGAGAAGGGGCAGCCGTAGCCCTCGAGCTCGCGGACGGATGCGGGAGCTTCGCGGGTCATGTAGTGGATCGCATCCTGGTCACCAAGCCAATCTGAACCCTTCACGGTATCGTACATGTGCCATCTCCAGTCATCCTCGTGCATGCTATGGTTCTCAGTCAGTCTCGGCTCGGCACGTGCCCAGAAATCCAATTGGAGGCAACCTACTTTCCAAGGGCAGCGTTGATACCACCCTGGGCGGCGACGGTGTGGGATCGGGTAGGGAAAAGCTTGGAAACACAAGCAGTGTTGAAACCAGCCTCAGCCAGACCGAAGGCAGCACGCAGGCCGGCACCACCGGCACCGACAACGACGGCATCGTACTCGTGGTCCTGCAACAGTCAGAACTCCATCACTTGTATTCAATCCATGCGGCTGTATCGGCTTACAATCACGGGGTACTTGTCATAGATGTAGCCATTGGACTCCTTGGCGCGCAGTGGTCCGTTGGACCAGATCTTGGCTGATAGCAATTCGTTAGTGACGAGTGGGACGAAAGGGTTCAGCGGAATGCGTACCGGCGGGCCGGGAAGAGGAGAAAAGACGTCGCTGGTCCCTCAAGATGCGGGAAACCTATTCACAGCCGAGTCAGTGGTCTATCGCGAAGCCGGGCCGAAAATTGTCGAAGTTCGGCTACTCACCTTGGAGGCAGGAGCAAGGCTCCGCAAGCTCAGAGAGCTCATGATGACGGGTCAAAAGAGATATCGTCTCTAACCCGAAACAAGAGAGAACACCGGAGTCGGTGGAAGTCGATTGAAGAGGGGAGAGGTGGAATGGGGGAACTCCTGCCACGACAACTACTCCAGGACTAACCCGAGAAGTTCAGTTCTGGTCCGCGCTGACTAACACTGTCGATTGGGCTGGGAATTCTAGGGTTGTCAACCAATCAGAGGGGAGTCATTAGTGTTGTGTGACTCCACAGAAAAGCAGACCTCGGGCTTCTGGCTCGCACGTGACCGTTGTCAACCCGTAGCCGGTCTCCTTCGGCATTCTTGCACGGACATTCGGAAGAAGACGGGTCGGCCGTGATGTCGTGTAGACTCCGATCCTGTGCTCCATGTTTTGTCTCTCTACTAAATAGGGAATCGGCGCTATATAGCTCTTTTATTCTTCCTTTCACTCGCACACAGCCAAATGAGGTCATTTATGTTTGTTTCGACTCCTTGTAAGGGATGGATATATTTTGAGTCGCCGCAAATACGGTTCTAGAATGAACTTTTGTAGAAACCATTATCTACTCAAGTTCTGATTCCAATGTTGTCTACAACTCGTTTCCAAACTCATTTTCAAGGTCCTCTTAGCTTGATGAGGGCGCCGATTGGATCTCCACTCCCAGAAGAGGCTTCTCGTTTGACCACCTGGTAAGCCATTACCCAGTCGACGGTCAGGCCATTGTTTCCTACAACGATTGTAGTATAAAATGCCGAAGAAGAGGCCAAAAACCATGTTGCTCGCCGCGAAGGGACAAGGAGCTAAGAATGTGATGAAGGTATAGTCTGAACGAAAAAGAGAGAAACGTTCTAAGGTTGGAAGCGACCACGGGACGTATTTTGGTAGTCTTTTAACTGGAGATTGAGATTTGGTACAAACTTGAAGTTCAAATCTTGTTGACGTCCGTTGTTCTATTGCCCAGCTACGCAGGAAGCTAGATATCAACATAAGGTAGGTTGAAAGGCGTATCACATGCCGCTATATCCTAACCAGAAAGAACATCAAAAGGAGATCTAGAAAGGCATAAGTTTCTAGTCCTGTTACAGGTAATTGTACCTACCTGATAGCTTTGTGAAGCCTAAGGGAGCATTAGCATCTACCATGGAGAACTACTGGAAACCTTGCAAGATGCACTTGTAGATTATAAATTGGTTCACAAGTCGAGGGAAGACCTCAAGATGACAAAACTAGAATGGTCGTACAGCTTTCCACCACGCTCATGCAAGAAACCAGCCCAGATATCTAGTTGTACTGCATGTATGTCGCCGTGGAGTTGAACTTGAGGTTGCCCTTGATGACCTTCTCCACCGACGCCAGGAAGTCCTTCTCGGTGGCCACCTTTCTCCGAGCACGGATCGCAAACATGCCTGCCTCAGTTGCAACACTGCGCAGCTCGGCACCGGTTGCGTTGGGGCACAGTCGGGAAATCAGCTCCCATCGGATGTCCCGCTCGACAGACATGCTCTTGGCGTGGATGCGCAGAATGTTGGCTCGACCTTCGACATCGGGTAGCGAGAACTCGATCTTACGATCGATACGACCGGGACGCATCAGCGCAGGGTCGAGTGTGGAAGGTCGGTTAGTGGCGAACATGACCTTGATGTTACCACGGGAGTCGAAACCGTCCAGCTGAGTGATCAGCTCCAGCATGGTTCGCTGCACTTCGTTGTCACCACCGGCACCGTCGTCGAAACGGGCACCACCGACGGCATCGATTTCGTCAAAGAAGATGATGCAGGCTTTCTTCGTGCGAGCCATCTCGAACAGCTCACGGACCATTCGGGCACCCTCACCGACGTACTTCTGGACCAACTCACTACCGATCACACGGATGAAGGTTGCGTCGGTTCGGTTGGCAACGGCACGAGCGCAGAGAGTCTTACCAGTACCGGGAGGACCGTAGAGCAGGGCGCCCTTGGGTGGGTCGATACCGAGGTTGACGAATCGCTCTGGTGATAGCAAAGGCATTTCGACGACTTCTCGTAGCTTCTCAATCTGTTCCTTGCAACCACCCACGTCGCCGTAGGTCACATCGGGCTTATCTTCGACAGTCATCATCGTCACGCTGGGGTCGATCTTGGGCGGGAGCGGCAACATAATCTGGTACTTATTCCGGTCGACACTGTAACGCCGTATCAGCAAAGGGCATCTCAAACACACCAAAGTCTCGAACCTACCCCACTCGCATGCCTTCCTCAATATCTGTCGGACTCACGCGCTCTCCCAAGTTGACGACAAACTTGGCGATCTGTTTCACGTTGATGACATATTTGCTCTTATCCGAGTCCTTCTCATCCTGAATAATCTTCGTGCAGCGAGCCACTTGCAGCGGCTGCTCTTCCGCCATCCGTTGTCGGTCGGCGGCGACATCCCAAAGGTGTGGAGGTGCGAGACCAGTGTCGGATTCCTAGGCGCGTGAGCTCCGGTGGCCACAGGGGTCCAGATAGCTGGGTAGATAATTACCTTTACGCCTATCTTCTCATTGACGCTGTTTTGCTTGTCCTTGATATCCTTCTCGAGCTTCTTGAGGGCGGTCGCGTAGGGGGCGGCGCCGTAGGTCTTGAGTACAGCGATATCACTGCGGCCGGGCGTCAGCCATCGGTCGCCAGAGCTCGGCTTCGGGGGTCATATTCCCGTGGAAACTTACTCATCTGAGAGAGGGGTGATCTTCTTCTCGGGCTCCTCGTCGTCCGCAAAGTTCTTCTGGTACTTCTCCCAGTTAGATCCCGTGGCGCTAGGCATGCTGTAGGTGTTGACAGCCTAGGGCTGATGAGCTAGGATTGGGGCAAAGACAGAAAGAATTGAAAGTAACAGGTTGAGAAAGAGAATGATTGAGCACTGTTGATTCTTCAAGGGTTTGAAGAAAGGCGGACAGTAGGGTATAACGCGAGGTGATGGATGGTGATGTAGCAGAGCTGCGGTGGCCGAGCTCAACCACTAATCAGCGCCAAGCTTCATCACCGCCCCAGAACTTCGCAGAATTTCCGTGTGTGTTCCTCCACCTCCGCCAACTCGACTTTCCCCTATCTTTTTTTATTTCGGTTGCTTTTGAATTCAGATATTCAAGATGGCGACCGCTGTGTCTCAGGGGGCCGGTAGCAATGCCGCGTTCAAGGTGCGCTTCGCCAAAAAGCTCTGTGTGTGGGCCGGTTGCTAAACAGTGTGCAGGACAAGGAGAAGCCTATGGCCGTGCGGTCATCTAATATTCTCGCCGCTCGAGGTATGTGAAGCATTCATGGTCCCGTGCGAGCTTCCTGCTAACCATTTATAGCTGTCGCCGATGCCATCCGGACAGTACGATCACCCAAAACATTTGTATCTACGGAGATGAGGGGCTAACACGGAGACAGTCTTTGGGACCCAGGGGCATGGACAAGATGGTGTGTATACTCCCCCATTGCTGGTGTTGGGCAGATTCTAATGCTCCTCTAGATCCAAACCCCAAAGGGACAGACCATTATCGTACGCTATCCCCTTCTCTCGTCCGTCGACGGCTCCAACTAACCCCCGCAGACCAACGATGGAAACACCATGCTGAAGGATATGAGCGTTATGCACCCGGCTGCCCGCATGCTGGTCGACCTCAGTGCTGCACAGGATGTCGAGGCCGGTGATGGTACAACTTCGGTCGTTGTGATTGCTGGCAGTCTGCTCGGCGCCGCTGAGCGCCTGCTGTCCAAGGGAATTCACCCCACCGTCATTTCCGAATCCTTCCAGCGCGCTGCCAACGCCGCCGTAGAGATCCTCCACAACATGTCCCGCCCCATCAACCTGACCGACCGCGCTACCCTCCTGCAGGCCGCCTCTACCTCCCTCTCGTCCAAGATCGTCGCCCAGCACTCCGGCCTGCTGGGTCCGATGGCTGTCGACTCCGTGTTGAAGGTTGTGGACCCCAAGACTGCGGAGAACGTGGACCTGCGCAACATCCGGATTGTGAAGAAGGTTGGCGGCACAATTGAGGACAGTGAGATGGTTGATGGCTTGGTCTTGAACCAGCCCGTCATCAAGAGCAGCGGTGGCCCCACAAGAATTGAGAAGGCCCGGATAGGTCTCATTCAGTTCCAGCTGAGCCCGCCTAAGCCTGACGTATGTTTTATGGCCCCAGTGATTGGAGACCGGAACTGACCCATATTAGATGGAGAACCAAATCGTGGTCAACGACTACCGCCAGATGGACAAGATCCTGAAGGAGGAGCGCCAGTACCTGCTCAACATGGTCAAGAAGATCCAGAAGACCAAGTGTAACGTGCTTTTGATCCAGAAGTCTATCCTCCGTGACGCCGTCAACGAACTCTCTCTCCACTTCCTTTCCCGACTGAAGATTCTGGCCATCAAGGATATCGAGCGTGACGAGGTTGAGTTCCTGTGCAAGAGTCTCGGTTGCAAGCCCGTCGCCAACGTCGACTCTTTCACCGAGGACAAACTGGGTACCGCCGATCTCGTTGAAGAGGTTCAGGCCTCTGGCGCTCGTTACGTGAAGGTCACCGGCATCAAGCAGCCGGCTCAGCCTACCAACCAGACAGTCTCGATTGTTGCCCGTGGTGCCAACAGCCTGATTCTGGACGAGGCCGAGCGATCGCTGCACGATGCTCTTTGCGTCATCCGCTGTCTCGTGAAGAAGCGCGCCATGATTGCCGGTGGTGGTGCCCCCGAAGTCGAGGTCGCCCACAACCTGGCCATGCGTGCTCGTGAACTCACGGGTACCGAGTCCATCTGCTGGAAGGCGTTTGCCGATGCCATGGAGGTTATCCCCACCACTCTGGCCGAGAACGCCGGTCTCAATTCGATCAAGGTTGTTACCGACCTGCGCCACCGCCATGCGCAGGGTCAGCACAACGCAGGTGTCAGCATCCGTAGCGGTGGTGTGAAGGATGACATTACCGAGGAGAACATCCTGCAGCCTCTGCTGGTGAGCACCAGCGCCATTGAGCTGGCTGCGGAGACTGTGAAGATGATCATGCGAATTGATGACATTGCTCTGTCGCGGTAAATCAGTCTAGATACCGCTTGGGCTGTATGATGAAACGCGGTTTGATCGCGATGAGTAATTACCAAAAAAACCGGCTTTCACATAGAAACTTTGAGACTTGTATAAACCCTTGCTCTATTAAACTCCTTGACTCGTAATATCTATGGGATTCCTTCTATGGATAGTGTACATATCCCTCATCAAGCAACTCCATCCTATCATCCCCCTTCTTCCTGTCCTGGAGAAGTTTCCCGATCTCACCGGGGTAAACCACAATAAACACGAACATGGCAATAACCATAAGACACGCATCGAAGATATAAGACCAGTATTCATGCTGCAGCAACGGCCCACTACTCCCCAAGTCATATTCGATGAATCGAAAGATCGAACGCACAAATACGACCGCGCTGGTAATGTACAGCGCAATTTGGTGTTTCTTCCAGGGAACTTGTGCCGCATATGCAGATCCGTTTCTCGACAACCGAATGTGGAAGCTGACGCTGGTGACAAGGAATAGAGATAGGAAGATAATCTGAACGATTAGGCCGATCTTGATGATCTTTTCGCCATTTGCTGCTGTGCTAGCTTGGACGAGCATCCCGGCGCCTGTATTCATGGATCGTCAATAAGTTTGTGTCGCTATTCCAGATTACCTCGGAAACCTTGGAAAGAGGGATAAGACGTACCGCCAGCTTGGGCGAGGAAGGATATTATATCGCCGACAACAAATATCTTGGTGAGCCATGCTCGCCGGATAAGGGAGTATTTTTCTCCATCGGTGACTATCATGATCCGACCGAGTGTCATGTAAATGGTCGCTGCAAGGAGTGAAGGTGCTACCATGATGAAGACTGCTTGTACCGCGAGAGGGCCGATGGTATAGTTGGGGTATTGGTTTGAGGAAATGGCGCGCTGAATGTGTCAGTGAACGTAGATTGGAGCGCAACTAAGGGGCAAGCGTACTGCGGCATATCCTACGATCTCAACTACGCATCATCAGCGTCAATTGTATCGTGGGAGTGAAGTTGGAGTTGACTTACAGATGCCTCCGAATATGAATGGGATAAAGAACCATGTCCGATTGCGGACCATCTGCCATGTATGTGCTATGCTTGCAATGCCAAAAATAATGGCAACAATCACTGCAGCAGGTATCGAGGGTATATAGTTATACTCTCCCATATACTTGACTTTCACCATGATGTTGGTGTGTTAAGGTAACAGTTATTAATGGAGGTATGGTGAGATTCAGGAACAGCGTTGGGTTTGTATATAAAGAAGCCCCTTGCTCAGCCTCAAAACCAACGGCAACTGAAATAGGTAGATCTAGTGATTTCAGGCACCCGCTTAATCCTGACAGAATGCGGTATGCAGCTCGCGAGAGAATAAGATCGTGTGGGCTGCTTACGAGGCGCAGCCAGTTGTGGATGTGATGGGACCCACTACGTATTTCGTTAAAGGGTCGGAATTCGGACTTTGTGTATTGCGTATTCCGCTATATACCATCAGGACACAATATGCTATTCGACCTACGGCATTTTCACTATAAGAGTGCAGCCACGCCGTTACCACACCAAGCCCCGAAAGGATTGTGTCAGATGTAAACAGCGACATGTCAAGTTTAGCCTGGCCCCAATTCCTGTATGCACTGGGCAATTTAAGGAATAAATAGGGAGTATCATGGAGATATCCACATAGTCTACTACTGGGGAAAAAGCAAAAACAGAATGAAAATGGGTCTATGCAAAATAGTCCACGATTATAAAAGTTTTAACCGCTTAGCCATTGTCTGATCAACATCCTCAAAAGCCCTCTTTGATGCTGATAATTCTAACCCAGTAACCTGATAGGCAGATAAATCAGTTGTCCCCGCGTGACTGTCGATGTTCCTTTCCGTAGCAGGAGCAATGAAGCCTCGCGTTGTCTGTATTCTCATGAAGCGCGCATCTCGACTGCTGATAACAGGTTCCGGATCAAGTGTACCATGCTTCAAATCGTACCCTGTCTGGATTTTGCGGTTCATATGAATCTGAACCTTTGTGCTCCCGTCCATAGGAAGTTGGATGATTGAATCGTATCCCTCAAATGTATCCATATCGGGAAGTTCCATGACATTCAGGCTTTGGGAACTTGATTCTTCTTGGGATCCGTGTCTTTTGAAGTCTATCTGTAGACTGGGTCCGGATACGGGTTGCATCGTGGATCCGTTCGTTCCCAAGAGGAAATGACGGTGATTTATGACTTGTCCGGGACGAAGATTGAATGTGGATATGTCTATGCATCCGATACGGCTCAGAGATGTGTCGGATGTACCTGGGATGGAGAAAGAAGAAGGCGGTTGCGATGAGAGAAGATGATCGGGAATAGGAATGACATGACTCTGTCCGCGACTATCGAAAGACGCTTTCATGGGAAGCAGGATATATTTCCCGCAGTGCGAGAGAAAAATATCCTTCGGCTTGTCAAATCCACCATTTTTGGCTATTGTGGTTACATGGCTCGAACTCCCTGCTAGGGGACATGGTTAAAGATGTGGGTCTTTCGGATACGTTGAGAAACGTACCTTTGCGAAACTCCCAAGCACCAAGTGTATCGTAGTCATAGGTAATCAGTAGATCGTCAATGGGATGAAAGATCGATAAAAACATATGCTCATGACGAAAGGGCATGCGAATATCCAATGCCGAGACAACTTGCATCTTGCCAGAGACCAAAGTGCGAAAAATAACAAGGTATTGTTTCTCACTGTGATAAACGAAATGGCTGAAGAGAATGTACTCCTCAGAGGGACTGAAAGTGAATCTGTAAGAGTACCAATCGTGATGCAATTGCCGTAAAGATGGTGGGAGAGTAAGAACGGTTTCATTCTGCGGCTTGAACGGCTCAAGATCCGCATCCCAATACTGGCGACCTGATTCCAACACGTTCATATCGATCTTCGTTGATCTGCATGATGTTGCATCCACGGTAAACACTGTTCGGAGAATGATGAATGAGGCCAGGGACGGGCTGATGGCGAGTGGGAAGGACGTTTTCCATTCATCGGTAAATTCCTCGCGGAAAGACTGACGCAGCAGTAGAGAAATCTCGGCTTCTTCCAAGACTATTTGGATTCTGTGTTTCCTCTTGCTTTTGGTCCAGATCTCGTAGATCGCAGTCCAGCCTGAACATAGGTGCAGCATTGAAGACAATGGATCTCCAGATTCTAGCTTTCCCCAACGCTCCTCGAATGCAATGGAAGGCCAGATACCGAGGACTCCGGTCTGTGTGCAATCAGACGAGGTTGAAGAGATTGTACAAAGAGACCGGGAGGCTGCAGGGATATTATTATCTGGCTGTTTGAAGTTGAGAGAAGACACCGTCGTTCCACGACTGGGTTGGAGAAATGGCGACTGCAAGAATGCAGAGACCTCATCCCAAATGAGAGTTGGGTCAAGTTTCAATTTGGTATCCCAGTGGAGAATGAGACTCTGCATGTCCGCAATGAAGGCCTTCAAACAACTCACCAGAGACTTGAGCTTCTCTGTAAATGGGAAATTAATCAGGGTCAAGTCCGCCCATTCTATCCAAGTCGTGATGCTATCCAATCCGAGTGGGGAGTGAATGTTGTCCGACATGAACTTGCTATAACGATAGATTCTCTCAATCCAGGTTGAAACTGCAGCCGGAGATTGTAGAAAGTCGCGGCAAGCTTGGGTCATCGCTTGGGCATTCCTCTGCCATTCTAGGTTGGTGGAAAAGAATGGTGTTGAGAGGTAGCCTCTTGTCTCGCTCAAATGTACCATGGCGAACCCGACAGCGTAGCCCGTGAATGAACTCGAAAGCCCAACTTCAAGCCCCGGATTTTGCATCAACTCGCAAAAGCATTTCCTTGTAAGGTACAAATTTGCAATCTCTTTGGGCGGAATCAAACAATGAAGCAGGGTTGAGCTCGAAGAATAACCCCCTACTTGATGGAAGTATTCCCGAGCGGAGAGATGGATGAAATCGACATACTCATCTGCACCTGCATTGCGAGACTCTACCAGACCGCCACAGGCGTATGTGATGATCGGGATAAAATCCGACGCCTGCCGTTCTTGGACTATCATGTCGCCTTCATGCTCCATGACGACAGAGCGAAGCTGGCGAGCATTCAAACGTTGCTTTGCGTATATCAACCACATGAAGACTTGACTTGCAAGATCGCGTTCCACCTTTTTATGACTTTGGATGAGACCAACGATGCGCTCATACATGGCTTCAAGTCCTTCGGGCATTATGATATCCTTGATTGTTTGACATCTGCGCGACGGAGTGAGAACCGGGGACCGTAAGTAGGAGATCATCAAATTTGCCCAGAGAAACATGCCGTCGGCACCATGCACCAGGTTCTTCATCAAAGATGAAACATCTGCGTTCTCCGGGAGCATCTCATCTTCAACCAGTCGCTCAAGTTGGCATTCCAGATATCGAGCAATGTCGGTGCTCACCAAACTCCGTTCCATCTCCTTTTGCCGATCATCTGCAACCATTCTTGACAGTTGAGGAACGTTGCGGCGACTGAGGAGCAAGAACTTGCAGTCCGAGAAATAATTCAGCTGCAAAAGATCTTCCAAAAGATACTCGCTATCGGAACACTCGTCGATTCCGTCTAGCAGAAGCTTCAAGCCCTCAAGATTGCTCATGCACAGCTGAAGTAGCTCTATCATTTCATTGGTGGTCGCGGTAGTATGACCGCTAGATGAATTCTCATAGGCGAATGAAAAAATATCGAGAATCTTCTCATCATGCCGAAATACGTCAATAATCTGACAGAGAAGTGATCTATACGCAGCTGCTCGATGGTTTTCGGTTGGATGAGTCTGTCGAAAGAAGAAGTAAAACATATGCGTTTGATCATCTTGGGTCGTATTCTGAAGTTCTTCAACAATGAAGGATGCAAGCACGGTTTTTCCGGAACCGGGGTTTCCTGCTCATAGAGTATCAGTCTGTGTTGAATTCTTTGCGCAGCATGACATTTACATACCATAAATCCAGAAAACCTTCGAGCCCAACTTTCGCTTCTTCTTTGGTGACATTATTTGAGAGCTTCCACTACCCTCTCTCCAATTCCGAAAGTTCACATCCTCGAGAATCCAATGGTTTGTCCCTTCTTGCCGCATCGCGTACGCATTGTGGAACGTCTCAGAGAACTGTGGCGCGGCAAGCCACTTGGAGATGCGAAGGAAGGTACTTTCTGTATGCAATCAGCCTTCGTAATACGCCATCGTTCATCATATCTGAGTATATCAACCTTTTCTTTTCCGCAAAAGCTCCTCTTTTATCCATTGCGAGCCGTCTGATGTATCGTTCGCTCTAGTCCTAGCTTTTTCACGCTCTTCAGCAGCACGCTGTCTCTCTTTCACCGCTTCAGCCTCGATCGACTCGATAATCTCAGCCTGGAACAATTGAACGTCCAGGCTAAGAAGTTGACGATGATGGGCCATTCGATTTAGTAGCTCTTCAAAGGTTAAATCAAAGGGTTTCCAAAAAAGCACACCGATGGCCATTGGAGTTCTTTTGAGTTCTGAGATGAAAACATCAGATTTGTTGATCATCGGAGATTGAAAACACTCACTCCCTTTTTTATTCGTGAAGACCCGCGCCACAGTCTGAAAGAATTGAAGCAGATCGACGTAGAGTTCTCCCAGGTGCTTTGTCATGGTAGCAGATGCTGAGACAGGGTAACTGCACAATCGAACAATCTGGTCATACTGCGGAAACGCATCCGTCAAGCGTTCGATGTTTTTGATCAGTTTGTCGAAAAACGTCACATAGTTGCTTGCAAGCTGAAGATTAGAAGCTCAATTAGCCACGCCGCTCATCTGATTTCCTGAGCTCTCGGACCAGTCCACCAACCTGGAGTACGAGTCGAATTGATCCCCACACGAAGGCCGCTTTAGAAGGATCGGCCTGAATAAAAATGGAGACAACCTCAAAATAGGGCTGCAGACGGACGGAAAATGAGTTTATGGCTTCCAGAACCCGTGCTTCTCGCGTTTTTTGGCCGTTCTTGGAGATCACATCGAGCTTTCGAAGTCCGTCGAGGAGATCTTGGGACGACGCGCATGGCGAGTATCTTCGGCGGTCATCTTCGGAGAGAGTTTCCAGAAATCGGGAAAAGGCATTTTCGAACACCTTGTTGTTGCTATAAAATGTAAGTCAATCGGTTAGATTGGCGATGCGCCCCATGTCATCTCACTGCTGGGCGCATCGTGGGAGGCTGAAGCTACCTCATTGTCAACACTGAGCCTTTCTCCCTGGCCATACAAGACCTTATAATGTCAAATAACTCGTAACTGGTGTATAAGAAGCTTTCCAGGGGTTGAATGATTTTCTTCCATTGGGAAATAGGGGTGTGTGTGACTTTTAATTATTGTGTCGCCGAGTGTGCGCCGTGCACGATTGCGGCTGTGCTTGGGATGGTGAGCTGTCAGCACAGCCCCTGATCGGGCATCGTTCAACGGTGGCGGTCTCAACTCCGCACTTTCATTTTCCATGCACGAGGACGGGGAGAAAAGGAAGGGGCAAATGACGAATATGCTATCACTTAGTGTTGTGGTGTACGTTACAGGGTAAAGGACAAATCCAAATTGACATCCACGTCATGGCTCAGACTACGTCCTCTCCTACAATTCTTGACAGTCTTCAACAAGTCCATTCTGTCAGCAATTCAGCATAGATCTCCTTCCTCCCCCTCTCTCTGTTTCCTCTTCATCTCCTTCATCCTCTTGATCCACCCCACGGTGTACTCATCCGCGTCCCAAGCGAGACTCCATGTGTTCCTCTCCTTGAGCTTCAAATCCACATATACCTCCACAAGCTCCTGCTCTTCAGGTTCCAAGAGATGAAGTCGCTTCCGCCATACATCGCAAATATTGTCGTCTTCGTATGTGGTCGGTCCGTAGAATCGCTGATCAATCTTTTTCCAATATATCGCGTCGAAGGCAAAATTGTTCCTTGCACCGTACATAATCCAAGTCTCCACTCTGCCAACTGGCCCGCATCCGACTAGATAGCCGCTGGCCTTCTACTAACTGTTTCTTCTGGATTGCCTCGTCTTCGCATTTCCGCATTGCCTCAAGAAAAACCTGAAGCGCTTTCTCATACTCCGTACACCAGTCATCGAGGCCTTCGGGCCAATCTTCCGGCTTTTTTAGAAGAAGCCACCAAGGCGGCGCATAAGCAAATTCGACTGGGGCGGTATATGTAAACTCCCAATCCACCACTCCAGCGATGTTTTCAGCTTCATCAACTAGAACGTTTTCGGGTCGAAGATCATCACACCAAACCGGAAATGGGCCATCATCATAGGATATCCATTGCTTTCTCTGCTCCTGGTCTCGGACAAGTTTCCGGAAGAGAAATCTAGCCACAAATTTGCGCCGGAAGTCATCCGCCAAGACATCCGCCAAGACATCTGCCTCGGCATCCGCCTCAATATTCGCCTCGTTCCTTTGGCTTCTGAGGTGTAAAATGTGTAGCTCCGCCAGGGCTTCAAAGTACGACGACGCGTTATCGTACGTGGTGGTCGGTAGGTTCGATCGGGGTAGCGTCCCCAGTTGCACAGTTTCGTTCATGAAATAGGACAGAGGCCGACGTGAAACTTCCCACGTAGAATCGTCATTCTTGTCAAGGGATCCTATCCGGCTTAAAGAAAGTGTAGACAGCGAAAGGACAATGTTGGCTAGTTTTATATAGAGAACTTCCAGCCTGACCGGCTTGAGGTCCGGATTAAGCACTGGACGTTGTCCTCCTTGGCGTCCTGGCTTCTCTAGAAGATCACCCATATCTCCCTTGTGGTGAATATAGTCCATGATGATGAAAGGACTCAAGTCCGAGGGACTCTCTTTTGTCTCTGCCCAGCGAAGGATGGAAGGCACCGTGATGGGAATTCTATCTGATGTTTTCTCTAAGAGAAATTGCATGACCGAGACCTCATTGCGGACTTTTTCTTCAGGAAACATGACATGACCAGGCAGTGGAAACCGTATAACAGCGCCGGAGTTATTGGTGAACATCATCTTGAAACAGGTGTTGAAACCGCCTGTGAAGAGAAATTCAAACACGGCACATTGAAGATCACTGAATTCTTCGGAAAGAATGACTCCAATATCATTGTAGATGTCCCCATCAGTGCGAAGAAATTCCGGCCAGTCCTCCCAGATCTGGGTGCTGATCGCCCAAGCAACGTCATCGTAAGGCTTACATGCGAGCATTTTGGAAAGAATCAATGAGAAAATAATCCGAGAAAAATGGAAAGTTGCTTAATGACTTTTTCGATGAAATAATTTGTTGGTGGTGATTGGAAGGGCATAAGGGGAACCGTACCAAAACAGGCCATTTAAGTGACAGGATCACATAACAATAGCAAAAAGTATTCTCTCGGAATAACAGTAATCCCGAATTAATTTTGCCTAGCTGATTATTACGCTGGACAAGGTATTGAATAGTTTACCGATTATTTTAAGAGGTCTGTAAGCCCAACCATTACCCATCACATGACCCATCATATTACCCATCACGTTTTATATCACCTTTGTCGTCATCTTCGGCGCTAAAATCATTGCGGTATCGCTTTTTGTTTTACTTAGTCTGTCTGTCTGTTTGGATTTGCCTAGGATGTTTAGCTTTCCCACTTCACTCCCCCTCTCAGCCCGGTTTTTTCTATCCTCGTATAGATAAAAATCGAGGCCTCACCCCGCTTCGAGCTCTATAAAATAGAACTAAAAAGTCCTTTCTCTTGTTCCACCGCGATTTCTGCACGACTTCTGCAGAACCGCTGTTCTCAAAGCAATTTAAGCATCGCAAGCCTCCTCTGAGGTTCAATTTATTATCTGATTCGCTGGTTTGCTGCTTGACAGGTGTGTTTTAAAAATAAAAGTATATCTCGAACTGACTAAAGTCTTAAGACATTCACAGACTCAATATCCTTTTATTACCATGCCTGATAAGAAGTTCGTTCCCCTAAAGAGTTTCAGAATAGGGCAGCGGCCGACGTAGCCGGCAAAAGATCCCAGGAGAAGCGCAAGGGAAAGATTTATGATATATATAAGGCTGACGTTGTCCATGGACAGACAATGGACAGACCCTCTTTGTTCGTGGACTGAGAAATGCAATTTGGTGGGGAAAAGAAACTCGTTCTAATACCGCATGTATAGATTCGCAAACGAAAAGCGGTTCTGCCTCGGTCAACCTGGCTACCTGGCCAGAACCCTAATTCTCTCATTCTTGTCAACTGCATAGCTTCTCTTGCCAATTCCATGCTCACTCTCCTCCTTCCTTCCATCTGTGAGGTATGGACTAGCATACGTTGCAGCTTTCTCCCTCTACTGCCTCAGCCGAAGCATAATAAGCCGGCTTAGCCTGAAGAGTGTCATTGAAGAGATCAGCACCACCCTGGCCGGCAAACGTGCTCGGCACCCAAGAGAAAGCATCATCAAAGTCCCACACGGTGATACCAATGCAGCGAGGCCCAGCCTCCATGCAGCTGTTGACACTGGTATAGTAATCAGTGGCTTGCTGCTGCTGACCAGCTGCAGTGTAGAAGGGAGCCTCCGAAAAACGAACGTCGAGCTCGGTGATAGCAACATCCAAGTTGGCTTGGATAAAGGATTTCTTGGTGGAAAGCTGATCGGCAAGAGAAGGGGTTTCGCCAACAATGAAATGCGACTCAAGACCGATACCATCAATCCGAATTCCACGCTCGCGCAACTCGCTGACAAGCTGGAGGACAGCGTCTGCCTTGGGACCAGGGCTCTCAATACCGTAGTCATTGTAATAGAGCTTCACCTCGTTGGCGCCGATCTCGGCCAGCGCCTCCTGGGCATACTTGTAGGCGAGGAAGAAATAGTCTTCCCCAATGGTATCGTACCAGACACTGGCAGAGAAAGTCCCGTCGCTGCTGAGGGCCTCGTTGACCACATCCCACGAATAGCAGCGTCGGCCAAAGTGCTGAACGGTCCGGAATATGTGGTTCTTCATCACCTGGGTGAGAGCTTCGGCCGTCCAATTTGTCGCGGTGACAAATTCCGAAAGCTGGCTCACCCAGACCAAATTGTGACAGCGTACACGGGCGTGGTACTTTTCAGCCACATCTAGGAAGTAATCACCCTCGGTGAAATTGAACACGTTTTGCTCAGGCTCGGTGTACATGAACTACGGCAGTAAGCACATTTATTAGCGAGATTCTAAGTTTCGGGTTCGTTCAATATTTACCTTCATGGCATTTGCAGGGGTCATCTCGCCAAAGTTCTTCTGCAGAACATCCAGATACGCAGTGTCGGTCGTCTCCGCTGTCCCAGGGATATCGGCCGCGGTACCAAACCAAAGCTTTCCCCGACTTTGCGCAAGGGTATTGAGGCCAACATAGCGGTCGGGTTGTGAGTAGTGAGGAGCTGCCTGGCTAAGGCAGGCCAAGAAAGCCGCAGCAGCAAGGATCGGGCGCATCATGACTAGGTTGTAGAATGCCGAAGGACAGGTTGGAAAGGTATAACCATCATATTTACACCAGAAATGAGAGAATTTAAGTAGTTACATTTAATTAACTCATTTCTACTTTCCCCGCAAAAACAAACAATCAACATCTCCAATCTGTGGAGTAATTTCCCTACAGCCTGCCCTGGCCTGTCATGCCATGTTTGGATGCAGAAAAATCTCGGCAAAAGGACAGGGGTATTAGGCTATATCCTTTGCAAAAGACGAATCTTGCCAAAATTGCGATTCTACCTTGAAAGTGGACATGTCGGAAGCTCGTATTGGATGGAAGCGGTGCGCCTCGGCTAACCTGGATTTGTCGCTATCTGACCACTCTCCCCGATTTTTACCGAGTTACCTTAGGCTATTGAGACAATATATCGAATTGATTTTGGGTTTGAAGGATTCAATGCGAAATGCCCCTGATCGGCAAAAAGAGCCGAGTTTAAAACTGGAATCTAAGCGAAGCAGTTTTGGAAGTCATAGGTTCTTGCTAAATTGACCTATCAACAATTCGGGTCACATGTGACACAAAAGGATAAGTTTTGTCACTTAATGGGAGGCGTAACGGCAGAGGTCCAAGCACCTGACATTTACATGGGACAATTTAGACGAACGTCTGTATCACCAGTAACGTAACCGGAAAGCGAGCCGCCCATGTAAGCGAGCCGTCCACCTCAAAACACCATAGTAAATGCGATAAATTACAACCTTATATCTCAACAACGGCAGCTTCTCATAAAGACTTCTTATAAATATATGTCCTTTATAATAAGTCTAAGGGTATTTGAAGGTCTTGGAGGGTATTAAGGTGCGGTGAGTCGGTGATATATAATTCGAGCTCAGAGAGCTAAATTACAGTGTATTTTTGGTAAAGTCTATCAAATCAGAGTTAAGTTGACCTAGACTCTTAAAACCAAATTCTTATGCTCTAATTAAGTAGGATACAAAAGATAAAGCCGAACAGTCTTATAGTTGTTGAAATATTATGTCGCATTTACTATGGTGTTTTGAGGTGGGCGGCTCGCTTTCCGGTTACGTTATGGCCAGCGGTGTTGACATTTCAATCAAACAAAGCTACCCTACTTACGATCTACAGTATATCGTAAAAGGCATTCATGATAGAAGGATATTCGAGGATCCCAAATTGATACATTCCCGAGACAAAAAATCAAAGTATTCAGCTTAATGACAAATTATCAACCTGAATCTCCACACGTAGCAAATCAGTGGACCTAAGGATGCACTTCCATCTGACTAGTAATGGCCTTCTCACCATCATCCGAGACGGTTGCTTGCCCGGTAAGCTGCTGAACCTTCTCACTCGCAGCCGCACCACCAAGAATAGCCGTGTCACCATCGAACTTCTTAACAATCTCCTCCAGTGGAATTCCCTTCGTCTCAAGATAGAATTTCCACACAATAATGATCTCAAACACCAGGAAGACACAGTAGACAAGATAGTATTTCCAGTGGATGGCGTCCAGAGCGACTGGGTTGACATACTGGTTGAACCAGAGACTGAGATCAACACAGAAGAACATTAGAGTCAGACCCTTGGCGCGAAGGTGGTATGGCAGGATCTCAGACGAATAAGATACCAGCAAGCCACTGTATCCAATGTTGTACGAGATGTAATAGAGGAAGATGAAAACGATGACAGTATGAGCGGCGGCGGTGTTGGTGCCACTGGTATCCGCAGAGAAACGAGCTAAAGCGATGGTCGTGGAGACATAGCATACCAGCATGCTGCAACTTGAGAACAGGAATAGCTTTCGTCGTCCAAAGTAGTCCACGAAGAAGCAAATTCCCGTAGCAGAAACGACGTTAACCGCACTCAGAATAGAATTTATCGTAAGAACCGTGTTGCTGTTTGTGATCCCGATAAGTTTCAAGACCTAGATCTGTCAGTGCTAGTTCGATATTTTTTGCTTTTTTAAAGAGTCCAATCGACGGGGACATACTTGAGGCAGGAAATAGGACACAATTCCATTGCCAGACCACTGAGAGAAGAAACCGATTGTGATGAGAATAAGAGAGCGGTGGCGATTGCCCGGGGTGGACCACAGTTGAGACCAGCCATTATGCTCGAATTCTTTCTCGAGCGCGATAGTCTGCTGAATTTCATCGAATTCCACATTGACCAAAGCATCATTTTCATCGCCTTGAGCATGGACATATGCTAGGATTTTCTTGGCCTTCTCGAGCTTGCCCTTCGAAATGAGCCAGCGAGGGGATTCGGGGACAGTCCTGATAAGGATAAAGTTGTCAGATCACATTCAATCAAAAGATGAAAGTTTACCTACCAGATGAAAATTAGTTGGCAGATAGATGGAAGAGCCTGCAGAAGGCAAGGGACGCGCCATCCCCAAGCACTTGTTTGAATGTGGTTTGTACCTGAATTGTAAGGTTAGGGATAATTTAGAGAGATCATCGAGGGAAAACATACCCAAAGCAACGCAGGCACCGATCAAGCTACCCACATACCACAGAGAGTTGTAGATAGTGCTGTAGACGGCTCGGTGTTGGGGATGAACCAACTCAGTCACCAGAAGTGGTGAACATTCCTTTTAGTGTATCAGTCAGTGGCTGATCAGGAAGAACTAAGGCCAATTGCTCACCTGCGCAATACCCAGGCCAAATCCAAGAATGATACGACCGACAACAAATAAGGCAATGTGGTATCCAATAGAAACCAGTGAAACGCCAAACAACATAATTATGCAGCCGATGACAACACCAGCACGTCGACCATAGATATCCGCAACGTACGGTACCACAGGAATAGACAGCATGGAACCGATAGACATAGCAGCAGCAAGTAGGCCAAGGGTCCCACCGCTGGGGTTGTTGTAGGCTAGAAATGACCAGGTTAGAGAATATTCACATTCAGAGAACATGGCCTGGCGCCTGGCACTAACATCTGTTCCACGATGACATGGCTTCCAATCCATTCATCAGAGAACCATCGTATCCTGCACATTATCCGTGAGCAACAGAGAACTTAAGAGGGAACAATGTTTGGCGAACCGTTAGTAGCGGAGGTGATCATTGCCGCCCACAGAGTCAGATAGACAAAGCGCATCCCCTTCATCCTCCACCAGGTCACCTTTGGCCATTCCTGGCCAGCGAGCTCGAATGTGTCTTTCCCCATTGCACAAGATGACCCTGGGTCAATTATTAGAAGAACAGGGCGAAAAAGAAACGTGTGTGAGCGGTATTGCCTCGGTCAACCAAAGTGAATCCAGGTGACTCTTATATGTGTCGCCAGTGGCAAGGAAATATCTAAGATGGAAGAATGACATTAATAGCCACGAAGCTGAACAAGACCTCGCTTGGCGGCAAAATAGGATAGATGAAAGTCCCTGTTGACACGGACCATTCCTCCGCTGATCTAAAAGAGACGAGCAGGTGGATACACCAAGCTTTCCTATTCCATAGGCCAGAAAGAACGACTAAATGCCAGTAGCGAGGCCCTGGACTGTCATGAGACAAGCCTCGCGGGACTCAACTTTAGGCTAAATTATGAAGAAGATAGAAAGTCCGAATGACTGAATGAGATTCAACCCCAGAACCCTAAAAGGCTGAAATGAGAGCGACCTGGCTATTAACAGGGGAGAGAAATAGGGTGTTTCGAAGCGATTGGCCCTAAGGCAACGAAGGACAAATTAGCGGAATGGCAAACCGGTCTAGTTCGTATCCGGACAGCCGGCTACGCCTTTGACTGGATAACGATAACAAACTCGAAGAAGCGATAGCCCTTAGCGCAACGCTAACGTAGGCTTTTTCCCCGCACCTAGGCTGTTCCCCGGATTCTCCTTGGCACGACGGGGGCCCCAAAGGAGTAAAGCCTAACGTTAACAACTGCCGAGCTGCGCTCATACCCACTTTTTCCCGTCTGTGCTACGCTTTGCTAACTAGTCACGGCGTAAGGCTAACTAGTCACGGTAGAAGTGCCGGAGGTAATACGCATCTGGTGTTGTGGCGAGGAAGAAAAAGTCGTGTTTCTATATATAAACTTTTACGGCGAAACTTGGAAAATAAGATAGTTGCTGCATGGCTGAGACTGGCCAGGGCGGGACCCTTTTAATTAGCCTCATTCGCCACAAATGTTGCTGCTAGGGTGTTGTCCTGATTTCTTTTCTGATAGGCGAGCGCTCAGATGACTTTCAGTCTCAGTATATCTGCCCCTGTGAAAGAAATGTTCAGCGCGCGGCATCGAGACACGACCTGCTTGGCCGTAATTGAATCACCTACAAGGCGGGCGAATGCAGCATCGGTTGAAATTATTTCAGGCGGAGTATTCGGCACTTCGTACCCCACTTGCGGTAGCTCTTGCGTCTTTTCAGACTGTGGTATTGTCGTCTTTACTCGATCGTCAAATATAGCATGGTTCCGGAATGCAATCGAAGAAGCCCCGCAAAGGCATCGTCGGCTCAAGTTCCTTGTTAGCGTCATGGGGAACGTTTCCGTAGGAATGTACGCTGAAGATATCAAATATACCGGCACTTTCCTGGAAAAGTTCTCGTGGCATGGAGCAGTGGCACCGTCATGGAGAGTGTGTAGCTCACAGCGATGTTCCTCACCCCGGGATGACCAGAGCCACGAGCACCAGATTAGTGAAGCCCTGTAGAGTACTGATTTTGGCAATGATATGAAGTTTCTCTTGTACCAAACTGTGTTCTGCCTCGCTCAGTGTAAAGGGATCGAAAGGACCCTGAGAGATCAGCAAGTTCCAACTCCAATGACGAATCTGGAATCCACGGAAGTCAGGTAGTAAAAGGTCGTGAAGATTCCGAAGCCCAGTTCACAAGGAGGTGAAGAGCGTTTTCACGAGAAACACCGTTTTTGAGCATTGGTTGACCAGCTGTAAACAGCCGAGCATGACAGTCCCGATAAGTAACACCCATCATATTCATTGGAATAGAACCTGGCACCGGTCGAGTCTCTCATTGCTAGCTTGCATCGCCTGGAGTAGCTTGAATTTTTCACAAGCAACAAGTTCACAAGCGGCTTGGAGCAAGCTCTATCCCGTCATCATCCTAATTGTGGGGTGAATATTACCTGGCAACAGGCGGTGGGATACAGTGTTCTCGATACAGAAGCTAGAAAGCAACGCGAAGACCTCGACGAGATACTGCCTGTTCTCGTTACCGCTCCAGGATTGAAGCATCTCGACTTACAGGCCAGATTGACAGCCCTGGATCCCCACTCGCTCGGCTAAGGGAAAAATGGAAAGGCTTGATCGATGTTCGCCCACTACCAGGCATGATCCTCTTGCCCACGGTGCTCTTTCTATATGGCTGGACCCTTCAGTACAAGGTACACTGGATGGCTCCAACGGTTGCCACTGCGCTGGCAGGCTTCTCCTTATCAACTGCCACCATCCCCGTGATGAACTACTTGGTGGATATCTTCGGAGATTTTTCAGCCTCGGCAATTGCTGCTGTGCTCCCGCTGCGCTACATCCTTGGCACCTTTCTTCCTGTCGCGGCTCCCTACATGTATGGTCGTCTTGGCTATGGCTGGGCGAACTCGCTGCTGGCTTTCATTCTGATTGTCTGTTTACCGGCTCCTCTGCTTTTGATTCTCTCACCAAGAAGCAACGCTGTCCTCGCCAGGCCTGCACGGCTTGTAGGGAGTCAGACCTCGTAAACCGCGATATTCAGGTATGAAGTAAGCACTGAAAGGCCGTCCATTTTCTTTTGATACCCAGAATAATGAGGTAATAAGTTGAATCACACTATGTCAGCTCACCCTTGGAGTTTTTCAGGCTGTGAGTAACTGAGGATCAAAAACGTTGATAAAGTGGACCGGTTTATCCAATCTTGGAGCCGGGGAAGAAGTGACAAGTGCAAAAGCGGAAGAGCTTGATATCCACGTATTTGCCGAATGTGAAAATTCTTAGTATAGACATGACGAGATAGAGTCATCATAGCGTTGTATCTAGTTTAGTCCGGCGAGAAACATACAAGTGCGGCTTATGCTGACGACAAATGATAGTATCGCCCCATACAAAGGTCGCTTTGACTGAATGCACACTAAGAAGCGCCATTAAAGAAATTGATATTTTATTTATGAATAGCTACTCGATACACTCCTCGCGCTGCCTCAAAGGGGGACAGGCGAGGCGAGGAGAAGGAGAACTAGACACCCACTCTATATAGTGACCTCGACGGTCTTTTAGGAAGCCCCCTATGGGTTTTGATTTACGCATAAGCACGACTTCTTATCGGTGTCACTCTTATATCAAGAGACCAGTGAACACAGTTAATTTTGAAAGCAGATTCCCCTATGGACACTCATGCATTGCTTCTTGGCTCGTATTCGAAACCACCCTTGTCCGTATTCGGTTACTCTCGACACAACCCCTGCTTAGCCGTATCACGACTTATAAGGTATAGGATTTCAGTATCTAATGAGTCACTGTAAATTACCGTATATCTCCGTAGAATGTTCGAGACGGGCGTTTGAAAGTGAGATATAACGATCTGCCTTGAACCACGCCCATTGTTTATGTATTCCGCTACTCTTCTACCCGGCACCTTTACTTCCGATCTCGAATTAAAATTAAAATATTCCTCGCTCTGTCTGCTTAGCCATACTCCTTAATATGGCATCAACTACCAAGCCGACCATCGTTCTCGTGCATGGCGCATGGCATGGCTCGTGGTGCTGGAAATTCCTAATCCCCGCGCTCGAGGATCTCGGCTATGCTGTGGAGACCGTCGATCTACCATGCGTCAGTGGGGTAGCGGGTACGACGCAATTCGATGATGCGGCCCACGTACGGTCCGTTGTGGAATCGCAGATATCTATGGGTAAGCGCGTGGTTGTCCTAGCACATTCCTACGGAGGACCAATTGCGAGCGCTGCCATTAGGGGGCTGTCCGAAAAAGGCGTGCTGGGAATGATCGCCCTGTGTGCCTACATCTTTCCTGGAGGTATGGACCAAGCTGCGGTCATTCGCGACCTTGGCGGCTTGCCCTTTGTGACGTGGGATGCGCCGAGTGAGGGTCTTCTCCTCGCCAAAGATCCTCGCAGCTTGTTTTTCCCTCCAGATGTGCCTGAAGACCGAATCGACTGGGCGGTATCGCAGCTTCGCCCTCAGAGCATGGCCGCCAATATGGGCATTGTGCCACCTCAAGCTTGGCAGGACGACTCTTATATTGGGAGATTAGGCTATATTAGGTGCACGGATGATGTTATCATTCCGATCGCACAGCAGGACAGTATGGTGGCGGAGGCAGGTGGCAAGGAAAAATGGGTAATTCGCACTCTTGAAGGCTCCAGCCATAGCCCCTTCCTTTCGCGGCCACATGATGTCGCCGCTACAGTTCAGGATATCGTGAATGATTTTGAAACCAAGCTTTGACAGGGGCAAGAGATTATGAGTTCTTATACAAAGAGCCCAAATTTGTCAAGCAGATAACCACGCAGTACTCCTAGTGTTAATTGATTATGATGTTTCTACGGCCGTTCAATTCAAAGGAAGGGTTGCAGGAGATGGTCGTCTCTGAACTATCGCGAGTTCCTGCGGAAATTTTGAGAGTGAATTTACCGCCTTTAGCTGCGTTAGCTATTTGAGAGGGAGCTAGTCGATGACTCTGCCTTATGCCGCGAATAAAGCGTAGCTACGAGGGACTTGGTCTTGCGGCTATATTGAGCAAATTCACAGCCTGGAAGGTCAATCAACGACCATAGAGGGGCACAGAGGTGGCGCCGTATAGACGTTTCACACAGGTTACAGTATTATACGTCACATCTGCGTTCTACAAAACAAAAACCATTAATTTACAGTAGAAGGAGTGGGGGAGATCTGACGATCTGGCTTGATTCATGCCCCCTTTCTTCCTTGTCCTCAATAGCCTTCGTCTTCATCTACATCTTACATGATACATCTCGTTACTAGATGTACCTCCGATCCCAAGGCAATACCACTTGCCAGACTGCCGAATGTTTCAGGCGAGGGAAAGAAAGAAAGTAAGACGAAGGAGGACGGACGGAACAGCGACGCGATGTCCGAGTGGGGCGGCATCTCCCCAACGCAGACGCTAGGCCACGCTGGGAAGGGTTTAGACGCGACGCAGAAAATGGCGTCGTTTACGGGTGCCCCCAACGGAGATAATTTTTAGAGTAAATTGGCCTTTCATATTTAAACTCAACACATTGCGGCTCCTTTTTGCACAGTATGGGACCTTATCTTGACCATGCGAGAAAATTAAGCGCCAGGTTCCCATGCATGACCCAGTTCTTCTCCGACTTGGAGCGTTTTGCCCCCAAAAAGTTACCTCGATCACTGTCATCGAGGCAGTCCACCTCTCGGTGCGGTGTTCTTGAGTTCGTGCGTGACAAACAGCCCGAGTTTGTTGATCTGAGCGACTCTGCAGACCTCTGCGACTACCTCGACAGGATAAATGTAGAGACGCCGTGTTACAACCGGCTCTTCCTACTCGAGGACCTCAACGAGTCTAGCCTAGAATTGCTCGGTTCTGCGCTACAAATCGATCCTGCCGTGTTGGCTGATCAACTGTTCTCATATCACTTCTCGCAAAACAACACGATACCGCGCCGTACCTTGCCATCATTGACGGATGCATCGAAATCATTTACCCTGCGGTATTATGAGCTTCGAGAAACCGATGACCGCCTCGCCGAAAACCAGACGAACCGCAGACGAACCGTTGCGCATGCTTCTCGCCGGATTGAACGGTGGCGAGATTTAGCTACCCATCGAGGAGGGCTACGTGATACCCACGTGGATACAATACGGCACAACGTATCTTTCTGGTGCGGCGAAGGGTTACCAGGTGAAGATAAACCAACACCAGGCGCTTGGAATGGTACGTCCATGCAGTATTCTAGTCAAACGTCTCCCTGCTCTTCCTGACACACAGCAGCGATTCTTCTCGTTGACCCTCCACTTGCTTCCCAGCCGGCAGAAAGGAAAGGCTATTACTACGTCCTTGACAAGGAAGAAGACAATGCCCCTTGGAGGCCACAAATCCAGTGGAGTAAGCCCTATCACGCAGGATACAGTGATCTTCGACCCTGGCAATCAAACCGCACTGTTTCAGCGCCCAGCCGACAGTCGATGTTCGACGATGTCATCTTCTACTGGCTGCGCGCAGATAGGCGTGAGATTGATGCTGTTTTTGACAGCTGCGTCAACACGACATTATTTGTACACCAGATTGTGGCATGCCACTGGTATGATTTCCTTGATCTACAGTTCAAAACCCTTTCAACCGTGGACATTACTTCGAAAAGGAAACGCCGCGGCTCACCTGAAAAAGCCGTCAGTACAGCGGAATGGAGGGAGGAGCTGAAGCATTACAATGAGAGATTGTCTCTTCTCGGCATACTCCAGCGGCGTTTGATGTGGTACAAGCAAGAGATGAACCTTAATTTGGAGCGCTTGGGTTTCGGGTCCCATGGTGCAGGCGACGATACAAGCATCCTTATGCCGTCCAGTCTTCGCGTCGCCGGGCGAGATCTCCAGGCCATACTGTATGAATTAGATCGACGTGAGTCCCGAGTCGACAACCTTGTCGGCATCGTGACCGATTCGATCAATCTGAGCAGTGCCTTGCGCAGCCTGCATGACGCGCGGTTTGGCCTACAGCTATCGATTGTCGGTGCGGTTTTCTTTCCCATCACTCTTGTCGCCGCGATTTTCTCGATGGGCGGCGACTACCAGCCTGGCTCAAAGCAGTTCTGGATACCCTGGGTTATAGCTGTTCCTTTAGTGGCTATATTGATCCTTGCGACATGGCAAGCCCACCGCTCACGCATGTAACGTATGCTAAGGCGGAGTGAAACGCAAAGAAGGGCGTGTTCTAAGATCTGATCATATGGAGAAGTTGATGTTTGGACACATACTGGCTCGACTTTCAATAGTTTGTCACTGCCGTATCGCATATTGTTTAAAATATCTATAACTTTGTAATGTAAAGTCTGTCAAAGGTTTCAGACTTTACAAAAAGCCATGGAACAAATAAGCATAGTCTCCTACTAATGCCAGTCCCTTGAAGTATAAACACGGCCTTCAGGGGATGGAGGGGCGTTAAGTTCGGAGTGTATAGCATTTCGTGTAATATATGGTATTATACGTCATGCAGTCTTCTTGAAATCAAAAATGATCTATCCTTCCAAACAGATTATTTACACCGTAGCCTAATTCGGTTTAGCGCGACCTGAGTGAGGACCCGGGAAAGAAACGTGAGTGTCTGAGGGGTAATCTGTTTTCGAATTCTACTGTACCAGATTGGATCGTGATTCAAAAAAGCCGAGATCCCAATCAGAAAGAATGGCAAGTCGCGCTGAGGAATGTCCAAGATATGGAACTGGCATCCAGTGGCAACCTGAGAGCAAGACAAAATCTGCAATCAACAAAGTCCTGGATACTCCAGAAATGCTGGAGATGATCCTGGCTCGGGTGGATATGCGCACGCTTCTCACATCTGCTCAACGAGTCTGTCGCAACTGGGTGAACCTGATCAGCAAGTCACCATCAATACAAAAGGCGCTTTTCTTCACTCCGATCAAGGACTCCGAATGGGGAATGGAAGAAAAGATACCCAATCCGCTATTGACGGAGACTTTTCCTTCTATCTTTCCCGCCAAAGACAGACTGGACCGCTACCAGTTCAATTTTTCCAAGTTGACCATGACCAAAGATGCCTCAACCATGGCTCGATTCGTAGGACAGGACGCAAGCTGGCGCAAGATGCTAGTCCAACAGCCTCCTGTCTCGGATATTGGGCTTTTCCATATTTGCGATGCAATGGGCGGTACTAGTGCCGGAAGCTCTAGTATTCCGGTCGGTTTCCAACCCACACCATGATCTAATTTCAGAGTTTCGGGTGGCTAACATGTGGCATGTAGGCGGATAAAAAGATGCAAGAATCCGGATACGATGGTCTTCGGATGGAAAGGCTCTTCGAGCTTTTGCTCTTCAGCAACCTGGTTCAATTCTTGCCTTACACCAGGACACGGGTGTACTGGTCTACTGAAGAGCCGATCCTACATGGCGAGAGCCAGAATATCGACGATGAGTTCCATCGGATCATGAGCAAGTTTGGCTTAGTTCTTTATACACGCGATGTGATACAGTGCTCTTATAGGCTAGATCCTCCGAGTGCCGCGGAACTTATCAGGCGTGAGATTATCTCAGCTTATAGAGAACACGGTTTGGATGTTGATTTCAAGAGAAAGGATATCGAAGAATCGAAGAGTGAAGTAAGGGGAGTAAGGGCGTAAGGGAGGCAAGGGGGTATTTGCCTACTCCCCGATAGTCCGGAGAGTTCATGATATTGCTTAGACATAACCAGTGTAAACTTTTGATATGATTTAATATTGGATATGAAAGATAAACTCGGTAAACTCAACAGAAGGGAAAAAGGATAAAGTTCTTCCCGGAGCTTATTGGTACAGTAGTATCCGTATCAATCAAAGTATATGAATTTCAAGCATTCATTAACCGGAGCGGACATCTGCAGCAACATATATACCGAGAGACATACGATTTGCTCTTGAATAGGTGACTAGATGGCTACGTCTCTCCAAGATTCTTTGTTTGGGACTTCGTACCTCAGCCTTCAATCCCAACACCATAATTCCCTGCCACTCATTTCTTGCTTCTGGTGCTCGTCACACCGAACATGATATCCAATGCAAAACCGATGAGTGATAATTTTGCTTGTCTAGAACGTGGCTTAATAGACGCATCGGGTTCTCAATAGCGCTTTGAGGCTTTGTCCGCCAAGATGTTCTCCCGAGGTCTCGCCGGGCACCGCCAGCCGTCAGCTTCGACAATCCCAGTCTCGAGCATCTCGTTTTTGTCGAACCCCTCACATACCTTCAACTTATAGATGGATTGAAGGTAATTGTCGTGGTACCTGTACCTATATACCGCGGACTGGTAGACCCCCGTGATCACCTCGGCTCCACATTCCTGGCGATAAGCTTCGGTCGATCCGGAACCTCAGCTTCGTCTCCGAGCTACAACAAACGACCATGGGGAAGCTCCACGATGAAGGGGTCCCCGAGGCCGTACCGCTAACTCGACAGAGGTCGGCCTCTGCCGCATCTCAAACCTCTTCTGATTCCGGGCTGTCGGTCGCGTCCGCAGCCTTCCTCGACGCTCACAAGGGGGAGATAATGGGTGACGACGGAGAGGCACCATACCGCGATGTCGAAGACGGCGCCGAACCTGCCTCCGATGAACCATTCCTACACCCCCGGAAGAAGCCCGCGTCGAGCAATCGCATGCGCCGAATCCTCTGGTTTCTTGGTATCCTCTGTGTCGGCGGCTGGGTGGTCGCGTTCGTGCTCTTCCTCACGCAGAAACGTCCCAGTGCTGCTGCACTTTCCTCCACCTCGACCGTCGAAATCCATGATCCGGAGTCCGCGACTGGTGGTACAAGCTATGGGAGGCCTGTCACCCTCGAGCAGGTGTTGAAGGGGGAATGGCTCCCGGCATCGCACGCGATCTCCTGGATTGTGGGGCCGAAGGGCGAGGATGGACTGTTGGTTGAGCAGGGAGGAAGTGGGAAGGGATACCTGCGCGTGGAGGATATTCGCAGCCGCAACGACGAGGCCAAAAGCTTGGATACCAGAGTGTTGATGGAGAAGTCATACGTCTGGGTCAATGGGGAACTAGTGTCACCGGCGAAGACATGGCCGAGTCCCAACCTGGAGAAGGTCTTGATCGCATCCAGCATTCAGTCGAACTGGCGACATTCGTTTTATGCGAAGTACTGGATCTTCGACGTAGCGACGCAAAAGGCCGAGCCGCTTGACCCTGGTAATTTGGACGGTCGCGTGCAGCTTGCCAAGTGGTCTCCCCAGTCCGATGCCGTTGTTTTTGTTCGGGAGAACAATGTATACCTGCGCAAGCTCTCGTCGACAAAGGTGATCCCAATCACTAAGGACGGCGGAGCGGACCTCTTCTACGGCGTCCCGGACTGGGTATATGAAGAAGAAGTCTTCTCTGGCAACAGTGGTACTTGGTGGTCCGCCGATGGCAAGTATCTTGCTTTACTGCGGACTGAAGAGTCCGATGTACCCGAGTATCCAGTTCAATACTTCCTCTCTCGACCTTCCGGCAAGACTCCTCCCGCTGGGCTTGAGAACTACCCCGAAGTTCGCCAGATCAAGTATCCCAAGGCCGGGGCACCGAACCCCGTTGTTCACCTGGAGTTCTATGACGTGGACAAAGATGAACTGTTCTCTTTCGACATGCCCGAGGATTTCGCCGATGACGACCGCATCATCATTGAAGTTGTTTGGGCGTCCGAGGGCAAGGTTCTCATCCGTGAGACCAACCGTGAGAGCGACGTGGTCAAGATCTTCTTGATGGACACGAAGACTCGCTCGGGAAAGCTCGTTCGCTCTGAATATGTTGCAAGTATAGACGGCGGCTGGGTTGAACCCTCGCAGACAACGCGTTTCATCCCCGCAGACCCAGAAAATGGCCGACCGGACGATGGATACGTCGATACCGTGGTTTATGAGGGCTATGATCACCTCGCTTACTTCGCGCCACTCGAGAACCCGGCGCCTGTGATGCTCACCCAGGGAGACTGGGAAGTGGTCAGCGCGCCATCCGCTGTGGATCTTGACCGAAACCTGGTATACTTCGTCGCGACGAAGGAGGCACCCACCCAGCGCCATGTGTATCAAGTCAAGCTTGATGGATCAGATCTTCGACCATTGACTGATACCTCCAAATCCGGATACTTCGAGATCTCCTTCTCAGAAGGCGCCGGCTATGCTTTACTCAGCTCGAAGGGTCCCGCTGTCCCCTGGCAGGCGGTGATTAACACCCAGGGTGACAAAATGGAATACGAGGCGGTCATCGAGAGGAACTCCAAGCTTGTGGAGATGGTCGAAGACTATGCACTCCCAGCAGAGGTGTACACCAACGTCACCATCGACGGCTATACTCTCCAAGTGCTAGAGCGCCGACCCCCACACTTCAACCCAGCCAAGAAATACCCTGTCCTATTTTATTTATACGGCGGGCCCGGCTCCCAGACCGTTGACCGCAAATTCACGGTTGACTTCCAATCCTATATTGCCTCCAGCTTGGGCTATATTGTCGTCACGGTGGATGGCCGAGGAACTGGTTTCATTGGACGTGAAGCGCGCTGTATCGTCCGCGGTGATCTGGGCCACTACGAAGCGCGCGACCAGATTGAAGCTGCTAAGATCTGGGCTAACAAGAGATATGTGGACGAATCTAGGATGGCGATTTGGGGATGGAGCTTTGGCGGTTTCATGACCCTCAAGGTCCTTGAGCAGGATGCAGGTCAGACATTCCAGTATGGCATGGCCGTGGCACCTGTCACGGATTGGAGATTCTATGGTGCGTGACATTTGCAGAATGCCTTTCGAATTTCCCCTCTAACCCTATGTAACAGACTCCATCTATACCGAACGCTATATGCACACCCCCCAGCACAACCCCTCGGGCTACAACAACGCAAGCATCACCGACGCCGCGGCACTGGGAGAGAACGTCCGATTCATGATAATGCACGGCGTGTCAGACGACAACGTCCATCTCCAGAATACACTCGTCTTGCTCGACAAGCTGGACTTGGCGAACATCGACAATTATGACATGCAGGTGTTCCCTGATTCAGACCACGGTATCTTCTTCCACAACGGACACACCCTGGTATTTGAACGTACGTTATGATCGTCTTGAGCTTGGCAGTACATAACTAATTTGTCTCATAGGTCTCTCGAGCTGGCTCATCAATGCGTTCAACGGCGAATGGCACCGCATCGCCAACCCCAAACCGGAGGAGTCGGCGTGGAGCAGAGTGAAGCGCTGTCTGCCTAGTTTCTCCGGGTGGTAAGTATTTGCTGGAAGGCTACTTTTTGGGTGCTATATATATCATACTTGTTCAGTAAATACACTTGGCGTTAATGGAATTGAAATCATAAAATATAATCTATTAGCAATTATTTGGATAAGATGCTGATGTACTCGATATATTTTAAAAGGATTCGTGAAAAGCCGATCCAAGGAATTCTTTTGGTGAGAATGCTCGAAAGAACGACACTTCAAAGTCGAACAAGAACGAAAGTTATATCAACAAGTGACAGGTGACAAGAAACAGGATCTAGCTCGAAACACGCTAGTCTAATTTTGGCCACTATCGAGTAATCCCTGTCGAAATGTGGCAACAGAACGGACCAATCAGTGAAACTGTTTCTATTGGTACACTCGGGGGATCAGGAGGTATACCGTCTGCACATGACTTCGGAGGTAATGCACAGCTCCTGGGAATGATTAGATCTCGGGGGCCCTCAAACACCTGGTGGTTGCAGGGGCCGTAACAGAAGGAAGGCTTGAAGGTCCGGTATCATATTTCTTCTAGAGAGAGATACAAGATATGCAACTAAAGGAGAGGTGGGATTGAAGACAGCTCCAACTTGTTTCTATTGAGAAATGAAGGGGAGATTAGACGAAAAGAAGATAGATATATGATTGATAGTAAATTCTAATGCTCTTTTCTGCTCGTTTTTAGGGAGATATTTATATCTTTTCCCTGAGAACCGTACTCTACATAAAAGGCATACAAAGCTGTTCTTTCAGACCACTACTCGGTGATCTATGAAAGAACTGGGTGGAAACCAGAGGAGAAGGTGATATAGATGAGGAAACTGTATATACGGGCTGTCTATGCGGCCTAATTTTGAATATCCTTAACTAGGGGCCTAGCTGATCAATCAGCAGCCATCGGGGCAGAGAGACAGAAGCCAACCGATGTTGACGCCTTAGGATGAGGGCTCCAATATTCAACAGGTTCTAAGTATATAGGATCTGAACGATATTTGTTATTGAGATCAATGCAACATGGGACATGAAGGAATGATGTGCTTCGGATGAATCAAAGATCGAGAAAAGCAAATATATAGCGAGGGGTAAGCGGATGTTGCATCCGGAGTAGGGCAGTGTAAGCCACATCTATCGAAGATAGGTTATAGGGTTGAAGATCTGTTTTGAACCATGCAGAAGAAAGGGTTCTTCTGCAGAAGGATAGGAAAGGGAAGAGTGTCTAACGGCTCAGACATCTGGGTTCCCAGGCCGTAACATTTGGGAACGTAGCACATTCCTTTTCGACCTCTGTAGTCCTACCACTATTTTGGTGGGGGGCCAATTATGATAGGATCCGCCTATTCAGCGGTTAGTAGTCTTTATCGTACCATAGAAGGAAATAATACATACTATAATACAATGTCCATTCTGTCCGCTAGGGCATCCGCAACTGCCACTGGTTGTGCATACAGTGGCAACAGGATTATCGTTGCCTAGGTCTTCACAGAAGCAAGCAGTGTTTCCAATACCGGTTGACCCACAACCACAACCGTCCTGACCTCCGGGGCAACTGCACTCCGACTGCGCAATTGCTACAGAGGCCAGACAAGCCAAGGCGATAATGGTGAAACGCATTGTTGTTGATGTAACGTATGAGGTGGGGGTGAATAGAGAGATAGTGACGGAAAAGACGGAAGATTACTCGAAGACGAGGCTGACTTTATACCTATCGATAGCAAGAGCTTAACACTGGAGACCCGCATTCAGCCCGTCCGAAACGCTAACACTACCCTCTCGCCCTGCCGCCCACGGTTGCTACGTAATTCCCAGCGGCGTAAATGCTAGCAATTTCTCCGATTGGCCAAATCATATGGCATAAAAGTGTAAGCCGCCGCGGTCACAGGCGCCACAGACGTGGGGATCGCCATGGTGCAGTTACATGGACGGAGCTGTAACCGAGCTCAGGTTCGTATTCGATCTATGCGGTGTGATCCCAATGGCAACCGCTGCGAGAATTGAGAAGGTCGAGTAACAGATCCAGGGCTCGGGCGCCAAACACGCTGTGCTGCCGGGGTTTTCAGCTATGGCAAGGCCAATAGAAGGAGGGTTTAAGTGGGTATAGGCGGGACGGGCTGACAGGGCGTGAACGAGAGGAGAACGAACGAGCGTTCAGCTCCTCCGCGTGGGCGTGCCAACCCAACTACGAACAACGCTTCGGTCGGAATCTCTGATATCCGTCCTCGAGAGATCGCGAGGCCTTTTTGCCATTAGGCGTGCCATTGCAGCAATGGGCCGGATCAGGCTAAAGCCTGCGTGAGATGAGCTGATGACCAGAGACGAGGACCGGTCTTATTCGGGGGTACCCCATTGGAAAGCGCAAAGATCTTCCACGTATGATGCGTACAGGTGTACGTCACCACCTGGCTTTTATTTTTTGTTGAGAAGCTTAGCAAGCGAGCCTTGGAGAAGGCACCCTGGAAAACAAACATGAATGATAAAGTTTTGCGGAGGTGGCGCAGGCAAGTTGGAGGCACGGAGTGCGATGTGAACCCGGTCAATTCAGCCTTTCATATGAAGGACCCCCACCGAAGCCAACCAAATCCTGCAAGCCAAAGCAAACAAGCAACAGTCCTATGTTACGCAGCCAGCCCCCAAACCCAGCCGCTCTGCTGATCAAACCATCCGGCTGTGGGATATCACCACGGTTGCTCTCCAACAGACCCTTGAAGGCAATTGGTCGGTACCCTTCTCCCCAGACGACCGACTGCTAGCCTGCTACTCTGCTGTCCATAGGACAAGGCACTCAAGTCCCTCACCAAAATATCCCTCCCGGTGCCTGAATCTACAACGATGAGACCCACTGGATAGAGCCCAACTGCGACCGGTTGCAAGATTACCCTTGTGACAAAGCCACTCGAAGATGCTATGGCGGCCAGAAGCCCGCCTTGACCCTTCACCAGCGGCACTTTTCCTGCCGCGGTCCCCCTCAGCGACTTCGCGGTAGCGTCGAGACCGAGTTTCACTGCTGCTGAGAGGGACAAGAGGTTGTGGGCTCAGATCGTGACGGCTATCAATGCTACCCTGCTAGCCAAAGATTCAACGGCCGATCCTATTAGAAGGCCTGGAAGAATTGAAGACTTTTGGTGAATGGCGAGTGCGTATGTCCACCTGGTACGGTCGAATCCTTTGTCACCAGAGGCGGTAAGATATGGACCTAATGAACAGACAAAAGCATTTGGCTGATAAAGATCACACTGATCGCCCTCATTACAATTTTGTCCCAGATCTACCACACTATCCATTTAGGGAGAAGGCTGTTTACAATCGAAGGGAAAAACAAGTAGGATTCAGTAATGCAGTATCGTCTATATTGATAGGATAGTTGTAGACCAAAAGATAAATACATGTCCTTGCCCCACGTAAAATAACGAACGCATAACCGGATTTGCCTCTCAAACGTTCCGAACCTATTCATATGAAGCCTCAATATTGTTGCCGACAGGATCGAAAACAAACGCAGCGTAATAGGAGGGCTGGTTGTATTCAGGCCGTGGCCCTGGGGGTCCATTGTAAGTGCCACCAGCTGCAATACCGGCGGAATAAAAGCCATCAACGATGGCGTGGTCTAAGGTTCCCGTTAGAACACATTTAATGAGTAGAAGAGCATAGCCAAGGAACGAAAAGGGATATGATAAGTTCAACAGATAGATCCAGAGAGAACTAAAACCTAAGAAAAACAACACTTACTTTCGGCTTTGAAAGCGAGGTGTACTTTTTGGTTAGTATGGACTTCGTGGTCGGCAGTGATAAAGAAGTCAGGACGGTAGACACCGAGGCCAACACAGTTTTCGACCGGCCTCATCATCTCTTTGTAGCCAAACGGCTTTAGGGCAGATAGATAAAATTTGAGGGTAGCGGAAAACATGCTGGGCGGGACCCGAATGCCAAGATGATCAATGGCCATATCGAAAGAGAGCAGCGTAGTTGGGGAGACAAAATGTGTTGGGGTTTGAAGATCAATTAGAGAGAGGTACAGTATTATGTTGCAGCTCTTCTGGGTAGATAGTCTGAACACGGAGATCGTGAAGCTTAAGAGTATGTTGAGGACCGGATCCATGTACCTTGAATGTACTTTGAGATTGACTTGGAAGATGAAACCCAACTATTCCGTATTTGGACTCCGGTCTTATGTTTTTCTATTCGAACCCATAGTGAAGAGAGTTTGGTCGTGCCCCATATATACGTCACTAGTTCGGGCCCCGCGGACAATATGATCCCTCGTGCAAACTAGTTTGTGTGGGCGCGCCCGTGGCAAAAGATGCTAATGAGATACTGACATGTCCCAGAGAGAGGGAGCTGAGCAGGCCAGTAATTGATTCAATATGGCGAGCTTTGAGTCCGTCGTGGCACAAGCAACACTGCTTATGACTTCGAAAGCGGTGGTTCTTTAATATCTGTAATGTCTGGTGCAATGTCCGCTGCAATTCCTACGAGAGTGCCTGCTTTAATATCTGTGCCTGCGACGGTGCCTGTGCCTGCAGTAGCGCTTGCGTATGGGTAAATGGGACCATCGACCGAGCGAGAAGCAGATAAGAGAAAACTGCTTAAAGTTTCGCAGAAGCTGATTCGCCATTTTGACCTCTCAGAATTGCATTCACTGATGTCGAGGCCTTGAATGCCGATGCGGGTAATCGAGTTGTAGAACTGTATGATCATTTGCATTGACACGGTCCCTTGATATGTATTTGTATACTAGACTGCCTTCGGCACTCCATGATAGAAATTGGGGGCTCCCGGGACGTAGGAAATCTGAAACCTATGATCATAACCTGTCCCCGCTATTACACTTCAGATCTCCCTTCGGCTGGCTTCTCAAACTTCAACCACTTCTCCGGCACCTTATACATCTGCCCTGCTTCCGATGACTCCGAGAACCACTGACTAAATTCTCGAAACTCCCCCTTCGTCACACCCGATCCCGGGCCCAAATCGAAAATCCTTCCATCTGCGGTGTGGAATTCGGATGCCACCACATTAGCAGTACACTCATCATTCAGAATCGAAATTCCGCGACCGATCATGGCGTTCATAGTCTCGACGTGACGCTTCGTAAAGTCGAGAGAGGACTCGCCTTCTCGTCGTACGATATGATTGCTTAATTCGCTTTGGAGGATGATGGAATCAGGATCAGCGCCCTCGACGATGAGGCGGTCGCGCGTCTGGCGTGCCCAAGTCGCATAGTCCCGGGGCGTCTTGTGAACCATGGGCTCGTCGTCTGAATCGTGAGGAAGCCCGTCGTCTCCATGGTCTTGAGCTGATTCAGACATCGTAAGTGCTGCGGCAATGTCCGTTATTCCCAAGTCGTACTGGTCTTCGTTGGAGTTTGGCTGTGCTGACGGAACTGAGGATATTGTGACAGCACATTCGTAGGCAACACCCAAACGTGAACTTAGTCATGTCGGTGACTTTTCTCATTGGCCTATCTTGGGTATCATGCATGTTGACTAACAGGTTACTCCCAATTTATCTGCTTATTTACACTTTACACCTCTATCATCCTCTTCTTTTCACCGTTTTGGGGCCCGATGTATGCGCTGTTCGCGCCTTCCAGTCCGTATTCTATTCGAGGAACCGGCGGTCAACAGACTTACCATATCGGAATTAGCGTGTTTTAAATTAGGGTCCAGGAATTCAAGTCTAAAAGTGTGGAGGTACATCTGATTTCGAATATTACTGTATGCAGTCATTTCCATCTTCAACCACTCCAGAACATACCAGACCGTAGGAAGTCCTCCCTCATAATGGTACTAACGTCAGAGCTGCGATACTGCATCAGATCCTCGCGATGCAGACCACGCACCTGCTCCCGTCCAATCGTCGAGATCGACCGCGCGGATGGGTGGTTCCAGAGCGGGCCAGGGGAATCAGTACGCAGCATATGCGGCGAGGGTAATCCAAATGCATTAGGGGACCTGCTACCCGGCGTACTCCCTGAGAGGGCCGAGCGACGGGGTGCAAACACGGGCAGACGAGCAAAGGATTCAGTATCAGTGGAAACATTGCTCAGACTGAGAGCTGAGATGCTGGAGTTGGGTCTGTTGCGAGTTCCCTGAAGTGGGTAGTTTGAGACTGAGCTGTAGAGGGTTGACATTCCCGATATCCCGGAAGCAGCAGATGAGCGCCATGATTGCACTGCACTGGGTGGGATCGTAATGACTTCTTCATCCACGGCTGTTTGTTCAATGGCTGTTGCGATGTCCGTAGGTTCGAGGATGTCCCCTGAGGCTCGGCTAGCCATAAGCTTGGCAGCCTTGCCAATCCAGAGCATCTGCTCGTGCTCGCGGAGGTATCGATCTCCGCTGAATGACTTCTGCACGATCTGTCGGGTTCGCATGCCTAGTTTCCGGCGTTGCTCCCTCTGCGTGTACATGCGACGTGTGATGGCGGTCACCTCTTCGGGTGTCGGCGAGGATGTGAGAACTGGGACTGGAGAATTGTCGTCGCTGTACTGGTCCCATTCACCAAGCATTGCGAGCATGGAGATCTGGGCTTTGGCTAGTGCCTGGGCGTCATTTGGTGCGACGACTGCGCTGAAGCGTGAGAAGTCGTCCGGGTCGCTAAGCACACGAAGCGAGGCGCCGACGTCTGTGCAGACTACTGGTGCACCGGTGAGAGCGGCTTCACCCAGAGCCAAGGGCAGACCTTCTGACAGGGAGGAGTTCAAGAAGAGCCAGGTGTTTTCCAGAACCTTCAAAGGGTCGGCGGTTCCACGCAGTGTGACTCGGTCGCGAAGACCCTTGGAGGCGATGATCTCCTGGCACTCGGTAGAGTAGGTCGGGGCTTTGTCAATGGCGCCGTAGATATCAAGGTGGTAGTCATCAAACTTCCACTGATTGATGATGATATCCGCAGCCAGAAGTGCGATCTTGATATCCTTGGCATACCAGACGTGCGACAACATGGTCACTGTAGGACGTTCTGATTTGATTTCCTTGACCGGAGAAAATTTCTGCATGTCTGTGATTCCGTTGACGACGGGATCGACCTTGCGGCGGAATGTGTTGCGGTGCTCGATTGTGCCCTGGCAGGTACCAATCTCCACTTCCCAGCCTGGGTTAAAGAAATCAGCACAAGGAAGAATGATGTCAGCATGGTGCAGAGTCAGGACTGAGGTGATTCTCATCAAGCCTAGCAGCGCGTTCCGCACGAATGGTGAAAGCTTGCACAGTGCTGAGGACAGGCAGAGGTTGGTTTCACGCCAGCTGATTGCGTGGTCCCAGATTTGCAGAGTGGCTTTTCTCTTGATCTTGCAGACCACACCGTATGATGCGCTAACGCTGTGGTGGGAGGCCTGGAAAACACTAGGAATCTTGTCTGGAACTGGGATTGAGAAGATAAAGAGGTAGCGGTACCACAGTTCCAGGGCAACTTCGAGAGACGCCATAGTGGGAAGTTCGGTGTCAAACCACTCCGACGAGGGAATGGTGTTGGGCATTTCCTGGGTTAGCCAAAGTTCTCGCCAGGTTTGCTTGACCAGTTCACTGTTCCAGACTTGCGTCCAGTGCCGGGAATCCTGAAAGTAAGTGTTGAGGTTGACCAATGCTCGAGTAGCTTGATGAATATCTGCTTTCGAGAGGCGGATTGCACGGGCTCCTTTCACCAACGCACTGAGAATTGGAATGAAGTTGAGCTTGATATCGAATTCACTGGCCGAGGTGACATTCTCCACCTGGGAATCCAGCTTATTCTCGAACAGACCGTGAGTCGGTGTGAGGAAGTCCAAACCCCAAAGTGGGATCACCTTCAGGGACTGAATATTCCTCTCGGTTTGATGCTTAGGAATACCAAAGTCATTAGCAGACTCGCAGATCATGTGCCACTTGATGCTGCGCAACGAGTTGATCATGTCTCGTCGACAGGCAGAGACACCGCCGCCCTCGTTGGGCCAGGTACCAGTGTCGGCAGCCATGACATGGAGGTTGTCATTTGTGTCAGAGCCGGATTCTTTGGAGCGGGTTGTGACAATAGCGTCACCTCCAGGCCCAAAAGTGAAGAGATCACTTATCTTGATAGCGAGCGGGGTCCAACTGGAGACGTTGTCGTCCAGATCCGCACTTGCCATGACTGCATCTCCATGGAGGTCCATGAACTTCTTTGCCGATTTGAGGCTACCCCAGTCGCGACTGCGCCAGTAAGGAGCAAGTACAGCGTCTCTGCGGAGAATTCGATCATCCATCCATCGAACGATGATACCGTCGATATCAACACGATCCTTCCAGGCCTTCCACATCAATGAGCGGGCACGGGATGTAGATACGGTGAATCGTCTTTTCGTCAAACCTAGAAGTCGAGTGAAGAGGTTCGATCTGAGACTGTCGCAGTGGACAAACGGATTGTCATTGACGAAACTGGTGTACTTCGGCTTGACGAGGACACCCAGGTAGTCGTGCTCGATCATGGGCGGGGTCTGTACTTTCTTGTCATGAAGGAGGGTGAAGATGGTGGGATGGAACTTGTGGTCGTACAGCCAGGTACTTTGGTAGACGTCCCCACTGTCTCTTTGAACAAACGTTGCGCTGGTCACCTTGGAATGAGGAATCCATCGATTGTCCTTCTTCTCCTGACGACGGGGCGGAACACACCACGCAACATTACAGGTAATGTGCGACAGGGAAAACTCGGCGCGCAACAGCTCGTCGTCGAAGTGAGCGTGCTTGCGGTAGTGGTAGAGGAAGCGGACAAGGCTACCATCCTTCATGTACGAGCCTCTCTCGATGAGACCCTTCCGGTTGTATTGGACGGTTTGAAGGTAGTTCTCGCCAGACACGCAACGTCTTCCCAGGGGGATGCGAGTGTTTGATGACTTGACGATCTTCAAGCCCTTCTTGACAGGCATGCGGTAATCATAGTGATACTCGTTGATGACCTTGCCATCTTTAAACTCCTGTTTGATGAGAAGCAGCATTTCACTTGAATAGTTGCTCAAATACTTAAGCGACTTTGCGTCCTTGGGCTCGACCTTGTGCTCACCGGTGTACTGGTACACTTTGAAGCCACCACCGGTCTCCTGGTGTCGGAATGCTGTGAAAGTGCCATCCAGGCTTTGGATAAGGACTCTGTCCTTCTTGACGTGAATCAACATTCCTTTGGTATCGTCCCACAGCCGCTTGATATTCTTGCGGCCATGGAAGAGGAAAAATGATAGACCCAGATCCTGGATTGACTTTGCGTAGATCCAAACCATGTTCAACAGGAAGATTGATGGTACTCGAATCACTGTTGGCAAGGACTTTGCGACGTGGTCAAATTCCCTCTGGAACTCTGGGTCTGCGACCAAAGCAATGACGATAAACTTTACTGCCGTTCCGATTTTGTGGTAGATGTAGTTCAAGGGCGATCTGACAAGAGAAAGAGGAACAGGCAGCTTCCGGGGTATGTAAGATATGTATTCAGCCGTCTCCGGTTCCCTGGGAACAGCCGCCTCTCCAGTTCCGTAGTGCGAGTAGTCAAGAATGCTGGTTGCTGTGGCCGCTCCCAGATTGCACCGTGCAATATGAGTGTCCAGATCATAGGTATCGAATTGGCAAAGCCTCCGCTGGAGCCACTGTCGCTGAGAGTCAGGTAGGCCACAAGATTGTCCAAGACAACGATTGAGGAGCACATTTCGGACGTCCTCTGGTAGCTTGTCCCAGTGCATATCAGCTTCGAAGCCAAGGCAGAGTTGCTTGAGAAGCTCCTTCTTGGCCCAGCTTACGACAAGTTGTGTATTGGCTTCCTCGCGAAGTTGACGTGCCATGGTGTGAGTAACACCTCCGGACACGATTGCCTCGGCGAGCTCGGCGTACTCATGGGGAATGCCCATGATGACCTCGGCAACGGAATGAAGTAAATTTTCAGCGATGATTTGGCAGTTGGCGCTGATATCGAGTCTTTCATCATGGAGACCGTGGATGCTGACAGCCAGTTTGAGGTGAGATCCGGTAGTGCAGCTCAAAGCACGGATTCCAGGGCCTAATGAACCCTGAGGCACAAGCTCAAGAGTAATATCCCCTTTCTCCCATCTAGAGATGGTAGTCTCAACAATGTCCTTCGAGTTAGGGAATGCTTCTTGAATCCGAAGCTCTTGTCGTTGTGACAGCAGAATGCTCTTGATCTCCAACCCGGGATGGGCGGCAGGTTTAACAGCAAAGCGATAGTCGGCTGGGAGAAGCGAAACACTCTCGAAAAAACTTTGCAGCTCTTGCTGCGACCATTCAGGATCAGCCCAGGGAGTGACCAAGGCATGGAATGACTTTCCCAGTGCAACTGGTGACTGAATCTTGCGCGGCATACTCATATTGGAGTTCAGGAAAGCCAAAATACCCACAGTCCAGGTTGCAGATCCAAGTCCAATTACTTGTGCGTATATGAAATTTGGAAGGCAGACCTTGAGCGCAATTCCAACCGGCAGACCCACGCAGACACCGACCAGAAGGGGCTTCAACGCGTGAGGTCCTAGGAAGATCTTGGTGTACTGGTACCAGATCAGACCGGTATAGGAGAGCACATAAGTAAAGAACATGATCGTAGCTCGCATGGATGCCTGGAACGACCAAAGGAGAGCCGTAGAGATAGCAAGACTCCAGACATGCCACAAAAGGAACCTGAAGAGAGTGCGCCAGTAGACCTTCCGTCGGAACTGTACATCGCCCTTCTGCGAGGTGCGAATTTCGTTGGGATTCTTCAAAGCGGAAGTTATCTTGCCACCGATAGCGACATGCAGTTCCTGGGCCTTCGTGTCGATGAGTACGGCGCCGATCAAATAATAGGCCAGTGCAAAGCCGACGGCCATACGGTTTGGATCCGTCAAAGATGCCGTCAGACCGACTAAGTGATTGCCACTTAGCAGTTGAACCCACTTGTCGAGAAGAGCAATGACAAAGTACAAAATGCCACAGCCGATCTCCGTGCTTGATTGCCGCCAGTGAATGAAAGCGCTGTGAAGCTTGAGGCCCTTTTGTGAGTTGCGTAGGGTGTCCAGGGCAACCTTAGTCTGGATGTTCCAGCCCGAACTGAACGGTATTGGACGTGGAACATCGGCATATCGGCAGTACCAATCCAAAAGGAAGTTGGTGGACTCCCAGTCGCGAGCAAGCTCCTTGACTAGCTGGTCGGTGTTGGACTTGGTAAAAAGACTACGGGAGTTCTCGGCCATAACATCATTCAACATAGCCTCTCTGGCCAGCTTGAGGGCGGCCGGATCACTGTGATTACCGAAGACCTTTTCGTCATTGTTGCCGTAGGCGGAGATGTACCACTTGCGGATCTCGGTATCATCGGTGCGCCGGATGGTCTGGTACCAAGTCACCCATTTTGAGGTAGTCGAACGAAGGGAAAGTAGGAGCACGCCAATAAACACGTAGATCACAGCCAGGTAGATGGCAGAATCGTTCCCAGCAAACGTTGTAATGATTGGTGACAAAAAGAGAATTGGAATGCACACGAAGATTCCCTTGCGTCCCGAGAGGAACGTCGACCCAGGGTAGCTGAAGCTTGCAAGGGCGGCAAAGGCCGAGAAATAGATAGTCAATGCAATCAGGTACAGGTAAAAAATTATACCCGCGCGCGGGTTCCTGACACTAGAGATGGCCACGAGACCTATCAAGCCACCGGCCACGGTGAAAGCAATACCGGCAAGGAGGCGGATCAGCACGAACATATTGGCAGCAGCGAATGCCATGGAAATGAGGTAGTATGATCCACCGTATGCAATCCATGTACCGATACCGCCCGAGAGCAAGAGCGAGATCATGAGTGCCATCGTAGCGCTGTCTTGCTCTTCGTACGTCATGTATGCCGAGAGATACAGACCACGTCCGATGAAGGTGAGTAGAAGGATATCGATAAGAGCCGGGACGGCAAAAACACTCAAGAACGTAAACCGCTGGTATCCACGCATGGGCTTCGCTTTGTTTTCAGGGTCGCAATCAATCTGGGCTCCAGCGTAGGCTGTTGCCATTTCAGGTGCACCGTTGATCCAGCTCGGCGGCTGATTCTTGGTGTAGTAGGCTCTGAAACGATCGGATAGAAGCTTGCCGAATACGCTAGGATTGACATCAAAGTAGGCTTCGCATCGGGAACCGAGCGCAAAGGATTCGGCAAAAGCAGCGGCTTGATCGAAGTGGTTGTTGAACAGAGGATTCCGGTCTGTCACCTCTTCGTATATTTCATCGAAAGCTCCCTTTCTTGCAGCGCAGAATACTGCGAGTGCTATCATGTCTACGAATGCATCGACATTGTTGTCTTGCATCAGCTCGCCAAGCCCCTTAGTAATGCTCATAAGGTCGTTCTCCCGATGGGCTTTTAGTACCTGAGTGAAAACCTTGTCAACCTGGTGGAAGAGATCGAGCGATGCTTCGAGTGAAGGATGGCTGCATTGCTGATCTTTATACCAGTTGATACGCGATTTGACCAAGTCTTCGGCAGTGATAGATCCATTGAGGTAGTTGACCGTGTTGAGCTCTTTCAGTTGAGCAAAAGAGGGGGCAGTAACCAACTGCTTGCGGATGTAGGCACAAATATTGTCATTGATGCCGCTTACCACATCGGTAAGTGTCAGGTGTTGCAGCAGAAGCAGTCGCTCTTCCGGTCCGAGAACATCGATATCCTGAACAACACGGCGAGGAAGGCCAGTGTTAGGAGCCAGGTCTTGAGACCACTCTGCAAGTGCAGTCTCTGCCTCAAATGAAACATGGCGAGGGAATCCCTTTGCAGACAAAAATGTGTGAAGGATGGTACCGGCGAGGCCCTGGGCATTCTTAGACACGAAGATGTCAACATTCTCGTCTTCGAGTTGGTACACCGCCCAGAATCGAGAGCTGGGGGCCTTTCTGAGTCCGGAATCAAGGGCAAGATTCACGGTTAATGCGTCGTTTGTGGCCAAATCGGCAAGCTCTTTGATCGCGGCTGCGACTTGGCCCTCGCTTTCCGGGCAAGGGGCAGCCTCTTGAAAACGACGGAAAAGAATTCCAATGCTGTGAATTTTCGTTGAAGGAACAGGGTGAAGAAGGCAAAGTTCCTTCAAGCGCTGTTGGGATTGAAGAATCTCTGCGAAAGCCATGGGTGTGGAGTCCGAGCCCAGGGGGAAGCAACCAAGATGGCCGTAATGCTGTCCAGACATGGAGACCGAGAGAGGATTTCCTTGAGATTTCACCTGTGCAACCCACTCGGGAGGGTCACGGAGACGAATTGGGGGGCTATCGGGGGTCTTCTCCTCGCTTTCCTCGCAGTCAAGGAGACGGTTGACTGTTGGGACCAGTGGCCGAAGTTTATTCCATCCTGTCTTGGCTGGAGAATGTCGTGAAATTTGAAGATTAGAACGCCATAAATCATGTGCCTTCATAACCTCTGCATCCTTCAGCCACCCAAAGGCCGGCAGGGGCTCAGGGGTCTGGATGTTCAAGTCGGCGTTGCGCAACGAAGCCTCGGTGCCGATCCAAGCGATGGCACTGTAGAAGTTGCACCACGACAGAGAACGTCGAACAACCGCATTCGCCAAAGCCGCATCATCATTAACAGTTTCCCACATCAAGACGGCAAAGTCTCTCATACAAGACTCAGAGACAAAGGCTTTGATGGTCGGTTGCATGTTGGTCATCTGGAAATAGTCGCGTTTCTTGCCCGTGGGCATGATACTGGCATTGCGAATCACCAATCCCGAAACAGCACGGTTTTGCAGGGATTTTCTGTTTTTTAAAAAACCCGGTGATCCAGTCTCTAGATAGACCACCAAGCCCAGGCCGCTGATCGCTTCGAAAAGCTTTGCTTGGATTGATGGCGTACTCAGATCTTCCCAATTAGCGAAAAGAATGCCGGAGAATGCGGTGTGGTTAAAGTTGTTGGCGAGCATCGTCTCAAGTGTCTCGATAATTGACAATGTCGTCTGCTTTCGTGGGACAACGCGCGCAAGGTCGATCCTTCCCAGGATCTGACACGGCGAGTGCCGGATGTTCTCGGCCACGCCATTTTGGAACGGATCTACGATCAGAAGATCCCATTGCTTCAATATGCGCTCCTGTGATGCTTGCCCCTTTTCGAAGCTTCCAAGGTAAACGCCGAATGACTGCGGCTTTTGCTTCTTCAGACAGGTGTTGCCCAAATTAAGCTCTCGACGAGCCAATTGATCAAGGCGCTGGGCCACATTGGCGGGAACTTTGTCAGATTGTGCCCATTTCTATTGAACAAAGCACAAAGTCAGTGTAAAAGGTAGCAGGGAAAAGAATATATTTCCGAGGGACCCTACCTTGTAAATTTTGATTATCCTCTTCACCGCAGACCATAAAATGTGAACACCTCCGATAGTGATACAGGCCAGTAATACTCCGATCAAAAGCTGAAATTAAATCAGTAATTTGGTTCCCGACGCGTAGAAATGCATGTGGTTGTGAAAAAGTCGGGATAACGCACAAATTGCCACCAGTGGCCTTTCATCGACTCCCACCCAAGTGGGTGTACGGAAAGGATTTTCGCCATTGCGGACATTCGCGAGGCCTCGACCTGGTCTCGTCTTAAAGTAAATAGGTATAAAATAACAGCAATGTTCGTAAGAAACTATCGCTGCCCAAAGGAACAATTAATGCATGGCTGATATGGACGGCAGGTATTGAAAGCGAGTGACAATAGTAAAGAACAAAGGTCGGACGGATGAACTGGATGTGAGAAACGCAGTAATGGGAGCAAAGAAGGCTTAGATCTGAACCTTGACTCTGGAATTATCGCGGACGAGCCCGATTTCAATGTACACTTGCCTCGCCCCGGGAGAACAGAAAGCGCCTCTCGCTTGTTCGCTGTTTTTGCCAGGGACCAAGACACTTGGCAAACAGCGCAAAAGAACCTTTGTGAGCAAAAATAGAAGACAAAAAGTTCTCTTAGACGGAGGCCAAGCACTACCACTAAGAGACGCACTAGGGGGTCCGACAAGACACGCGGTGGAGTCATTTAGCTACAGCTCATATGTACCCGATGCCATGTGTGGCAAAGACCCCGTTTCCCATGCGATCGGTACCGTGGCATTGTTTTCTAGTCCGCCGTGTACGCAGATCGGAATATGCCGTGTCTCCTGACTCCGCAATGCCGGTGCATATCCTATCTATCCTTTCTTTTCGGGCTGACCCCATAGCATTGTCCAATATTTGGTATACTTTTCTCTGTCTTGACGAAGCGGTTGATGCATGGCGTGAGACAAGGTCTGGACTTCTCCAGATGCTGATGACTGGACGACCCACTGAGCTGACGGTTCTCCGATTTGATTTTACAGGTTTAGCGCAGGAGCTAACAGGTCGCGGAAGACCCGATGATGGGATTGTTGCCCAAAGTGGATTGATTAGTCGGTACCCGAAATTAGTATGTGTAATACATGTAATAAGTCATAGTTTCAAATTACCAAAACGTTCATACAGTACGTTACCAGCCATCGAAATGATCACGCTTCCTGCAGGAAATCTCCACCCTCGTCTGCCATGACCCTTTGACAAACCACCAATTGTAAATCCTAACAAACTCCGAGTACCAAGTCCATGTCTCTAGGGTTCCATCGCACCCATTCACCCGATCTGACATCCTACAATCCTCGGGAAGCAAAATCCGTCCCATCAAGCCCCGCTTAAACAGACACGCCACACAGACTCCCGATATAGAGACAGTCAATCCTTGTGGAGATGATTCTCGCTTAACGACATTAAGTGTAGTCAATCAAGGCGATAGGTCTGCAAGACTTCAGTAGAACTCCACAAAGTAAATAAAGATGCTGACGATCACGACTCCTTGGAGAATATATGCAATCTAACTCACGTCGCCTGCATTCGGGCCCCATCTCTTACTCGCCATTCGTTATTTGTGCATGGCCCATGCCCCCCGGTCAATATCAAGATGGCTGCTCTTCCCGTCTGGGCTTTGAAGGTGGCCTGCTACTACGGCATTATAACATGCAACACCCGCCCCGGAGTTTGGAGCAACGGCAAGCCTTCAGTCGTTGCTTGGGAGCCTCCCCACACCACAACTACTCAAAAGACAACTACAACGCGTATTGTGAAGGCGACTACCACCGGTCTGCCTGATTTCACCACCACTACTCATTCCTTGACTACCACCACTGCTGCTTTGAATACTTTCACAATCGCTTTGCCTTCTGACACGAGTGTCATTGTCACTGTCCCTATTGAGACTGTTTCGCCAGCTACCTCATCTCCTTCGACCTTTCTTATCTCGACCTCGGCGTCCTTGATAAATACCTTGAGCTCTCCCGCTGGTTCATCATCATCATCATCATCAGCAGCCTCTTCCAGCTCGCCTACTTCTAGCTCTGCACCCGGTTCTTCTGTAGCTTACAGCTCGGCCTCGTTCAATCCCTCCCCAAGCTCTTTGATATCATCATCGACCATGGCCTCCTCTGCAGTCTCCATCTCGGCGAGTGCTCCCGCAGCTCCTGTCAGTCATGCTACTGTTGCCAGCAACATTCTGGTGATTGCAAAGGATACCGCGTCTGCCGGTGTTGCTTCCTCCGGTCTCAATGCCTACGGTATTCCATTCACCACTTTGATTGTTCCTCAGGCTGGTGTCAAACTCCCCGCTTTCAACACCAGTGCTGGAGGTAAATTCGGCGGCATTGTCGTTGCCTCTGAAGTCAGCTACGACTATGGAACCGATGGCTACCAGAGTGCTCTATCCACCGACCAGTGGAACCAGCTGTACGCTTATCAGCTTGAGTATGGCGTCCGCATGGTTCAGTACGACGTCTATCCCGGCCCTAACTACGGCACCACTGTCGTTGGCGATGGTTGCTGTGCTTCTGGCGTCGAGCAGGATGTTTCCTTTACCGATATCAGTGACTTCCCCACCTCTGGTCTGAAGACTGGCGCTGGTGTCAGCACTGAGGGCCTGTGGCACTACCCTGCTACTATCAGCAACACCACATCCACCAAGCAGATTGCTGCCTTCGCTGCCAACTCGGTCACTAATCGCGAAACTGTTGCTGCTGTCATTAACGACTTTGATGGTCGTCAGCAGATGGCTTTCTTCATCGGCTTTGACACTACTTGGAGTGCCACCTCGAGTTATCTGCAGCACGCCTGGATTACCTGGATTACACGCGGTATCTATGCTGGATACCGTCGTGTCAACCTGAACACCCAGATTGATGACATGTTCCTGGAGACCGACATCTACTCGCCCAGTGGCAAGACTTTCCGTATCCGCACCCAGGACATGGAGGGCATCAAAAACTGGATTCCTACTATTCTTGCCAAGATGAACTCCGGCAGTGTCTATTTCCCTGAGGTTGGTCACAACGGTAATGGAAATATTGAGAACTCCTCAGACACCGACGCAGGATACACTGCCTGCAATGGTGGCGGCATCGAGTACGACTCCCCTCCAGACACTGCCCTTGAGTTCCAGAAGCCCTTGGGTACCGGTACCAATTTGTGGCCCGCTACTCCTACCGTCTACGACTGGACCACCGCCTGCACCAAAATGGACCCTCTCCTCATCTGGTGGACCACCACCGACAACCTGAACAACTTCGGTTCCATCTCCCACACCTTCACGCACGAAGAGCAGGATAATGCCACCTACTCCGATGTCTACAAAGAGATTACCTTCAATCAGGCCTGGCTGAAGCAGGTCGGAATAGACCAGTCCAAGCACTTCACTGCCAACGGTATCATCCCCCCGGCCATAACTGGTCTGCACAACGGCGACGCACTTCGAGCCTGGTACGAGAATGGCATCACCAACTGTGTCGGTGATAACACCCGTCCCGCTCTCCTCAACACTGAGAACGTCCACTGGCCCTACTGGACCGTGACTGCCACAGACGGCTTCGATGGCATGCAGGTCAACCCCCGCTGGGCTACTCGCATCTACTACAACTGCGACACTCCCGCCTGTACCGTGGCCGAGTGGATCGCCACCTCCGCCGGCAGCGGCACCTTCGACGACCTCCTCGCAACCGAGAAAGCCGATACCATGCGCCACCTGTTTGGTCTTTACCATGAAGGCTACATGTTCCACCAGGCCAACCTGCGCAACGCCGACGTTGACGCCATCACCATCAATGGTGTCTCCGCCAAGTACTCCATCTTCCAGGCCTGGGTCGAGACTCAGGTCCAGGAGTTCGTCCGTCTTGTCGACTGGCCCCTGGTGACTCTCAAGCACGCCGATATGTCTGCCGCTTTTCTGGCCCGTTTTAACCGTGATAAGTGTGGCTACACACTCAGCTACACCACCGCCGACCAGAAGATCACAGCGGTGACTGTCTCTGCTACTGGCAACACTTGCAGCGAGCCTATCCCTGTGACCTTTCCCGTTGCTCCTTCTAGCACCCATGGCTTCACCACCGAACAGCTGGGCAGTGACCCCCTGACTGTCTGGGTCCAGCTGTCCGGATCGCCGGTTACTTTCACACTGGCTACTCCCATTGATCTTGTCTAATACGTCTGACTTGCATTGTCTCAAAAGCCTTTGCAAATACTACTGACTAATTTCTTTGCTTTATTGAATCTGAATTTTGCATCTCGTGTGTACATATGTTGATAGTAGTTATTGTACTGGATGGAATGGAATGTAGTGTGATGAAAACATGACTTAACGATTTGCATTATCTCTGTTTGTGATTGAAAGATTAATCAAACCATTGGAATTTCTAGATTAGAGATGTCTCGGCCACTTTCAAAGGGGGGTTTAGCGTATTGTAGATTGCTTCAATTCAGGTAGGTAACGCGGATGAAGGGCTTCGCACAATCAATCTCGATAGATATATTGAGACTAAGAAGGAATGGACTTTAAAAAGTACACACGTACATAGAGAAGCAGCGGTCTAGTATTGAATGCTGAAGATAAGTATATCTCTCTATTTACATGTGCAAAAGTCCTCTCTACTCTGTTCCTCCCACCCGAGATAAAACGAGCCCGGGGAATTATCTGCTTCTGACAGCGCGTACCTGAATGCACGCCTCCCGTGGTCGTACAACATCCACCCGCAGACGCAAAGCCACCCCTGTGGTGGCGGGCAATACGATGTCAAGCATGCACAGCAACCTCATCCGGCTCCGAAACATGCCACGCCCCGAATCTCACCTCCAAGACGGGACATTGGTCACAGCAAATGAATCCCGTGTTATGATCATTGGCACCCCGATTCAGACATAGTACAAGCCATGTTTACGACCGAGGCTGAGTCTCTTCCCTAACCTGCCCGAGCCCTGCAAGTGAGGGGGCAAACATTTACCAAAGTACCGATCCTACATGGCAATTCATTCGCCCAGAGATGAAGAAACCGCCGAGCGTGAGGGAATTACGACCTAGAGAGCCTTGGCACGGAAGTGACCTTTCTAATACCCGAGAACGTCGGCAGGGGTAAATTCTCGTATGCAAATCATGCATCTGGGCCTTGACGGTTGTGGCGCGGGGCGCAGTTGCGGGAGAATCAGACAATTGGGTTATCTTAGATCGCATCAGGAAAAATAAATACAAGATAAAATAATTTTCCCGATCTGAATTCACGGTGGATGTGGGTACCACTGCAAGAGAACTTGAGAGAATCATGCAAAGTGGTAAAAACAAGCGAAGATGCAGTCTCCGTTGCAGCCAAGACGTTGGAATACTGGCCGTGTTTCCAAGATTCAAGGGATGAGAAGTCAAATGATGGGGATCCTGATCCTAAGATAGCACCAGAATATACTGCTGCCAATCATGTAGTATATCAGTAATCGGCCTGACCAAAAATCGGTGAAACAGGTGCAAAGTAAAAGAGAAAGAAAAAAAGTGACCAGGGCGGTATGGAATACGCAACCGTACAGGATGTATCAAACAGTGTACCAGAGTGGAGTGTATTGGAAAATACATAGATTGACTTGGCGGGGATCATAACCTAACGCTAAAACGCTAAGGACTCCAGCCGAAATCCAAAATCACCCTAAAACTCACCGTAGACTCACATTTGCCGCTTGCCAGCGCATGCAGCACGAATGCCGGTGCTCATTGGCGGGGTTCCATCATCATCACTCCCCAAATTGTGCTGTATCATATTTCCTTAGCCGAGGGCATTGGATTAAAAGTCGGCGTTCGGGGTGTACCGTTGGTCCCTGAACGGGCTGGCTGCAGCTGACTCCGACTGTTTACCCTCGCGTGGCCCTGTCTAGCACTAAACTCGATCTCAACATCATCTCCCGCGTGAATGAAACTGCATATTTCTTGGCGCGTCGATGCATTCGAGGCTTCGCGACTGCCTTGGCGTCTTGGCGGGACCTATGCCGGTCTTTGTGTTTTCTTGCAATGGCGCAATATTTGGAATTCGCGGTCCCCGGTCCGTCGGTTCTTTCTTGTCCCTCCTGGTTCCATTGGGGTTACTGTGGCTTTGCAGTGTGGTATCGCCCTTCAATCCGGTCTGGCTATACACCTTTCTGCTTGAGTGAATCTTGCTGCCTGACCTCGGACCCAATGAACGGACCACGATGATCGCGTGGGAACTCGGTAGATCAACATCGGTTCCACCACCTTATTTTACTTCTTTGGCCCGTGGTCTGGATCCCGCCCTATACGGATCTCGCCATCGATAATTGTGCAGCTCCCCCATCTTGGCGCACTTTTGTCGCACTTGGCGTCCTAGTTTTCCTGTCCATTTCATTTCCTATTTTTTGCCTCTTTCTGTAGCCTATGATTTTTTTCCCTTTCGTAGGTTAGGGGTCACTTAATGCATAGGCCCGAGGAGAGCTAATGATTTAGCCCGGGGTGACATCCGGAGTCCTACTTTGAACTGGTGCCTTGAGCTCCGGACCGCCGCAGCCACAGCCACAGCCCCAAACCCCTGCGTTCTGGCCCGCCTTGTTGGACCGTTCAAAGATTCTTTATATCCTTGATTTACTTTATCTCGTCTATCGCTCATTTTCAATCAGTTCCTGCATGATAATGCCAGTCGGTCGCAGCTAACCAGAGCTAAACTGCCACGCAACACTCCCCATTTGTTTGTTTCAACTTCGAATTTACCCATGTCTTTGAAAGGAGCTGCCCCGGGATGGTCGACCAGGAAGAAGATCTTGGTATTCTCAATCATCGGCATCATCATCGTCGCCCTTGGAGTCGGCCTTGGAGTTGGATTAGGAGTTGGGCTCAACCACAACAACGGCGGAGGTGAAGGTAACGGCAGCGGCACCGGTGGAAACGGAGGAACAGGCACCGGTGGAAACGGTACATCGAGCGGAAATACGACCGTGAAGTGGCAGCCGGAAGTGGGCATCAAATGGCAGATCGAGCTGCTGTACGCGCTGAACGACACCTCCGTAGACGCGCACGTCTATGACATCGACCTCTTCGATAACCCCAAGTCGACCATTGCCAATCTCCAGGGAATGGGCCGCAAGGTTATCTGCTACTTCTCCGCCGGCACATACGAAAACTGGCGTTCGGATGCGAACGAGTTCCTGTCTTCAGACAAGGGCAACAACCTGGCCGACTGGCCCGGCGAGAAATGGCTGAATACCAGCTCGGCCAACGTGCGCAAGATCATGCAGCAACGCCTCGATATGGCTGTAACCAAGGGCTGTGACGGTGTTGATCCGGACAACATCGACGCTTACGATAATTCTAACGGGCTTGACCTCACCCAGGATGATGCGATCAACTACGTCAACTGGCTTGCTTCGGAGTCGCACAGCCGTGGTCTGTCCCTCGGACTCAAGAACGGGGGCGATATTATCCACTCGGTGCTGGGCAACATGCAGTGGTCTGTCAATGAGCAGTGTGCTCAGTACTCGGAGTGCGATACTTATGCAGCGTTTACTGCTGCGAACAAGCCCGTTTTCCACATCGAGTATCCCAAGGGCGATACCGATGATGACGATAATGTGACCGCGAAGCAAATGTCGTCTGCTTGCAATGCTGCAAGTGCTGGGAATTTCTCGACTGTGATTAAGAACATGAATTTGAACAACTGGGTGGAATACTGCCCTTGAACGTGTATATGTACAGAACATTGGTGTTTTGGAGAAAGCGATCATCTACACAATATTACTTCAAACTTTGGAATACTTGCACTTCAAAAATTTTCACTTTGCCGTATTCTCCTATACTGCTAATCCGTACAATTGCACCCCTACTTGATTTTTCCGTACGACATCAACTCGTGACACCACAGAATCAGTCGCGGAATTCCAAGTAACTCCGAAAATCGAGTCAAGTCATCCATCGCCATTTCTTGCCACCATTACGACATTAGACACCGGAGCCCAGCCAAGAACCGAGTCCCACCGACAGCTCTACTCCAAACCTCGCCACGGAGAAATCAGAAACTGCCCACGCCTCACACAGAAAGCCAAGCTCTCGTATTCATGCTGGGCGCGGCGCATTCTACTCAGTGTAGCCGACACAAACGGGAACTCCGGATCCAGCATCCCTGCAATAATGATATCTGAAAGCGTTTCCAAGGTACACCCTACAGCCCTGGAGTGATAAAAATAGATTCTTGGCAAGTCTACCTCCAATTCTTTCGAAAAGATCACCTATCTATTGACCGACCCTTATAGGTGATGTTTTATAGAGCAATGGACGTGTCTCTTGGATGCGATCCAAAAAGTAGAGATCGAAGCGGCGAGACGTCCACGCGTCCGCGGTTTACTGCATTGGCACCTTTGGTATCTGCACAGTCGCTGCACGTGGTACGTGTCTCATTGGTAAGGTTTTGAGGAGTTTTTGCTGTGGTGGATGTGACAGATGGGTGCAGTAGTGGGCCCATCGCGTTTTTATTTTCAACTAGGTTATGGGGATGTGTAACTATGCTTGTATTTTTCATTCTGCTTCACAAGGGTTGAGTTACGGTAGTCGCAATAGGTACGGCAATCACAATTAGACTCTGCCATTTTCTCCTGGACTCAAGGTCGTCGTACGACCTTACCAAGCCCGACTTCGAGCTCTCCCTGCAGGGGTACCCATCAACTCAGCTCGACGGCTGGACGCTCACGACACGTTTCCGAGCCGAACGCCATAGGAAAACTTAAACCGACAGGGATCCTTGGTCGGCGGTAAGCCGGTCTCTATTAGTGCCTTTTATCTCTGTCCCGAGACACGGAGAGGATCCGTGAAGAGGAGTCGAACTTAATCTTGAATTCTACGTTGGGATTTCAACTGGGGAGTGCAAAAAGGTAAACATACGATCCGTGGATGCGATCGTAAGTGGAGTTCGGTCCAATCGCGGGCAGATCCACGAACCACGAACCATGAAGATCCAATTTAGTATTGGAACGGACTTTCAGCTCCACTTATGCCACTACTTCGCTAGTGGATCTTCGGGTGTACCAGAAACCGATTCTAGACTTGAGTGTTTCGGTTGGAGATTTTCAATTTCTGTTGTTCGCTCGGACGATACTCCACGATTCGAACCCCCAGCGTTAGAATCGGATATCCACTTTTCCACGTTTTCCTCCGATACCAATTTTCGAGCACACCGTGGTTCACGCAGCATACAAACCGACAGTTGATGAAAGTAATCCAGAACGGAATGTGTACAGGGGTCCTCTGTATAATGGACTCAGCTAGCGGGTTCAACCCATCCAGCTCCCGTTCAACAGTTTGAAGGCGTACCGTTCCACAGCAGAGCGGCCTTAGCTCTAAATTGAGCTTAACAGATGCATGTCCGGAGGTATTGTCAAAACTTCAATGTTCCCTCATAGAGTCTACGGCAGAGCGGGTGGCCTTTGCTAGGTCGAGGATAGATCAGAAACCTGTTTCGTGAAATGCGATGTTTCCTGCCTTTCTGGTCTGCCACTAGGTCCCTAGGGATGGTGCTGGGTGCTCTGTAGTGTACATTTGTTCGTGCAGAAGTGCGGTACGTCGACAGGGTAGGGATTTTACCTGGCTAGTGGTATTTGATCTGCGTGTCAAGCTGACTTCATGGCGTTGGTTTGCAAGTATGTGTCTGTGTCTGTTTCTCGCAGTGGCGACACTATTTCGCATTGACCTAGGATCTCCCAAGTTCCTGTTCCATTGCAGCGTTGTCTCTTTGTACCCAACAGCCTTGTGGTCGCAACTTCTTTCAAGTATCACTCTGCTGTCTCATTCTTGCATGCTAAGTAGCTTTCTTGGCTGCTTCTGGAAACGGCGTTTCCGGTGCTATTTGGCGACTCGTTTTAAAACCATCTCGATCTAACTGGTAGGCTGGATAGACTACTTCGGTATTCTTAGACTGTACGAGTTGGGGCGCTGTGTATTGGATACGGTGAAAGTATGAAAATTACAAAAATACATGGGCCACTGATGAATGAGGGCATAAATCACCGCCTTCCGTTCTTTTGTCGGCCCTTTGATTTCCTTTTTCTATATTTCATTGTCGATCGGCGGACTCAATGACTGGCTAGATCTGCTAGCCTCTGATGCTGGCCAAGTCTGGGCTGTAAAAATTTCCATTGCTGGCAACCTTCTCTAGTAGACAGTTCAGGGCGAGATGCCGAGGCACGAAGATGACAATATGGACCTTGGAAAGTAAGGATGAGTATAATCATAATTCTATCATCACATAACGATCATCCGTATATACCTCCTCGCTATGCTGCCATCAGACTGACAAATTCGGCCCACTTCGTCCCAAAACTAGCATAGTAATCGGAGCTAAGGTGGGTGATGAAAACCTCATCAGCCACTGAGCGGACCTGTTTGACCAGTCCGCGCAGCTTTGACCCGTCCACCGTACTCGGGACGGAGTGGATAACTGCGCAGAGCTGGGTGCGGTTGCTTTCAGGGATAGCAGTGAGCAGTCTCGCACCATGCCTTTCCTGGAAGGTGGTGTAGGTTTCTTCGAACACGACTGTTGAGTCTGCCGTTGGTAAGTAGCGCGAGTCTGGAACGGCCCCTGGGTTGTGCATGACCTAGATATTCGTTAGTTTCGAATTTCCGGCTCGGGATCCCGGATGGAACAAGTGGAGAGGGTGGTGGAAAAGAAGTCTTTGGTAAGCTGAAGCAGTGTTTGATGTAGACTCAGGGGAGACCGGGGGCCAGTGATATGATTTGGTGGTAAGGGGTAGAGAGGGCCAGGGAATCAAGTATGGAAAAATTGCAAAATAGCGGAGGAGTGTAACTCACGAATGGGTCTGGCCCGAAACCATTCAGACCTTTGGTCAGATCGGTCAGGTTTTGCAAATATGCTAGAGAGTGGGGGCTGTATTGTTGGGGTGTCTCGTCGAAGAATATACCCCGAACGGCCAAGTCCGGGTTGGAAGATGCAGACGGCCACGCCGCGTAGGTCTCGATATCCTTGCGCACTAGGGAGACGTTGCGTGTTGCATACGTCGTGTGGACGTATCCCAGAAGACGCACATTGGCATGGGAAGCGAGGTTGGGAACTTCACGTGTATAATTTGCATCTGGCAGAGCGTTGGGCCCTGGACCACTGCCAGGATTGATTACGACTGTAAAGTTGACATCTGGGTGGGCAGATATCCTGTAGAGTTTTCAGCAATGATTCCTTCTGCGTTATCTTGGCTTTTTGTGGTTATTTGGGACCCCGCTCTTCGGTGCCACTGTGCATGCTGGCGCCCGAACAACACGACATTGTCCCTGTCATGTATGGGGCGGCCTACCGGCTGGTTGGGATTGAGTTCCTTGGAAGCAGGAAGAGAGATAGGGAGACAGGGTCTGGGCTGGATTGGAACAGTGAAACATACACTTCTTCAAGGGGAGTCCAAGCCCCCGGGGCGGGGTATACGTAGAGTGGCACGAAAACCTTGGATTTTGGCCCCATACTGTTCTTCTTGCGCAGTGTGGTGACCACGACCGGGGGGATGACGGCGGCAAGAACCACAATAAAGATGACGACGGCTAAAACAATTCGAGACCGGCGGGACTTAAGACAACCGCGCTTGCTCACGTGCTTTTCGGGGGCCGTGGTCGACATCGTAAGAAAAAAAGGTAATAGATTGGAGTTGAAGGGTTTGGAAAAATTCACAAAGTGGATTAGAAATGGCGTTGCCACTGTCGCATATAACTCAGATATCGGTTATAAACTTCATACTAGCAGGGAAAAAATAATGAAAAGAAATCACCCGGTCTACCTCTTGGTACTCTTGGCCGTCCGAAATAGACCGACGCGGGTCTCGACCATGAGATGCAGTAGTTAAGAAGGATCTTAGATCAGATCTAGAGAGAGAACAATTGATTGGTAGCACGGTACGGTCACTAGTCTGACCTGAAGGCCCTGACGTACCGCCATGGTGGAGTTTCTAGGGCATCCGGGCCTGGAGAGCGATCCAAGGCCCAGCCCCATCGCTGGCCCACTATACACGGGGCTCCTGCCCAACTGCTCCTTGGTCTGCCCTGATTCTTCATTCGTTCCCTTGTTGGCCTTTGTCTTTTTTTTAGCGCAGCTTATGCGAATTTCTATGTCCCTCTTCCATTTTTGCCGGTGGGAATGGCCGATTCCTCATTTGCTAAAAGAAGCATAGCACGTTCCAAGCGAAACGAGAACGGCAACACAGAGCGCGCAAGACTTGTATAAATCTTGCATGGGAGTCTCCTGATAATTTTCGACGGATCTCAGCCATTGTCTCAAATATCATATATGATCTGTCCCTATTTTTGTCTGGGGCGATTCAGAGATTCTTTTGCTCTGTCATCTTTTTTCTTTCTCCTCACGCCCCACGGGCACTCTTTGACTCCCTTAGCCATTATGGACAGTCATAATCAATCGGACGTGAGTACTCCTGTAGAGAACGATTCGCCTGTTTCGGTGGACACCCCGGCCACGGAATCGTCAGTCTTGTTTGACAATCTTGACGAATTGCTCCGGAGAATTCCTTCGGAAAGCTCCTATGTCCTTGTTACTGGAGGACTGGGGTTCATTGGAAGCCACACCACCTTGGAGCTCCTCAAGGCGAACTGTAATGTGATTGTGCTCGACAATCTCAGCAACTCTTTCGACGTTGTTTTCGACCGCATCAATTTCTTAGCCCAAGAGTTCCACACACAAAATGGATCTCCAATGCCGTCTTTGAGACTGCATCCGCACGATTACCGTGACGCAAAAGCTCTTCAACCTCTTTTGGAAGAGTATCGCCTCCCCTCGAGATGGGGCGTGGCCAAGTCGAAGATCGCTGGTGTTATCCACTTTGCGGCATACAAAGCCGTTGAAGAGAGCATTCGGCATCCATTGAAATACTACGCTAACAACGTGAGCGGTCTCATCGATTTTACAACCAACCTCGGCGACTTTGGCATCAAAACATTCATCTTCTCTTCCTCCGCCACAGTCTATGGCACTCTTGCAAATTCAGGTCTTCCGTTGAAGGAGGAACTCTGCGTCCACAAAGAGGAAATCACTCTCGACCGGGATGGGCAAACCCAAACAGTGCAGCCCGGATGCACGGGAATCACCAACCCATACGGACGCACAAAATGGATCTGCGAGTCCATCTTGGCCGATCTCGCCGCCTCAGATCCAGAGTGGACAGTCGTCGCTCTCCGATATTTTAACCCCGTCGGATGTGATTCATCGGGACTCCTGGGCGAAGACCCACGACAAACGCCAACAAATCTTCTCCCCGTTGTTGTCAAGGTCATGACCGGCCAATACGCTGAGCTGCAGATGTTCGGAACTGATTGGGAAACCTCAGATGGAACAGCAATTCGCGACTTCATCCACGTCACTGATTTGGCTCGTGGACACATAGCTGCACTCAGCACCGCAAACGAGGGAAAGCTACGCGAGAATTTCCGCACTTTCAACTTGGGTACTGGATCAGGTCACTCTGTTTTGGAGGTTGTCAACACAATGGAGACTGTTATCGACAGGCCAATTCCGAGGAAAGCGGCAGCCCGCCGAGCAGGTGACGTAGGATCCTGCGTTGCAGTCGCTAAGAGGTCCCGGGATGAGCTCCAGTGGACGACAGAGAAGTCCTTGAAAGATGCGTGTCAGGACATTTGTACTTTCCTCAATGTCAGTGGCCTGTCTTCAAAGCAGTGCTGATGTGTTTCCTGTTTGATTCTTCCCACGATTTCCCCATCCTTAATATTCTCCTGCAGATTGGCAGTGGCACGAGAGCTTATTGTTCTTTGACTTGAACTTCGGGGTTTGGCATTGGCATTCTGACTATAGATGCATCAAGAAATGTGGTTTTGTTTGTATTGTCCCATTTGGCGGTTTCCGACTACTGTATTTATTTCCCACTGCCTGACATATGTGCGTGAATTAAAGTCATTTTTTTACTTGCCGAGGGTTTTGAAATGGAATTGATTTCTGAGAGCGCATGGTATGGCACGTGATATCACATGACACCATCAAATGGTGCCAACCTGACATCACGACGCGTCTTCATCGTTAGAACGCAGACATCTGGCATTTAATGAAGAATCAATTGGGATTGAATTGTTTATTTACTCATCTGCAGTTTGCACCAGGACATATCTGCCAAGTATAAAGTTGCCGATGATTGAATTATCTCACGTGACTGTCTCCGGCTTGGCATCAAATCCGCGCCGCAGTTTTCTGTCGTTCCGTGTTCGCGCCGGCTTCATCGTCAAGTACCCACAAAACCAGGCCTCTGGCAATTATTCGAGCCTGTGTTGGATAATTCCACTCAGAAATCATCATTTTGCTCTTTTTTACGACATAAACCGTCACAATGATCTGCAGAAGCTGCCGAACAGGCATTCTGTCCCGGCTTCAGCAGCAACAGGCCGTATCATGGACTGCATCAACAAGCGCACGCCAGCTGCCAATTGCCCGCAGCCAGTTCCGACTCTACAGCGATAGTGGTGCGAATCCCTCTGTGGCCGCTCCCCCTCCTCCATCAACTCCGCGCCAGCCTACCACTGGCGATGTCACCATTCCGTCCGCAATCTCCTCCGCCACCCCCAGTGTCTCCCAGCCCTTCAGCTCCGCAGACGGTGTGCACACCGAGGCGCACCCAGGTACACCAGGCAAGACCATTACGCGTCCCCCGAGTAGCTGCCCAGCGGGCACCAAGATGAACGGCCTGAACTACTTCCGCAACAAACCCGAGGTTGTCGCCAAGGAGGACTCGGAGTACCCAGAATGGCTCTGGGACTTGCTAGCTGATTCAAGCAAGCAGTCTAAGACTGAAAAGGGCGGTGTCGACCCTAGCAGTATGTGGAAAATACCCTTGTGTAGAATGCAGCAGACACTAACTCGATCGCAGCCCTGAACAAGAAACAACGGAAGCGCTACGAGAAGAAACTCGCCGCTCGCACCCAAGCTCTCCCTCCCAAGATCCCCGCGCACCACCACGCCTACGATATTACACCGGCATCATACAACCGTGACGCACCCGTGGACGGCATCGCCGAGGCCACCGAGGGTCTTGGCAAGCGCCAGGAGGTTACCAAGAGTGCCAGAGAAGCCCGGCGGAAGGCGATCAAGGAGTCCAACTTCCTGCGCGGCCTGTAAGCTGCAAAGCTGCAGGTGTGCGAATGCATTGGTTCGTCTGGAGCGTTTCGGTTTAGAAAACTTTCTTTTGCGCTGGCCATACATATCCAGTGAATCTGGGTATCGGAGCCCATCAGGGCATCCGGCATGTATTATTACGTCGATTGAGGTCGTCAAGTGTGCTATATATTCAATGATACAGAACTACATAACCTCATGCGCTATCCGCCATCTATGTTACTGAGAAACGGGGCACTCCTTCTCCTCCCCCTGACCCTCCAACCAAGGCAAACAAGCCTCATACAAAGTCTTAATCTCACCATTCCCAAGACCCACGAACTTCTCAAAAAGCGCCTTATCAAACCTCTCAACCCACGCAACATAGCAAGCCACGAACATATCCGCGAAACCCGCAACCTCCCCCTCAAAGAAAGGCCCCTTCTTCCCGTCCCGCCCCTTCAACATCCTAATCAGCGCCTCGGACTCCTTCTCCACAATCTTCCAAAGCTCCTCCTTCTCCTGATCACTGGGCAAAACCTCCGCCAAAGGCTTCCCAAACCACTCCTCCCGCGTGCGCAAGAAATACTCCGCTCCCCGCTCATCCAGGTACTCCGGCACGCGCGGGAGAATAGTATTCCGGAAACCGGGACTCATTCCCGTTAAGATCTTGCCGACGGCGATGAATAAAGCGTAGCTTGCGTCGCCGGACGGGAAGAGTGGTGGGGACGGGAAAACTTTGTCCAAGTGTTCGATGATTGGGAGCGAATCCATCATTGCGCCGTGAGAGTTAGAGGTGATGGAGGATTTGTGGATAATTGCGGGGAGGGTGTATGGCAATCCATCTTCGTTGGGTCGGACCCCGAAGCCTGTCATCAAGGGCTTGATGTCTGGGTAAGAGACCCAGCTTTGGGTGTAGGGGACACCTTTGAAGTTGAGTGCTGCGCGCACTTTTAGGGTGTTTGGGGACCATGATTTGGATGACCCTTTTTGGAGGCTTGTTAGTTATCTGATGATAAGGTGGAGTGCGGGGAAGCTGTAGTAGGTACCAGGGAGGGTGGACGTGATGTCGAGGAAGTGGATGGGCTCGACGTTGCCCATTTTGTTTAGAATTGTAATTGAAGATTAATTTTTACCAGAGGTTGGATGTAAACTGTTTGATAGAGAGACCTTGGGGGCGCCGGGAGTGGCTTCTAATATGGGAGTGGGGTCAGTCCGTTTGGATTTCTCAGCAGTCTTCATCGGAGGCTGTGCGTTGCGGATCACCTAGATCGAACCCCGGTGAGCTAGGCAGTACAAATTACCGGCTTTAGCAGAGAGCTAGTATATCTTAGAGTTTGCTTATTGCCGACCGACCCAATTCGAAACAACGGATCCAGCCATCCCTTGTTCATGGGTCAGAAGATTGATCAGTGTGACTGTGCCTTGCACTAGGAAGAAAAACGTGAGAATTGGCACCGATATAGACCATTGAAGTTGTAGAAGACACTTGACTCCGATCTCAGCTCGATGGAGACACGTTGAAAGTGGAGAGTCATTGACGGGACAACCTCTGGGAGCACGTGTCAGCTCCCTCGATTTCAGCTCTTGACTTGAACCTTCATTCGCAGCCTCCGTCTGGCATCGATAGCGGCAACAACCTTCGTGAGATCAACGTTACATCCATAAGATCACCACAGCGGGGCATTACAACCATTGCTCTTCGGGACGCGCAACCCCACCACGCCCTATGACCTACGAGCTTACCTCCAACAACACCAACCACTGATAGGCCACACGTATCAGGTAAAAGATGGAAGCAGTCGACAACCTCGTGGAACGAGCTCGACACCTATCCCTACACCAAACACACCCCTTCGACTCATTCCACTCAACAACCGATTCTCACCTACAGAAGATCTACGAGTCGCTCAGCAGCGGGGAAAAGGACTTCCTCTCCCACATTCAGCATGAGTCGCATCCAGATGGCCAGCCAATTGTGGATCCTCTCACTTCGTTGGACGCCTTTCGGGCGTACATGATGGGCGTAGCCTCGTCTGCCCAGGCCCAGGCCTCGGAGCCGGATCTTTCCGCTCCTATTTCGGATTATTTTATCTCGTCGAGTCATAACACGTATTTGACGGGGAACCAGTTGTATAGTGATGCTGCAGCGAGTGCGTATACTTCGGTGAGTATCTTCTATTTGATAGAAGGTTGCCTTTTGGAACACGTGTGGTTTGGCTACAAGTGACTCCAGAACAGAATAATGATTGACATTTGACAGGTCCTGCTGCAAGGCTGCCGCTCTGTGGAAATTGATGTATGGGACGGGGAGCCCCATACTCCAGTCTCAAGCGACGGTGCAGCTAGCGGCGACAGTAACAGTGACTCAGGCAGCGATGAGGGCCAAAGTGTTGGTGGAAAGATCAAGCACAAAATCAAGTCCCAGACTGAGAATAAGGAAAAGGCCGCGAAAGGCTTGACGAGGCTGGGAGATGCATTGCGCCGCAAATCCAACAAAGCTGCTCCTAAAACAGCGACCAACACAGGTGCCAGTGGAGATGCAGCACCGAGCCAGGGAGCTATCAAAGGCGAACCTCGTGTTCTGCACGGACACACCCTGACCAAAGGCACATCGCTCCGCGAAATCTGCTATGCTATCCGCGACAGTGCTTTCGTCGTGAGCGATCTACCGGTAATCATCAGCTTCGAAGTCCATGCGAACTTGGAACAGCAGCAGATCATGGTTGATATTATCAATGAAGCTTGGAAGGGGTTGTTGGTGGATGTGCCGTTTGATGCTGTCCCGGAAAAACTACCGGCACTGGGGGAGTTGAAGAGAAAGATTTTGATCAAGACCAAGTCGACTCCCATGAAAGCTGCCGAAGAGAAGTCCGACGTCCTTGAAGCTACCGAAAACACCGAGCCGGTAGAAGGTCGGACTCAAAAGCCAGCTAAGCCGTCCAAGGTGCTTGAGGCTTTGGCGAAGATGGCCGTCTATACTCGGGCGTATCATTTCAGTAATTTTGATCAACCAGGTATGGCTCAACCTCGAGAGCAATCGGTATCAATACTCACCATTCACAGAGGCGAAATCTCCATTACACGTCTTCTCCCTTTCGGAAACGGCAGCACGCGAGGCACAAGACACCCACCGTGACGCACTATTCGAACACAACCGGTCCTCCATGATGCGCATCTATCCCTATGCGCTCCGGGTCACATCATCCAACCTCGACCCATCCTTCCACTGGCGCCGAGGCGCTCAACTCGTAGCACTGAATTGGCAGAATCTTGACAAGGGCATGATGCTGAACCACGGCATGTTCACCGGCACACGGGGCTGGGAACTAAAGCCTCCTGGATACCGAAGTGCCCAGCCTGCAGCTCAAATCATAATCCGCACTCTCGATCTGACGTTGGAGGTATTCGCAGCGCAAGACTTATCCCTCCCACAGAACGACCACGTCGAGAAATGGTTCCGTCCATACGTGAACTGCCAACTGCACGTCGAGGAACCCGAAAGTCCCATCGCCACAGGCAAAGATGACGCAAGCTCAGAATCCGAGAAGAGCAGCTACCGCCGCTGCACGAAGAGTTCATCCGGCCGAAATCCCGATTTCAAAGGCCAAAAATTGATTTTCCCGACTGTGGCGGGCGTGGTGGAAGAGCTCAGCTTCCTCAGGTCAGTACCGCATCACATTGCATTTCTGTGAGATGCCTTTCTTGCATACGCATTTCCAGTTGTGTCACAACGTGCATGACGGGACGATGCATTGCGTGCTCATGAGTCTGAGCCATGTGACCTAGAAAAGGCTCGGGCCTTTCTTTTCGGGGCTGCGCGTTCTCGGGCTTCTTCGGGGAACGTGCAGCCGTTCGACCCGTTATCCGTTCAGCTCATATTCTGCTATTTCCTTTTTTATACGTACGTGCATGAGCCGAGCTGACGCCACCGTTGCAGGTTTAAAATCAAAGATGACGAAATCGGTCGCGATGCGCTGGCTGCGTGGGCTTGTATTCGGCTCGATCGCCTGCGTGAAGGGTACAGACTGGTGCATCTCCATGATGTGACGGGGGAGAAGACAGGGGGTATGTTGCTGGTTCGGATCTCGAAGCAGTTTTCTTGATCAGTTGTAAAATGACAAATCAGACCTTCCGGGAATTTGCAGTGAAACGTGCAGGATTTGGGTCTGGTAATCTACTTTTCCTTGGCTTTGGGGCATCCATGCCGGTTACACAACGTTTGTTAAGATCACCTGGTTGATAGAAGGATGTTCATTGTGACCTCGATATACATTCCTGAGGCCAGTAAACCTGCCGCACAACTTACAGGGCGGGAGTAGAGCGAGTCATTGCTGCAATGCGCGGACCCTGCTGACTCTGCGACGCCACAGTATGTCATTGCGTGCTCGGCAGTTGAACTTTGGTACACTGGCAGCGCACGCAATGCGGTGTTGCAAGCTGTTAGTGGCCGATGTCTGGTCTCGCTGAGATCGAGGTGGTCGATCGCCGATGCTTCTGAGATCAGATGAACATGATGATGGAACTGGTGCGAAGCAAGGTGGCTCGAGATGGTGTTGTGCTACGGTGCCCTGCGGAGATCAGTGGCTGGCTGCAGCGCGGGTTGGATGACTGATAGCCACTTACTGAAAAAGCAAACAGAGGAGATCGATATTACCTTTTAGAGAGCCTCGATGTATGCAACGAGTAAGAACTCCGTCCTGTGCCTCGGGTGAGGTGTGCTCTTTGCGGCAAGTGCGGATAACCTGCGTCTCCGATCTATAGAATTGCAAATATTGAAATTCAAGACATTATGATCATCGAGCCCTGTCGTAGAAAAAGCCACGTAATGGAGGATGAATCAAGTATCATGTCGCGTGGGTACCTCCAAGCCCAGAACGTGCAAGTCGAGTGACCGGTGCGATGGACCGCAGCTGGCCTCAGGTTGTATAAGCAAACAAGAAATTTAACCTGCATGATGCGCGCCATTGAGCCCCACGTCCTTCACAGTGACAAGTGGAGCCGGAGTCGGTGAGGAAGCAAAACAGACGGGGCGCATCGAGGCAGCTGGGTTAGAACACCCCTGTCTGTTTGGAGCTGTAGGGCTAAGAGATCGGCGCGCGAAGTGCCATGCATCATGGATCAACATCGGTGGTGTCACCAAGCCCAGCAGGGATGATCGACAAATCCTCCGAGTACAGGGTTGTGCCTGCCTCAGGTTTGAGTACTGTAGTACCCCGTACGTACATAGGAAGGTGTGTCACACAACGCGGAGGTGTTCACGCACCCACAATGACAGCTGGAATTTATGCATCACCCGCCACGAGTGGACCGAATCCCGAATTGGCGCGAATATATCGAGGAAAAGGGGGCGATGAGCCAATAATCGGATGCCATCGATATGCCATTCAGCCCACTTCGAGTGATTGGGCCTCTTCTTCTCCACCGGCAAATCATCACGGCCTGGTCCAATACCAAGGTCGACCGAAGCGGGTCTCGTCCGCGATCTAGGGGACACGGGAACGATACATCAACTTTTCTCTACACTAACTTGGGCACCAAGCTGGACGTTGTCCACAACCCCCTAATCAATATGCGTTCGGTGAATCGATCTGGTTCCCATTTGGCACTTGAAGTCCAACTTGGGAAGCTCGACCCACAGCAAATTCTTGGAGCAGACGCACTCCGGATATGATCAACAAATAAGCGCGAAATCACGAACACCCCGAACGAAGCTAAACAGACCCGGAGCTGCCGGGAGGAACCGAACACAGGCCTACCATTGGTCCCAAGTAAGACCCAGTGCCGTGAAACCACACTGGACTTGTGCCCGATCCCTGCACCTGACAGCCGTCCTCTATCAAATGTGCATCCAGGCCGTGTGACTGGCCGATCGAAAAACCCAAGCTCAAAGCTTCCCTTGAACCAGGGGTCCCCCTGTTTCTAACCCAACCGCAGCAGCTTCCGAGTTTCTCGTCTTTCCCTGAACCGAGTTTGGGTCATAGATCGGCGATTAGCCGATAGGACTTTTTCTGGATCGCGGGGGATCGCTGCCAAACCTACTCTCCCTTGGCTTGCTGCCTTAAAAGGGCTGCCTGTCCGGGTGTCGAACCTTTCCGTGATTCCGAAACAAAGACAATCGCTCTCATCTCTCTTCAAGGCAATCTACTTCTTGTTTCCAGAACAATGACCAACAACAAGGGTGGCGCGCTGTCGTGCTCGAGCGCCGTGAACAAGGTTCGTCCCCTGTCCCAGTTCCAGCCTCCTGGGTTACCTGGGTTACTTTGGTTTCAAACCGGTTTCTGATATTCTTAGATGCCCGGTGTTCGTTGCCCCAACTGTGCAGCTAAGGGCCAAGAGATCTGGGTCATCCCGGGCAAGAGTTGCCATGTCTGTCACACGCCGTGTGCGTGATCTCGAGTGCGATGCATAGGTGAAGTCAAGTCAGACCGGACCACCTCGTGTGAAATACAGCTCATTTACGGGCGTTCCACCGGCGCATACGTTTCTCATGGCATTTTTTTTCTCTTTTACGGAGTTCTTGCGCCTCCAGACCCTCCTGGGATGGTCCACGGAGAACGGGTACAATTTCGGTTATGTGACCCGCGAAACATTTGTTCAATTCCTTCTCTCTGTCCCTCCCAGGACACGAAGGGCTGAAAATACGGCGTTTGACGAATTTCCTACATGTCTGTTTCCATAATACACGACTGGACTCGGCGTTTACTTCTCTGTACTGCTACCAAATCTAATCTCACTTGATCCTCCTTGGTCCTACCAGGCCCTGGACCCTTTCCAGTCTAGATCTAAGCTAGATGTAGTATCATCCCGGGCTATCACTTCTTCTAGAAGCATTCCTCGTACTTTTGCCCAGATGTATGCACTTCCACGTGACTCGACCTGTTCTCAAGACATGACATCATCCCTCCATCCGCGGCGTATTCATTAATAACACCAGCCCAAGCACTCGCGAGCCTTCAATCTACAAGTCTACTATACTTTGATTTTCAGATATTCAGCGCAATGTCAGAAACATACCCGATCGGCACTCGCTCCGAGAGCGAACGTCTCGTTCGTGACTGGGGCTTCCGGCACGTCTTCACGTGGTCAGATGGGAGGTATGTCGTGCTCTTTTCATGCTTTGGGACGATAAAGTTGACGTTATATAGCGGTGCTTATTATTCGCCTCATACCCATGGAGGCCTAACGACACATCTTGTCCGTCGGGGTGCGATGACTGTTTCCTATCCGGAAGATACTGCCAAGAATGGCGGACAGGTTAAGAAAGAGACTTTCGGTGTTGGGGCTAGAGTTGATGTGCCCGCTGGGAAGCTTCATGAGGTTTGGATTGGGGATGAAGGGTGTGATTATGTTATTGGGGAGTAGATTTGTTGTTGATTTTATGATGAATGGTCGATGCAATATGTTATTCTTTTGGTGATACCCACCGATGGGTATACGGTCCATTGTTCTGAACTGTAGACGGAATCTATGTAGATGGCAATCAATGCCATTTCTTGAACCGGAATGCCCTGGCTGAATGTAGCAATGCTCTAATGTAAGAATCGGAAATCAACTCTGCGAAGACAAGTTAGTCGCTGTAGAATGTTCAAAATAGCAGAGTTGAGGCTTACCTCTTGTTACCAAGATCCTTGTTCTCAGTGACATATCGCTCCCGCTCCTCGCTGTTCATCTTGTCCCAGACCGCAGCATTTTGCTTGTTCCGCCACACATAGTAGTATTTGCACACAACAAACATAAACATACTCCATACGGCAAGCCCAATCAGCACCTTGTTCCCGGTGCGATACAAAGGCTTATCGGGGGTTCGATATACCTGAGCCCATCCATTAGTTGAGTGTCATACAAAAAGGGGGTTGACGTACGTTGTTTCCAATGATGTTGCTCACTTGCACCATCATGTTGTACAAGGCTGTCGCAACCGTGCGCGTCCGAACAGTGCCTGCATTTCGGGATGTGATAGCCACCAGAATCGCGTGAACGTAGGGCATTCCAATGAGTAAAATCAGTAAAACCCAGCGTGCCCATGCGCTAGCATCAGCTGGAAGGCATTCAAGGGCGAACAGAAGTATAAGAGCCCATGCTTCAGCGGCAACGCCAAGCATGAAGCGGATATTGAACCGTTCAGAGATCCACGTCCATAACAGCAGATTCAAAATGAAGACCACGTATGCGGGAATACTGAGCAGGTTGGTATGAAAGGTGTTGAAGCCGAGCGACTTCAACTCCAGGCTGAGATAAGTCGTGGCGGGTATGCTGGGGATCATCCATGACAACCCAAGGATATAGACCACCCACATATCGTAGTCCTTCAGTGCTTCCCAGAGTAGCTTGGGGGTGACTGGCTGGCGGTTATGCATGCCACCTTTACTGGGATCGTCGCGGAGTACGCGGTTGACCATGATCTTCTCTTCGCGCTCGTCGAACCAGCCATTTTTACCCCGGAACCGGCCAGCTGTCTGGGTTGGTGATGGTGGCATCCAAAATGCAGCAATGATGCCGATGACGCCCGTAATCAGTCCCTCGAAGGCGAACAAGTATCGCCAGCCTCCGGTGCCATCGGAGTTGTGGATGTGAAGGAAGCCAAAGGCTAAAAATGCGCTGACAATGGCGGTTGCTTCGTAGGCGACCCAGAAGTAGCCCAGGCGGATAGGAAGCTCTTTTGATTTATACCAGAACGAGAGAAAGAGGATTGTGTCGGGGATGCTATACCGGGTTAGTTTCGAACGAAAGTGTAAACAGGGATCCGAGGGAACACACAATCCACCCTCGAGCAGACCCAACAGAGCTCTCGTAGTAAAATAAGTTCCGCGATTCTTCACGAATGCTTGACAAGCGGCGATTAAACTCCACGAGACCATCTGAACAGGGATCCATCGATCAGGTCCAAACCACTTGGACAAGAGTTGGGATGGAAGCTCCGCGAATAGGAACGTCAAAAAGAAGATAGTTTGACCTGTGTTGTAATCATTGGTGGTCATGCCCAAATCCTCCAGCATATTGTCAGAAGTGGCCTGCACAACATTTCCTCGGTCCAGCTGCAGTGCAAAGAAAGTGACACAAGCAAATGTACAGACGCGCAAGTCAATCTGCTTCGATTTAGTTCCATGAAATGACTATAGAATACCAGCTACATACCTTTTTTACAACAGCCTTCTCCTCCTCCTCCGTCCACTCAAAGTCGGGGTCCCAGCGATGAATACCCTCATATTCCGGGATTGGTTTGTAGTACCGCAGGTCCTCGGTCGTGTCAAATGCACACTCAACTTTCTTTACTTGTCCTCGAAGCTCTTCAAAAGACGAAAATTCGCTGGATGAGACAGCGTGAGGCGCAACCTTTGCATCATAGTCCTTGGCACCATGGCCGACCTTCTTCTTCTCCTCACTCGTCATTTTGGCGTGAGTGCGAGAAAGAGATTTAGAACAGCAAGTAACGGCTAGAATGACACGAGAGATGCTAGCTATAAAGGTAAGAAAAGGCTCTAAACAAGTCATCATGGCCTTCTATCACGCCATAATGTAGCCGATTCACCGGGTCGGCCACTCTCTGTGTGATTACCCACGTTGGTCGGATCTGATGCGAATCGGCTAAAACTAAGCATGGCGTCATAGCCCCTGGCGCAAAGGGGAAGGTATTGAACGGCATTTGGCAGCTACGTAATCGTTGTTTCCAATGGCGTTGCTTCTTGATTCCGCATGGAAACATGGAAGTTGAGTCCCACTGGCAAGAACTCGCGGACACTCACAGACCAGCTCGGACTAATGCCGCGGCTTCAGCGAATGGGTGGGTGCTGATTCCAAGGAAAGCGAAACCCTACCAGCATAAAATGCCTAATGCGGGTGGATCTTGCCAGTGGAGGTCCGACTTGGCCAGATCACGCAAAACGGGACAAAGTGACGTTAGGCTGAACGAGTGGCAGCTGCCCCAGCTCGCAGGAGTACCGAGGTGGGAATGCCACGACTGTCGGACTGTATACCAGGGCTATAATTAACGTGTACTGTCTCCTGTTATTTAGGGTGTTGACTTTCCTGGGATATACTATCGTTCATTGGCCGGGGTAGCTACACAGAGCTTGGGACTCCCAAGTCAAAGAACCTCAAAATCTATCCTAGAACAGGACATATTTAACCCTCTAATAATTGTATTTGGTCTGTCAAGAAGTCCATTAACCTCTCAATATTGTTGAGTTCGAAAGATCTCGCGATGAACAAGACCGGGGTTGCGCAAAGCAAGTTGTTTATCACGCCATCACAGGCAAATTGACACCAGCGTTGAGGGGCCAAACGCAGGAACGCCAGATCACCACTTACTACTGCAGTTTTAAGTACACGTAATCAGATAACGCACGAGCAAATAGTGGCTGTCATCAGTCGACCCACGCGATGACAGCACGCCATTTCACTCAGCCATAACGAAGACATACATCAAGCGCTACACATTCCAACGACCCCGCAGCAACGAGATACTACATGCGGCAATTCGCACTGATCACCGACATTCAGACTTTCACAGGCAATTGTAAACCGGGCGAGACAGTATTCCCGCAGTCATTGCGCAATTAATTTCCTTCGTCCAGGATGAGAGTGCCAAGACGTGTATATAGGCGTGCTGGTCGCTTCATTTAGGGCCTAATCAAGCACAACGGACATACCCAGAGGTAAGCCACTAGGGTTGATGTATTCTGTAGAAAGCAGGTCAAACGGTGTCACTAGATACCCTCCTCTAGAACATTTCGAGCACTACGACCACGGCAAAGATGCCGATCCCAACTTTCCTGACCTATTCCCCAAAGGCCAGGCCGAAGTAGATGAAACCACCCCCTTCATCGGCTCCGAGGTCCACGGCGTACAATTGGGCAAGCTTTCCAAGGCTGGGAAGGACCAACTCGCTCTCTATGTTGCTCAACAACGAGTCGTCGGTTCGTCAATCACATCCATTCCAAACAATAACTACATGCTAACATCCACAGCCTTCCGCGACCAAGACTTCGCCTCCCTCCCCATCCAAGAAGCCGTCGACTATGCCGGCTACTTCGGCCGTCACCACATCCATCAGACGTCCGGCGCCCCGAAAGGCTTCCCCGAGATCCACCTCGTTTTCCGCGGCGCAGACGACCGCACCGGCGCAAAGTTCCTCGAACAGCGCACAAACACCATTACTTGGCACTCAGATGTCACTTTCGAGAAGCAGCCTCCTGGCACGACCTTCCTCTATGCTCTCGACGGGCCGTCCACCGGCGGAACAGCCTGTTCGGTGACATGGTACAGGCATACAAGCGCCTATCGCCCGAATTCCGCAAACGCCTGCACGGGCTGAAGGCTGTGCACTCCGGTATCGAGCAGGTCAATGCGAGCTTGAACGGCGGTGGCATTGTGCGTCGTGATCCCATCACGTCCGAACATCCCATTGTCCGCACTCACCCCGTGACGGGCGAGAAGGCTGTCTATGTGAACCTGCAATGTAAGATCTCAACATCCTCCTATTGGTACCTGTACAGCGATACTAACGTCTGATAGTCACCCGCTACATCGTCGGATACAAGAAAGAGGAGTCGGACTTTCTGCTCAAGTTCTTGTTTGATCATATTGCCTTGTCGCAGGATCTTCAGACACGTATCCGCTGGAAGGCTGGTACCGTGGTTGTTTGGGATAATCGTCTGGCTTGTCACTCCGCGGTATTTGATTGGGAGGATGGACAAAGACGCCACATTGCGAGAATTACGCCTCAGGCTGAGCCTCCGTTTGAGACCCCGTTCGAGGGGTAGACGGGGGCTGGAACATTCGTAATGTATGGATGAGTTTGGATTTTAAGGACCATGAATTGAATCAAGGATACCATTTCATTTTTCAAGATCGGTCTAGCAATGGGTTGAGTATTGAAAGTTGCGAGTCGTGTCGGTTAATGCACGAAGAACGGCCGTTCATGTCAAGGTGTATGTGCTTGCTGCAATGTTGAAGTTCCCTTTTCACGACTAAACCGACTCAGCATTCCAACCTGCCACTCATTGAACTTTCGTGCCGAGATGGGTAGCATCTGGCTACTCCGATGAAGCGTATCGGATAGCGCTTGGAAAATCATCGAAGGTAATTCCAGCTCCTCGACTGAGAGGGGGCTGGGTTGTCCGATCTCAGGAGCAAGCAGCTTATCAACGTCCTCCTTCTCCTGGTAGAAAACTTTCATTGCCTGCTGGTCATTCACGCTGTGACCAGAGCTGGAATTGGAGTATCGTAGATGGGGATTGAAGACCCAAAGCTAGAAAGAGATTAGCAGACGAAGAGGTTAGACCGACAGGATAAGCTTACTAGTAGTCCACTCGTTTTCCCGCAATGAACGACAAAGCGACGGGCGCTCTCTCGCTCTATCAGTTCCAGCAATTGTGCTGCAACGATCACCTCTGTTGAGTGGGTTGTCCATGATTCCTCATTGTCTTTCTCCGTGTTCAGAGATACATTTGCTTTGAGGAGTCGCCATCCGTTTGCTGAAGGGTCTTCCATTCCGATGATTGAATTGCACTTTTCACACTCTAGGGTTCTTTGGCCAGATATTGTAGAAGCCGATTTTGATTCCTCTTCACTGGACTGGAGTTGGAGATTAGCGCACTGGAAATCAAGAATACGATGCGTTGAGATTTGGATTCAAGTCAATTGGGAGGAGGCAAAAGTTGGTTTGAAATTCAATATGATACATCAGTGTGCGAATACCAAATGCCTGGGCAATTGCTTGACTCGTGATGTACCTCTTCTGATCACAGCAGTCCCACTGCATTGGGAAGGGCGAACCCAAGACTGTCGTCGAAATCGAAAAGGATGCGTTGAAAAAAGCTCGAGCGAGATAGCAATCGGAACAACCCGCACCATCAAGCAACGGAGGGCGAAATCCATCTGACTAGAGAGGATAACTGCCCCTCGAGACCTTCTGACCTGAATCGAACCTCTTACTACCAAGCTCAAACCACAAAGGAGCACTGATATCGATCTAGGGCAATAGTATCGAAGGCCACCCCATTGAAAAGAAATGGTCTCCTTCTAAGTTGCCCAGGTAAAGGGGCGAAAATGCAAAATGGAATTCAAATATGCGCGATAGTTTGGGAAACGTGATGAAGACCAATAGCGATTGCAAAATCTCACCTTTTTCAATCCCACACAGTCGGACTCTGCGAGTAAGAAGGTGGCCACGTCAATGAGGACATTTCCTGGTATCGCTTCTACTCGACTTGACGCTCCGTAGCCTTTGACTTGAGCATTCTGCTCCTCAATCCTAAGAGCTGCGGTAGCTTCATCTTTCGCATCGTCCTCGTGGGGATCGGGCTTGTGGCAGTGCCAGAAGTCCATCATCTCGGCCCAGTTCCCACTTGGAAGGTCCTTCCAGACCCACCCTTGGTGGGTGTCCAATCCCTCGTTTACCGAGGATTCCTGGAGAATGGACTCGTTTAGGAAGGCGGTGCCGCACGCACGGCATCGAATGCGTGTTGAAGAAGACATGTCTGCTGCTGTCCAAGGCACGTGGTCATCAGTTAGTTCATCACGAGGCGCCAAGGCCTGTTCACTTGGATCAATCTGCATTCTGAATGAATAGTCATGGCTGGATGAGGTAGACTGCCCCGGCTTCGAAGGTGCCGATGGGGCTGTTTTGGCATTCAGCGTTCGCCAAGTCGCGTCACTGACGCGCGTCGGCAGCTTGATCGTCTCAGACACATGGTCAAATGGCTGTTGTAAAGTTACGGTGACTGCTTTTCGCGACCCTGAAAGCTGAATCTCCGGCTGGATCCCAGTTAGAGCTGGAGTCTGAGGAGGTGAGATGTAAAGGGTAATTTGGCGGATGTTGGGGAGCAGCTCGGCATGCAGGTAAAGGGATACATCTGCATCCTCAGCAGCTGATCCTCTGGACATCTCCTCTCTCGTAGACTTGAGAAGCCGAATAACTCTGAATTCTCGGAGGCGGATGGTGGAGCTCGCGAAATGTGAAGGTGTGAAGCTACACGCGTGGTTCTGCACAAACAGTACAAATATTCATCACGTGATATTTGCCAATTGTCGAAACGGACATAGAGTGGAAAGCGGATATATTGATTATCCGATAGATTTATGTCTCTACATTAAAACCGGCAACTAGGCCACGACAGCCCACGGCGAAACTCTTGAGTTCGTTCATGAAGTCGTACACTATCCATGTATGTAACAGATATATAAGACATTAACCTTCTCTCGAGACTCACGGAAAACAATATCCTCTACCGTCAATAGGTGAATGGACAAAGCCTGCGAGACTGTATGGACGTCTTTCTCGGGAGCATCCCTAATATCGATGCACCAGGTAGGCTGGTTTGGGTCTGAACAACTATATATATAATCTCACTGCTATACACCTATCAGTGTCGTCTTTCTCCTATACTTAAGCAAAATCCTTAACTAGTACGCAGTGCATCCCATTAACCCCCATCGAATAGCCTCGGGCTTTAGCGTGGCATGTACAGTCTGAACACAGAAACAGATTCGTCACACAAAAATATATAAAATCAATTCCATAAAATAACATAAGCACGAGGACGTCAGACAAGAACAACAACTCATCACGAAGGCTGGTAAGGAAAAGATAGCCTGGCAGCAACATAAATGCCGCTACTAATCAAGCCCATGACCACCACTAGCGGGCAAGATAGGAATCCATTTGAGCTTCAGAGAGTTCTCCTTAGCAATTTGGTCTTTCCTGGCCTCCATTTCTTCCACATCCCAATTTACGCTGGCCAGCCCACCTTTCAAGTAATCTGCCTGTGATGTAGACAGGTATAGTGAAACCATACCCGTCAGGTCAATGTGATCATGGCCATAGGTTTCAAACTGTCCCACAAGCATAGGAGTTTTCACAATTCCCGGGAATAAGGTGAATGATCGAAGAGTAGGATACTCTGATATAAATAAGTTATCAACCATACAAAAATAGAGCCACACAAAGGGTAGTGGAACAAACCAGTATCGAGAAACTCTACCAGTCGCTGACTAGCGAGCTTGGAGATAGCATAGGCGGACAAGCCTGGAGCTACCAGCCCAGCTAGCCCAGAGTTGGTTGCAATGAATGTTCCCACGGGCTGCTCGGGATTTGGCTGGGTTTTGATAAAGTGATGAGCTGTCGCGTAGACTCCTTCCAGGTTGGTGCTCTAGAGAGCGCAGTTAGTAACAGCTGGGCGGCTCAATCGCCACGTTGTATGGCGATACATACCAGTACGTTCCACCAGGCGTCTGTTGAATGCTCCCCGATGGGAACGGTCTCGACCATTCCTGCATTGGAGAGGACTACATCAGGGGATCGACCAAAAGTCTTCAAGGTCTGGGAGAATAGGTTCTCCACATCTTTGTCCTTCACCAGATCAGTCTGCACAACTAGGACTTTAGTCCGTCCTTGATTCAGAGCCCGGATTTTGGAAGCAGTCTCTTCGAGCTTTTCAATACGTCGACCGGCAAGGGTCACGCCCTCAGCCCCTGCACGAGTCCATACATCGGCTGCCGCCTGGGGAAAACATCACTTAGCTAACATCAACACGAAAGACAATGGAGTGGTATGCATAACCTACAGCACCAATACCCGTACCCCCACCGGTGATGAGAACGACTTTTCCGACGGCCGAGTTCTGTTTGTTATCGGGGGATATCGCACTATATGGATCACGGCGGATTGTCTTCGTCAACTGAAAAGGGATAGTATATTCGAGAGATTTTGCCTCCATTTTGTCGGCTTGAAGCAGAGTGTCGAATGGGGTCCAAGAAGAAGATCGTGCTTTGCAGGTACACTTGGTGATACGAAGCTGTTTCAGGTGCTCTGACTTCGGCGTGGTTAATGGCCTGCTGTTACTAGTCATATTTATATTCTTAGTGAGATTCAGTAAATCCTATCTAAAAGCCGCAGCCATATGCGGTAGACTGGTGATCCAAAATTTTATCTGCCCGAACTATGGTTTCTAAGCAAAGGTTTGTTGATCCGCTTAGCAATATCAGTCATTGGTAATGCAATTTGGACATCCTCGGTGTCAGTAGCGGAACTAACCAGGCCGGCATCCTTTTCACAGCCTTACCCCTACAAAAAGTGGCTGCGGATAATTACCGTATTGGCATGGATACCCTAATAATGATTGTGTGCGGAGCGGACACGACGTGACATCTGCCCGCATGCCGGCCACTACGTCAGACGGTCTTCCGGCACCTCGCTGCTATCTAGCACCGCAGTACGCGTATCACTTGCGGGTTTGTTGACTTCTCCAGCTCCCCAGCCTCTTAGCTTTATGATGTCGGGTCAAGTGATTTACGTCGTTTCAGGGACGATTACTGATTATTGTCATCACCATCTGCTTGTTAGCCAGCGTTAGGGGGAGGAACTATAAACTAATTGGCATACTGCCCCCTGCTGCTTAGAGAGCATTAAATATTAGGAAAAGCGTATCTTCCTCATTCGTCTATACTAAATTGGACATTACTTATTTATTTTCCATTTTACTCTGTCCCGCTTACTCGAACATTTACGAAGGAATTATTGGATATTAGCATTTCTACTGGGCATCATAGTATGGGTCAATGAATCTTACCCAGCAGTCCAGTACCTTTGTCTCTATTTTTTCAAAGGCGCTTATTATTTTACAGTTCGAAATTGAGTGTGGGCTCCACGAAGTGGGTTCTTCGGTCATCGCGGTACCCTTTCCAAAAATGTGTAAATGTACAATCGCGAAGTGTCCAATACCAGTGAAAGTATTTCACTTACACCGATCAAGTCGTATGGGCGTACAAGGAGTGTGTGATATTTGAAGACAGAAGAGATTCAAAGTGGTTGAGAGCTCAAACAAGGTTTCGCGCTTTTAATTATGTCATTACGCTATCCGGAAGAATTTCACTTCAGTCCGCATTGATTTCAAATCGGTCCGCATTGATTCCAAATCAGTCCTCTCAGACTTCTTTTTTGTAATAAGAAAAAGAAAAAGTAGAAAATAAATAGTGAAGGGTCTCGAAGGTGTGGAATTTGTATCGCTAGAATATCAGGTGCTCGAAACACTCAGTCTTTCTCGCTACATAACGGTCTTGCTCGCATCTCAAGCTTTCGTCTGGTTTCTTAGACTTCTTTACAGCAAATTGCTGCGCGCAAGTACTTTTTCGTCGGGTAAGATGCTGCCATTGTCCCGGTTCAAACGGATGGTTTCCAATGGGATACCTTCTGGTCAAGATTTGAGTGCCTCAAAATACTGATGAACCAAGTTACATTCATGTCCTCGAAAACAAATCCTCACATTATGGGGAGGCTGCAGGATAAGGTTGCCATCATCACAGGTGGAAACAGCGGGATCGGTCGGGCTATCGCCAACCGTTTTGGTCGGGAGGGTGCCTTCGTCTATGTCGTCGGTCGCCGCGAAGCAGACCTAGCTGACACCGTCGCTGAGATCGGCTCTCGGGCTATGGCTATCCAGGCCGACGTCACGAATTTGGAAGAACTCAGCAAGGTTTATTCCCAGATTGCGGCTGATGGCCGCAAACTGGATGTTGTGGTCGCCAATGCTGGCCAGGTAGAGAACCGTCCCATAACAGAGGCTGATGCAGACCATTTTGACCGCATTTTCAATCTCAATGTCCGTGGCGCATTTTTCACAGTCCAGAAATTACTACCACTTTTGACCGAAAGCGCTTCCGTGATCATGGTCTCTTCTTCGCTCAACGTCCGAGGTGATGCTGGCCTGAGCGTCTACAACGCCTCCAAAGCGGCAGTGCGCTCATTGGTGAAGACATTTGCCATAGAGCTAATGCCACGCGGCGTCCGGGTCAACACACTTAGCCCAGGACCAGTCGATACGCCCATTATCGAAAGCGTTACAACAACGCCAAAAGAGGCAGCTGCATTTCGTGAGTGGGCTGCGAGCCAAGTACCTATGGGTCGGATGGGACAACCACAAGAAGTTGCCGCAGCCGCACTGTTTTTGGCCTCGGACGACAGTAGCTTCTCAACTGGTACCGAAATACGTGTTGATGGCGGTCATGCAGAGCTCTGGGCACCAAAATGAAGCTTTGTTACAGTATCTGCCCGACTTCCAAGCACATTTTACCAGTTGGACACTTAAGAGTCATTTCGCCACAAGGGGCATGTTGCTGAAGTTACTATGTTCCTCAATATATCTTTGATTTTACTTGAATTACAATCTTTATATATTTAAGTGTGACAAGATAGGAAAAAACGGAGAATGCAACTAGGTCAAACGACTTAGTTCTTTTCTATTATATGGACCTCTTTTCCATTAAATCCAATAAATAATAACCGAGGCTTTATAGTTTAAGTCTTGATTAAATAAGGATTGAGTTGCAAACTCAATGGTAACCGATCTCGGAACATGAAATCTACTGATCGCTCCAAGTTGCGAAGAGCTAGATTGCGCCAGACGAGGACGGCCTCTCGACGCTGGTTTGGAAACGCCTTTGGAAGTACATTGCAAATCACATCACCCGGATAAGCCCTATTATAAAGCTAGTCTCCTCAAAACTATAGATATGGTCCGCGAGGATACTAAAAGTCCTAAAGTTTACACCCGCGGATTTTCCAGCCCTAGTTCGCCGGGCGGAGCGGCGCACGTAACCCCTCCGTTCGCAGATCATACGGCTTCGGCATAATCCAACCTTCCCGCTCCATTTTTGTCAGCGCGCCGGTTTTTGACAATCCTAGACATGCTAGTTGTAAACCCCGATCCTAATAGTCGCCCGAGAGCGACACAAGAGCCAACACCAGATATCAAAAGCTCGACCAGCCGCGAAGCGTCCCAAATCATCCGACGTCCTCCGGTTGCTCTTTCTTGCCGTCATTTGCTGTTATACTCTCCTATCTTAATCATTGAAAATGGCCCCTGAAGATTTTAAAGGCAAGCTTGCCATCGTCACAGGCGCCTCCAAACATAATGGCATTGGCTTCGCCACTGCCTATGCCTTAGCCAGGGCCGGTGCTGATGTATAGTATCTAACAGACGCCTTCATAAAAATTTAGCTGACCACTTTCCAGATCATTCTCCACTATAATTCGAACCAAAGACGCGGCGCAGCGTAGTGCTGGAAAGATTCGGGATCTTGGGGTCAAAGTCATCGCCGTCCAAGCTGACGCCGGTTCTCTGACTTTTGGTGATGATATCGTTCGTGCGACTGTGGAAGCCTTCCCGGGCCGTCAGATTGACATCGTCGTCAACAACGCTGGGTTCGGGACATTTCAAGAGAGCACCGCAGAAGCCGTGGTTGAAGATTTTGACGCGTTGTTCCATGTCAACGTCAGAGGGCCCCACCTCCTGGTTCGAGCTGCTCTTCCCTACATTGCGTCCCCTGGAGGCCGCGTTGTCAACGTCAGTAGCGTAGTAGCTCGCACTGGGGCCAAGCAGGCTGCACTTTACTCGAGTTCGAAGGGAGCCCTGAATACATTGACGCTGGCTTGGGCCGAAGAGCTCGGCGATAAAGGCATTACCGTCAACGTTGTTTCCCCAGGGCCTATTGGCACGGACTACGCGGCGCCCGAAGAACCCCCATTGATCCAGAAGTTCCGGGCCCAACAGTACGCGAAGCGTGATGGAACTACCGAAGAGGTTGCCAATGTTATCCTGTTCGCCGCAAGCGCCGGTGCTAGCTATATGTCTGGTCAAGTCCTGGCAGTCGATGGCGGTTTGAGTTATGTATAAGCTGCTACCCAAAAAACTTGACTTTATACTCCGCTGGTCAACGGAACCATGTGACTTCTTCCTTGCCTTCATTAGGACCTCTGCTCTGTGGTTATCATGTCGTCTAAGAGAGTAGGATCTGAGTCCATTTTTTATGTTTTATGAGTCGACATCGATTTACTGTTTAGTACTGATTTTTCGTAATTGACTTGGAGTCTTGTATTGTACCCGGGCGTTTGGAATATTTTTTTGGCAGCGAGGCTTACATGCAGTTCGCGCCGATCTAGTGGTGTAGTATTTGCCACTGGAATTTTCCCTCCATTACGCGACTTCAGTGCGGGGTTACCATCTACACTATATCGGGTCCGCCTAAATTATGATCGGAACGGCAGTTAGGCCACGATGGGCCTCAACAAAGCTCTAAGTTAAATTCCAAGAAGTGCACTTAACAGGTTGATAACCAGGTACAGATAATTGCGGTAGACTGCATGTCGCTTTGGCTCGGAGGGTCAAGTTCAATGTCTACTTATCTAGCTACCTACCTACTGTTGACAGTAGATGAAAGAGGGTGTTCAGTCGCACTGGAAAACTTAAGACAAGGAGGACAGTATGAAATTAGAGCAGCATCTAAGTTATGAGACTAACAAGAGATTTGAGAATCCCATGCGCAGAAAACAGATCAGGGGAGTAGTACTTAACGTTTTGGTAAAGGAAAAGTGGAGATGGGGAGTGGGTATGAATGTCTACTTGAACCTTAATAGAACAGTCAGCGCGGATGCGATGACACTCCGCTCCGCCGGTGGGTCTCCGCTTAGGAAGCTCAATTTTCAAAAGCTTTGGAAGCAATCAAAAAAGCAGTACGTTTAACACCGAAACCAAGGATATGGTAACTTCAATAAAGGGGCGCTTCTTGATCTTGCTGGAACTTAAAGTAGAACACCAGTAATGTGGCCAGCTACTAGGTGAGTTGATCGGCCTCGAGAACGGGTAGTACCATGATCTTGCAATCATAACGCATACTATCATATGACTTGAGCTATCTCGATAATCAGAAGATTATTCCAGATAAAGATAGGTTAAATTCCACGGTGTTATCACTGGGTCAAGTGGGCTGGCTGCTCGTTGCCAGGTTGCCGGGCCTCATTCATTTGGATGAGTAATCAACCGTGTACCCAGCGGGACACAGGAACTTAGGGGAATTTTAACTATGCATTATTAATCAGTATGTGCGGTGAGATCATATAACGTTGATCCGCCAAACCGTTACTTCAACTTTCTTGAGAATAAGCAGCTCAATATAACGACGCCTCTGAGGATCCAGTATGGATACTCAATATTCCCGGACAAAATTTGTAGACGAAAGTACCATACCAGTACCGGTGAGCTCTGTGAGGCACAGACCCTGCCGAACGTTTGACACTCTAACAGTACGCCAGACAACTAAAGCGTGTGACCTATGCAGAGCAAAGAAAAGGAAATGTGACTGGGAGGCAGAACAGAGCACTTGTTCTGTTTGTCGAAGGCTTAGTGTACCGTGCAAGTCCACATATGTTCGGAAACAAAGACCGGTTTCAAGAAGGTGTGTTCAAAATTACCCTACCCTGGACCGTACAATAAATAATATTCTCTTCAGGAAACGCTTGGAATTCCTTGAACAACGATTTCTCAACATAGAAGAACAGTTGGCTGGCCACTCGCGCAAAGAAAATCCTCCGCCTCCAGATTCAGGAATAGAGACAGCTTCCTCTACTGAAACAGGCATCGAGGAATCGGATGGAGTCCAATTTGGCACGGAGATCAGTGAGCGTGGAAGACTGTGGCCAGCACCATCCGCTACTGTAGATCATTATAGACAAGAGTGGAGGAGGCTACCTCACAGCCTACAAAGTGGGATGGTTGACGACGACCTCATCGCGCAACTTGAAGTCCGCGAAAATAACAAGGGCCCAATCGGTTCTTGGGGAGGCTTTGGCCCTAACAGTGCCCTCTTCGGGCCCACAGCGTCAATTCCTCGCTCCACGGAGACCTGGATGCTAGTCCAAGAATTCCTGGACGACTTCAATTGTGCAATACCACTATTTGATAAGGATTGGGTCAGGGCCACCTTCATTCGATTATACGAAGATGGTGAAACACTTCCAGGGAACTCCTCTCTCGCCTTCCACATTATCCTTGCAATCGCCTATCGCTTACGTGCCCAGAGCCCCCTTTCAAATAATTCCGATGACCTGCAGGCTCGGGAGCACTTGAAGGTTGCGTGCTCCCAGCTTGGGAATCTCCTCATGCAGGAGCCATCATTGTCCCAGGTTCAATGCCTTGTTGGTATTGCAACCGTTCTCCAGGGAACCCATGCTGCTGGACGCGCGGCTATAGTGATATCTTCGGCTCTGCGGATTACACAGCAGCTCGGTGTTAGCCGGCCTTCTGACGCCCAGATTGACCTTCCGGATAGGTGCCAACTACAACTCGTATTTTGGATTGCATTTTTCACTGATGTGTCCATTTGCATGCGGACGAAGCAAGCACCCACTATAATTGTCGGTGATGGTCAATTCGATCTCCCTCCCGAAAGACCTTCAGATGGTTCGGGAATGATCTTAGCGGTTAATGATGAATACTCTTTCAATATTCTTCGGTTTCATGTTCAGTTGGCCGTCTTACAAAACCAAGTCTTGGTGAGCACTAGCTCACCTCGGCCAACGTATCGTGGACGGGCCCCGACCGGGGAAAGCTTCCAAATTCTTTGTCAGGCATTTCGCGCCTGGAGACTGTCTTTACCTGCTGCGATTAACCTGCCCGGGATGTACAGTTCTTTGCATCGATCAGATATCGTGCACGTTCTCATTCTCGAAGCGAAAGCGTTGGAAACTGTGTGCGCGATACACGGCATCACAAATGACACTCCTGCAAATCTCAAAAGTGATCACCTGTCGGGAGACAATCAACCTTTGAGCTTTATCTCAGAAAATAGTCTTGTCGTTGAAGAGGCGAGGAGATTCTTAAATCTCCTGGCCTTAGCTCCAGTGGGAGATGTGGCGTGTAACCGGTGAGCACGTCGGAACCAAGTTCCTTTTCACCACTTTCTAACAACCGACCATTTTAATAGGCTGAATATTGAGGCATTTGTCTCCGCCGCATTCGTTATGCTAGTGAGAATCGTCCGTTGCCCTTCTTTGGCCTCAGCAGAGTCGGACTTAGCACTTGCGCAGACCGCACTGACGCAGGCGAAGTGGTCGGTTCATTCAAACGCTGGAGATACGAATCCCTCATTACAGACATGCCTTACTCTGCAGACACTTGCCGAAAAATTCATCGTGCAGGAAAATCAAAGTTAGAAGCTGCGCGGGCGCTTAAGCATGCGCGGGAACTTTTTAGATAGTGTGGTCCAAAAGAAAATTGAATGTGAATCAGAGATTTCTTTGGAATTCGCCAATCAACATCGTTCCTCTTAGCTTATACCTGTTTTCAGTCGCCCGGGTTTACTTCCAGTGTATTCGGCTTCAATTTATTGACTGTTCAAACCCTTTTTCTTGCCCACACCCTTTTGTTAGCATAGGGAATTGGAGCGTAGCTTTACTTCTAAGTCTCTGTCTTTATTTATTATTACATTTTGCTCGATAACTTTGAAGGCATACTAATCATTTCAGAGCAAAACCTTCTATAAGTAGCCGCCTTCAACAATTTTTACCACCAGACCACCTGCTGAAATGAACAAGATTGTCAGATAAGTCAGTTCAAGCCACGTAATCAATTGACCGGTTCAGCGTTATATCTCTAATCTTTCGGCTCCTGAACTTTTTGGATGCGTGAGTTCTTCCCTGCTTGGCATTCAAGGTCAAAGTGAAAGTAATACTTTCTAATATGATGCGGGCTCAATGGAAAGTTGACCACCATCAGACACCAAGATGGTGCCATTGACAAAGGCTCCCGCTCGAGATGTTAGAAACAAAACGGCACCAGCGATGTCCTGCGGATTAGAAATAAGTACAGTAAGATAAATTTGACGGGTTCCAAAGTCGCGCGTACCTCAGCACTTCCACTTCGTGTCATCGGGATGTAGTCCTTCGACAAACTTCCGAGCTTTGTAATATCATTGCCTTCGGCGAAATACTGCCTCGGACGTCAGTATGGCATTTTTTAAATAATATCATGGTGTTGAAATACCTCGGTCATTTCAGTTAAGTATAGCCCTGGAGCAATCGAGTTTGTGCGGATCCCATGACGAGCAAAGCCAGTAGCCAGAGACTTCGTAAGGTGAACGAGCCCGGCTTTACTTGCCATGTACGCATACCCAACGTTCTCTGCTCTGTTAAAGCTAGCCAGGCTGCTGATTGTAATGAACTGACTTTGGATAAAGTCTCTTTTGCCTCGGCTGCTGGGGTGAATGTTTCCTGCTTCGAGGAGGTGCAAAAAAGCCACAAAGGTGTAAAATGCCCCTAGAACATTGATATCCATTGCCTTCTGGGATTGTTGAAATGATGTGTTCCACAAATCCTGTTGTATACTCGACAGGGACTGGTCTGCTTTCCGAGGAGGAGGCACTGTCATCGGACCCGTGACCCCAGAACACGCTATAACCACGTTGACGAACGGGGTCTGTCTTGTGACTGCTTTGACGGCTGTTTCTAGGTCGTCCTTTGAGGACACATCACACACTATTGGTATTATCGTCTTGTTTACCTGATGTATGACACCGCATGTTAGTCGTCAGCTTGGCATAACTGGCAAGGTATTTTGTGGTACGTACAGCCTTTGTCGCAACTTTCTCCAAGGATGATTTTCGTCGGCCGAGGACAAACACTCTGGCTGCGCCATTTGCGTCCAGAGCAAGAGCCATCATTTCACCCAGGCCACTACCCCCGCCAGTAACAACAAAGACCATTTCGTTCACGTTGAACAATTCCTTTGCCGTTAACTTCGATGTCATGATAGGGTAGGTGGGAGACAGCCCCTAGTATATCGTTGAAAAATGAATTGGATGTTGACACTTAAGGTGAACTCCGAAACTTCGGCCGGGTATGCCCAAAGGGACACTCGAATGAGGGGCCCTTTGTGTTATGAGAATAGTCTCTATCTGTCTCTCAATGTGGCTGATAAGTAGCGACAACGACAATTGTATGGACTATGACAAAGGAAACAGATCATGATACCAATTAAAAGCCCCGGGACATCGCTTTTTCGTAATAATGTTCAAGATACCTTGATTATAAATGTTAACTTCCGTAGACAAAACAAAATCCTCGGAGCGGAAACATTGAAAAGGCCGCATCACTAATACTTACTACGTAATTCACTGCCGAGTAATTTACTATCGAGCTACCGAGCCGTCCACTCCGCCCGGTCCCTGCTACTATTCTTGAATATTACTCTCAATTTGTTATCTTATGCCCGAGTTGCATTACAATTCGAACTGTGCGGTGGCGCTCTCTGAAGTGTCCGACTGTGTTTTTCCTATCCCACTAGGCCCTACCGTAGTAGTATTATTGGCACGAGTGTATTCCCCCTCCCACTGTATGCGCCTACAACTCTCCGACCAACCAATATTGGGGCCAGGGATTGCCTTTTTCTTGTGCTGTTCGGCATTGGTTGTGCTGTTCGGTTGATATCGGCTAAAGATAGCGTTTTTCACCCAGACTGGCGCACGCGCCCTTTGCTAATTGTTCAATTTGCACTAAGTTCTCTCGATATTGGTACTTAATTCTAATTGGTAAGCTTGCTATAGTAACTAATCTATCAATTAATCTTGAGTGTTTCTATTTCGGCTCAAAAGCAAAAGTTAACTTCTAAGAACCGTATCTTTCGGAAACTTGGCTCCGTCATCACCAGGCAGGCATTTCCAACTTGAGCCCACTACTGTGCTTTTCCTACATTAGGCACAGAATCATAGACCAAGAAACTCAAGACTATTAATATACAGCCGACTCCAATCCCCAGATATATAATTTTAGTTCCAGCATCAAGTTTCCTCATGAAGCATGTTGAGTGACAGAAATTTCGCGCAATGATGCATCAGGTGGGAGGATAAAAGTAGTCATAGCTTACTGAAACTTGTTCATTGTTTTGACTATATCTCTTCTTGAATAGATCTATAGTAAGAGCCTTTCCGTCTAAAGAAGTCTGTACTTGACTGCCATGGATATGGAAACAACAATAAATGCCGCAAAGCAGCCAACAATGCCCAAAAACCATGACAAATCACGATAGTGCTCTCCTGGGACTGCCTCTCCTGGGACTGCCTCTCCTGGTACTGAAACGTTCATTCCGAATAAACCCGTCACCAGATGGCATGGAACGAAGACAGTTGCGAGGAGAGTGATTTTGCTCAAGCCCGAGCTGATGGTCAAGCTAAATCGGATATTGGTAGCGCTTATCTGGGCTAAGTAGTTTGCCTGGGACCGGCCAATAATTTCATCAATATGTCCCAGTGTCGATAGGTTTGTGATTATATGGTCTTGAACATCGCCAAGATAGAGAAGCAGCTCGCCGTCTGGAAAGACAGGATACTTATCCGGAGCCTGGCAGCGTTTCACGTAACCGCTCAAGACATCGTTATTGCCATTCAGGCAGCGGGTGATGTGGGCGATTCTCTTGCGGAGGACGTCAACCTGTGGGATGAGCGTTTTGGCGTCGTCGATGCGTATAGTGAATACCTGGTCCTCGATCGCCTCGGACTCGCGCTCTGCGGCCCGGGCAAATGGCTCGAAGCTATCAATAATGTCGTCTCTAAATATTGACGTTAGTCATATGTATTGTGAGTAACCTGCCATATGGGGCATATGACTTACATCATTGCATAGCAGACCCAGTCACTTGTCAGGATAGAGGGGTCATGCATTCTTTGGATCCGGTCTCTTACCCTGTTCATATGTCGGCTTTCACTGGGTGAGAAAGTGACTACCCCATACTGGAAGACGAGAATGTACAGTACAGCCGAAGCAGGGATGCTCTGTCGTTCCTCCTGGCCCGGAAAATGGGAGACAAGGGTTTGGAATGAGATCAGATAGTAGTTCTTGAAGACATCAACCTTCTCTCGAGGCTCACGGATAGCAATATCCTCTGCCGTCAATGGGTGAATGGACAAAGCCTGCGAGACGGTATGGACGTCTTCTTCGGTGGCGTCCCGAATATCGATCCACCAGGTAGGCTGGTTTGGTTCTGAACGACCTTTGTGCTTTTCCAGAAAGACATTGCTTAGGTCACCATCGGGGAACAGCGCATCCCAGCTGGAAGAAGTGGTAGCTTTCTGTATTTTTGACGAAAAGAAGCTGAATCGATCGAATAGACACAGGCCCATGTCCTGGTTCTTTTCCTGCTGGTTCCCCATTCTACTGGTTGTTTACCAACGGCAAGGGAATGACTTTGCGTGCGAGTGATCAAATTTCCATCTGATGCCATGAAAGATTGAGGTCGCTGTGAGTGTAATCCCCCCTATCACCAAATAAAACACATGTATCAAGACAATTGATCTGGTCACCTTTTCCTAATCATTCACTATCTTGAGGAAGGTATGGGGTGGGATAGAGGAGGCCTGTTTATTACCCTCATGTGTGTGGGGTGAAGAAGGGAAGGTTGCAAGAGTTGGAGCAAAGAGCTAGACATTGTGAACTGCAATGCAACGCTCTAACCGCCCATTCTCGCTTGACCCTGTGCTATGATCCAGGTTGTGGACTGGAGAAAGTTTGATGACCAATGATGACTTGGAAAAGCGAGATCAACCGCTCAGGGATGCCAAGATGTGGCGGGCATTCTGCCTGGTGCAAGGTTTGGCACCGGCGCTTCCGGAATTGCGTCTCTAATTATTCTGCATTTCGAGGATGCCGAACTCCCAGGATTATGAGCACGGTTAGTGGGAGAATGTGGTATTTATCGAGGTCCCGGACATGTTATTTATTTGTTGTGATCACCACCGGGCTAATGAGAAACACCATTCAATATGAAAACAAGGCAGAATTTACCCTTTTACTGCAGGCCCATTGATACCCATATTAATATCTTGGCATTATCACACTTTTGCCAGTATTACTCATGGAAAACTTGGCGTGTCTTGGCGAGGTCCAGGAAACAGTGTTGAAAAACAAAACAAACATAGCTGCACTCATTTTGCCACGAGCGCGGCGTTATGCATTGAAAGATAGCAACCCTTCATTACTTGGTCCTGTGCGTTTTTACAATGAGTGGGGGAATTTAAAGCATTGCTTGAGCAATTTCTTAAGTGATGAGGCCTGCTTTTGTACTCGAATGGCGTTTTGGGTGTTTTTGGGATACATATCTCGCAGTCCTCCAAGTCAACCACGATGAATAGTCCGGTGTCTGCAGTTGAATCTTTTGCTTAATGGTTTCGATAGACAAAATTTGAGATCCAGGTTCTATAATATTTTGTTTGATACCCAAAAATATAGAGAGAGATGTCATTGGGAGTTCGCTCCTCGCAGTAGTAGAAAAAGTCGAGACATTACTGTAAACTCTGCCTATAATAAGCCGTCCTATTACGCTTATCAGTGCGACATGAGCGAAATGGGGGATTAGAGATGTTGAACTTTGAAAAGTTATGTACAGATTTTAGCTCCTCAAGATGCCAAGATCACATCGTGCTTTTGGGTATCAGGAGGGGCCAGCTCCGGGCTTGGCTTAGAAGGAAAAAATGACTAGCGGGATAAGAAGACTAGAGCAAATCAAGCAGGATGGTTCAGATATAGAGTGGGCCGAGGCTACGACATCCGAGGCAAACTTTGATCGCCCGATAGAAGTAGAGGACAGGCAGGACCGACAATACTGATAGCTTGCCTCCTCCTGTTCCTGGAGTGCCGGCATCTGATGGAGCTAGCTCGAGAGAATACACATTATTCTGCCTTTATGCGCGAGTGATGGGTTTGAGAAACCCAAATAATATCTTCCTTGGCATTAATACCGACAAGACTGGCTCATCATACCACAAATTATAAAGCGACGGTAGACCAAGTGGGCATATCGGGAGTGAGGCTGGCAAAACGATGGTCCGTTCCTAATTTCTTGACCGGTGATACCAAGACCGACTTCTATCTTCGACGATACGAAAATCTGCGTTGTTGAACCTGAGACCTAATTAGATGGAACATTGCGGAGAATAAATGACGGCGTAGACTCACGAAGGAAGCCTGGAACTTTTGCGTACTGTGGGAATGGAATGCGGATGATGACTGCGGTACTCGCTCTAGAAAGAGTTTTCGTAAGAACGGGATCCAGGTAGGGTGAGATAGTGCACGCTTTACTGTGGGTCGCCAATTTCCTCTCTCTTTCACTGTTGCTATTAGAAGCCCAATATGTTAAGGATCGAGCTTTGTTCTGATTTTCTTATCTCCTTTTGAAGACCCATCAGGTGATATACAGCGGCCTGAGCGCTTCGCACACTGTGATCCATAGTTGCACAAGACTCGTCTGGCATCTCCACAAATTGCCCAACCACTGCAAGATTGGCCGTGTTCTCCGATATTATGCTTGGGCGATCTCCATAGGTTCGAGAAAGCAAAGGTGCTGTTAATCGTGGCATTAGGCGCGGGATGGTGATTGAATTATTGAGAATGGGATGTTCCAAAGAGACGTCAAGATGTTGTAGCAATTCAATCATGATCTCTCTCCCAGAGCAACGGAGCATCGGCTTTTTGACGAAGTTCCCTTCACGCTCAGGGAATAAGCCGTAGCCCCACAAAACCTGTACATCGTTGGGCCGATGCGGAAAAGAAGACCGACGTGGGATATATAGACTGAGGAACCAATTGCTATGCCGAAGTGAGATCAAAGACGATGAACCCGCCTCGCTATGCGTCAACAATTTGAGCAGGCTGGAAAATTCGATATCTTTGATTGTGATTGTGAAAGATTCCAACCTGGATTCACTGACGCGGGTGCAAAAGTTATATGGATCGCCGAGATTTGGGCTTGCTCCCAGCCAAAGTGACCAATTCTCATCGAGCTTGTCCTCTGCGTCCAGCAATTCTAATGATGGTGGTATTGAATTGGTGCCTCCCGTGGATCCTGACATGACTGACCCAGGCGACATGATAACTATGTCGCGAGGGCTGACGCTGATAATACTCTCGGATCCGTTTTGTGTGAATTTTAATCCCGAAACCGCACCACAGTCATGGCCTGGATCCACGGTAATATCAGTGACTTTGCTACTGAATCGAAAATCCACTCCTTGATTCTGGAGGAACCGGGTCATCCGCCCAACGATATCTTCATATGGACGGTATCGGCAGCGATCGAGCATGGCAAAGGTATTTAGAGATCGGAAGTCGCGAAAGTACCTGCGAAGGCATCGACGGAACTCCACGGCACTATGCCAAGGACAGAAGCTGAAGCTTTCTCCCCAGTCAAATGTTGGCAAAACCATCAAGGGAAGTCAGCCGGGACAACATACATGGAAGACCAGATAGCCCAAAATTTGCTGTCAAAGAAGCTTTTTTCGAAAAACTGCTTAATTTCCCCCCTACACAGGCTCTTCTCAGGCTTCATCATGAAAACCGCCAACTGTGTCCGAACTTTCAAGGTTATGCTGAACTTGCTGGCGTCTATCATCTCCAGATCATGACCACATTGGATGAAAAGGCATGTGGGAGCTAGACCTGTTTTGGCTTTTTCCACATTATCCATGGTAGTCTTCCCTGAATCTGTCGTCGAGGGCACTGAGGTAAAGATTTCTTCGATGCAGATATCGCTCAAACTTGGCATGCATGCAGCTCGATGGTCATATCCGCTCTCTGGATCACCCACGATAGCGAGGCCATCTTCAGAGGCTCTGCGGGACTCTATAAGATGAATCCAGGAGCCAGGAACATTTGCATCGCGGATCAAATGAATTGCTGATGCCAACGACGCAACGCTACTTCCGAGTAGCCAGGCATTGAAACTGCCATTATGCGCTGGGTCTCGCAGGTTAGGCTGCTTAGGTTTCTGTTCATGAGCCATTCTAAAGAGTTATTTTAATTGTAAAGTGCCCTTTGGGCATGATGTGTGATGCGTAGTCACCCCGAGTCGTTATGTTAGTTAACTTAAGATGTTGACGTCATTGGTCATCAGAAAAACTGCTGACCGCTTCCCGTTAGTATGGAATTGGGGAGAGTCTTACCTACGGCCAAATTATTTTCCGAATAAATAACTACGATATCATTTTACTTTTATCAAGCAGTGATATTGCCAGCGATCTTATACGGGTGCTTAGTATGGTATACTCTAAACAGCGATCATGAACAACAGATATCAAAATCGGTACCAGTCCCTAAGGCCTCTCTTGTTGTCAATTCTTCTCTATTCCGACTGGCTGACAGTTATATGGCCTCAATTCTTGAGGCGGAGTGGGTGACTTCTTCACGATGGACGGCGAACGCAAACAGTTTGGTTGCCAAGGACCCAATATGAGCCAATTCCACTAAGCGCTAAAAAGCGTTTATACTGCCACAATTAAATGTACACTTCTTTTCATTTACATGGGGTATACACAACAGATCTATGTATCCATCCACCGATCGATCCATACGCCAGAGAAAACCCTTTCATATTAAGCGCCCATAGCCTAAGCTGCAGCTGGTGAATCTATGACCAGAGGATGTTGAGTCTCGCGAGTCCCTTTTTTTGTGTCGGTTCAGGCTCGAGGTTGTCTTGGCTGAGGTAGAATTGCATCAAGCCGACAATCGGAATATTCGCCAAACCGAGGATGTGTGTTTTCTTCCAAGCCTTGTAGCCAAAGTATAGGGCCAGAAAGATTGGAACATTAATGTATGACGAAATGAATGTTTGGGTACTCCAGTGGCCATGGATAAATGTGCTGAAACCTCCAGTGAGAATTAAAAGGAGGATCAGCACAAACGAAACCCAGGTCAAGTAAGGTTGGAAAGGGGCAGCCCACGGAAGCTCTTTGTGGCGGTCAATCCCCTGCTTCTTGCAACCGTAGTAGAATCGGAGGTATACGACACAGATAATTCCCCAGTCCACTAAAGTCGAGATCGCCACAAGGGCCTGCAACCAGCTAAAGACTGCGCTTGCTGACTTGGAGGCGACCATATACCCCAAGCACATAAAGGCCCCGAAGAAGCTGATGGCCACATAAGGCACACTGAATCGGTTCAGGCGCGAAAAGACCGCAGGGGCATGTCCCTGGATTGCCATGCCAAAGAGGATTCGGGAGCCGTAAAGGATAAATGAATTTCCAGCTGACCAGGCCGAAGTGAGTATAGCGGCATTAATAACCGAGGGTGCATCGTGTATCCCTGCCCGATGAGCAGCAATAACGAATGGGGATTGGGAAGCTGTGCCGGTTATATGAAGGAGGTTTGGGTCATTAGAAGGAATAACCAAACCAGCCATAAATATAGACAGGACATAGAAGACAAAGACGCGGACCAAGATGCGCTTGGTTGCCTTTGGGATAGCTTGCCTTGGAGATTTCGTCTCGGCTCCAGCAACGGTAATATTTTGAGCTCCCGCGTATGCAAACACTGCATTATTCAGAGTTGTCCAGAAACCGAGGAATCGACCCAAAGGACCCTTGATACCAAGATACTGAACGAAGGGCCCTGGATCTTTCCAGTATCTGAATCCAATCGATTGGCCACTTGGTCCTCCACCACACGTAATCACAAGGGCCATGATATTTACCCCAATGATGAGCAAGATTTTCAGCATTGCGAATGCAAACTCAAGCTCTCCGTAAAGTCTGATGAACAATAGTGCAGTGACGAGTATCAGCATGCCGAAAACAGTGATCCATATTGCGCTGCTGACAGCAATCCAGAATTCAACCAAGATCGAAGCCGCCACGATCTCCGCAGGGATAGTCACCACGTATGATAATACTTGATTCCACCCATTAGCGAACGCCATGGCAGGGTCGAAGAAGAGTTCTGCATATCGGACGAGACCTCCACTGAGAGGCACTAAAGTGCCCATCTCTCCAGTAACGAGGACAACGCTGCTTATAACAAGCCCGATAATAGTATATCCAAGGAAGGCACCTAGAGGCCCTCCCATTGCGAGTGCTTGGCCCGAGTTGAGGAATAGTCCTGAGCCGATTGTTCCGGCCAAACCAATCATCTGAATGTGCCGCTGGTGAAGACCTTGCTTCAATGTATATCGTTCATTGAATCTTTGCGCAATATCATCCGTTTCATGGTCAAGTACTGAAGAGGCGGCTGTTTCCGTAAGAGGAATATCTGAGCCTGTTCGAGACGACATGGTTGTAGATATTGCCGTTGACCGCGGCCGAAGAAGTCAGCTCTGAGTCGACGGGAGGTGGCTTAAAACGGTTTTCTGCCGCTTTACCGTTCGATACGTCACATGTTGTGTTCTAGGCTTTGAGCGTTGCCCGATGTCTTAACCACGGTAATTCTGGAGCTTATTCCGGCCGACCGGCCCTTTCGCAAATTACCATGATTACAGTCCCTTGATAGTATGATTTATGGGCAAGTTTACCATGTCCTTCCGACTTTTCCTTGCGAAAAGTCTCTCAGTCAATTTTGACTGTTCCTTCCCAATTTAAAAATAGGAAATTGGTGCTATCAACCCCGCCTGCCTGAACTTTAATAGGGAGTTACACCCCGGTTAAGTGAATTCTCACCGCTTTTATCACCGCCTTTCTCACCGCTTCTAACCCCCTCTTTTTCCTCATCTTAAACTCTCTTTTATAATTTCTCTTGCTATATCGACTATGGCCTCCCTACCTCTTGGTCTTCTCTTTGTTGATTTTGCCGTCGATGACGCTAAATCAGGTCCGGTTTTTTTTTTAGGAAGATAGCCCATACTAACTGAACTAGTGTCTTTTGTAACATCGACCTATCGCTCGAGCCTTTCTATAAGCGCATAGCGATATTATGCGTAGGCATTTCGATAGGTTTATAGGTAGTGGATAGAGAAAAGGGTATGAGAGCAAGAATTTTTGGTCGGGACCTCTATGCAGCCAAAGCCCTAGGAACCTAAAGACCACGAAAACCAGACAAAAGCAGCAACATACGGCCGAATGAGCAAAGCGCGTCGCAGTAGCAGTTCTACGTAGAAACAAGATATTCCTTGGTGGACGCGCACATATTCAAACGTCAATTACTGGCTGACGCGCCATGACGCACGCTGTAAGCTCTGAAACGACGTGAGAGGAGCAGCAGATTTCGGCGACGGAGAGTTGATAAGAGAAGTTGGATTACCCGGACTCGCATGAGGAGATTCAACGGGGATAAGATTAGGAAGAGTGGCGTCTTCATTGACATACGAAGACCAATCATCATCCACTTTCGAGGATGTGATGAAAGATGGGAGTAAAAAGGGTAAGAGATAAGAGATGGAGGAGGAAGGAAGTTGAATGATGAGAGAAATTTCTTTTTCTAAATATGTGTATAAGTGAGAGAAGTGGTTGTAAACCGATATTGGTTCTTACTTTCGTTGCTTATCTCCTCACGAATGACGAAGGTGATGTCCTCGACACCCCCTTCAGACGATCATAGAGATCTCGTCGAACCTGTATCGTACTACTTTAGAATCGAGTATCTCTGGTATGCTCTCGATCTCATTTCTTTGACTCCTAACATAGCTCACAGCACACCCATTATCCCTCACACTATTCTTTAGACTCGATCAACGACATTGCAATTCCAGATATTCTAGGTGACGTTCCTGGCATTACTCATGGCTCTCTTTCGTCAACTGAGGACCCAGAAATGGTAGAACCGACGGTTCCCAACACTCCGACGATCCCAACGGACACCAATGTGACAATGACTGATAACTTTGATAATGGCTGATAACTCTCCGGCTACTTCAAAGACCAGGAAGACCGCGATGTGTGGCTCCGCCTTTGAAGGGCGCAATTTCGGCCGACCCTACTCTATTGTCTGCCCTTATAGACCCTGCACTCGTCTAATCCAAGAATTACACTCGGGCAGTTTTCACTCAACCGCAAGAACTCCTTCCTCACCTCAAGGAGATGGACGCCGACCCCAAGAGCACCGCAATTTTAGACGAGCAGCAACTTCTCCATATGAGAAGGTTCAAATCAAGATTCGCCGGCAATTTCTCCAATACTTTGCAAAGAATGGAGACGTTCTTGCAAAGTACCGCGCCTTGATCGAAAGCCAAGTCAAGATTTCCAAGAGCAAGACAGAGTACCGGTTTCATTACGGAGCTTTTGTGGGTGTGCCGTGAAACATTATGAGAGAACACATCGATCACATGCAACCCCCGGAGTGCAATATATTGCCTCTTTCAGAGGGCTCGGTATTCAGTAATTAAACTGATCATGCGGATCTTCTTCCCAGTCGGACGATTTGCCCACATACTTACCTAGAGTAGCTTGCAACAAATCGTATGTAAGATCGGGGATTGACTTCATCAGTTCTGATGTAAGCACCAGCGTTGGACTTCTCCGAAGATGCTTCAGATTGTCAACTATCATTTCGATTGCTGATTGCCTCAGCTCATGGTAGTTTGCTCGTGTCGAATAAATCTCCTCCATGATATCTGCAAAAGACTGTCTTTCCGGGGAATTCATAAACGATGCGCAGAAATAGTTTTCTGCTTTCCTTTTCAGGTCGTCGATCATGAAATAGTCCGCCTCGCCATATATACGCACGTGAAAGTAACACGGGTGACAGTTAACCAATGGATCGATGATAGGATCTATTATATGCCCTTAGCTCTCTTGATCGGTAACGTACGTTGGTGGGTATTCACTCGTTAGAGCTGGTTTCTCATTTATCTGTGGCTAATGTATCAGTGTCCCTAGAGTGCTCTCTAGAGGTTCTATAACTATTTTATAGGGATTTTCATCAATATATACCTTAGCTTCATCAGTGACACCACTTTCTGCTTGGAACTCTCGCGATGGCCCTCCTATAGGCTGGCTATCTATCTCAAGCACGTCTGCGTTACTGGGCTGTGTAATCTCCGAAGTATATGTAGGACTTGCAGAGGTGTAATTTCCCGTATATAGGAATTCCAGCATTTTTTCAATGAGGATAGGGTCTTTATCGTTGAGAGTAATTGGGTTTTCGGTCTCCTGAAAGTCCTCGCCCCTTGTCAGTCTGAGTCAATAAGGTTTAATAGGAGGAGTTTGTATAACCTTAAACCCGGCATAGCAAGCACTATAAAAGTATTTTGATCTTGGACAAATAACAAGCCTATGGGCTGAGAAAACCTTATCCCTGCAGATAATGGTCAAGTCGCTGTAGTCCGAGTTGAGATGCAAGCTATTCTATGTTAGTGACTAGGTTTCATTTGCACTAATATAGGGCGCTATGAGTTCTGTTTCTCACCTTGCGATGAGCCCAAGGATGGTATCTTGATCTTCCCTAACCTCAGAAGGAGAAGGCTCTCTGTCCTCGAGTTTGGATGAGTACGAATGCCTGGTTTTTTTCTTTCCCATGGCTGGACGTGAATGAATTTGTGAGAGTATATTAGATTCGGCAGACCAGATACCTGGACTGAGGCCAAAATGTCCAAATAAGTAGTCTTTCCCGAGGAGGTTGGCTTTGCTCTATGTTCAGAGAGTGGAAGTTTGACGCATTGCGGCCTTACCCCGCCTCCTTTATATAATCACAGGAAAAACAGGTGGCAGGCTAATTATAAGAAGATTGAAGAAGAAATGCGTAGCAATAGTATGCAAGCAATGAAACGTGAAGATGTAACGAATAAGCAGCAAGTATAAAGCACGGATACTAAGATTAGGGAGTCAGCAGCTAGGTTCAAAGAGGAAAGCGCCAGTTAGGAAGGATACCAACCGCCAACACTAAACCGAAGTGAGGAATGCTTGAACAGCAATCAGAAGAGGGCGTGGAAAAAAGCGGTAGCGAATCAGACGAGGACGGTGGTCAGATTAGCGAATGGGAAGCCAAGATTTGGCTAACAGGAACTTTATAAATAAAAGTTTTGACAACAAGGATATACACCGCGGGCGACGGTACACTCTTTCTCAATTCGTTCATTCCAGGGCACGGATCCCTAAATGTAGTACTTATGAAAACAAGTCACATCAGTTATGTCTCATAACTTATCAACCAAAAAAAGGATCTATAAATTGTACTGCTATTCTTCACAAATCCCTCCGATAAATAAAGCTTAACTACGTCGGTAAATTATTGGTCTGCAAAATCAAAGTTATTGGTGTACCTAGCACGATATCTACCACAGAAATGACCTTCCAATCTTCCGATCTCCCGTAATTAGTCATTCTCCTCACGAAGACGCTCCAGTTCCGCTTGATCAAAGATTCCAGGACCTGTGAGCTCATTCTTCAACGCCGAGATAGAGGGCGCAAAGAAGTAGTCTCCTCCCTTTTGAATGACCCAGCTTTCCAGCGGCATACGGTTCCTGGAAGCTTCATTGTCATCGGGAAGACCGATAGAGCGAGGTGGGTGATGGTCTAGTCTCTGACCCACGATGGCATCAATACCCGGACCGTGTTCACCAACAAACTCTGTCTTGCGGTCTGGGAACTCATGGTTGCTTGCCCAGCCTGGAGAAATCGAAGTTGTTAGCAAGGAGCCCTTTGCAATTGGTTATGCAGCGGTTTAAGCTTTAAGTACTTACGGGTAGTCAGGAAGTTGAATCCGTTCCGGATGTCGCTCTGGTAGCAGACAAACAGAAGCCCACGTTCCTTTTCTTCAGCCGACTTCCGTTCGGTGGCTTCTTCAGCTGTGACTTCTTCGCCATACGGAATGCCGCGACGCATAATGACGGCATGGTCATGATTCAAGTCAGCTCGGGGTCTCATCTTACGAGTGTGGGCAGCAAAAGGACATTTTTTGTGCTCATTAGTGGGGTGATAATCGAAGTTGTTTGATGAGAAGAGGCCTGAGTCAGAGTCGTTGTGAGGAGATTCATCCACCGGTGTTCCTGTGTGTTTTTATCAGTGAAAAATTTCACAGAGTCAGAGTCACACTAGTTGCAACAAACCATTCTTCCATCGTCCCATCAAATATGCCGCAAGCTTCTCGCCTGGTCTGGGGTGGGTCTGAGTAAAAGGGGCGAGGTGGGCATTTTCCTCCATGAACCTATAGATGTGATCAGTGCGAAACGCCAAATATAAAACAACACAAGCTGAGCCACATACGTATCGAACTCAGGAACTAGTTGCTGCAGGTCACGGAAAACAAGGAAGCTGCCGTCTTTCGCCCAAGTCGGTTGGGTCCCGGCGCCCTCGTGCCCGCAGAGGATCATTCTGCGTCCCGTCAGCCTGAGGGACTCTGTTCATTCAACTTCGATAACCCTTACCCCGGTTTCGTGGCTCTTGGCTCCCTGCCCTCGGGTTGCTTTTCATCCCAGCCCTCGATAATAGGCTGACTGATTCCATCCTTGAACCCAAAGCTGAACAAAAACGTAAGTCTGACTCCCCGGTAGATAGTCACAGGCATTTCGGCGAGTACTCACTGCTCTTTTCCTTTATTAAGACCCGGGCGGACCTTTCCTTCTCTGATGAGGGTCAACTCTATAGAGGGGTCCTTGCTTATGACATAGGTGTCTGGGTTGAGAGGTTCCCCCTCCTCGGCCAGGAAATGTTGCTTCACTTCGCTGATCTTCGAATCCAAATCAGACTTCAGGCTCGAGGTCACCATGATCACTCCATCAATGAGCCTCTCCTGATCGCTGGTGGGCTGGTATTCCTTTCGAAGTTCCTGGGGGTTGTCCCATCCCTCTCCCACGAGATCACTGAACATTCCCTTTTCAAAGAGTCCACCGCGGAGCTGTTTCTCCCGGAATATTGGAGATAGCTTTCTGTTCCTTTTTACCATCTCCTGGTCTCTGGGATGTATAAACGCACCAAGCTATAGATGAGTACCTTGTGAGTCATTGTTCAATGCCAGCGCAAATATTTGCGATTATGACTTACAGCTTCAAGGCCGGTTGAGGTAAATGCAATGTTGATTCCTGGCAAGGCTTGCAGTCTGGCCGATTTCTTTGCCTGTTCAGCCTCTTTCTTTGCCGCCTTGATTATCTTGCTCATTTGACATGCATCTTCAGCGGTGGTGATCCTATTGGTGAATATTTTGAGTCGGTTTTTGAAATCAACTTGGTTTCTAATACGGAAAAAAAGAAAGCTTTGAAATCTTTTGGGGAGTCCGGGCCTGATAATGGAGGTAAGCTTTTTCAAAGGACATGTCGATATATAAACTTAGGGCAGCGTAAAAGTAATTACCAAATGTCTCCCTGGATATTTGCCTTCAGGGCCGGAGTAAGAGCCATGATGAAGAATTCAACTATCGAAGAGCGTGTGATTTCCAATACTTTGGAAAAAACTGAAACCTATATGAAAACGTGAGGTGGCACACCAGCTTATGAACCCAGAAACCGGGAAGGGGGCGGTGGGTAGTACATCACTATGATTGAAATTGCGCTTATCCTTCAGCTGCTGGATCAGGTCACCGATCGGAGATGGGCATGCTTGATAGCGTCATTTAGCAAGCGTCGTCGGTGACCCCGCAATACTGAGGTTCAATATCGATGGCCTATCAAAGCCATATTCGGCTGCACACGCATCCGTATGGCGAATTGGAACAGGCCTAATGCAGCTTATTCCCAGTGAATAGACCGCAGGATCGGCTACACCGGTGCTCATTTGACCTTTCCAGATCCACTGACCCCGTAGGCTCTGAACCAGAGGAATTCCCAATTCAAAAATGATCACCAAGTTAGCGTTCCTTCCGTCCCCAGAGATCAGCATAGCCCGGGCTCCCATCTAAAATCCACATCTAACCGGTGGGTCGCCTTCAGGCAAATGAGATGGTACATTTTGCAATTCACTCGCAATCCCCATCACGGCCCTTGCAGATTGGATCATAGGTTGCATTGAAGGAAACGCAACCATCTCCATTTATGACGCCCAATGATATCAAGTCTTCAGTCACTATCTTCTAAATGCAACCAGGTATGGAATAGTGGAGATCTGCTCCACTCTCTAGTCCCTTGCTAAGAGGGGCTGGCGCAAGCCACCACAGACGAGTTTGCTCGGGTTTGGATGCAAGATCCCTTGGGTGTACACTGATAGTTCAAGCATATGGATCCGCAGGATGAAGGACTATAGTCTCTAAGACACACGGAGCAAGCAGCTTTCACCTCTCCGTGTTTCACTGGGCAATTCGATAGTTCATTTCTCCGAGAAGCTACTATAGGTTTTGAAACTGAATCGACAGCTCACATCTGCCAGAAGCTACATTGGGAAAAGAGGCGATCAGATCTTCAGCTGAACTGTGGATTGTACCTATGCAACGCACTTAGACAGCGGATCTAAGGTTCAAGATTCGCTATTCGCCTAAGTTTGGGGGCTGCGGGCCGACTGTGATCGGCAGGCGGGTCGGGTCCCACTTTCGACGCTTAAGACGAAATACGAACTATGATCGACATGCACATGTACTTTTGTTGCTCCAATCACCGGTTAGTCAATCTTTCTACGGAGCCGTGGTGACACAGAATCCTCGGAGTCTGCAAGCCTCCCACCGATATGCAAGCCAGGCACGAACTAGAACTGCAGAACCATGCTGTGGCTGCTCCGAGAGACGCCGATCTTTCCCCTGTCCCCAACGCGATTCAACCTTGGAAGGTTTCAGTCTTGTTTTTACTTCCGCAGTCCGAGTAATTAGTCGGTGGGGTTGTGATAGACAAGCTGAGCTCGGGTCGAGGCTGCCAATCACTGACGTCTGTGTCTCAGCTCCGACCTGCGCAAGTCGATATGGGTGCTCGTCTGGTGGCAAGCCCCTCTCCGCCCCCAAAAGATCGACACAAGCTATGTGAGTCTACGTAACTACTCTGGATTATCGGTCTGGCATATTCCCGTGTACGAAAGTTCGTTGGATCGTTGATGACGGTGGCGGGCGGCCTCAGGCGGAGCATGCGCAGTACAAGCCTTATATCTGCTCTTGCTCCTACTTAAGAATTTCTCCTGACAGTCGTGGTCTGAGCTCTTTCCCAGTTCTGTTTCTCTTTTCTCTCTATCCGATCTTGTCGCCCGTTATGAAGATTCAATGGGCCGGGCTCCTCTTAGGGGCTTCAATTGGCGGAGTCAATGCTATGGCCGAATATATGGCCGAGGCCATGAGAGGGGAGCGCGTCTCTGGCTACGGCAAATCTGATAAACCTTCCTGGGTACCGGACTTCAAAGACGAATCTCCACCTTATCAGGGCATTCGAATCCCCCGTCAAGATTGGACCTTGACATGTAGCAGCTCCGCTCGTGGCTATCCCTGCAAATACGCGATCGATGGCAAGAACACCACTGCCTGGCGCAGCAACCCCTCTGACAAGGGACACACTTTCATTGTTGATCTTGGGGCGTGGTACCAAGTGAGCGCCGTCGTTGTTCTCCCCCCTCTCGATACGGGGGTGGAAGGCCTCATTACCCAGCACAAGATCTGGATTAGCGAAGACCATGAGACCTGGACGGGGCCTGTCGCATATGGGATGTGGCCCAATACAGTCAGACAGCGGATGTCCGCGTTCGAGCCATCTTCTGCCCGGTATTTGAGAATCACGACCGATGCCGACGAGGACAACCCCTGGGTTGGTATCTCCGAGCTGAACATCTACGGAACTCTGTACACCATTCCTCGCGATCCTGTACTCGGTGTCTGGGGACCAACTCTTGATTTCCCCATAGTTCCTGTCTCCGGTGCTCAGGAGGGATCTGGCATGCTTGCTCTTTGGTCCTCGTGGGCCGACGATCAGTTCCACTCCACCCCCGGAGGCAAGACTGTCATGACCCGGTGGAACTCATCGACCGGAGAAGTTTCCAAGCGGACTGTCACAAACACCCAGCATGACATGTTTTGCCCCGGTATTTCTTACGACGGCACTGGCATGATGGTTGTGACCGGAGGTAACTCCGCCTCGCAGACCAGTCTCTATGATTCTGCCAATGATAAGTGGATCAGCGCAAACGAGATGAACATCAAACGTGGATATCAGGCATCTACAACTCTCTCGGATGGGCGTGTCTTCGTTATTGGAGGCTCTTGGTCTGAGGTTTCCACCATTAACAAAAATGGCGAGGTTTACGACCCTGCTACCCAAAAATGGTCTATGCTTCCGAACGCGACAGTCAAAGAGATGATGACCGATGATATGGAAGGCCCCTGGAGAGCGGACAACCATGGTTGGCTCTTCGGTTGGAAGGGTCTGAGTGTCTTCCAAGCCGGGCCTAGTAAAAACATGAACTGGTACTCTGCTTATGACGACGGGCATGTCAAGGCAGCAGGGAGACGTTTGAATGATGGTGATTCCATGTCTGGCAATGCAGTTATGTTTGATGCCGTGAAGGGAAAAATCCTCACCCTTGGAGGGTCTCCTGACTATGATAAATCGCCGGCCACCGACGCCGCCCACATCATTACGATTGACAAACCTGGTCAGGAACCAAAGGTCGAAGTCGCTGGTGGAAAAGGCACCATGCATTACGAGCGTGTGTTCCACACTACCGTTGTTCTTCCTGATGGAAAGGTCTTCATCGCTGGCGGTCAGACCTTCGGGATTGCCTTCAACGAGGAAAATGTCCAGTTTGTTCCTGAGCTTTATGACCCTGAGACCGATAAGTTCCAGAAGTTGCAGCAGAACAATGTGGTCAGAGTGTATCACACCGTCTCCATTCTCCTCCCAGATGCCCGGGTGTTGAATGCCGGTGGTGGACTGTGCGGCAACTGCACGGCCAACCACTACGATGGCCAGATCTTCACGCCTCCCTACCTGTTGACTCCTTCAGGCCAGCTCCGGCCCCGTCCTGAGATCCTCTCGGGCCTACCAGATAAGACCGTGGTCGGCAGCACCCTGAGGTTCAAAACTTCCGGTCCGATACGGAAAGCGTCCCTCATTCGTTTGGGTACTGCCACCCATACTGTCAACACTGACCAGCGCCGCATTCCTCTTGACGTTTCCTCCACATCCTTATTCCAAAAAACCTGGAAAGTGACTCTGCCAAGTGAGCCGGGCATTCTCATTCCTGGATACTGGATGCTATTCGTCATGGACCGGGACGGCGTGCCTAGCGTTGCGAAGATCATGATGATTGGCTTGGACCCCAAAAAGACCATTGAAGCTTGGGAGGAAGACCCACTGGACGTGACGGATCAACAGAAATGTGAGCATGGATCACTCAAGTCTTATTGGCAATCTCCGAAGCTAATTCTGCAGACGTTGCGTCGTCGGTAAGGATGGAGTTGCTCAAAAAACATTAGTTTTGGTAAAATCTCCAAAATAAGCAGTTATATCAAGATCAGATTGCAACAACAACTCTACAATGAAATAAACCCCAATACAAAATGAGCGGACAAGAAAGTAAAGATAGAAACAAAAAATCGGATATGATATTGATGTAAACAGATGGTTGGAACGAAGCCTAACTGCTAAGCATTCGCGCAATATTAGAATAACAATCGTTCCAAAGATCCTTGTTTGCGATGCGAGATTCAGTCACGTTAGCGGAATGTAAGGAAAAGAGGGGATCAGCTCCGGCTCGCTCAAGGCAGCCGGGTAACTAACTCATCCTGTGATCCAGGAGTCAATGACTTGTTACCATCACTTACTATAGCTAAATACTCGACTCGCCACAGGATCAGATAAAGCCAACCCAGGCACTAAATTCCTCTGCAAATTTCACGGCTGCCTTCAGATAAAAGTTGTCCTGATCACCCCAGGTAGTAGCAGTCTGCCTCAACGCCCAGATCGCCTTGACATAGTGCGCATCCGTGGAGTATTCACCCTTGACAGCCTGCTCGGCAGTCCAATTCCAATCTCTCCCCTTGAGATCAAAGTCTCGAATCCGGTCCAGCGGGGTTTCGGGACGTAACTGAGCCATAAAGATGGCCAGCGTGATGAGCCACCATTGACGAACGAGAGGGATCTGGAACTTCGCGGGAATCAGGGGTAGCAGCACGCGGACGGCATGGCTGGTCGTCAGAACGTGCACGAGGAAGAAGTCGTATTTTTCCGATAAGTCCCCATGCGAAGCAACCATGAGTGCAACTGCGAGCTCTTGACTCTCACGGAACTGCTCAATCGGATTCTCGAGTTTCCATGCGTTCCAGTGGTTCAGGAGTACAGCTTCGCGGTCGCTGAATAGCTTATCCAGGTTGTGGTCACCTGGAGTCACGAAAAACCCATCTAGCTGCTTCTCGGAACGGACTTTCTCGAAGATTTCAAAAACCGATGTTGACTGGTAAGAAGGTTCGAGTTGAGAGGGTACTGGATCGTCTGTGTAGTTGTGTATGCTGTTGTAGCAGACTGATGCCAGTCCCAATGCTTCCATTCCTACTTCCCGACTGCCCATCTCAAATGCATAGGCGAGATGAATGAGCGGATGTCCCACTGTACAAAAAGGTCAGCATATACTCCAAGGCTCAGATAGGTGGTGTTTTCTGGATGAAAAACTGACAGTCGGCAATGACAGCATTGAAAACGGGCTCATCGCCGGAGAAGAGGTACTCGGCCACAACCTCTTTCCAGTCATAGTTGAACCGGACCAACTCATCTTCGTAGAAATCCACAAATGTCTTCTGATATCTGTTTCGCGGCTGATTGTCAGTAACCCCGAATACACCCGGAGGGAGAAGCGAGCGGCGAGACGTACTCTCGGCACCCCAAGTGATCTCTCCAATCTTCGGCAGTGACCTCTGCTGGCGAGTCATCCCACGCATCTAACAGCTTGGACTCGTTCTCGTAGAGACGTGTTAAATCGTCCGCGTCCGCGCCCTGGAGGAAGGCGGCACTCAGGAGCTGGAAGCGTGTTAATTAAATCAACGCAGATGTAAACAATCTTTAGGTCATATCTCACGTGTGGTGCATGGTTATGGAATTTCCGATCATTGTACAGAATAGCATGGTTCGCATGGTTCAGCTTGAGAAGGTGCTTCAACGCTCGGCCGGACTTCTCCTGAGCATTCTCGATATCATGGGTTTTGACAGGTGGAATATCAATAACCTGCTTCTCCCCGAATAACCGAAATGATTTCAACGACGGTAATGAGATTTGGAACATGCTGGCGTCGCCACAGAGCTACGTTGTTCGATGGTGGGGGCTGTCTGCGTGGCCCGAGGGATAAATCTGCCGGTGATATCGGTCCGTGCCCTCTTACAAACCAGTACAACGGGACCTTGTGGTTGGCGTCACTCGAAAAATGAAGTTCACGTCTGCTTCAATCAGCCTATCGCAAGCTCAACGGAGTCTCGGATCTGCCGTGGATTGTTGGGAATATGAGGCCTCAGGCACGCAATTACAATGACGTAATTCAATCTAGTCACGTGGCAATATAGAAAAACGTGGATTTAGAAGGGAAATATGCCTCTCAATTTGGATAAACAAACAACTATTTTAAGTAGTCCGACACTATTTTAAGCCTTGTAATGTTCTACGGCAGCAACCGGATTTTCGGATTGAGTGCCAGCCTGTCCGGCTAAAAACTCCACCTCGATTCGGGGACCGACGTAATTCTTGCGTCCGTCCGCGAACCATGTGATCGAGGAAATGATGACAACAATGGCAAAGGCGGCAACACAGTAGTCTATTTGATGTTAGTACGACATGCCCCGGATGATATCAGACTTGATGACATACTCATGTTGCTGCCAGTGGCAGGAAGATCCGGAGGGAAGAGGAAGAGGACGGTGGTAAGGATAATGTACACGACGGAAATCTGTTATGGAAGTTAGCTAAATCCTGCTTTCGTATTTTCAAAGGGGCCTTACGATGTTAAGGATGTAGCCAACGACGTTGGGCAGGACGAAGGCACGCTCGGGAAGGGTGCTACGTCCACGGCACAAGTTGATAGCGATGGGCATACCATAGGAAAGATCCAGCAGGACAACCGACGCGGAAACAATGGCGTTGAAAGCGCTGGAAGATCCAAGGAAGATCAATCCGAAGATGATGACCAGTGCCAAGTTGAGATACAGCGAGTGCAGGGGAACCTTCAGCTTGGAATGAATCTGGGAGAAATAGGACGAGAAAGGCAGACCGCCGTCTCGGGCAAAGGCATAGCACATGCGACTGCTTGTGGTCATGATAGCCGTGGTAGCAAACAGCATGCACACAAGGGGGAAGCTGGGGATTTTGTCAGCATTAGACACGGAAAAATTGTGGACAGTAAGGCAGTACTAACATGAGCAGGCAGATAGCACCGGCGTTGTTCTGAGTGGCATTCTTCAGGATCGCCAAGAGTGGACCAGCTGCCGAATTAATAATTGGATCAATTTCACCGGCCACAAACAGAAGCACAACCAGGAAAATGACACCAGTGATGGTACCAATTGCAACGCAGGCAATCATGATCTTGGGTCCCTCGACGGAAGCGTTCGGGATTTCTATGGTATGTCAGTAACATTCACACGAACATTTTGATCATCTAAATGTACCTTCGATCATATGGGCAACGCCGTCCTAGTATATCATTAGCTCATGCCTCACACCTCGTAGAGCAAGTAATGACTCACAAATCCAGTAACGCCTAGACCACCCTGCAGAAGTCCAAGCAACCAGGCAATGCCATCGGGCCCTGTATATGTCAATTGGTATTTCTCATTAACCAGAATCAAATCCACATACAGCCTGTCTCGTTGATAAAGTCGCGGAAAACAAAGTCCCCGGAGTTGTAGTTGCCGGAGGAACAGGCGAGGACCGTAATGCAGATAACGGCAAATCCGGTCAGAGACCAGGTGAAGGCAGCCTTGTTGAAGTAGGGCAGAATGCTGTTTCCGAACGCGTTGATGAGGAATGCAGCAACGTTGTAGGCGACGTAAATCAAAAATTGGTGCCAGCGCTGGGGGTCGTAGCTCTGATCGAGACATTAGAAGCAAAATCTTCACAACGCCGGAATATGGCACATACGGGGTTCATCAGAGAAATACAGCCCAGAACCAGCTGGCTACCAAGCAAACCACCGGTTGCCACCAGGGCAACCCAACCTGAGCAGTTCACCCAGCCAGTGATCCAAGATAGAATGGGAATCCATTTCTCCCAAGAAACTAGACGAGATTAGCAAACGGATTTTCGTAAGTCAAGAGATTTTCGTTGTCAACTTACTGACAGCAACCCAGTGGTATTGACCTCCAGCACTGTTGCGAATTGTCAGTCGCGCTCAAAATTTTCAACGCGTACTCTCCTGGGTACTCACGTAGGGTACGCAGATAGGAACTCGGCCAGCGAGGCTGCCATGCACATACTACAAATACCAGCAGTCACCAAGCCTAGATTGTACTGTCAGTATTCACATCAATTGAACCGACGGGTGGCAACTTACCCCAAACAACACTTGCCGGGCCTCCGGAAGGCAAACTGAGGGATAAACTCGCAGACAAAGCTGTCCATGACTATCCACGGAGATTCATTAGTTGTTGACCAGGCGGGGCCACAATCAAAAACCACCAGAATCACATACATTCAGAATAGCAAATGCAAGACCAAGCATAGACCTGCAATTCACATAGGGCTGGTTAGTCAGGCGGTCGGACCTCGACACGCGAGCCAGGAGGCACATACAACAAAGAGTAATGGCGTTTCAGCTCTGACTTGTGGCCCATCTGGGCCAACTGCGCATCATCCTCAAAACTCTTCTCCATGGTGGCGAGTATGAAGTGCTAGCAGGAGAAGAAAATGTCTGATGGAAAACGATGGGGAAAACGGTCAGAAGAAAAGAAATCTCCGGGCTAGCATGACGACAATTCGAAGCTTACTTTCCATCCCAGTCTTCTCCACGCTTTTCCGATTAACGCGGGGGGTCCGGCATGTTTGTCGACTTGTTAGGTAACAGGTTTGGGGTAATGGGTCTCCGAAGGCGATAAGTTGCCGTGCCCATGATTGGTTCAAAGGCCCGAACGCCGGCCTGTTCGGCCACTCACCGGGCTTTCCACCGGAATGTCGATCAAGGCGTTGGGCTGGCGTTCCGCAAAGCATGGCACGAGCCCGCAGCCCCCGAGCTTAGCCTAACAGTCCCGTCTCATTGGTCACGCAGGGACGTCAACGGGGAGGAGAGATTGTGATCTCGGGGTACGGAGTAGTTTGGCACGACTTTCAGTACTTGCAGTATGGGGAAGGTCGTGGCAAACCCATCGTGGCGTCTCTCCAAGTTCTGGCTCCCCTGACGTCTGCGTTAAACATGACGCCGGCGTTAAACCTGACGCCTGCGTTAAAAGGGCGTAAAGCTTCGTCGCCACACTCGGTCCAGAGACTCCGAATAGAAGGTTGCTCCTATCAGCTCCCCGATAGGGATGGATCGATGTGGAGTTGCAGTGGTGGGCCAACCGGCTCGCTATCTTTGCTCAGTCTCACCAAATCCCCCTATGTAAAAGATATCGTTTCACCGGGGGCCCGGGGTAGGCCAAACGGATCCACCGGCATTGTACGCAGGAACGCTTCCATAGTCTAGCACTAGCAAGCTCGTCTTCGGGAGCTATGCCTCTTCGGCCGACACCTGCATCGTGAGAATTGGAGAACCATGGGCGAGTGGTGCATGGCGGCTTCCAGGTCCGCGGTGATCGGCACTTCGGGAAGTCTCGCCCTAAACTTTAGATTTTAGCCGCGATGTTCAGTGATAACCTCCGTACGCCCGAAATGTCACCTCTTCGGTCCATTGAAGGGGTGAACCCGACATCGACGATTTATTTCTTCTCGCTGAGGATAGTTTCAAACCACAAAATAGCCTGGAAGGAAATGGGGGCAGAGAAGTCTACTATCACGAATGCATACTGCATATAGAGCCACATGGTCTGCGCCTGGGCATAGTTTATTGATTTCGGTGTCATTCAGCCTCAATTTTAAATCCACGGGCTTTTTTTCATCGCTTCAAGGCCATAGTCGCGAATGGGAATTCTTTCCGCCAATTCCGTACGCTTAAATTTCTTTGTCGCGTAGATTTTCAAGCCGCAAGGATCTAATTGGAGAAGATGGGTAGGCGGTCGCCGTCATATAGGGGCATCAATTTCAAACCACTACTAGCGACACGTATGCGGGCATTTGCACAGAGGCCCGCTCAGTTTGTAGTCAAACTCTGAGCGTGGCACTAGACGAAATGCTCGCTCGAATTGAAGTTCAGCTCATTGTTCTCTCAGGGAAGCGTTGACCGGTAACGGCACGTGTTCATTGGTGGTCTCAGCCATGCAAAAGGGTAAAGGCGCGTTGAACTACTGAAGGTGGTCGAAATTCAAGATAATGGGACTCGCGCGCGTAATTCGCGATTGCATATGCCTTGATTGACTATGGTCGTGTGAATCCCAGACCCATAAACTTGAACTCCTGTATTGGTGAGGATTTTTTCAGGCCAGCGTTGACCCGCTCGCACGGATCTACTGATCAGTTCGATGGACGTTGAACACATTATAATTACCTGCGCTCCGGCTCCGTGCGAGATCGCAGCGGTTCACCGACGCGATGGGTGACAGCAGGGTTGAACCTGCCAGGGTGGGCGGTGCTCAGGTTGGCCCGCCACCGCAGAAGCATAGTCGATGGTCAGCCACGCACCGGAATGCACGAGGAGTTGGTTGAGCGAGCAGCGGCGGTGAACAGCTGCATGCGCTGTAGGCTTTAACATAGACTGTAGTTAACGTGCAAGGGATTCGTTGAACCAAATTTGTCTGCTTTGCCCCCAATAATGACCCTGTGTTCACCGATGCTGCCGTGCAGAAGAATCGTGCCAGCTCGTTATCCAGGCCCCCGGAGATGAATTCTGGCAATCATTTCGACGGGGACGGTTGCATTGCCGAGGATGTGCGGACCGCGTCAAACAAGTTTGTGCCCTGAACGAGAAAACGGCCTATCTTCAATGACTGCTAGGATCGTGTCCTAGAGGTTTGGCCGCAGGGGAATAAGACCGGGAGGGTATACATGTTCAACCGCGCCCCGAGCGGAGCCCACTTCGATCAACAGCGACCAAGTGAGGTTAGAGGGCGGCGTGGTCAGGCTGTAGCTGCACTCGACCGAGAGCATTCATGTTCAGCCGCGGTCCACGCGGAATACAACGCTAACTTTTCTGCTGGTCATCAATGGCCCAGTAAGGGTGGACATACGATGTTGGTGTGGTTGGACGTACAGTTGCAGGAGTAGATGGCAGGGCTAACGACCAGGCGGCTTGAAATGGCGTTTAACAATCTACTAGATTCAGCTAACTAGATGTAAAGCATTTTTCTTAAACGGCGGCCGAAGCGGAACGCAACGCGAGCGCCACCCCTAGTCAACAACGGATAAATGAGCCTGGCGAGATAATGTTTGTGATCTTGGAAGTCCAATAGGAGCCTACTTAACCGATCAACAGAAACGTAATTTGAACAGGTGTTCTTGAAGCAGCAGCAGTGGTTCTGCGTGGGTTTCATTTTCGCGACGCATCTGACTGTGCTTTCTCGCATGCACAGGCCCCCCATCAATCATACCACCCTCCCGGCACTGAGTCCTCGGCTAAGGGGCAGCTTGTCTCCGGATATCACTTCCCACAGCTGACCCCACTATGAAGGATATGTCGGTGGGTCATATTACCCCTCAACGACAGGGCCTGTAACACGACAGCGAATATTGGTAGCGCCCTGCAACAGCCCCTCGCCTCGTAGGGTCTAGGACACTTAAAGCTTAAATATAGTGAAGGAGCAAACCTGATTCACGGATACGTCGGCCTAGATCGTAACTGCAGGGGAGAGACATGTAACTTGTACTATACTGTACTGCGCACGTGTAGGCGGGACTCTCGCAGCAGCAGTCCGTCTTAAGTCTTTTGACTGGACGATGTTGAAAATTGGACGCCTTATCCTAAGGCGCCAACATTGGTCGGCATCTCTCTGCCCCGGTGGCTGCTGATTGGTCAGCTAGGCTCATGAGGATATTGAAATTGGGCTGCATGAATAACCCGTATATGCAGGTTCCTCGCCTATATCACTCTCTATGCTTTTTCAGAGGAAGTTCTTTCATGGACCACCGGGCAGCGCTGTAGGAGAACATTTTTGTATGCATTTTCCTTAGAAAACAGTTCTCAGGAAAAGGGTATAAATATCCCCCTGAGAACGAGCAGAAAACAGTATCAGAATTTACTATTAATTATCTGTCCATCTTCCTTTCGTCTGATCAACCACCCTTCATTTCTCAACAGACGAGAAAAAAGAAATCTCTATTAATATCTTCGCCGGCTCTTCCGTACAGTATAGTCCCCGTCGATCTTTCCTTTTTCTGTTAAACGAAATTACAACCCCAATGATTGGCGGGATTAGGGTTTTCGTATAAACGCTTGTTTCCTCTTTGACAGCCACCTATAGGAAACAGTCTTCGACGAGTACCATAGCCTAGTCTGACGTCGTAGGATAACTATCACAGAAGGAAACATTTGTCTTGGGTCCCAATCCTATAGCTTGAGGTATAAGGATGGAGAGACTGTTCAACTGTACTGTAAATTCCAAAGAGTACTGAGTGTTTTATAAGCCCCGCGTAACGACAACAACTCCTAGTCGGATAATTAATTATATGGTTACATCTATACCCCTGCCCTGCGGGATTTCTGTGGCGGCTTACTTCCCCTATGTCAGCGGAGAGGTTACATCTAAATCATAATTTGCTCTATTATATTTTTCACATGTGGTCATCTAGTATCATTGGAAGATACTGTCATAAATGATGCCGTCAACTACCTAAGGGCTGCCGCTTGAGAACATAGGCCACCACGAGCTAGTTAAACCGTCAATTTGACTAACACTAGCACAAGTCACATGCGGCACCCAACAACTAGGCATTTGCCGAATGCCCAAATAAATTAGAGGTTCCCAAAACTTGGTATATATTTGCGTAATAATATGTCCATCCATTCAGTTGCACGCAAGCTTTTCTGGACGTCTGTGATTGACTTCCAAATGAGGCTACCGCAGGTAGAAGTCTCTGGTCACGACCGGGTCCTGACTTGCCCCCCTGTAAGCGCTAGTCCCATTTAAAGTTCTGGATAGGGCGGAATATCGTCTCTTTCGGACCTTGTTAATGGTGATGCCTGGGCTGCTGTCGAACCGAGGGCACTAGTGCATGCAACTGAGCCACACTAGACCAGGTTCTGCTATTATCAACATCTCGGACCCTTAATCGCGGAGACACTGCGGAGAACTCCGTTCTCCACAGACAGTATGCGCAGCGATGTGGCTGCACTTGGTATAATTCGAGCTTAGTGTCCAACTGATCAATATCGTGCTGGACGCCACCTCTACTACCCGCAGGATATACGAGTTGATCACATCGAAAATCCCTTCGCTCCGTGGCATGGACGCTACCATAATGAAAATTTGAGCTAGAGGCTAGCGTTGTCATGTAACCTGTCATAGATCGAAATTTGTACATATAAAGTGACCGTTCCCCTTAGTTAACAGTACATTATACAGTTTATAACACATTTTGCTCTCATTCCTCAAGCTATACTCTTACGCAAATAATCCAAAACAATACTCATAAGGTGCAACGATGCCTTATCCTCTACATCGTCTTTCTCTCTTGATTGCTTTATTTACCTATATAAGCGTCATTGGAGCATACGATGTTTGTCGCGGTACCAAAAACGTCGTTCTCGCCCCTGGCGTTCAAAATGCAGCCAATCCAACCTTTCACAATATCGAAACGGGTATCCAGTTCAAAAAATACGTTAGCGATATTGGCGATGCGACAGAGCCTGAAATGGTCGCTATAGAGTATATCTGCTCCTATAACCCAGATACTCGTGGAGACCTATGGATAGTCAATGAAGAAGGGAAAGGTGTCGCCCAGTTGACAAAAGAATATTACGAAGCGTTTGGTGCCGATCTCGATAGATCGCCTAGTCCGAATACCTACTATTTTAGCCATGAGCTTCTTAATAGTATGGTAGCTCAGGTGAGGGGTGATCAGCCTCTCCAGGAAGAAGCCCAAAACTGGGTAGTCGAGGTCAAGGGCCTTGCTCGTGCTGAGCAAGCTAATGTGCTGGATAAACGTTTTATTCGGTGTGGTATAAGCCGTTGCTATTCTCCAAGGACTTGTATATCTACGGGGGGTAATTCCTGCCGTGTCTGTCATGCCTTCACCTGTTACTTCGCGCTCCTCCCTGATGGGTGTTAAAACTGTAAACAGTCAGCGACACGTACAGATTTCAACAATCTGAGGGAAATTTGCTAGTTCTTAATAGCATCATTATCGAGAGATTATATTCGACTTCTTTTTGTGTTACGGCTTAGCAGCAAAGGGTGGGCTTGGTGTGAGCAGCGCTGAGTAGAGATGCGTTATTTGTCACAAATTTTTTAAAATACTCTTTATTGGCCAAAACATAGCAAAAAGCTCTAAAAATTAAAAATTTCAATCATTAGTCGTTCATAACTTAGTTAACTAGTTTACTAGCTAACGTGGTCGGTACTGTAGTTGTCGCATCAAATTAATTATAAATAGACAGACCTGGGCTACAAAATATGATGGATCCATCTAACCAGCTTCTGCAATATATCTGGTAGTGATTTGATTACCTCACAAATTGCCTAAAGGACGGTATGACAAGGTCTTAAGATAAAAAAGCATTGATAGATAAGCGAAGGCAGAGTTCTTGATTCTGAGCGATTGTGTCATTGATAGCTTAACATTCCGAACTTAATACCTAAAATCTCCAGCTTGGCTTGGATTTAGCCATGGTCTCTCCCTAAGTAATATTGATTTGCTATATCTACGGGAAAATATAAGTAGATCCCGCCATCGACGGAATTAGGGTGGATATATAATCCTTGTTTTGTCTGCGTTCCTAACGTCCGTGGATTCATTAAGGTGTTTTTGTAACCTTCACATAGCCATAGCAAAAAAAAAAGTGTCCATAAGGGGGAAAAAGCAAATTTGAGCATCCGTAAAATTCTCCGAGACGCCTCCGAATAAACCATCGAAATCACCAGCGCATCAACTCCATATCCTTCGGAATTTTCCATCCATGCATGACGCAAGCTCGCTTGTACGATTCAACCGCCTCGCCAACAGCATAATCCTGAGAGTTTCCCCCGACGCGGAGACAGACGAGCGGGCCGAGGGTCTGTGCTGGTGATGGCCAGCCGGACCTGTAACAGCAGACTCTCCATGCAGGTGACAGCCGTCCAACCGGAGTTGGTCAGCAGTTCCATGCACAACGCACCTCCCAGAGTGACATGTCCACCTCCGCCGGCGTGGAATTCTAGGAATCGGGGTCGAATCACCCGGACGAATGGGGGATCCATTGGGTAATTGGGTGGGAAACGGAGCTCGAGAATCACACTTTTCAATTTCGCTGCCTTCAAGTCTTTGGCGAGAGCTAACTCTGGTTCGAAGCTGTGGAGCTCCACAATCCACTGATAGAGGTTCCCAGAGATCAAGTTGGGGTCCACATACCAGCCGAGTTCGTGCAGTTTCTCTTTTTTTTGGATGTTCACTATTGACTTGAACTGCTTCTGAAGGACCTTGGTTGCAAAAGTAGTAGCATATTGGGGTGGGGCCAGAACGGGCAAGGCGCCCTCCTTCAGAGTCCCTGGGACGAAGTCGATGGCGGGGGCAGCCTCCTTCCCCTTGTCTGTTTTCTTCTGGGTGGTATCCTTTGCTGCCCTTTTCTTTGTACCTGGTTCCTTTGGAGGTGCGTCGACCATTTCCACGTCTGAATCTGAAAGAAGAATCTTGAGATCTTCTATGTCCGTCGCTTCACTGTCAATCTCGCTGCTGTCATCCGTGTTTGGCGAAGAGAAAGACACATGCTTGCTGATCTGTTTCGCGATTTTTTTTAATACACTTTTTTGGCGTATGAACGGGTATACTGAGCTCTTCTCGTCTCTTGGAGCTAATGGCCGAGATCGGAATCTTCGAAACTGCTTCCCTGGGTCCATAGACTTTGTGGAGAGGGTCTTGTGGGTAAATTGCAGAGGCAGAGGCAGATGCGGACTTTCCTTTTTCGAATTCAACTGGATCCCAGGATACTGCATCATAACCCATATTACGGCCATTCCCGATCCCCACGAAAAGGTATCTGGGCTGGATCCAGTCCAGTTGTGCCACGACATAATGCGGATTGGAGCATTCGAACTGCTTTGGAGCATTGACTACCTCATTCAAGGATATGACGGATGTCATGTTGAGAGTGCTTTGAGGCCACGAATCATGAGCGTATACACCATGGTTGGAGTAACCTGACGATGTTCCGAAGTGAGCAGACATGTAAACGCCATCCCCACAGGCTCGCCCATTCGCAACGTAGTCGAAGTGAAGCCCTTCCCGCAGAATGCTGTGCCAGTTGCATATTGCACTGCCATGCCATGCGAAAAGTGTTGGGTAATTAGGCTTCGCCTTCATCGCGTTCTCGTTGACTGCCCTGATAAAGCGCTGCTCTTTGTCCGGGGCACCTTGAACCAGGCGGAACTGAACATAACCTTCCATGTCACTTACCAAGTGCTCAGGATTATTGTTATCTTGGACAATGCATGACCGATTTGAGGCGACAATCCACCGCAACAGATCTAATGCGGCGGGTTGGATTCTTTCCCACCAAGACGACAGAACTCCCTCTGGCCCTTGGCTTGCCAGGTACTTGATCATCTCTTCGATCCCGGGAAGCGTGCTCAGAAGCATGACGATGCTCCTTCGCTTCCTATCCGGGGTCAATTTGTCAAAGCTTGTCTCGTAGATCGTGTATTTTACCCTCCGGGGTCCTCCCCAATCTTTGGTCGCAAGTTGCAGGTCTTCTTTTGACATCTTCTTACTCCCGCGAAGGGGTAACGAGATTTCAGCATGGTTGGATGACTCGCCGATATTTTGAACTTGACAATGCCATGGGGGTTCACGGCCAAAGTCTGTCTTCCCGTCAGGGATGACAATGAGGATCCAGTGACCTTTAGCAATCCGGGGCTTGCTTTTATGGGAAAGCAGCAATGTCTTCGGGTCAAGTGTTGCAGAATGATATGCCGTAACACAGGTGTCCGCAGACGTGTCACCACTCGCGTGTTCCTGGCCAGTTACCTTTATGTCCGGAATCAGAATTCCAAGACCTGTAGGGAAATCCGTGAGCTTCCCGGCCTTCGCTCTGGAGTACGCCAGAGAGACCAGCATATCAACAACACTCGGTTGGGATATGATTTCGTGCTCCAGACTTGGGCCCATGCCGTAGGTAATATACTGATAGAGACAGAGCCCCTTAGAGCAGACGTAGGGCTTCAATGCTTCGAAGTCATCGTATTTTTTGCAGAAGCAAACGAGGCAGAATTCAGTGCATCGGACAAAGTGGCGAAGAGTAAATTGCATTGCAAGCAGAGGGAAGGACATGCTCGACAGCGCCAGGCCCATGTCAGCCATTTGATCGATCGTAAGCCACGGTGGAGGTAGTGTACCCCATTCATCCGGTACGAGATATTCCTTTGAACTTGCGTCGTCGTCGCTCAGATACTTTCCTTGGCTAGCGTGAAAAAAGTGCTCTGCGCCCGTCCAAGAAAATCCGTACTTGAGGCGAAGTCTGACAATTCCCATGAACCGTTCGTTCAGGAGTTTGTTGAGCTGAGCGCCTATGAAAAGGGGCCTGAGCTTGTTCTTCTCGGTCTCCTGTGCGGCTGAACCATCCTTTTCGGTCGGTGTGTTGCCCTGAAAGGCCATCACAACGGCGGCCGCCGATGGCTTGTAGGAGTCACAGAGACCAAGGCGCATCTGAACAAATGAAAAATTCGAGTCTCCCATTTCAAAAAGATCATCCATGTCAAGGTACATTTGGGGGTAACGAAGGAGAAGAACCAAGTAGTCGTTGGGGCGTACTTTCCAAAGATCCATGACTTCTTCCGGTATATCCAGTCTGCTAACGCGGCTGGCCACCGAAATAACAATACCTCCGGCGGAATCGCCATGATACTCAACCTTGAATCCGTTTTCCTTGGTGGCCCGCAGATCCCGACGGATCTTCTGCCGCAAAGAAAATGGGGTTGGCTTTCCGACTGGGGAAAAGTCGTCATCTTCGTCATCGAAACCAGTGAACTCACCGGCATCGGAATAACTATAAATTTCATAGGAGTCAGAAGAGTACTCGGTATTCTTTAGGTCATGATCCTGATATTCCTCGGGTGGCTGAAACTTGGAGCCGTTGAGCGCCGAACAGACTCCACTTTGGATGATCGTCAGGAGACCGTGAATGGAAATGCGAGGGAACAAGGCCACGGCAGTTTCGACGGCAGCAGTGACTGCGGGTGGAGGCTCATCGGATGTGGAGTAGACGAGGTATTCGTGGTTTTTGGGGTAGCTGTGAGGCTCTGCGGGTCAGTCAGTAAACAGAGACAATCTTGCGATCGTGGGGTATTGACTGACGAGTCACAGCTTGGAAATCAATAGAAACGGGCGCATCGGGAGAGGTGAAGGTGAAGCAGATTGACCCGTCAATATCACCAGCTTTGATCTTGCTCAGGTATTTGAATTTACCTGCGACCTTAACCTGGCCGAGGTCTCTTCGGAAATCATCTTGGGCCGGCATAGCAGTAAGGTTGAGGCTTGAACGATGACAGAAGAAGAAGACGGGTCAGTTGACATAAACGTCAAGCAAAGAAATCAGAAACAGAATAATGAAAAGACGCTGCGGGAGTGGATGAGGGAGGTGAGGAAGAGAAGGAGTGGTAATGGTGAAGTCCGCAATCTAGAAAAGCAAGCAAAACACCGGCCGCAATTGTCAAAGGTGCGTGCTACCTAACTAGGCTCTAGGCCACAGGAAGTCCCGATGCGCTGGATCTAGCATGAAGCGCAGTGAATGCTTCGTAAACCAAACACGGAGTAAGCGCAATGAGTAGACGCGTCTGTTGTGCCCCGCGATTTCAGGCAGCGCTCGAGGCAACCCAGTCACAACGCCCGTGTTGACTGCGGCTACTGCACGTCCACGGTTGGCGCGGTGTTTATCTACCAGCTCTCGCTTGGCTGCAGAGGCTGCAAAGCGGCTAATGGAAAATAGGGCAGTCCAGTTTATTATCGCGTATAATGTTTGAGTATCTGGAGCTGATCGACGGAGTCCTTAAATACTAAAGATATTGTTTTGTCCTTGTGAGTATCCAGATACTGTACAAACCGGTCACAAATTTTCACATGATGTGCCTTGTGTCATAATTACCTATTGAGTTGGAAGAACGATGCCATTGTTCTGGCCCTCGACCCACTTTCATACAGTGCACAGCAGCCTTGCAATATCACTCCGCACATGAAGGAATAACAGCTTTACATCTAAAATTATGTCTAGTTCCCGAGTCGTGTCACTCATTCATCCTCACTGTTTCAGTGCTACCTCCAAGGCACCTAGTGATCCATATGTCAACTCCAACCATGGAATGAACATAGTAGACGACACTTGTCTGCATTAGAATCGGTCAACACAAACTCAAATATACAAACCGCTCCTTATCTGGGCATACACGAAACAATTACACTTTCAAATCATCCTCCCAATTATCCGCCGCAATCGGCCGATTAAACAAAAAGCCCACACAAACCAACGCCTTTCCAATAGCACAAAGCAAAATCGGAAAACTCGAGCTAACCTCCCTCTGCGCAAACGCACCAACAAAACACCCCGCAATCAACATAACAAGAAACATAACGCGCCGATTCCGCAACCGATTCTTCAACTTTCCCAAATCCGGATCAATAACAACATCCACAAATGCCGCCGTCGCCATCGCCGTCGTAATCTCCGTAATCTTCAACGACCGACTCATAGCGACCTGCCCACCCGACGAAAACGCCAATAACCCAATAACAGCCATCGCGGCCGTTCCTTCTTCCCTTATGGGCCGGGAGTATTGGATAATGAGGGCGCAGAAGACGAGTGTTGTTTGGATGAGGTTGCTAATCAATAGCCAGAGACGTTTGCGCACGCCGACCAGGTTGCCTAGTTGGCCGAGGATGAACCCGCCGGCGATGAACATGGATAGGCTGACGCCGATGTTGGGGAAGCTGTATAGGTGTTTTGTGAGGCCTGCGACGCCGATTGCGAGGAATAGCGTGTTGCCTGTTTGATTGGAGGCGAAACACCTGTAGTCGGGCCAGGCCGCGGCGTCTTGGATTCCGGTTGCGAAGGAGAGGAGGAGTAGTTCGCTTTCTAGGAGGAGGTCTTCGCGGATGTCTTCCATTAGGAATTCGAGGAGGCGGGACATGCGTCGCCGGGAGCAGTCTGATGGAGGCAGAGAGGCGGCCATGGTGATTAATGTTCCTTTTTGGTGTTAGCTTGGTTGTAGATTTCTGTGTAATGGGGATATGTACTGTAGCTAGGATCGTGTTTATGGGATGTAGGTGTACCGAGGTGGGACACTCTCCTAGAAATTATGTATAGCGTAGTGGAGGTCGGCAATAGATTATGCCAGTTATATAAATGCCTTATAAGGCTGAATCTTGAATTTCAGATCAGATATAAACAATATCGAACCGCTGATGGATGGGAACAGCCAGTAGCCACACGAAAGTCTCTTTTGATCAAATCGAACCCCAAACAGCAGTCCCGATCAATATATACTCCTTCTCTATGTACTTATAAGCACTAATCTCCCATTCGATCACCCGAAACATTCCATGCTGACGTACGACTCAAGTGGCCGCCAAGAATGCTGGAATTCCAAGCCAACGGCAAGACTTGAGATCGGCCACGGGGAGAACGCCAAGCCGATGAAAGCCCCTAGGCATGCTCTGCTTATATTTCCATGTAGGTATCTTCAAAATTGCTGGATCGGCTATATGGCGGGTGACGCGCACGTAGGTGATCGGCTTTCCACGCGTCCTTTGTCCATCTGCTTCCACGTTGGGATGGGTGATCTCTAGGGTTGATTCATGCCTTTCTGTTTCGGTGGGGGAACTAGTGATTGCCAAGACGAGGCTTTCGTGTTGCTTGTGTCTTGGTTTGCAATGACGTTGGTGGTTTGGGGTCGGCTTGGATCATAGCATGCTTGTGTTTATGCTTGTTCTTTTCTGACGCTCGTGGGGAGATGTGAAGGCTTGATGTAGTTTTCGAGGATTTTAGTCCCGAGACAGATTCGTTAATGGTTCAGACATTTGGTAGCAGATGAGGAGAACATTGCACGGCTTAGTTGAGCTGGCGAGGTTAAGTTGGATATATACCCTGTGGTATGAGTGTCTTGGACATCCCTTCGAACCACTAACAAATTTCTTTGGTGAATCGGAGTATGAGAATTGAAAGGCTGGACAAATATGCCGTGTTTCGTGAGGTCTGAGCTTTCGAGGAGAGTAATATAAGTGGATGGTTAAAATTGTTGATACATTCATAGATGGGATGTCATATACAACGCCGAAAGGCACCCTAGTTATCAAAAACCGACTCCGCGCACTATGATATCCCCAAAGCTTAGCTATATGCAAATGATTTACACGAACAGAGAACTATTCGGAGCGAGGTTATCCAATCCGGATTCCCCCTCGAGCAGAGGGAAGAGTCTACGGATGCGGTCCTCGAGAACAGCCTCTTCAGCCTGCCAGCGCCGCAGCTCAGCAGTCTTGGCTTTAACAGCACTCTCGCCACCGTACCAGGCCTTCTTTGCATTTTCCAGGCTCTCTTGCTCCTCCTTCTTGGCACGTTTCACGAGGGTGGACACCATGACCTTCCAGTTCTCAAGACTAACCTTAAGACACTGCGCGCAGCGTGTTCGGGTTTCTTGGTCTTCGGAGTTCTTGCGGTCCAGCATTGTTGTCTCGGCCATCTCGACTGCGTCGCGCGTCCAGGCGAGACCGTGCTCGCGGGATGAAGAGGCATAGATGATTTCACCGATGTAGGTCATCAGGCCTGCCTCATCACAGGCAGAACTGGCTGTGCGGAGAGGAGGCGCATCGCCTGAAGGGAGAGGTTCAGGATATTCCACGGGGACGAGGACGGTTTTGAGGGATTTGAAGAAAGAAGAGAAGATGTCGTTGGATGCTTTGAAAGAGGGGACGGGCGGAGGGAGACGGGAATCAGGGGTGAAAGGCAGATTGCGCCGGGCCTTCAGGACAGATGTGAAGAGAGAAAGCGCAGTTGGCAGATTACCCTGCTTGGCGTGGTGCACAGCAAGGGCAGTCGATACACGAATGAGATTTTCAGACGGCAGCTCCGGGCCATTCTTTAAGATTCCTGTCTTGAGATCAATGACCTTGCTGACATCGCCTTCCAATCCTCCAGCGGCGATGTCCAGCGCCCAGGTGTACATATCACCGGCAGTAAGGCCCAATTGCTTGGAATCGAGCCAATCGGCATACGCAAGAGCAGCATCGAGCTTCTGCCGCGTATCAAAGCCCTTTGTCGTCAAAATCTTCATATAAAAGGTCTCAGGAGGCGGTGATGCCAATTCACAATCCTCTTCCTGGGGTGCCTGCGCACCCGCGGGGACAGGCTTGGGCCGGGGATTTGATGGACCAACGACATACTCCGCTGGGGCAGAGATTCTCTGTTTGCGATCGGTCAACCAGCCATCCAGGTTCTCAGCAGCCTTGCCAAGTCCCATGAGAGCTTGGAAGTAACCACGGCGCCAAGGCTCGCTCTTCATCGAGATGTCGAGTCCAGTACGACCAATACCCTCGACCAAAATCCCACCTTCATCCTGTTCGAGAATGCCCTTGCCCTCACCCTCTGTATTCTCTAGACGAGTTACCAGCTCTTTCAAAAAGCCGTGAACCATGGGCCAGTCGGTCATCAGCTTGCCAATGTATTCAGGGTGCTGCAAGGCCTGCGCAGTGCGCAGGCACCAGCGAGATTTCAACATCCATTCTGTGGGTGTGGGCCATTGATGCTCGATGTCTTCTTGGTAGATACCGAGCTGGATAACTTGGTACAGAACGATCATACAGAAGAAGGTTGCGGAGAGCTTGGAAATGCGGGAGAATCGTTTCTTAAAGTGGGACTGGCTTTCGGTTGAGACGAGTCGTCTGAAGTGCTGGCGCAGATGTCTTGACAGAGGAGGGAGTGGGCGTGTCGGTGCTAGTGGTGATAGGAATGGAAGTTGTGGGCGGCCCGATGGCTGAGAGAGGAGCAGTAGTCGCGTACGGTTGGTGAACGGCCGCAGGTGGACAGTGCTTGGACCAGCGGTCCGTGGGGGACACACCGGTCGAATATGCACCGGTATTCGACCGAGGGGCTTCCGATGAGGCAGCATGGTTGCGTTGCTTGATGGAGAGAGGTTCGTCGGCGAACCCTTAACTTGACTGCGTTTGTGGTGTTTGCATCGACAATCGGTCACGTGATTTGACCTGTAACGTTTGAGATCTGCATCAGTTCTATAGAAGGCTTTCCAAGCCAAATAACCTTTGGAATAGCAAATTAAATTCAGGATTGAGTTAATGATATTCGGTGCTCTGAAATATTGCTCTCTGAGAAGCGAAGCTATTTTCAGAAGTACTTTGCTCAGGCTGTATGTCCAGAACTGACATATGAACTGGTCTCAACAGTATCCCTAGGCTACCCAGCTGCGTTCAATTTGGTTTTCAGTAAATCTTCTGTCTGTTTGGCCATGGAAGTTTTCCTTTCTGACACTCCAAAATGTTTAAAAGTAGGCAAGATTCACGTAGTGGTTGGAGATTGGCTCATCCGAAAGAGATGGCTAAGCTATGCGCACCTAAGCAGCGTCCAGGCCTTCACCTGGTCAGTCTTTAGACAAGTCACGCGATATCACTTCCAAAGATTTACTGGTACCTAGATAGTTTTAACTGCAAGCAATTGATATAGGAAACAAGACTTTTAATTAAAAAATCTAATTTCGGGGAATCGGGAATCCAATTGCAAAAAAAGCAAGTAAACGTCTCTATGGGTAAGATAGCCTCAAAAGCAAAACGGACCTAAACAGTCCAACAAATCTACTGACGCTCAAGGAAGCCCTGGCTCTCAAGGATGAGAATAATCTCGTGGACAATAGAGCGGACAGTTGACTTGGAGGCATCAACAACAAGGTCAGCCTTCTCGGGAGCCTCATAGGGGTCATCGACACCAGTGAAGCCCTTGATCTCGCCACGGCGGGCAGCAGCGTAGATACCGCGCTTATCGGTCTTCTCGCAGTGCTCGAGGGGAGTAGCGACGTGGACGAGGAAGAAGGAGCCGTTCTGGGAGACGGCGTCGCGGGCGTACTTGCGCGAGGCCTCGTAGGGGGCAATGGGGGCAGCGATAACGGCGGCGCCGGAGCGGGTTAGCTCGGAGGCGACGAAGGCAATGCGCTGGACGTTGGTGTGGCGGTCCTCGCGGGTGAAGCCCAGCTCCGAGGAGAGCTCGTGGCGGACAGTGTCACCCAGAAGCAGGGAGACGGAGCGCCCACCCTGCTGGTTCAGAGTCACCTGGAGAGCACGGGCGATGGCGTCCTTGCCGGAGTTCATGTAGCCGGTCAGGAAGATAGTGAAGCCCTGAGTGGCGCGAGGGGGGTTGGACTCGCGCAGGATCTTGACAACCTCGGGGTAGGAGAACCACTCAGGGATGTGGGCGCCGCTGCGCAGACGGCGGCGCAGCTCGGTACCGGAGATGTTCAGGGTCTTGACGCCCTGGGGAACCTGGTCGACGGGGCGGTACTCGTCGGTGTCAGGCAAGTAGGTGACCATCTGGAACTCGACAACCTCGATGCCGAGCTCATCCTTGTACTTCTCGACGGCGTGCTGGGCATCGTAGGGGCCGTAGAAATCCTCGCCCTTGGAGTTGGAGCCAGGACCGGCGTGATCACGACCGACAATGAAGTGGGTGGCACCATGGTTCTTACGGATAATGGCGTGCCAGATGGCCTCACGAGGACCACCCATACGCATGGCCAGACCCAGCAGACCCAGAACGGCCATGCCGTTGGGGTAACGGGGGAGGAGGGCCTCATAAGCGCGGACACGGGTGAAGTGGTCGATGTCACCAGGCTTGGTGAGACCGACGACGGGGTGGATCAGGACATTAGCCTGGCGGGAGCGAGCCGCGCGGACGGTCAGCTCACGGTGAGCACGGTGCATGGGGTTACGGGTCTGGAAAGCGACAACGCGGGACCAGCCCAGCTTGTCGAAGTGAATGCGCAGTTCAGCGGGAGTGTCTTTGGTCAATTAGCTTCCAATTGTATAGATCACGGGCGGGAGAGGGCCGCATACAGCGCAGAGCGACATAGTCGTAGTGGTTCAGCTTGTTGACAGCCTCGACCTTGCCACCGATGTAGAACTCCTGGACGGACTCGTTCAGGAACTTGATGGCCGGGTGCTCGGGGTCACCACCGAACACGAGCTTGCCTTCCTTCTCCCTAGAGAAAAAGAATCCACGTCAGCAAAGACCCACAAAAGAGCTCGAGCCGCCGCTTGGACGTTCATTTCAAGAAGTAATCAGAATCAGGAGATGCGAACGCCACCGCAAGTCTCATGGGTTACAGGAGCGGTAAATAATGCGTGCATGCGTAAGAAAATCAAAAGACTGCAAAGGATACAAGTGGGGGGAGGGAGCAATGGCCAAGAATGGTCAAATCGGTGCGGGGATCGACAGTATGCGGCGACGGAGTTCCGGAGGGGGGTAATTTCAGGAAGATCAATTGTAGCTCACTCACTTGTCGGGGCGGTAGATGTCGTCAATGGTCAGGATGGCCAGGTTGCGGTCATCACGGAAGTCGCGCAAGGTGATGCGCGAACCAGCCTGGAGCTTGTTGTCGCTGATAGTCTTCTGGGTGGCGTCAAGGGTAATGGGCATGGAAAAGACGTTGCCATCGGCAAGGCGGCAGTCCTCGCAGACGCTATGCACACGACATCAGTATCTATACATCGCAATTCCAATTCCAATTGCATCGCGGACATACCGGTCATAATCGGCCTGGTTCATGAAACCTGAGCGAGATCGACGTTAGCAATTACCCCATTACCCCTCCAATGACTGTCTATCCGCCCGCCCCGTAAAAAAAAATTGACCTCCCACTTCGAAGGAATTGAGGGACGAGGAGAAGGTAGAAAAGGTTCCATTGGACTTACCCTCGAGAGGAGAGAAACCACCGTTCATGATCAGCTCGAGATCGCACAGCTGGCGCTCAGAGAGCACGACGGCGGGGAGGGTCTCGGCCTCGGCGGCGAGCTCGGCCTGGCGGGGAGCATCGCGGGCGAGCAGGTCCTTGAGGACACCACCGTGGGGAGCGTTGGCCATTGTGTATGAACTTTTGGTGAATTCCCCAGGGAATTGATTAATGTACAAAAAGGAAGAGATGGGGAGGAAAAAAGAAGGAGTGGGGAAGGAAGAAAGGAAAGGAAGCGCTTATCAAGTTTCTTCTACCATCTACCAAGCTTCCGTCTAGGCCAAGGGGCGTACGACGCGCATGAGGCAAACGTCTCCATGCCCATGCCAGGTAAGAAGCAGGACAATCACCGTGCCCCGCCGGAACTCGTCAGTGGTGGAGACACCGTACTCTTGGCTTGGTCGATTCATCCAGACAGAGTTCAACATGAGGCGTGGCCCGCTCGGGAACCCAGGGGAACTCCTCTGACTATCAATTCATCGCCTTAATTCCCGCGACACGTTTCGGATTGCTCTTTTTTACAGGGTTCCTGGATCCATGGTTGCAGGTGGCATTTACAGGCTCGTTTGAGCCATCACTACGGTGTACTGTTTCTTATTTCCTCCATCCTACATAGGTACCACCTACGGTAAGGTACCGGTACGTATTACCATGTACCCGAGCCATGATCTCCAGGAGAACCCAGCTCGGCGGACTCGTGGCCTCCGTACTCGTTTATGGCGGGGATCTTCAGGGCCATGATCAATGATTTTCAGGGGGCGGTATTTACTCCCTACAACGCATGGAACTTGACTCCAGCCGCTCCCTGAGACTATCGTGTTTTTTATATCTTCGTCCTGTTCTTTACTACATGAACGTGATTACGTGGGTGGCTTTACCGTATCCAACACGTGACCAGCACGCAACCTCCGCCGCAAATGTCGTGATTGAAGTGTCCCGATCGGGAAACTCGGGCTTGGCATGGACTAATATGGATTGAGTAGATATCTCCGATTTGATTATTCTGGGAACTCCTAGTGCTATAACGAACAAAAAAAAACAACAGACTATGTCCTATGGATTCGATCCCATCCTACCCGTGTATATACACTATATATTACCCTCAACTCAAGTCTGCGTGCTGTTCTCCACGCTGATGGTCATCGTCTTAAAGTCCAGTCCGAACTCGCCCAGCAGTTGCAGCTGCGGGTTGGTCACGTTGTTGTAGGAATTCGTCAAGTATGTGCTGATCTGCGACTCGGAGAATAGCGCCGACTCCAGTGAGCCCGTGTTCTGGAGGATGTACAGCACCGCTGTCTGCGAAAACTCGATTACCTTGTCCGGCACGCCCGTCGAAGGTTTCGCCGCGGCGGTCGTGGTTGCGGACGGGCTGGTCTGTGTTGCAGTTGTCGTGCTCGAGCCGGTTTTGTTTGACGTTTCGGAGTTATCTTCTCCCGAGTTGTCGTAGAAGATGCCATTCTGAGTGGCCATAGCCCGGGCAACAATCGGGGGTGCTGTAACGGTGGGTACAATAGAGAGAGAAGAAACGCCCTCGTCGGCTAAAGGCAGATCCAAGGGCAACACGACAGAGCGGCGGGTGCCGCTGCTACTGCGAGCGACGTCGTCGAATGCCACAATTAAGTTCTCAGTCGTGCAGGAAACGTTTCTCAAGCTGAAGAGGGCCATGATCGTGACTGGGTCCAGGTCGATTCCGAACTTGCTCTGCGCGTTATCAAGCAAGCTCGGAATATAGCTGCCCATTGTCGCGTTCTTCGTGGTTGTTCCATAGGCAATCCCGGACGTGACACAGCTTGAATCGCCCTTGACGGTACACTGAGAACCGGTGTAGCCGTTAGAGCACACGCACGAGCATTCGGAGCCACCCGACACGGACGTGCCTCCGTTCTGGCAGGGAGTCGTTTTGGCGCATGAGTTGCTGGCGTTTTGAGCGGGAACAGCTACCAGGAAGACGGGCAGAATAATTGCGAGCACGACGATGATGAAGAGGATGATGCAGAGGATGATGAACCACTTTCGCGGCATTCCGCAGCATCGACGTTTGACAGGAACCTTCTCATTGGGGACTTCGTCGTGGGAGCCAAGAGGCTCGACGTTGCGCAGGGTGGATCTCCTGAAAAAGATGGGCCACGAGACACGATTGTCTGGTGCCGCCAGACCGGGGTTAGGGAATGAGGCTAAGATATCGGAAAGTGAACTTGAGGCGCCGCGGAGTTGTCCTATATAACGTCAGCTCGTTGACCCTCCACGTATTTTCGGGTTAAGAAACATACCCATGAAACCCTTGTATTCGGGGTCTGCCGCGAGATCCGCACGACTGCCAGTTATTCCGCGGTCAAGGTTAGCGGCGAGTTTGGTAGCACGATGAATCAAGTCACTCAAGCTCGAGAGACTCCCACGGGTCTCTGCATCGCGCACGGCGTCCATATTGAGACGTGGAGGCTTGCGCCCACCAGGCCGCTTGTCACTCATCGTGGGGGCAGCCTTTGGCAAGGCCACGACTCCCTTCTCCGGCGCGGGGTTATACACAACATCAGCAAAGCGAGGCTTCTCCGGGTCCACGCAGGATTCCGCCGACGTCGTGCAAGCAGAGGACCGCCGGGCTTGGCCGACAGCAGCTCCCTCGGTAAGTCCAGTAGCTGCCTTTTCGTTCTTCTTTTCCCGGGGCTTTGTTGAGGGTACGTCCGGGTTCGATTTCACGATCGTGCGCATAGTTGGCTTGTGCTTCTTTCCCAAACTGGCGTTTCTCACAAGCGTTTCACCTTGACCTTGGCCAATTTCCATGTTATGTTTATCCTCGTCCGAGTCGTCGTCTAGATAAGCACCCAGGATCTCGGACTCTGCTACACCAGATCCCCAGCTGGAGGGAATGGCTCGACTTGAAGCTAGGGACCCCAAAGTCCGACGAGGAGCCGCGAATTCTTCGGACTCTGGGATGGGAGAGACAGAAGATTTACGGGCTTGGGAGACTCGGGAAATTGGCGCCGTAAGACCTGCAGTCCGAGTTTGAGGATCCACGGGTACAGGCGGCTCTAGCGTGCGCACCGGCGCCATGATGGGGACAGAGACTGTAGATGAAGCGGTCGATTGTCTGAACAGATCGGCCGTGGTGAATGATATCCGGGAATTCATACCAACCGTGCTGGTAGGGCTCACACAGAAGTCATCATTTGCCCCCGGGCGTGGCGGAGGAGGTGGCAGTGATTGCGGTGGTTTAGTGTGGGGAAAAGAGTGAGCTGGTCGATAGGGATTGTTCAAAGTAACCTCCGAGGCCTGTCCGCTTCTGGCAGAGTAAACGGCTGGCGAAAGCAGTTCAGGGACCTCGCTTGGGCGTGGAGGCCTGGCCGGCGAAGGACCGCGAGGGAGCCCGTATCCCGGATGTTGCTGTGGAAGCTGATTAGGGTTAAGTTGGCCTGCCTGAAGGCCTGAAGCTGGGAGAGGCCACTGGGTCTGGGGCCTAAGCGGCGGAGGCTTGAGGACAGGCGGTGCTCGTGTTGGGCGTACACCTGCCTCCAGCAACTCTCTGGCTCTCTTGACAGACCCTTTCCGGCCGGGCTCTGCGCCCGGGGCAATTGGTGATTCGGAACTCATTGATCTTTGGCCGGTTTAACGTATAACTTTTCAAGCCGGACGGCGGTTGGTATATCGTCTTTGCAAAGCCAGAGCTGTCGGCGGCATCAAGAAACAATAGATATCCCGTGAGATCCAAGCAGGCTAAATATTTTCTTGGTGTATGAAATGGCGAACGAAGAGATGTTTATCAAATACTCGATCACCGGATCGAGTCAAAAAAGAACGTAGTATGGGGCTAACGAGAGAACGATGTCGAAAGATCGCAGGCGAGATACTCTGCAATGCGGAATCGAATTTGGGCCGTACGGAGTGATGTCGTTGCGAGCCGAAGATTCAAGCCAAAAAGATCAAAAGAATGTAAGGGCATTCAATGCCTCTGTTGCCAAGTCAATATCAAGCAACGGATCGGCGGTCCATTGTTCATGGAAACATACAACAGTTTATTGTACAATCACTGTGTCAGAGCAACGAGAGGAGAAAGGCCAGTGTCAAACCAGTGTTTCAAAAAGAGGAGCCTGGAAGTGCATCTTAGCATGGTCCTCGAACAAACAGACCGCAGTTGCGAACATGACTGGTACAAGCTACCGAATAGGTAGATTGGTCAGAACGTAAGAAAGCGAAATACTTACACCAAGCACCAACGCAGAAAAAGGAGGGAAGAGCCTCAAGCCCTTCGAGCGAGAAAGAAAGAGTCGCGACAAAGAAGAGGAAAAGGGAGAGGAGCAGTCACAATGAAGGGCCGGCCTGACACAGACTCAAACTCGAGTTGATTCAAACCTCATTTTTCAGTCCCGTGCACGAGGAATCGTGCAAGCGAAGTGGAGCCCAGGCTAACAGCCGGAGCTTTCATAGGGGGTTCCTAGCTGGGATATATTAATTACTATTCCCGTTTCCCCTCGTCTCTTGCTATCTCAAAAGTCCCCCGAGGCCACGCGATGGGCGAATGATTCGAGTGAGAATCTAGAGTATCGAAAGTGAACACCAATCAAGGGCCCGACGGCGGGGTTTCAAGTCGCTACACCAGACCGGCAGACCCAGACTGGCTGAGACCCGGGCGAATCAGGCGTAGATCCTGGAACCGAGCGCACGAATCACTTTGATAGATCTCGCGGTCGGTGGGCGAGTGGAGTTCGTTCCTGGTTAGTCTCCGACGCTACGTCTCAGATTCAGGGGCTTCGCTTAGTACTTCGCGCAACGGATTAGGTGTTTTGTTGACTTCATGATTTGTTCCATGTGCGTTTGGACTCGAAGGAATGTTCTCGGAATCGTATATGGGACCAATCCCATCCTCTTGCCGGGTGAATTTTAGCAGCGTTGAGTGGTGATGTTCTAGGCCCGGAGAATGTGATCGAGCCGGCACAAGACTAGTGAAACATACTACCCGAGCCAACGGCTAATATTCCCGACAATGCACGTGTCAGACACACAGCTTCAATTTACGGCAAAAGGACTTGGGGCCGGAACGGTCATAAATACTATCATGACACTTGGAGCACTAGTGCCGCTCATCCGACTCGCCCACCGTTCAATCCGCCGGACCACATGGTCTACACACCCCGTCAACCTCGATCGCGGCGGATCACCCTACAAGATCTCAAACACGTCCCGAAACAAAATTGCATTGATTATCCCCGAGGGGTAAGGGTCAAATGATGTGTCTATAAATGTATGAGTTGCCCGCTGCCGCTGTTGATCTCCCACTTAGCGTCATTCGGGATCGGACTAGGTGGAGCTCTCAAGCTTGGCTCGTAGTTGGGTGATCTTGTGTTCCAGAGCGCGCATTTCGACAATTGTCCCGGCCAATGCGGGTACTTGGGTTCGGACGCCTTCTGTAAAGGACTTTTGTGCGCTGCGGAGTGACGGCGGTACCAGGATGCCGTACCAATAGATGGGATCGTCTGAACGGAACTTCTTGTGAGGTTTCTTGGGCTCTTCGACTGCATTATCGGTGTCGACGACAGCGCTGGAATTTTCAGCGGCTGATGAAGTTGTATCACTCGTTTGTTTCGTAGGGATCTCCTCTTGTTGCGACGGTGCTTCGGTCTGTTTATCTTCGACGGGTAACTTTTCCGCGTCTTCCTTTTCGTCGGTCTTCTCCGCCTCGCGGTTGGAGATTGATTGTATGTGGAAATTGTACAGGAGATCGTTCGACGCAGGTGTCTCTGCTTCTTCCAGGGAGTCTGGGGTGTCTTCGGCTTCGTCCACGTCTTGTTCAGTCTGGATGGAGCTGTTGATCGCGCTACGTTAGCAAAATCCACGATCCCCATTGCCACTTGAGGCTGCATACATCTTCTTGTTTGTCTTCATCCGCTCGTCATAATAGTCACGACCATATCGGCGGCCTGGAGGGCAGGTGTAGTTTGCATGGGCGAGAGCAAGAAACCCCTACTCCGAGAATCAGCATCTTGCAATATCATGACCCAATGACGTCGTATCAAAAGTCATACCGAAGACAGCTGCTTTGAAAAGCCCGACTGTAGCTTCTGCTGCCGATCAAGCAGGTGTAGGTACTGCTCAAGCAGCGTGTCCAAAGAAGCAAGCAACTCCGACGAAGCTTCCGCGGGCTTCAGCTCGGCCTCGGGGTTCTCCGAGCCTGGCCGCGACACAGGCGGCGTAGGAATCTGAGGCATCAGGTAGAGATTTATGAATCCAGCTGATGCGACAGTGAAAGAAAAACCATGTGGTGGGTGTTATGCAAGACGGGGAACCGTGGAGCGCAGGAGCTCGGCCCCGGTAACTCCGTCATTGGCGCCTCCGAACGCAAAAGAATTTCCCGCCCTGGGCTTCACTTGGAATCTCAACTTCCTCGCCGTTCACCACTTCGAGTCATCTCCTGTCGATAATCGCCCTGTATCTGCAACCGTCATCGACCCTGACGTCTTCTGTGCGATTCGGCGTCCGTCCTCCCCCCAGATCGCCTTGTGAGTGAGCGGAAGTCTGAACCGCCACCTCCGTCTAAGGCCGTATATCTCCGCGTTTGCGCGCGACGCCTTGCGAACTACAACGGTCTCTGTATTTATCAGAGAGCGCATTCGTTTGATCTTTCATCTCTCTACAACTTCCTCGCCACTTCATCATGTCTGTTGCGTCTTTGCACCGTGATACCGCCTTCCAGGCTCGGTCTTTGGTAAGTAGTCTCGGGCAACCGGATATCTGGATTCATCGACTCCTGGATCGTCCCTTGTTATTGTCGCAGTCTGTTGACATTGGTTTTGTTCAGTTCCGCTCCCTGCTGCGTCAATCGTCCCAGTTCTCCAACTACAACTTCCGTGAATATGCTCGTCGCAAGACGAGGGACTCCTTCCGCGAACACCAGAATGAGTCGGAGGAGCGTCGGATACAGGAGCTGATCCAGGGTGGACTGCAAGATCTACGTTTGTTGAAGGTCAGTCGCCGCGTTATTCGAGGCTGGGTTGAGACGGTCTTCCTTGAATTGGGGGGAAATCGCACCGGTCACCATGACCTGTGCTACCCCTGGACACACAAGGGAACCATCTTGAATCACGTCTCGGATGCTCATAAGAACCTTCCGGGTGCATAAGTTCATTAAGCTGACAATCTACTCAGAGACAAACGGTCATCAGTCAGTTCTATCAACTGGACAAGTTGGTGGTGGAGGGCCAGAAGACAGTAGGCATCCCTAGCTCATGCGAAGTTATTGAACTGCTCAACTAACACTTTTCCTACAGGGAAAGGAGACGGGTGATCACGGTGGAATCGTTCGCCAGAAGGACACTGGGTACGTATCGGCTATGATCTCATAAGATCGCAAATCCAGGTATCTGCCAGTTGCTAACTTGTCGCAGTTGGGACTAAATGACCTAAATGTCTCAAATGGAAAGGACTGCAATTACTTCATCGCGTTGAACGAGTACTCGACAAGCCAGTGGTGACCGTCACGATTGGCCTGGATTCTTTTCTTTGTATTATAGTGCGAGCGCAGCCATGGACAATTCCATTTCTCCCTGAGTATCAGAATAGAAACCTCCTCTCCACTCTGTCATGAATCGCAAGTATTAATGTTATCTAATGGTTGCATTGTTGATTGTGAGAGTCTTGTATGCGTTTGCCCGTAGATCACGTGATTCATCCCTACGATCCTGCGCCATTCGCAACGCGACGGAAGCAACGCTACGCTCCGCCCATCCACTTCAGCTCCCCACTCCACCCGGCTTTCGCACTTGTTCCTCTGGTTACTTCGAGCGCATAATCTTTGGTTCCTCTGGGGGAAACGGACCGCAGGGCCGCTCACCATGCCATCGACTGTACGTCTCACCTTGCGCCCGCGACGATCACACGCCCTGTCCCGGACTAGACCAGCTACCCCCCGGTCCGCAGACAATGGGGGACCAAGAACCATTAATTGAAGATTCCCCTGACTGACCTTCTATATAGTTCAGGTCCTCGCGCTCGGGGCGACACCTCGACGGCCCTAACCGCACCCGAACTGGCCAAATCGACCACGATGTCTTCGAGGGATTGCCCGTCCGTCGCTGGTCGAAACAGCCACACACCTACTCCCAGGCACCCAAGGCCATCGACGACTCAGATTTCGGAGTCCAGGGCCCTGGAGGCCCAGTTCTCCCGGAGCTACCCATGCCGCGCGACAGCGACCTTTTGCCTGCGGTTAGCAAAGCATTGCTGCGCGCTGCGCGTGCAGGATGCATCTACATTCGCCAGAATACCACAGCCGCCGACAAGGAAGACAATGACACCAGCAAAACCGATGATCAGGTTGCGGGCGTCCAAATGGCCGATCGCAGCTTCACCAGTCGCAAGTGGTTGACTCTTCCCAAGCATATGGAGCCGCCGGAGGCGGAATTCCTTGCTAAGCGACGTCCTGGGCTATCCTCGTTGTACGGTGGTTCCGCAGTCGATGGAAGCTCGGGATCTCTCCCCATGAGGCGAACTAAGTTCAAGAAGGTTGACCCGCAGACTGGTAACATTTCTATTTACGAAGCCTGGGTGCCTGAGGGGCATCGCATTGAAGGAGAGGTCACTGGAGATGTTCAAACTATTGCCCAGCAAAGCTCGGTTCCCGTGAAGCCTGAGACGCCTGCTCCCGGGACCATCGTGGAGGGCGTTGGAATCGTCAACTCGGAAGGTGTCGTGGTTGCAGAGGCTGGTTCGGCTGCTGTGCTGGAACCGCCTAAGCGACGACCGCCTCCTCCCAAACGCAAGAGTAAGGGTATTGGCAAGGGCCGGAAGAAGAAGGTTATGTTCGCTCCAGGAGAGGGCGCCGATGCGGCTACAGTGCACGGCGTTGCCTCTGGCACTGAGGGCGGCGCTCCTGGTTCCCAGGAGGGACAGGATGGCTCTCGAATGTCAGTTGATCAGTCTGGTCAAGATGATGACGATGAGGAGGGTGATGAAAGCGACGAGGGAGACGAGTCCATGGTAGATGCGAAAACCCCAGAAACTCCTGGAGGCCAATCTGTTGCCGAATCTACACCCCAACCTTCGGCTGATACCCCGGCCGAATCAAAAGACGTCGATATGACAGACGCCGCCCCTGAACCACAACCTCCTGCTTCGGAATCAGCGGAAGCCGGTCAGGAACTTCTGTCGCAGCCATCAGCAGGCCCTTCGGAAACTCCTCAGAACGATGCGGATATCTCTGCTTCTGTTTCTGCGACACCTGGCTTGCTTACGGAGAACAGCGAGGAGCCTACTACCGAGCAGCCAGTTCCAACGACTATGGAGACTGCAGGCGAGGTAGCACCTATAGAAGAATTCGAAGTTCCCGAGCCAGCCTCGATTCCTGCTGCAGACAGCGCCGCGGAGCCTTCCGCAGATGAGACTCCTGCCCAAGAGGCGTCTCAGCTCTCAGCCAGCGAAGTCAAGGACGAAGCTCAATTCGAGGGAATTGATGAGAATTCCTTGGCTTCTCCGTCTACCGACCTCGAGAAGCCTGTCGATGAACCATCAGAGCCCGCAGAGGAGGCGGAGCCTGAGCAGCCGAGAGATGTATCGGAACAGGCAACAGAAACCAAGCCTGTTGAAGAGCCGGCCCAGCCGCCAGCGGAGGTGCAATCCGAAAACGCCCTTGCTACAGAGGGTACTGAGGGCAAGGAATCAGATCCTTCGGAGACGGATGTCGGCGCCTCTGAAGCTAAGGAGGAAGTGGAAATGGGCGATGCACCTGCACCACTGGAGGCGCCACAAGCCGAGCCCCCGACAGCTCAGTCTCCTGTCAAATCAGCATCCCCTATACCGCCAGCAGCGGCCGAGCCTCAGCCCGCGACTGAAGCCCTCGAACCCGCCCTCGGCACCGAAGAGACAGCCCCTGTCGAGGCCGAGGCAGAACCAGAGGTTCCAGAACCCTCTACCGAGGTCGAGCAGGAAGAAGCACCTGCCCCTGAGCCCGCACAGACAGAGCCCGCATCAGAGGAGAAGAAGGATGAACCCGAGGCGCCTCCTGCGGAATCTACATAAGCATCCTCAGCGAAAATGTATCTTGCAGCTATTTGTACAATGGATGGCACATATCCCTAGCCATCCTTTCTTTTCTTACACGATGTATGTATGCGTGATCACTGGTTGGCCGGAGTATAGGCTGGAGTCAACGGTTATCTTTCATGTAAACTCTCTTGAAGCGAAATGGATTTGAGTTGAAACATTAGATACTATATTCTTGGGTGTCTACCTAGTTAGTAGAAGGAGCGAGGTTCCTTACAGCCTTTCACCACCTTTCTTCATTCTTCAATTCTACTTGATTTTTTTATTTGAGATATTAAATCTAGTATACCTCCGTTTGATGATGACACGGTAAGTTTTGTTAAGCGTCTCGCTCACCGGCTCGGGCCTTGACGACCGGGAACCACAACACAACCATTCAGCGACTTTCCGGGATCTCTCCTTAACAAAACCACTTCAGAATTTGGCGACATCCCGCGGATGTAATCGCTTTTACCTATGGATACCTGTCTCCGGCGCCCTGATGACTGATCAAGCATTAACCCTTCCACTCCTTCGGGGCTCTATAACATTAGATGACGCCCTTGAGGAGGAAGATGATATGCTTCTCGAAGTCTCTTATCCGAAATCCCGGATGGAATTTTTTGTATTTCTCTACAGTCATCGCGACGAGATCGCAGAAATCGTTTCAGACCATTTGGGGCTAGGTCAGTCCATCCAGTGTCACTTGGGAGAAGTGAGGGAGTGGATACACGGCAGCTTCAACGTTTGCATCCCAGTTTATGTCAAAAATTGGAAGAATTGTCCGGTCAAGCGGGTCCTTATCCGATTCCCCTTGCCGTACAAAGTGGAAGAATCGACTTATCCTGGAAATGCCGATGAGAAACTTCGTTGTGAGGCCGCTACCTTTCTTTGGATGCAACAACACTGCGCTGATGTTCCCCTCCCTCGCCTTTGGGGATTTGGATTTGCTGGGGGCCAGACCGTATGCCGTCAAACCACATTAGGGGGCTTTTCTTAGGAGACTAACGATACTTTCTCACAGTTCACCAGACCCGAACACATGCCTTTGACGACCAGGGTGGTTTGGTACCTCAAGCGGCACGTTTCATGGCTATTGGGATTTCCGCTGCCCTGCCCATATATAAGCCATCGTCGTCAACAAGTGTTGGAACACGGCTATCTAATCATGGACTATATCGACGAGCCGGAAGTGCAGATGCTATCAGAGACATGGAATGAGTTTCCCCACCAACCCGGCAAAACGGCTAACTTCTACCGGAACCTATCTCGTATCATGCTCTCCTTGAGCCAAATCCCATTACCCCGGATAGGATCTTGGACGATAACCTCGAACGGAGTATAGCAACTTTCGAATCGGCCGCTCACTCTTCGCCTTCATCAGTTGGAAAATGCGGGTATCACGTTCAGCATCGGTCGAAATTTGACTTACTCGTCAGCTGATTCATATTACCTCGATACTTTGTCCTGTCACGACAGCCGTATTCGGCACCAGCCCAACTCTATGCATGATGAGGAGGACGGACGTGCCCAGGTAGCGAACCTGAGCATTATGCGGGCACTTCTTCCTCATTTTACCAACCGAGAGTTCCACCAAGGACCCTTCTTCTACAAGCTTACAGACCTGCATCCAAGCAACATCTTCGTCGACAGCCAGTGGAATATCAAATATCTAGTCGACCTTGAGTGGGCCTGCTCACTTCCAGCAGAGACCCTACGCCCTCCGTATTGGTTGACCGGTCGTGCTGCAGACGACATTCTTGGTGAACATCTTGTCACATTCAGCGAAGCACATGACAAATTCATGGAAATATTTGAAGAGGAAGAGAAGCAGTATCCGCCTCTCTTCAATGTCTGCACGTATCGGACAAATATCATGAGAAAAGGCTGGAAAATCGGGAAATTCTGGTACTTCCAAGCCTTGGATAGTCCTAAAGGCCTGTTCAACATTTTCCGTGACCATATCCAGCCGAAATTCGCAGCGTCTCAGAGTGCTGATCCGTTAGACATTTCAAAAATCGTATCCGAATACTGGGCTGTGGATACAAAGGATGTCGTGGCGGGGAAGTTGAGAGACAAGGAAGTTTACGAAGAAGACCTACGTCTGCGTTTTCAAAATGGCTCTGAAGAAAAGCAACAGCTCTCATTGGCTCCATAAAAAGGTACTTGTGGAACTTTCATACAGTCTTGTTAACTTTAGTTCTTTCTGCGTCGCCTCTTGGCATCATTTCCCGAGGATGATAACTGTTGCATCGTTGCCTGGTCCGAGAGCCCTCTCGTAACTGCTGCCTGGTCCTCCCAGGCCTATTTCTCAGCAGCTGCTTTGGTGGCCGCCTCTCTAGCAGCTGTCTCGGCTCCTTGTCTTTCTATCTCCGCAAGTCTTCGTCTTTCCTCATCGTCGTTGGTCGTCTTGAAACCTAAGCATATCATCAGTATAAAATGTATGGATCATGCCGATGTGGTATTTACTTTGGATATCAAGCCAGAACCCTAAATTGGCGGGTATCAAGTAGACATAGAGGGACGGCTTCTGAACTAATTAGTGCCAACTCATACCACTAGTCTTATATAGGTCATATACCAAAATCTCAGGCGTCAAGGGTTATGGAGGCTCTTTGGCAGAAGATAGATGAAACTTTGCCACGAGAAAGGTAGAAAGAGGTAAAGGGCCGAGCGAAGGATCCTACATTTAATAAGTAAGATCATCCAAGCTCAAGGGAGCCTCCATGCGCTATGGCCCGTTCTATCAGTTGGCAAGTGACAAACTAGATCACACGCATCCACCCCTGGCAGCTGTTGGCCCCAATATACCAATATTGCACGGCACGGTTGGAAGTTAACACATCATTAGTGCAGATACCGGTGTTTCGCTTCCCCACAGACATTCCAAGGACGCAAAAAAGTCCGCGAAAAATAATAGGACCCGAGGACACGGCGGCTGGGGGGCATTTCCCGATGGGACAGAGTGATGACCCGGGCCGCCAAAATATCACCCTGCATCCCCCTCATCTTACTGGCGCTAATAGCTGCGGCACACGCCATCTAGTCTGTTCAATTGAGGTGGCGAGTGCATACCCCTCCTCTGCCTTGATCCGGCTGGCCTCTGTGCCCTTGTCAGCCTTTCATTTTAGCTGAGGGATAAAGGCGAGGTGGAACGCCATTCAACGGTGAATGTAAGTTCGAGTATCGCCAAGGCACAGATGACCGAGGCACAGATGAAGACTTAGCTTTTGGTATAGAATCATTCTGGATTTACGAGAACAAGGCCAGTTTCAAATTATTCCTAGCTTGTAATGCATTTGAGATGGGAAACAGCTATGAATTTATATTTATTGCCATGAGAGCCCAGCTCGAGGCTTTGGATAATGGTATGGCTGTTATGGGATCTTTTATTGTTTTGAATGCGGTGGGAGTTAACTACTTTCCCTAATCTTGTAATAGGGGTGGAATCCAGGGTTACCATTCCCTTCGTTTTACCGAATTAATAGAGATCCATCAGCTCAAAAATGTTGAATTTGATATTTTACCCCGGCTGCTCACAAACCCAACACACACAGCACCTAACCAGTCGAACCAAACCCCGAGCAAATTCCATTCGTGACCATGGCTCATACAATCCAGTAGAAAGAAAAGTAGAGAAACGTAGCAAAGGGTTGGGATAGAATGAAAATGAAGAGTGCGTAAACATATCAAGCCAAAAGACAAGTTGTAGAGAAAAAAAGAGCATTGAGCATTGAACGAAACGCCATCAAGGGTGCCAAGTAGAGGAGTAAAACGGGTAGTGCGGCCTCATTCCGACGCAGGACAGGTGGATTGGATTAGAAAAGGGATAGAGCAATGGGGTTGTCAAACTACTCGGAGGAAGCGAGCTGAAGGGGGAAATTGGTCAACAACTGGATTGGGGAATATTAAAAGTGTGTAGCAGGTATAACTGCCGACATGGTTTGGTTTCAGGTTTGTTGCATAACCTGACAGGGCAAAAACAGCGTGTTCTTAAGTAGTCGAGTTGGAGACTTCGACCTGGTGTCCAACAGAAAGAAACAGTAACAGCATGGCCAATGTAAAATAATGTTATGTGTTGCTGGCTGACGCGTTAAGCTACCTCGTCGAAATATCGGGGTTCAATTGTGACTGCGAGTCTTGCTGTTGAACAACGCACGAACTCATTCCGGTGGGGGTGTTTTCGCTTTTATTTTTTTTTCATCCCTTAACGCTGCGCATCAAAGTCTGCGCTGCGCTTCGTACACTCGCACCAAGGCTCTTGCCCTTGGTAGGCTTCACCTTAGCGGGATTTGACGCCGCAGTGCTCTTGGCCTTGGAATCAGGCATCCGAGCTTTGATAGGGCTCTTGGTTGGTGCTTTCCGTGGGCCAGGCTTAGGACCAGGCTTTCGGCCGGGCTTTCCGGGTGACTTAGCAGGAGATTTGGCAGGCGACTTTCGAGCCTGTGCCCTGGAGCCCTTGGCAGCAGCTGCAAGGATTTGTTTCTTGGTTTCGGCAGATGGCCGCTTGAGGGGCGATGCCTTCTTGGCAGGAGAGGCCGGTGAAGTCTTCGCAGTGCCTGCCTTTCGTCGGGGTCCTCGAACAGCAGCCTTGATTCTGGCTGCTGTTTTCACTGTGGGAAGCTTGACACCCTTCTTGGTTGCAGCCTTGCCTCGGCTCACTGTCTTCTTCGCGGCTGCCTTTCCGCGCGCAGAAGTAGCCTTGGCCACGGCTTTCTTGACGCTGGCCTTGATAGACTTAGACGTGATCATCCTACGCTTTTTGCCACCGCGTACGGTCGTGTTCTCATCTGCATCTGCGAGCTTTCGCTTTGTGCCGGCCAGCTTCTTGGTCTTTTTCAAACCCTTCTTCTCATCGACAACCTTGGGGCGTTGATCCTTATCCTTTGGACGAGGGCCAAGGATTCCTCGGCAATTCTCTGCTCCACAGCGGCACTTCTGGACATTCTTGCTAGAGTACGGGCTGAACGGGTTGTCAGTATTATCAAAGGCAAGGGGCGTGGAAGTGAGACTAACTTGAAGTTGTAGTCGTAGCTCAACTCCTGTCCTGTCATGATTCCATTCTCTCCGGCAAAGAGGGCCATACGCGGCTTCCCTGCAACAGTCCACTTTTCCATGCGACAATTAGGTTCACAGGAATGATTGACAAAGCGAGCAATGGACCCTCGAGTGGCATCAATGATCATGTTTTGATCAAAGTACATCAGATAGTAGCACTAGCACAGAGTCAGTAATCACCCAAAGCAATACAACAGGAACTACTAACCTCGTTGTTCTTGTACACCGATCTCATTCTCCGCTCACACTCAATCTGCGTGATAATCTCACCAGTATACTCCACAATGATCTGGTTCGGCTCGAACGTGCGGTTGCTTCGGACACCGTATCCACGATCCGCAGTCTTGATCACCTCAACTCCAACATTGTACTTGCCGCCGGCCTTGGTACGGTGCTTGAGCTCGTGGAAGTTGCGGTTACCGCACTCCGGGCCCAGTCTGCAATTGCCGCTGTCGCATTCGTAGAACATATAGCGATTCTGACAGTCTTCATCGCAGCCCGTTTCTTCCTCACACATGCATGTAGACAGCTCCAACTTCTTGTTGGCTTTCCATTCACTGGCGGCATCGCCAATGAAAACGTCTAAGCCTATAGTTAGTCCCACCTTCGTTTCCATCCGATAATTGTATCAACTTACTCTTATTAGTCTTGCGCCACTCATCTGGCTTAGGTTGACCATGTGGCAGGGGCGAGAAGATATCAAATGGAACCTGGTAATCCCTGCCGTTTTGTATCATGCGTGAGCCAACAAACATAGGCATAGGCATAATTTTCCGCTGCTGGGGTATCCCGCTAGCTTTAGCCGATGTCTTGCTTCGACGTTGCTTCGGAGGTGAATCAGTCGGTTCTTGTCCGGTGTACAATCCGTGTGACAACCAGCGCTTAGGTTTATACCGCTGCACAGGCGGAGCAGTCGGTTCCTCTGAAGGACTGGCTTCCTGAGCTTGCAACTTGGATAAATCGCTTTCAGAAACCCGACGTTTCTTCGATGCTGGCTCAGCAAGCGCAGGAGTAGGCTCCTCCTTTTCAGGCGCAACATTTCGAGGCCGAAGACTGGCTCGCCGACCCAGTTCCTTTCCCTTTTCGCTCAAATCCCTCGAGCGCTTCCCCAAGACACTACTTGCTCGGCCCAGTAAATCAGATGCTTTATCCACGATACTTAGACGAGTTGATCGTCGTACCGAACCACGAGAACTACTCTTGGGCGTCTTGATCTTGGGGGTTCCTTCATCTTGGGCCAGTGCCTTCTTCACGCGCTTTCGTAGGTTGCGTTGCTGAAGCGAGGTGGCCATATCCTCCGACGGTGGCTCCTGCGAGGATTTCGAAACGGGAGTATCGGGGGCCATTGAGTGGTCATCAGTCATGGTGTCATTCGCGGTGCCCGGGAACAGAGACGATTCCATCACGGCAATGCTGTGTCGCAGCGAAGAGCGCGTGCGCTTCGCCTTGGCAAGGCTGTCGACATAGGCCTGGCTGGAGGACTTCGGGGTCTCATCTTCCTCGGCGGATGCATTATTATCCAGGGTGTCGGCAGCTTGCAACGATACGCGTGCTACTCGTGTTGAACGGCGCCGCGGTGCGGGCTTTTCTTCTGTTGACGCGTTTTCATTGTTGCTAGACGTTTCGGAGCGGCTGGCCTCGGGCGTGAGGAGCTGTTCGGGGACGTCGAGGCTCATGTCGTCGGCTGTATCGTGTGCATGGACGCCAGCGAGTCCGGGAGTCGCGGACGCGGAGACGCGGGAGGTACGGCGCGCCATTTTGGAAAGAGGGGATGTGAGGAAGGACGACTTCCCGCCCTTGGGAAAAGAGATTTGGGGGTGAAACAGGTGCAGAGTCCGGGAATATCAAGAGGATTATCAGGGGTGGGAAGGAGGAAGATTAGCAGCCGCGCGCCTGTTATCAATTTAGGGTGATGGGGGATGTCTGACGCGTGCAACATCAACACTTTTCGGTCCCAAATACAGGCAGAAATTTGCGGTGTAAACCAGTTGCGGGGAAATAGTTCAATCAAGGGAGAAAGGGGTTTAGTGACATGACAATCCCTGGTGATGGAATGCTCAACTTCATAACTTGCTCGGCCCCGCGGAAGCAGTCCCGATTCTACGCGTTTCGGTGTCGGGATTGAATTCTATTTTGACCAGGATCATAAAAGGTATTAAGCCGTCCGGGGACAGTTCATATGTGTAAAAATATGCTAATATCCAGAATAGAGGCTCAAAAATGACAAGTGAAGGAGAATAGGAAGTTGTATGGTGGACACTCATAATAACGGAGCGGAAGAAGGGTAATAGGGAAAGAGATGCCAGAGAATGTCAATGACTCGAGAGGAATCCCGGTCAAGCGTCACAAATAGGAGATATCAGAGAATTAACAGGAAGGGTGTGCATAGAGCAATTAGAAAGTTTTAGGGACGGGTAAAGATTCCGAAAGTTAAGGTCGAGTATGTGACCAGAAATGAAACATCGTATCGTCGTCTTTATGGGTCGTAGCAAGGAATTGAGATAGACAAAAAAAACAAGTCACTTTTTTGGTGGCCAAGTGGTTTAGCCCCGTTGTTGGGAACCAACATGTTGCATCTCAATCCCCGCTTGCGACTCCTCATCGTGGACAAGATACTTGCGCTTCTGCATGGCAAAGCGCTGGTCGCCCTCTTCGTAGGGCTTTTTGAACTGCAGGTAGGTGGGCGGACGAGGCCGTCCCAGAACGGTGATCCAGTTCTTAAGGACATTGCCTTGTGTGAATGGTCGGTGGCGGTCCGTCTTGTTGAACTTGTGCGAATTGAGATATTCTCGGGTGGTCTCGCCTCGGCCCATCAAGAACAGATGGTAAGCCCACAGCGATGTCGGGTATGGTACCGCGACGATGCCGTAAATAACCATAGCCCAGGGGACGCGCCATTTCGAGATGGCAGCCCCAAAAGAGACATGCTCGCGCGACCTGTACACCAGAATATGCGCGAGACTGGCACCAATCAAAAAGAGGGCCAGAATCGTGCATGAGCTCACAAATGCAAAGAAGTAGCGGTAATTGCGCCGCCCTACACAGTTGTTGAGCCAGACGCAGTGGTGATCGAGTGTGTCGACACAGTTGTCGCACACCCGGCAGTGGTAGCAGCGAGGAGGTCGCCAGATACTACAGGTCTTGCAGTACTTCACGGGCACGTCCATGGCAGCCACTTCCGAGGTAGCGAGCTTGACCATGACCCAATCATTTGTCGGAGGGCCAAGCGACAATAGGTCGTCTCCTGGATTTGTCGGAGGCATAGCATGCGCATTTCGTGGCATAATTCCAGGGTCAACAACGGATGCGTGCACGAAGGAGGAAATGCAGATATAGAAAACGTATGCAAAGACAATGGGGATAGCAGGAGAGATGTTGTGCCACAACCAGGGAGCTGAGAATGCGAAGAAAAGCGCCGAAGGCACGATTACCAGAAGACCTGTAGCAATGTTGACGGGCTTGTCCCTCGAGTTCTGGAGCCGCCCACCACCACAGAAGAGTGTGTTGCCAACGAAATATTCCCAGTTCTTGCCCAATGTACCTCTCGGTAATTGGGACTTCTTGACATCCATAGGTCCGGGAGACGAGCCAGCTGAAGACAATCGCTCATGTCCTCGAGGATCATGGGAGTTTTGTGCGGAGGTTCCGTTCCGCAATGACAAGAAAGAAAGCGGTGACTTGGGTGCCGCATGGGCATCTTGTCCCGATTGACCATGGTAGTTCGCACCGAGGTTCAGATGGCTAGGACGCGGCTTGTCTTTCTGATCTCGGTCTTGGAGGAGCCTGACGCTCTCGCCCAAGCTTCGGATTGTTGTGTTTCCTGTTGGGCTTGCATTGGACGTATTGCGATCAGTGATGATGGCATCTGTAAATTCCGTGCCTCGCGACGGAGGGACTTCGGGTTCTGCAGTAAGTGCCGATCCTTGGTGGAAAGTACTGTTGGAGATGATGCTCCTCCGATTCTGACTGGCCTGGTCTGCCCAGTCGTCTGTTGACGACACAGTCCCCTTGGTCATGGGCCGTGTACCCCGGTGCGCCTGCAGTCGCTGCGAACTCATCGGCCGGAAAAATCCCTGCGCGGTCAATGACGGAATATGACTTCTGCTCAGTCGACTGCCTGAGCTTCCCGGTCTGCCATGGCTGGACGCAACCATGGAGCTCCTTGTTGGGGGCGGCCCCCGCCGTGAGACGGAGGGACGCTGCTGGAGCGAAGGTGGTGGTGACGCGAAAGATTGTGTTCGCTCTCCATCCTCCGAGGCCATATCCGTTACTCGGGAAGATATTCCTCCCACCGAGGGAGGCCGAGGAATGCCCAGGACATGTTGTTGGTTCTGGGACTGCGTGGTTTCGCTAGCGTCGGGGCGGTCTGCGGAATTCGCCATGATTCTAGAAGGAATGGTAATTGACTTTGCTAGAATGCAGCGCGCGCTATCATATCGTTCTTCAGGCGTGACGAGAAAAGAACTAGGGCAAGCGATGCGCAGGAGATCCGTAGGCTACCAACAATCGATGACGGGCGAAACAGCGTAAAGAGCGACGGTCACGGACGAGATGCAAGGAGAGACGGGCATCAAATCATCCAAGGCCCTATCGAGTCATCAACATCGAATCCAGGGGGTTTTGCGCAGCCGTCCACCACGCGTTTAGAAATCCGGGGGAAGAAGACCCTAGATTGAGCCCCTGATCGGGAAATTCAAAGGAAATTCACGAAGCAACCCACCTTTTGGAGATATATCAACCGAGGGAGCCAAAACACCGATGTAAACCCAATTACATCACCGTCCTTCGGACGCAGCAAAATGAAGGCGAGTCCACACGGTTGAGCTGGTACTGAACCACCCGGTTGAACGAGTCGCGCACCAAATGAGATCACCCGAAGCGGCCCTGAGTCAGCAGGTCACATGACCGAGAACATCATTCGATGCTCCCGATTCTCCCACACCACCTCGTTCTCGACCACCTAACCCGTCTCCACGCACTCCCCGCTACCACCATGTCTTCGATTGCTGCTATGGCCGCCCGCCGGGCTCTGGCTCGCCAGCCTCTCATCCGCGCTCCTCCGCGCCGCTTCATGTCGGCCTCCAAGTTCGAGGAGGCCGGTCTCGACAAGGCTCCCAAGAGGGACCCCGAGCTCTACGTACGGACTTACATCTGCCATTGACGGTTCTTAGAGCTCCAGGCTAATTTTTGCGGCTACAGGTTCTGCTCGGTATCATGTCCGGTGCCTTCATGATCGCTGGATGGTGAATACCCCCCTCCCGGCCCATACCCGAATCCGTGCTTGTCGTGACGTGATCGCCACCTCCGTCGGGACCACTTGAACGGATACAGGAATCTACTATCTAGCTTCACAAATGCATCGCTGTGGAAAGACAATTGGCTAATTTGGGGGTTTCCGATCAATAGGTACTTCGGCACCAAGCCCACCTCCGTGAGCTCCGAGTCCAACGTCCGCATCGGCGAGTCTGCCATGCCCTGGCACGCCACCTCCGAGGATGGCAAGTTGTACAAGTACCAGTACCACCCTAATGGTGACAAGAACCAGCCCCTCCGCGCTGCCCCCAGTGCCATGAACACTGTCATTGTTCCCAATGTCACCCTGCCCGAGGTATGCATCGCAACCCCCTGTGGCGGTCACTACGCCACTTGCCATGTTTCATTTCCTTCCAAATGAGATTGGAGTGGAGCAGCTACAAGGCCCGAATATCTTTCAATTGCAGATTTGCTGACAATCTCCTGCGCAGGACCTCCACGAGAAGTTCAACAAGTACGGCAAGGAGGAGTGGGACTACTAAACGGTTCCAGAGGAACCTTTTAAACGATGATGCTAGAGCGAACCGCTTCTGCGGTCGGCTGCTGTATACTAGGAATGTGGTGAAGGAGATTACTAGTAGTGTCTGGACTTTGCGATTACCAGAGATTTGTCCATAGTGTTCAGATAAAGAGTCAATTGGGAATCAGCCTCTTTTCTTATGTTGTTACTACATTTCTTGTGAAGAATAGATCATGATACCGTAGATCGGGTGATTTCGGGGATGAAACTGCCTTGGTGGGTGCTTATGCACGCAGCTAGGATAAACTTACCACCAGAAGTGCATCTTGGGTTTGCATTAAACAGAAACGCTCATTCACATTCGGTGATGATTAAGACTCTAACATAGCAACTAATCACAGCGAAAGGAAATAACTATAAGTTTCATGATACATGGTGTGAAGTTTTCTTGCCCTCTTCAATCTAGTCCCTACTCGGTGCCTTGAGTAGCGTCATTACCTTCACTCGCAGGCTTGGCCTGGGGAGCCTTGCGTTCCTCAGTGGACTGGATATCACCTTCAACAATAGAGGCAGGGCGCTCCGGCGGCACCGAGTCCTCGGGGTAACTACCAGTTTCGGGGTTCTGACCCTCGACATCGGGGTGTGGAGGAGCCTGAGGCTCGGGGAACTGGGGCTTGCCATCCACGATGGGAACCTCCTGGGCATTCTCGAGGCTCGCCAGGGATTCGTAGCGGGTCTCAAACTTGACCTTCCCCTCTGCGCGGAGCGAGGCAACGAGAGTCTCGGGCAGAACGTTGCCGTGCTGGTCACGGTATTCGACGCGAGCCATCGACCCAGATATCTTAGGCTCAGTCGTGGCTGCCTGGTCCTGCTGCTCCTCGACAGGTTCGACAGGCTCGACAGGCTGCTGTTGCTGTTGCTGTTGCTGTTCCTGGACAGGAGGTGCGGGAGGAGCCTGGGAGGATTGGGTGGTCGGGACAGCAATGGGGGAATCAATTGCGGTGACATATTGGCTCAACTGTTGCATATTTGTGTCAGCCATGGGATCTTGATTCTCTCAATACCCTCGGCGAGGAGGCCTCCACTCTGGTACACTTACGTCGGTGTGGAATGTGTTGCAGTCGAAATCCCACGAACTCAGGAGCTTCACCTTCTGGCAAGCACCTTGAGTCCAGGGGTTGCCGTAGACAAGCGGAGAGTAAAGAGTGAACACTGCAATGCTGAGCAGCAGGAAGACAGCCATCAGAGCCTTGCCAATCACGGGCTTCGAAGCGAGACCAAGGCACTTAATGCGGTTGGTGACAAAGTCGAACTGCTGGCAAAGAACCAGAATGGCGAAGTAGAGGGCCGGGAGATAATGGTGCAGGAAGAGCTGACGAGCCATGAGGTAGAAGGGGAAGTAGTGGAAGGCCCATCCCAGGACGCTGGTACCGACTTCGTAATCGAAACGCTTGAAGGAAATGTGGTTGTAGTCATTGCAGCTTCTCTGCCAACGAATGACCGCAATGCCCTTGAAGACAACGTAGATAGCAATAGCCAGGGTAGAACTCCACCAAATGAGGGGATTACCCAGAAGGTAAACCTGACGGTGGTCCCTGCCCCAGAAGTTGATACCACGGAGGAGAGTGGGCCAAGACGGAGGGCGAGAATCCCAGGCGTGAGACTCAACCAGGCCGGCATTGGTTGTCCACATCACCTTCTGCAGCTCCCAGAACTTACCCAGGAAGCCCGGATTACGGTAGTTCACCTTCTCGGCGTCTGCGGGCATCGCAGGGTGGGTGTTGTCCTCGACGTACCAGATGCTGTTAGGGAGAGTACCTCCCTTGGCACAGGTCACTTCCTGTTGTTCGTAACCCCAGTCTGGAAGCTTGACCTTGTGGGAGAAGAGAACACATCCAGTCATGACGTGAACCAGCCTGAACTTGGTTTGAATGGTGCGCAGGCGCTTCTTGGCCTCCTCGCCGTCGGACATGGACTTCACAATCTCAACCTTGAACAGATCGTTGGCGTCACCGGGGAATCCTTCGTATCCATAGGCAGAGACTTCAAACTGCCAGTCAGCCTCGGTCACCGGGGGGCGCTCGTCGTGAGAGTGAATACGTCGGTGGGTGATTTGGTGATACAAGCGGATGAGCGATCCATCTTCGATGTTGCTGGTGGTCAGGTTATCCCAAGCCCACGGGCCCTCAACCTCTCCGTAGGGACCCAGAGGCTGGGTCTGATTCTCCATGATGAAGAGGTTGTTGTCATCCTTGTGGGGATAGAGAGTGACCTGTTGCTGCTTGCTGCCAGTGGGGTACATGTGGTTGTGAGAGTGCAGGTAACCACCCTGAGTGTTCAGGTGACGAAGGCTGACTCGGGAACCGAACGCGACATCGGCCGCAACGTCCTGCATACCCTTGGAGTTCAAAGTGGCCTGGAACTCGGAAGACATGAAACCATCGCCCTCGCCAGGGTTAACCAGGCAGAGGAAGTGGATGGCAAACATGGCCATGTAAAATCCAATGGGGATGATAATCAAACAGAACACACGGGAGGTAAAGTGCTTGAACCAAAGCCGCTATAGTATTGAAGATTAGCGACAGATCCCGGAAGGTTTCAGTGAGCATTGGCAACGTACCGGTGTGACAGTCTTCGAGTCACCGAGCAACACCCATAATTGGATAATGGTGAGGGATCCAACCCAAGCCATGGTGAAGAGACCGACCCACTTGACGCTGAGTGTAGCACCCAAGGAGAGACCACTGGCAACCAACCAGAACCACCAGGGGCCCTTGAAGGCATGGGACGGGCCCAACTCTTGCTGGTTGGAGAAGCAGGTGAATGTCAGTGCGGTAAGAGCAGTGAAAAAGATCAACGGCGAATCCAAAAGAATCAGGCGCGATTGGGTGGTCAGCGCATTTTCGAAGATAACGACACCAGCACCCGTCACGGCGGTCGAAGAGCGGCAGCCAGTGGCCTTGAGTGTCAGGAACATCAAGGAAACGGTCAGGACACCCATGATGGCGGGCAGCATGCGCATTGCCACATACGGCACACCGGGTTCAATGTAGTCCTTGCCAATATCCTTGAAGTCGAATTCGCCATCGAAGCCGGCCAGCCAGCCAGCCAGCGTAATCAGCAGTTTGGCAAGCGGCGGGTGTACATCCATAAAGAAACGTCCCTTAATATACTTGGTCGCGAATCCACCGAAGCTAAAAGGAGAGAGAAATAGCATTAGCAAGTGTTCCTTCAAGTCAAAACTACCGCTGAGACATACTGGACTTCATCGAAGACAACGCTGGTGGGCTGGTAGATACGGAACAGACGCACAGCCGCGGCAATTAGCGTCACCAGCGTGAGCAGCTTATAATCCGAGGCAGGGAGGTTGAGAATGTCATAGTCCTTGACGCCATCCGATGCATAGCTGGAGGTTTTCACCGGCTTGCGATTGTTGGGTCTCGGCGAGCGACTGGGCGAGCGCTTGCCCGAGCGGCTCTGGGGCCGAACGGCCAGCGTGTCTTTCGACTTCTGACCCATTGTCTTCCGATCGTTCGGCGACGGGGATTTGAAAAACGTGAATGTGGGCAATAGAATCTGAGAATGGAGCGAAAGAAAAATTGAAAGTAAAAGTCTCGGCGGAGTGGAATTCCAAAGTCGGAGTAAATGGAAGCGGGCGAAGCCACTAGCTGTTGGAGAGCGTCGAGGACGGAGCTCTCAACAACCGACAGCTCTTCTTTGGATTAAAGATTGAGAATAGAGAAAAGAAAAGAACCCATGCAGGGCAGGTAGGGAAAAGAAAAGGGAGTGCAGAGAGAATGGACGAAAGCGGGTGAGGCAAGACCAACGAGGCGGAGGGAAACGTGTATGTCTCTCGAACGACCCCTTAGATTTCGGCCCCCCGGCTGACTGGTCTTGTAGTATTCTGGGTAATCGCGGGCTTCATCTGATCTACAATTATACCGAGGTTGCTCGTCAGACCGGTTACGAAGATGAATCTATTCTCTTTTTTCGAAATATGCCACTCTTGCAATTGATGCTTTGGGAACATCGAGCTATGATCGAATGCGGGCAAACATCGACAAAGAAAAGCCTGAGGAATCTGGCCGCTCAGCCGCAAATATTCAGTCGCTCTTATGTAAGCAAATTACGTAAGTGTGGCTCGGTCAGTACCTCGCATGAGGCGCGAAAAGACCTCGCCGCGACAGTCACACCCCATCGCCGTCATGGATACGTCTAATGGCAACACTCCCTTGCCGGAGGATATGAACAAGGCCCCAGAGGGCTTGGTGCTTCCCCCCAAGGATATTCGAGGTTCGTACTCCACTCCTCTCCGTGCAATCATCCAGCTGACCGTGCATCTAGCGATCGTCGAGAAGACCGCAGGCTACGTTGCTCGCAATGGACATATCTTTGAAGGTAAGAACACCACCCATATGGTCAATATGATCGCAAAACTGACGTTTTATTCAGATCGTGTCCGCGACAAGGAAAAGAACAACGCCAAATTCTCCTTCTTGAATCCCGGCGATGCCTACGCGCCCTTTTACCAGTGGCGTCTCACTGAGATCAAGGACGGCCGCGGCACTGCCGTTTCCGCAGGACGAGCTGGCGAAGCAACACCCGCCACTGAACCTGAAAAGCCGAAGGGGCCCCCAGAACCCGCCGCGTTCCATTTCTCCGCGCGCATGCCCAACATCAATGCGCAAGATTTCGAGGTGGTCAAACTCACAGCATTGTTTGTCGCCAAACGAGGAAAGTCATTTATGACCGCACTGTCGCAGCGTGAGGCCAGAAATTTCCAGTTCGAGTTCCTTCGTCCCCAACACAGTCTCTACCAATTCTTCACCCGATTGGTCGACCAGTATACCATCTTGTTCCGACCCGAAGGCATCGACGCCGCCACCTCCGAGAAAAAGAGAATTGCCGAGCTCGAGCAAAATGTGCAGAACAAGTATCATATCTTGGAGCGCGCTACACAACGCGCCGAGTGGGTGAAATTCCAAGAACAGCAGAAGCAGAAGAAGGAGGAACTAGAGGAACAAGAGCGCATCGAGTACGCCCAGATCGACTGGCACGACTTTGTGGTCGTCGAGACCGTCATGTTCACCGAGGTCGACGACCAGTCCGACCTACCACCGCCGACCTCTCTCGCCGACCTCCAGTCTGCATCCCTCGAGCAAAAAGCCGCCATGTCCCTTAACCCACTCCGTATCGAAGAGGCCATGCCCACCGACCTCGACAATCCCACCTACTACAATGCCTACCCCGCCCAACCCGAAGCCATCCCAATGCCCTCCTCCGTCTCGCCCTACCCAGCCCAACCACAAGGCCCCTACGCGCCCTCCAGCGGCATGGACTACAATATGCAATATCCACCGCAGCCCGAGGCAGCACAGGCCCGCGTCGAATCCCCCATCCCCGCCGCACCAGGCCAACCACCAATCCGCATTCGCTCAGACTACGTTCCCCGTGCCCAAGCCCGCCGCAACCAAGCCGCCGGCTCAACGGCACTCTGCCCGAACTGCCACCAACAGATCCCCGTCGCCGAGCTGGACCAGCACATGCGCATCGAGCTCCTGGATCCACGCTGGAAAGAGCAGCGCGCCAAAGCCGACTCCCGCAGCGCCACAACCAACCTTTCCACAGTGGACGTGGTCAACAATCTCAAGCGTCTGGCCAGCCAGCGCAGCGATGTCTTCGACTCGTCACTGGCCCCCCTCGATCCCGAGGAAGACCGCCGCAAGCGCATGGCTACCGACAGCCCCGTGCAGCCTGGGCCAGCTGTTGGACCTGGGGGTGTCGCCAATCCTCAGAACATGAATATCGAGGATCAGATCCGACACATCCATCAGCGCGCGAAGCAATGATTTGTGTTCAAGTGGTGGCTTCCACTTGCTTAGGAAAACATTCACGTATCCGGAGTTTGGGGCGCGTAGGACGATGTCTTTTTGTATAATAACTTTATCACTACTGAACGCCGACTGATCCCGCCCTCTGATGGGTGCTATCATTTTCTTTCTCGCTGTAGTTTATACGAATTCTTTCCGCATAGACCAAAGAAATAAAATACTTGCGAAGGCAGAAGGAAAAGGTAAGCAAGTAGAGGGGGGCATCAAATCCACAGAGTGAAGAAAATATATCTCAGTGTTGTGAAGGGATTCCAAAACGGTGGACGGAAAATAAATCATCTGTGACGTGCCGGTTGAGATCCAGAAAGTGACATTTTAAAGTGTTAATGTGAGTCGACATTTGAGAAGATATCTACGGACGCTGCACCGGAGGAAAGGTAGCATTAGGAATCATCTATTGTCATGCTATCTGTGGCAGCTGTTATCTCATCCAGAACCAGAACAATGCATATCGAAAAGAAAAATGAAATCAAAAAAAAGCAAGCAGCCATCCCGTGCCATCAATTATGCATAGACATTGTCCGGTCAAAACAAAACAAAAACAAATAGCCAGTTCCGAGTAAAGGAATCAGAAAGGCGCAAAGACCAAGACGAGGGAGAAGAAAAGACATTATTTTGTATACATGAAAACGAAGAAAATAGTAATAATACATGGACGAAGCAAGCTGCTCGAAACCGGGATATCGACGAAGGTGGTGAACAGGCGGAGTTGAATTAAAGGGCGTATGCAGCGTGGGTGTCTATTGCTTTTGGCGAGGGGTATGCTTGATGCTGATGAAAGATGAAATGCGTCAGACGTGAAACACTAGGAGCCGTGCGGTCGTCATGGTCATGTTGACTTGAGGCAACTTTGACTAGTCGTTTTTCTGACCGTTAACTTCAGTGCTGGGGTTTTCGTTAGGAGAGGACTGTTCGGTCTCGGCCTGTTTAATCTCGGGCTCCTCGATCACAGGCTCCTCGATCACGGGCTGTTCGGTCTCGGTCTGTTCGGCCGCAGGCTCCTCGGGATCGGCCGGTACGTCTGCAGTCGCTTCTTCGTAGACACTGCTGTCGGAGTCAACAGAGCCTCGTCTTTGCTGTGCTTCGTCTCCAGAAGTCTCATCATCCCTGTTGAGATGGGGGAGGTCAGGTGTGACGGGCGTAGCCATTTCGAAAGAACGAAGAGAGTGGCCTGCCATAGACGATGCTGTGTTGGGCCGAGCGGCTTCAATGACGCGATTCATCTCCTCGATTCTGGGCTCGACAAAGTTGTTATCCATAGGATGCAAGTAGTTATCTTGTGGAACTTCAGCCGGCTCAGTTTCAGACACGGCTGGCCGGGCAAACTGTGGAACAATGCCGCCAGCAATCCGAGACCAGAACATCCGCTCTCTCAAGTGAACGGTTTCTTCCCAGGCATCCTTTTCTTCGTCACAGTCATTGGCGCGTACGTGTCCGTCTAGAATAAGGCGCAGATAGCCGGTGAACTCGCAGCAGGATCGAATCCTCTCCAAGCATTGAATACATAAGGAGTATCTTTGGGCGGTTTCACTGTCCGATGTCCGGAAGCGGTGTGTTCGTTCGTTCTGAGCTCCTGGTCTGCGCTCGCCACACACCGAGCAAGGGAATTCGTATACCTTGGTCGCTGATGGCATGGGCTCCACGACAAGAGTACCCTCGCAGATTCCACTCAAGACATTGCGTCGAGTAAGCCACGAAATTCCCGGGGAGAGGTCAAGTCTGAGTGTGGGCTCAATGTCCTCAACCAACACTCGCTTATAGAATCGGGTATCCTTCAGAGGAATATGCGAGCCGGCTTGCGACGATAGACTCCCATTGGGAGAGTGCGTGAAGCCCTTTGTGGGCGATGAAGTGTTCGAGTTAGATCCGCCACCGAAACCAGCCAAGCTCATCACATTCAAGCCTCCATATGAGCCACTACCGGCGCGGCTGGCAGGCTTCGAGCTCGAGTTTCGAGCGAGCACCAAAAGATCCCGGAAGTCGTCATAGGCGGGTAGATCGGTGCGGCACACCATGCGGATCATTTCGGGGAAATTGCAGGACGGACCGGGAGTCAATTCCACGGGTATGCAGGGGGTGGCAGCAATATCGACATCCTCGCACTCGTGCTTGGCTGACCCCTGCAATTGTGGGGCGCCCGCCGGAGACGGGGGAGCGGTGGAGGCGTTCGTGCGGGTATCCACGTCCTCTTTAGACAGGTGCATCCCTTGCATGACAGATTTGAGCTCCGCCAGCTGATCCTGATGCGATGCGAGGAGCGACTCGGTGTCTTTGATTTGCGAGCGCAATTGCTCGTTCTTCTTCTCGACAGCTTCCCGCTCAATCTTAGCTGCAGCAACCATCTGAAATGAAAGTCAGACCGGACCCATCAATTGACCGGGAGATGCAGAATAATGGACTCACCTTGTTGGCTTCCTCAAATAGATCGGCGGTAAGGGTTTCGAGCTCCTGCTCGATGGTCTTCTTCCCCTTTTCAACCACCGCGCGTGCGGCCCTCTCCTCCGCGAGTGCAGCTTTCAGTTGCATAATTTCACGATCAGAGTCGGATTTTTTGATGTAAACCTTCTCATCAATATCCCGGCGGTGTTTCTCATTTTCGAACTCCAGGGCTTTGATCTTACCCTGAGCTACCTCCAGCTCCTGCCGCGTGGCAACCAGGTTGTCATCCAACGTGGTCTGGTTGTTGATCGCCTGGATCAGTTTCACACTTAAAGCCGCAACCTCATTGCTCAAATCGGGGTGATGAGTCGATGACGTTGACGGTGAAACCTCTCTGCCGAGGGCCAATCGTGGGTCCTGCAAGGTGTTGAAGCTGTTTTCCTCGTACTTGGGATGGAATTTCGAGTCGGAATTGGCTTTGGAAGCAATTTCAGTGAGATTGGTGGTGGATTTCGCCTTGATGACGGTCTTTTCGGGGGCCAGAGCGCGGTGCTCCGAAGAGAGTGACCGCTTATGGGCGTGACGCGGGATCATGGTGGACGTAGACGGCGGCCGCAGATTACTATGGTGGTATGTTTGGAAGGCAATTAGACTGTCCTCCATGTCAGCGTTTATCCGAGTCGAACAGGCAACACCTTTTCCCTCCGGGTTTCCTCGAGGAACTTACTCGGCCATGATGAGTGACGTAGACAGCGTCCGAGTTGTGTAAGAGGGTGACCGGTTTATTTATTGCCGTCGATCGCTAACCGATAATCACGCCCGAGCAGACACTGAACACTGAGCTGTCGAAGCCATTCACTCGATATAGCAAAACGATTGAATGTTCCCCGCAAGTGGTTCGGGAGCTCTGGAGCGGTTCGGAAGTCGACGGTCGGCAGGTGTGGAAGCAGTATAGGGAAAGAGAAGAAGAGAAAGGACCGACTAGAAATAATAGCAGAGGGTAAAGCAGTTAAGCTCAGGTGGGTAGCATCCACCGAAGTGCGTGAGACAAGAAGAGATTGGGGGGTCGCAGTGATGATGGGAGGCGAACAAGCGCTTAGTCATGCCATCACACCCGAAGCGTGGTCGATGCAGCCGGTTTATGTCCACCCTGTCATTTCCTTGACTGTTATTCTGTGCTCGATTCATAGAAATTAATCTACTCAAGGTTTTACCTCATGTCAGACTTTTCTTCTCGGCCCTTTTGGGCTACCGCGACCTGACGCGATCCACGTCGCCATGGAACTAGTGTAATAGTTCATCGCGACTAAACCGGAATCGCCAGCCAATCGCCCGCACTGTTCGTCGAATCGGGTATTTTAGAAGATCTGACTTTTTGGCCCGGAATCTGACCTAGTATATCAGTCTAAGGGGGATTTTGCCTCCCGCTTAAATGCGGCGCAGCAAACCCCTAGTGTCGCGGAGATTGCGCTTATGCTGGGGGTTGGGCTATGCAACACGGACGCATACGCTAACTTTTCGTATCACTTTCACTTGTACTGGAGCTGAGATAGTCTGTGCATAATTATCTGCCTGAATCTTGCCGAGTCCTCCCGGAGATATCTTTCCCGTGTACTGTAGATTGGATATGGTCCGGCCCACCAATGCTTCTGTCACTTGATTGGCCGTTCGGAAGAAGATTGGACTTCAATCATTGAGAACTAGCCGACGTTCACACACTGCTAGACTCCGTCTGACATACTCCAGCTTAAACAACACGAGACAATATGGCGGCGACAGACACCTCGATCCGCTCCAGCTGTCACTGCGGTGCCATCACAGTCACAGTTCCCCGACTCCCCAAGTTCATCAACGTATGCCAATGCACGATTTGTAGACGCTACGGCGCCGCTTGGGGCTACTACCCTCAGAACGAAGTAAAGATCGAAACGAAGCCGAACGCAGTGACCAAGCAGTATATCTGGGGCGATCGAGACCTGTCTTTCAACTTCTGCGATAACTGCGGTTGCGTGTAAGTTAACAATTTCTGTTCCATTCGATCCAAGACTGATCTTGTGTGCGGTAGATGCTATTGGTGGCCCATTCGACCTCCGTCTACTGACGAACGTAAAAAAAATATAATGGGGATCAACACAAACAATGTCAATCCCGAGCTCCTGAGGTTCGTCGATCGAAAGTTTGGGTATTCGCTTTTGATAAGCCCGCTGCGGTCGAAGGACACGGCGCATCCTGAGGATCTGGCCAAGTATTGAACACCGCCTCGAACCAGTGCAATACGTAGAAACTTTGTGCTACACCATGCTTTTGGACGAGTCTTGTTGCGTTAATCATCACTTTCGAAGTTTGGCAAGGGATGTACTAGCCTACGGACAGAATGTCTTTCGAACTCAGACGGCAGGCGTACATGAAAAAAGAACGATCAAAAGTGGTTAGCTTGCCAAACCTTTTTTATGCCTTCCTAGGTATTCTTCCAGAATTCAAGTCCCCGATCCTGTCGGTCGCCCAGTATATATATGTAGCGAGTGTTTCCTATGCCTGAAGTATTGAACAGACTTGGGATTTCCCAAGTAGAAGCAGTCATCCAAATTTACCAAAAGTATACATAAGGAGCCATATCGTATACAATGCCAAAAACCATCAGCAATGATTGAAACATGTCTCATCTCGAGGTCTTGGAGCCCAAGTGTATCCTGAACAAACGTCAGAATCCCCCGCGTGGCAGCCTCAGGCGGAACAGGTGGGGTTACCGAATCAAACTTGCCTCATGAACTCGAAACACTCCTCTCCAACGTCAACCTTTTTGGAGATACCTCGGTTCACGTGTACCAAGTCACACAATGGCCGACGCAGAGCTGGAGGAGGTATGTGGTCCCCCCGTGACCCACGTCACTCGACTCACATCGGGTAACAGATCAGGCGAGCTCGCCTTGCGCAGCTCCAGCAACAGCAGGGTGGTGGTGCTGGCCCGCGCGGAGGCCCTGCCCAGGGCGGGGGCCAAGAAGAACAGAGGTGAGTATTGGATCTATTGTCCAGCTGCGTAATGGTATTAACGGGCGATTTTAGACAAGCTGAATGTAGGTGATCAGTCTCCGTCCACAATCAACCACGAACCCGGTCACGCTACTCTACCCTCGCTTCCCACACACAATTATCCGCCTTGTTTAACACTCTGACAAATTATCACAGCGGAACGTCGCGCCGCCATCATGAACCAGATCCTTGACCCCGCCGCCGCGGATCGCCTGGGTCGCATCCGCCTCGTCAAGGAGCAGCGCGCCACCGACATTGAGAACCGGCTAATCACGCTGGCCCAAACCGGCCAACTGCGATCGAAAGTGACAGAAGAGCAGCTCAAGGAGCTCCTGAACGCCGTCGCTGAGAACCAGCGCAAGGAGGAAGAAGAGCAGAAGATCGTGATCAGCCGGCGCAAAGGCGGCTGGGACGACGATGACGACCTGCTCGACCTGTGAGGATAATGCGGTGACACTCTTGATTAGCTTTGGCCTTTTGTATTTGCCATTTGGATGGATACCTTGCCCTTGGGCCTCCAAAATTCTACTTTCTGGCGTTGCGGTCTGGAACTGGATTGCACCGCTGGTTTTGCATTCGCATTGGGGATATTCTATACAATAGTCGTACACGGAGAGACGCACCAAAGGACGAGGAACCATTGCAGGACATCAAGCCGACATCTGCTGCTGCCTCTCCTTCTCCTCCTTCTGCTGCCTCCGAATCATCTTCCGAATCTCCCTCAGATCAGGCGGTTGTTCGATATTCAACTCGGCCCTTAACTCATCCACATCCTTCTCCAGCACCTCCTCCCAGTAAACATTAATCAACTCCTTACTCCTAAGCCCACTCCGCACCGCCCACGGCAAATGAAGCGACAAAAACCGCTCCTTCTCCGCCGGCTTCATCCGTACAAATGCAAACAGACTCAATCCCGTCATGGGCAGCAGCGTGTTAAGGAACTCAAGCGCCTTAAGCGCCAGTTCACCCTCCACGAAAATCGGCAGTCCCGTCACGGCGTGGTAGAAATCGTGGCACTCGCGGTACCGTTGCATGACGTAGGCGCACTCTTCGTCGTCGATATACTGGACTGAGTCGCGCGTGTCCGGGGAGACTCCTTCGCGGTCGAGCCATTTGGCGTATGTGCGGCCGACGGAGTTCTCGGGAAGTGTGCGGAGATGGGACATTTGGAGGGTATCGGAGGTTATGCGTGGTCGGTCGCGGAGGATACGCCGGCCTGTAGGGTCGGAGAGCATTGCGTCGCGGAGTCGGTAGATGAAGAATGGGGTTGCGGTTGCTTCGCCGAGGGCTGCGATGAGGTCTGATGCTTGTTAGGACTTGGGTTCAATGCTGGAATGGTGTCTTTAATGCAGAGAGGACGTACCGGCTCTGCGAGGATTGATCAACGATCCAATCGCCGATCCCAAGGCGAGAGCACCGCGTTCAATGGTTGTCAATGGGACATGACCGGGATATTTTGGCTGCGGGCGGTTCAAGACGGAGAATGGCCGCACGAAACAGACGGAGCATGGTCGTGCCAGATTCCGGAGCGAGGATGCTCCACGCCTGCTCAAGACCGACATGGTGTTAATTGGCGGAGTATACAAAAGTAGAGCAAGTCGTACGATCGGAAAGACGGCGCAGATGGACACTGCTCGCTGCCGTAGCGATAAGCGACTATCGGGTTATCGATAAACCAGCTCCACAGCCCTTGTTGATCGGCAGTGTGCCTTTCTCTGTGAACGTGCGTGGAATCCATACTTCTTGAGTCCACCATGGCCATTTGCCTATAGGAAATCACCCTGAAAGTCACAGTAATTAGCCATTCGTTGTTAGTCACAACCAATCCCTGCATCCGTGTTCAATGCTGACCCTGAACCAGATCTACTTTCTTCAACCTTCATTAAAAATGGATAAACCAACTTGGTGGCCCGGAGAAGAACACGCAGCCTTCACCGAATGGGCTCTTGCCCAGGGCGTCATCGCCAATGGCGTCACACCAGCCCGATTCCCAGGCCGCGGGTTGGGAATGATAGCCACCCGGAAAATCAAAGTAGGAGGTCCATTGCCTCGAATCCATGACACCGCGATACTAACTCCCATGTAAGAAAGGAGAACCGGTGGTACAAGTCCCAACAAGTGTCATTTTGACAGTGGACACCCTCCCAACCTCATTCAGGGACCAATTCCTCGAAGGCACGCCCGTGCAGGCCATCATGGCCGCCTACCTCACGCACGGCAGCGAGCAAGAACTCTCCAAATACGACCTATGGCGCAAAGCCTGGCCCACACGCCAGGACTTCGAAGACAGTTTGCCGATGTTGTGGCCCGCTGCTCTGGGCGGACTGACCTGGCCAGATAGTGATCCTGCAACGGGCACCCGGCCAAACTTCCTCCCACCCTGCATTTCAGGGCAGTGGAACTCCATCCAGAAAGACCCAAGCACGAAAAAGTACGAGACCGAGCACCAGAACCTCCTCGCTGGTCAGGAACAGCGGCTCGGAAAGGCGTGGGCGGATGTTACGGCTGTCCTGCCGGAGACGGATTGGCGGTCTTTCTCGTACCACTGGCTTATTCTCAATACGAGGAGTTTCTACTGGGTTGCGCCAGATCAGGAGCCGCCGGAGGATCGAAATGATGCGATGGCGTTGTTGCCTTTTGCGGATTATTTTAATCATTCTGATGTTGAGGTTTGTTTTTTTCTGAATGGTTTTATGACAACTTGCTTATATGGGGACTGGTTTAGTGCGATGTCAAGTTTGATGCGGATGAGTATACTCTCCGGGCTACGGAGAATTATGAAAAGGGCGATGAAGTCTATATGAGTTACGGGAGTCATCCGAATGATTTTCTGTTGGCCGAGTGTGAGTTCTGTTTCATTTCTCATGCAATGCATCAAGCTAATTTGCCCGTAGATGGATTCTTCCTCGAGCAGAACGAGTCAGACTGCGTCTACCTCGACGATATCATCTTCCGAGACATCACCAGCCCCGACAAACGAGAAGAACTATCCCTGAACCAATATTACGGGTACATGCTGATCAAAATTACGGGTATATTCAATGCTAACTATTTCACAAGTAACTATCAAGTCACCTCTCAGGGTGTCTGCTATCGCACCGAGGTAGCAGCGTGTTTAAAATACATGAAAGAAGAGGACTGGCGGAACCACGTCCTCGAAGGCTCCACCGAAGGTGTGGATGAAAAGTTGTCCGGAGACATTATCAAGGATTGGCTTCGGGCGTATTGCATAGAGGCGGAAGCCGCCGTGGATGCATTGCGGGCGGCAATGGAGTCTGATGCTGTCGTGCAGGCTCATCGCCAAAAGAGCGAGACGCTCTTGCGGCGGTGGGCACAGATCAAGGAGGTCTGTGAGAGTGCATCTAGGGCGATTGATCTGTAGACTCCTTCCTCCAAAACGTGCATGCACGGTATGTTTCGAGGGCACCGATAGAGCAGAGAATGAATGAAATCAAATTCTCAAACTAATCGTCCACTTGGGGGTCACCGGTGACGATGACGTTATCGAGGTCAAGGGGAACGGCGCTGTTGTTTCTGCGAAAGGTGATGGCGAGCTTGGTAATAACCAAGTGTTTGATCATGTAGTTGAGTACACACTTGAGACCTAGCTCCTCGCCCCGGCGAACGATCCATCCATTGAAGTATTCAATCTCCGTGATTTTGCGATCCCGTACATCCTGTAGCATGGAGCTGGTATTGTTGGCTGTCTTAGACAGGGTATGTGCGACCATCCGGCGCAGACGCTCTGGGGAGTATCGACTCTGGATTCCCGGGATGCCTTGCAACTCGGGAAGAGCGCAGATCACACTCGAGATTTCAAAAAGGAGCAACCGCATGAGCCGAGTAGCACTCACAAGGTAGAGTAGCTCGCCATTTTTACAGTCGTTGATTGCAGTCAGCGGACCGATGATACAATTGGCCACTTGTTTTTCGAGCCGGTGCTGTAGTAAACCGGCAGGAGTGTCAACCGTGGCGACTAGTTGCGGCGTAAGAGTCAGGAGACGTAGAAGGTATTTCGTTGAAGGAGCCCAGTGCGTGTCCTCCTCTGCTGCGATCAGAGGGGTTCTATCGGTGACCGCGGGGCTGAGGACGAGTGTTCCAGGGCTCTTGTGGGCGATGTGGAAAGGATGTTGCCTCACGAGATAGTGGCTAAAAGCGCTCTCGATATAATTCGGACGGTTGCCTGGATCCGGAAACACTGTTTCGTTGATCCGGTCGATGAGTCCCATGCCACTCTGAATCAAGCAAATGGTTGATTTTGAGGTTAAGCGGTGGCTGACAGTCTGGATGGCCTTTTCTGTGACATTGGCCTTCGTACAGACAATCAAGCAGTCGATGTCTTCATTGTCTGCGGTGTTTTCAAAATAGTCTTCTTCGCCCTCGGCGTATTTCCCACGTGTCTTGTTTTTATTCCCCTCGGTATTCACCTTGTACCATTCCGAAAGGGAGAGCACTTCCACGTCGAATCCGCCTTTGACATCGTCCATCCCATGATGGTTGATGGCGAGAGAGTATTTCTTCCGGCGAAACTCGGTCAAAAATTGCGTGTTATGAAAAAGGAGTGTAATAGGCGGTGGAGACTGTCGTGATGCGAGCGAGTGGGCAATGAAGGTCCCTACGTTTCCGAGGCCCAAGACATGCACCCGTCCTAACATTCGGGGCGGCTCTTGCGAGATCTCTTGCAGGTTTTCCGCCCATGTTGTCTGATGTCTCGTTGTAGGCCCGCAAATTATCTGCCACCGAGACTGACAGGCATCAACCAGCCCGCTCCGCCATAGCGGGCGGCGCGCAAGTAGTTGTAACACTTTGCAGGTGTTCGGGGAAAAAGTCCCCCGATGGTCCGCAGTTTGGCGATATGGGATGAAAGATTCGGTGACGGCGAGAATCGGAGGTGAAAACAGAATGTTAAACCTGCATTGCGTATGAAGAGCTCAGAAAACCCCCAAATTGCCTCGAACAGGAGCTCGAATGGCGCGCGAAATGTCGGATTTCTAGAAAGCGATGATGCGCGGACGGCCAAAATCTCCACCGCCCTGGCCCACCGCCTCCGTTGCACCGTCCTAATTTTTTCGTCAACTTCTCATTTACACTGCACAACATCATGGATACGACAGACTTACTTCCGCTGCTGGAGCAGCTGGACGACAATGTGGACGACTTGGAAGAGGTTTTGCAACCATTTCTGGGGCAGTCCCTGTCCAAGGCCTCGAAAAACCTGCCAGTGATGGACAAAGCCAAACTTCATGTTCTGATCACGTACACTCTCGAATCACTTATTTTCTGTACGTCTGTCTCTGATTGAATACTGGAATTCTCCTAACATCCTTACAGCTTATCTCCGATTGCATGGCGTCGATGCGAAACAGCACTCCGTCTTTCGTGAACTTACACGCGTGAAACAATACTTCGATAAAATCAAGGCTCTAGAAACAGAGCCCGAACAGCGCACCATGACACTCGATAAGGAGGCAGCGGGGCGTTTCATCAAACACGGCCTTGTAAGTACAGTGCTTCCTCGTGATTCAGACACCAACTAATTTCTGTCAAGGCTGGCAATGATAAGATCAACTTGGAATTGGCAGAGAAGCAGGCCAAAGAAAGGGCCCGGGCTCAATTCAAAGCTGCCATGCTGGCTAAGAAGAAGGCTGCCGAAGCACAGACCGAGGATCTTTCCAGCGCAGCCCAGTCTACTCCGCAATCCGCCGCTGACTCTGACGATGACTCGGACGAGGATATGGACGCCAAGGCTGAGGCCGACCTCACGAAAGAAAAAGGGAAGAAGAAGCAGGTCAAGGTTGAGAAGACCAACGCCAGAAGCAAGGATGCAAAGTCTGCCAAGAAGCAACGAAAGCTCGACACCGCTGGACGCAAAGACAACAAGAAGGAAAGACGGCAGAAGAAGGAAGATTTCCGCAAGGCTCGCAATAACAAATGAACCGGCTTGTACGGCGATTCTATTGCGGTTTACCGTGAGCCTCCTACTATCGGGGCGCACAGTATGGCCTTGACCATGACCACCCCTCTGCACGCAGCAATACTTGTATATCAGCATCACTACGAATTTAGATACCCACCATAATTTCAGCTTGGAATGCAAAAGAATGAATAGAACCCCGAGAATGAGAATCGTATAATCCGAGTCACCGCTAAACTCCTGTAATGTCCGAACCCACGTGATATTCTACACCGCCAGCCAATCGACGCCCGTAGAATTTGCATTGCCCCGACTGACTCAGCTTTCCATTATATTCTGTCTCCACTCGGATATCTACTTAACCTAACACTCTTCTTTCCCCTCAACTCTCCGGTATATCAAACATAAACCGATCAAAATGCCTCGTCAACAACGTCGTGCCGCCCCTACCCCTGCGCGCAGCGCCCCGAGCCGCCCTACCGCCGCCCCTGCTCGCCCAGCGGCCGCTCCCCAGCAGCACCAGGCGCCTCACTCGACTGCTGCCCACCCCCAGCAGCAGCCTATGCACGCCCCTCCCCAGCAGAGTGCCGGTTCCGGCCTCTTCGGCCAGATGGCTTCCACCGCCGCGTAAGTCGACCTTACACCCCCTTCGGCTATCTCGATAGTTTCCCGACAAAATCCGGGGTCGAACTTTTTACCCGAGAACCGAGCGTTAATTTTCTCCCAGCGGTGTCGCAATCGGCTCCTCCGTCGGCCACGCCATTGGCGGTTTCTTCGGCGGCGGTGGTTCCAGTGCCCCCGCTGAGGCCCAACAGCAGGCTCCCGCCGACTCCCAGGCTATGGACAACGGTCTGTGGCAGAGCAGTGCCAACCAGCAGCAGTTCGAGAACCCCGCCTGCGCGAACGACGTCCGCAACTTCCGCCAGTGCATGGATGAGAACCAGGGCAACATTAGCATCTGCGGTTGGTACCTGGACCAGCTGGTACGTTGTCAACATGATCTACCTGGAGTAGATATCCCTTTGGTGGTGGACTATTGCTAACAATTTCACAGAAGGCCTGCCAGGCTGCTGCCAAGCCGTACTAAGCGCTTCTTAGTCGGTGGATCTCTTTCTTTATTTAATCGAGTTCTCAATACATGAGCTGATCCTCGGGACTGCTCGGTGGATGTAATCCTTTGCATCGCGACTTTGATATCGCGCTCTTGTACTCTATACCATCTCTCCTCGTCATTGAAATCAATCATTACCGGTCCTGGTCTCTCAAGCTGATGGCGAATTTGTCCACTTGGGGATAAGAGACACGGAGAAAGAAAAGCTCACTGTAATATCGTTTCTAAAGTCATCTGCAATATCATTCGTAAACAACTCCCGTGACAACAGCTTCCACTTCAAGTTTATCCTTGTTCTCAGGCACACCTAGCAGCTTGTCCCGCGTCACCTGAATATCCTCCCAAGCCGTCTGCATCTCCAAATCAAAGCGTCGAGCCAAGGTCGCAAACATGAGATACATTTCCGCGTATGAGAGACTAACAAGCTCTCATTAGTTCCTAAGCCTTGAATAATGCGTGGACTCTTGAAACTCACTTCATGCCCACACAAATCCTAGACCCCTTCGTAAACGGCACCAAGAATCGATCGAGTCTCTCGCCCTTCTGAGGGGATTCCAACCACCGTTCTGGATTGAATGTATGGGGATCCGGGAAGACATTCGAGTTCATATGTACGAGGTAGATCAACTGGCTGACAGGAGTCTACAAAATAAATCAGCGATATTCACAACCAAGGCGCATCCGTTGTCTTACTCCAGGGGGTATGATATAGTCCTTATATACCAGAGCTTTCTTGGGAGCCACGCGCGGAAGGCGGATCGTTGCGGTATGCCCTAGACGGAGTGATTCGTTGATTACAGCCGTCTCTTGAATGTCAGCTTCCTTGTGCTCCAAATATCAATCGAAAGTCCGGGTCACTCACCAGATATGGCAACTTTTCAAGCTGGCTCCAGGACACTTGGCTGGTAGGTTCCGGCATAACCGTTTTCAATTCGTCTCGTAGACGCTTCAAGGAAGCCCTATTATTGTAAAGATGATACGAGCCCATGGTCAAAACTCGCGCTGTAGTCTCCGTCCCAGCACCCATAATAGTCATCGCCTCGTTTCGCAATCGTTCAGGGGTCCTCTCTTCAGAGTGTAGGGAAGGATCACTCAAAGCATGAAAGATAGTCCACTTCGAGTCCTTCTCGTTCGAAGTATTCTGCAGAGCAGCTAGATTCTGCTGTTTCAACTTTCGCTCCATGTCAAAGTATCCTTTATACTTTGGCTGCAGCCACAGGATAACCGAGGGCATGGATTGTAACATGCCCATCATGATTGGGAAGAAGAACCTGGTGAAATGGCAGAAGACGCTGGCTCCAGTCACGGCATCTCGGAATTCATTTTCGAGGTTTTCTTTCTCCAGATAACCTGAGCTTTCGCCGTATGTGTAGCGGCATATCACGTCGCTCGCTAATGCTGCGAATAGTGCATCTGTTCGTATGACCGTGCGGTCGTGTTGTGCCTGCTCAAGGCGTCCAGCAGCTTTATTGACTTTGTCCTGGACGATATGCTCCATTCTGGTAACAGCTTGCTTTGAAAAGAAGGGATTCAGAATCCCGCGCCGAGTCCGGTGGAGATTGTGATCTATCGTTGAATATGTTGAGCCTGGTAATGGGGCGACGCCGACCATGAATGGATATTTCTCCTGGACACCATTGCTGTAAATCTCAGCGAAGTAAGATGGGTCGCTGATGTGGATTTCTCGAGGGTTGATGCGCACTATGGGTCCTGTCGATCTGTTAGTGGGTTCTTCGTATGGATCGCACCCGGTACTATACCGTAGACCTCGTGCATTCTTTGAATCTGCCATATGAATTTCCCGCCTTTGATACAGTCGAAATAGAATTCATTAGATATGAGTAGCAGCGGCCAGTATCGGCCCAGGGAAGTTGCGCAGCGGGTGGAAAAAGAGATTGTAGACACTTTTTGATATGAGGTAGCTGACAGCCACGGCTATTACAACCAAAAGGAGAAACTCCATGGCGCAAATTCAAAGAAAATGCTATGGTAGAAGCAAAGAATAGAAAACTGAATTTCGAGAACAGGAAAAAGGAAAATCAAGTTCTTGCAGGGCCATCTGAACCCCCTCCCAAGCACTAACCGCAAGTGCAGAAGCGTAGTGATACAACGGCAGCGCGGGGAAACGGTGCAACCTCGCTAGGCCGTAGCGCCGGGGCATATGTTCCTCGTATCTCGTGCAGTTCGTTGTGTATGACATCCAATTGATCAGGTCAGCTGTGGCTCACCGTCAATAGGAATACTGCGCAGCGAATGGATGGCTGAATGGCAAGGGGGAAAGGGCGAGATGGCAAGCTGGGAGTTACGCCAAACTGAACCTTCTTGGTTTGATTATGAAAGTGCTCTCCTCTAACTGTCTAAAGGCTCAGTTTTGATCTGAGGTATGCCACTTCCAGAGGGTATGTTTGACTCCTGGAGTTAAGATTGGGGGTTGGTCTTCCAAGTGGGAGGTGGAGAGTGAAGCTACACAGCAGGGCAGGATCAATTCGAACGTGATATCGTAGAATGCACTGATGCAGTATGGTACATTTCTTATCGGAATATCAACCTTTAATCGCATGCTTCACCCAAAGCCTGGAATTACACAACATACGTATGCCAAATCCAGAATGAGTCTCCAGCAAAAATACCTCAATTATCTTTGTCTTCCTTGTTCCGCGGCTCAAAGTTCAACTGTAAATGTCTTTAGCCAATGCATTGAAAACATGGAATCTACTCGAAAGCACGTACCTGGTTTCCGTTGTAGAACTGATTATCACCCCGTTCATTCTGCTGGTCCCGCAGCGTTCGAATGGTAGGTCCCGTTGGCCGTGGTCGTCTCTCTCCGGATGGAGGATTTGTTGACTCGGATTCATTCGCTGATGCACTGGATCCATACCCGAGGATCGAGCCCACAATACCTGTAGCTGTACTGGCGACACCCGAGACCACATTATACACGGCTGATATTCCCCGCGCCGGCAGGGATCCTGCAGCTGCATAGGCTGTCGTGTATGTTTGGACAGGAACCATGACGAGGTTTGCAGTCGATCCGAGATTCAAATCTTGGAGTGTCTGCGACTCTTCGGCAACAGAGAGTGTTCGATTTGGGAGAGGTGTCAAGATGTGTTTCAGGTTGTATGGACGGTGATCGTCCTCCATTTGCTCATCCAGCCAGGGTCGCACATCGCCGCGGATAGTCTGTGTGGGCTTGAAGCTAGACCGGATCGAGCGGCCGTCAAACAGTCGTACCTGGAGTCGGTACTGGCTTGGAGGTCCTCGAGGAACCGGCGGTTGTGGTTTCGGCTCTTCGATAGTCGGCGCAGATTTCTTTTCTACCTTTGCTTTGGGTTTCTGAGGTACCTGAGGTGCTTGCGCCACTGGCTGCTTGCCCTTGGATTTCCCTTTCACGTCTTTCAGAGGCTGCGGCTTAGATGCCGCCTGCTTCGTCGGCGCAGGCTTCTCGGTGGCGGGTTTATCCACCTTCGTGTTAGTCTGGGATGTTTGCTGAGCAGAAATTTGGGAAGCGCTTGGGTGTTGACGTGACTGTTGTTGGGACGGAGCGTTGGGGGTATTGGGTATAACAGAGGTAGCAGCATTTGAACTGGCTGTAGACGTAGCTTCATTGCTCGTAGGCGCGGCACTGTTCTGCTGTGGCTGTTGAGCAGGAACGGTATCTTTTCGACCTTCCAGTGCTGCAATCAAACGGCTCTTCAAGTCGTCTCTCGAAACCTCGGGCGTAAGGTACTCTTGCAACGTGCCATTCCTATAAGTTGAAACAATCAGCTCAGATTCCACGAGTCCAGCAAGCATTAGACCCACTTGATAACAACAGCAGTTGGGAATTTCGATACGGGGCAGAAGGAGGTCAGGAACCCAGCTTCCTGGCTCCCAGCAGTCAGTCGCAAAAGCACCGCTTTGGCGTCGAGGACCGGCGCGACCTTCAGAGGATTAGCAACCACACAGCTACCACAAGAGGCAGTCAGTCGCGTATGCGCATACCTCATCATCTGTAAGGTACTCCTTCTCCCATGTTGAGCTCAGTGGTTCGTCATCTGTACATCAAACGCGATTAGATGGCCTGATCACTTGGTGCGGGGAGACCACCGACCTCGAACGAAACAAACCACAGCCTTGGCCTCTCGCACAGCGAGGGCAATACCATCCTGAAGGGATCCCTGAAAGAACATCGTCACGATCGCATCCTCGTCAGAAACTGGAACTCGAGTGTGATAGCTGGAACGTAGACAAAGTGGAAGACAACGTATACTGCGGAGAAACAGTTCGGGGAAGAGCGTGACCGCCCAGGCCCGAGTCCGCGCCCAAAATCCCAACTGCCGCATCGCATCACTTTTCCCCAAACAGCTTCAACTGCACCATTCATTATGCGGCCGCTTCTCTCGGTTCTGAGGACCACACCGGCAGCATGGTCTCTACCAGTCCGCGCTGTCCGAAGTCCCAACCCGTGGAAACTCGATTCCATCTGCTCCAGATGCCGCATACAACAGAAGCGGCAGTTCACGCAGTCGCGCCGCTTGACCGATCAGAATGCCTTTAGTGTAGATCACCCGGCCAAGCTGGTACGTGTGAACCAGAAGCATGGGCCTGGACTGATCATTCTCGGTATGTTACCTTCCAATCCAACCGTCCCCCAATATTCGAACACTGGCTGACATACAATTCTCGTCCAGCCCTGATCCCAATTATCGCCTTTGGCCTAGGAACATGGCAAGTCCAGCGCTTGGATTGGAAAACCAAGCTCGTCGCCAAATTTGAAGATCGCCTAGTCAGACCACCGCTCCCGCTGCCGCCGCGAATTGACCCCGAGGCAATCTCAGAGTTCGACTACCGCCGCGTCTATGCCACCGGCACCCTCCGCCACGACAAGGAAATGCTGGTTGGACCTCGCATGCGTGACGGCGAGGATGGGTTCATCGTTGTGACTCCGCTTGAGCGCGAGGGCCAGAGTACGGTGCTCGTGAACCGTGGTTGGATTCCGAGGAAGCTGGCGGATCAGAAGGACCGGCCGGATGGTGTACAGAAGGGGCAGGTTACGGTGGAGGGGCTGCTGCGTGAGCCGTGGAAGAAGAACATGTTTACGCCGGAGAATAAGCCGGAGGAGGGCAAGTTCTATTTCCCGGATATTGAGCAGATGGCCGAGTTGAGCGGGAGCCAGCCTGTTTGGATTGAGGAGACTATGGGTAAGATTTATTGCCTGATACATGCTCTCGGGCACTGCTAACTTGTTCCTTTCCAGTGGCTGATCTCCTTGAGGCTTATGATCGCCAAGCGAAGGGTATTCCCATTGGCCGTGCGGCGGAAGTCAATTTGAGGAACAACCATGCGCAGTACATCTTCACTTGGTAAGTCAAGATAATCCATCCAAGAACCGTGTCGATGTTTTTGGACTGGTCATGACCCCAAAGCTATTGAACGGGTCGCTAATGCTTCATAGGTATGGCCTGTGTCTGGCCACGTCAGTCATGTTGTGGATGCTGGTGCGGAAGAAGCCTAACAGCGAGGCCATGCGCCGAGTCCGCCAGAACCGCAACTGGTAGTTAGGTTCAAGCCGCTTTTTTTTGCATTTCCCATGGGTGCTTGGAGTTTTGTTTGGGTTGATCTTTTCGTTGAATCATTCATGGAGGCATAGCCAGTCTCATATCCTGCTGAAGCTCCTTGGGCAAATGCTTCTGAGCCAAGGAGAACATCGTCGTCGAACTGTTGATATGACGTTGCCTGGGGGTAGTCAGCAAACCATTTCGATCATGGACATGCAGCAAAACCAACCTTTTCATGAGCGTTGAGACGTCGCTCTCGTCAATAGTCTTGCGTCCCGCGTGCTTGGAGTATGCAGCCAGATCCTGGCTGACCTGCTCAAAGTACCATGAAGACGCCTGTTCGATTGCAGCCATTGCGGCTTTGTTGATCTTCGCCTTTGATCCGCCTTTCGTATGCGCGAAACGGGTGGCCAGCTTCTTGACCACTCCTGCGGGCAAGTTCGGAATAGGAATTCCATGTCTGGAAATTTTCTTCTGCTTGGTCTGCACGGCTGCACCCTCATCTCGCAAGCCGCCTCCAACAATTCCCGGGCTCTCGCTCGGGGATGCTGGCGGGGCTAAGTCGAGGCCGAAACCAAAGCCACCACCGACATCATTATCATCATCTGATGGAGGTGTCCTAGGGATCGGTTGGATATCTCCTGCAGTTAACTCGAATCCTTCCCCTTCGCCCTGGTTTTCAATCATGGGATCATCAATCGCAGGTGCATTTGGAGATGGAAAGTCCAGATCGAAATGGAACCGGCCCAGATCCTCCGTTTCTCCACTATTTGTGATATATTAGCCCAATTTGTACCATAGACAATTCCAATATCTTGAGAACTTACCCTTGGGCAAAGTCACCTCCACTGATCATCGTATCGTCGGCCTCGTCGTCACCACCGAGGATGCGCGTTCCTTCGCCTGCATCAGATTCACTATATAATGGAGCGCGGAAGTCCTCGCTCAACCTCCCAGCGCGACTGTACATTGACAATCTATCTCGGTCTCTCTCGCTCATCTCTTTGCGCGGGTATTCAACAGAGCGGTAAGTGATATCATCATCAAAGGCAGCAGACATCCGCGGTGGCGGGGTTGGTTCGTCGCTTCCCTCCTCTGATCCCTGGATCGGGAGAGATAGTCGCGGTGGCGCCTCCTCTGGCTCGTTATCCATTTGCTCGAACTCATCTATAGGAGCCTCCTCGGGCTGCGGCTCATCCTGGGGCGAGGATTGGATCGGTCTGGAAACGGGCGCGAGTGCTATATCATTCAACTCGTTAATTCCATCTTCAAGAGCCACAATTCCGTGCATTGACGTGTTGCTTGTTCGTTCGTACCTTTCCCGAGGTTCTTGAGGATATCAAAAGTAGTCTCACGCTGCATGCGACCACTTCGGCGACGGTCGCGACCTGGAGTGTTTGCAGCTCGCTGCTGTCGAGCGCGAAGCCCATATGGCGTTGACGGGGCGATCGAAGCTCTAGCCCGAGGTGTGAGTCGAGAAGCTGACCGCTGGCCGGACGGAGTCGCAGTTGTGACGAGTCGACTCGGCGTAAGAGGGTAGCGCGTGTGACTGGGGAGACGCTGAAGCTATAGAAATTCTGTCAGGAAGCCGAAATCTGCGCGCTCCGTGGTCAGCCACTCACTCCTGTCAATGTTGTTTCTCCAGACGGAGTACTCGTCCCAACACCCGAGTTGCGCAGTGACCGGCGGTCACGCGGCCTCGGGGTAGACATCTCCTGGGTTGGAACGCGAGTAGGGGTTAAATCATCAAAGAATCCAGATAAACGTGTGGTCGAGTTATAGACAAGAGAGTGGCAATGTGGAAATGTCGAAAGTCGAGTGCTGAAACGAGTGTTTGCGAAGCGCGTCTTTGAATAACATTGCGGGCCCGCATGTGATTGGTTCCGTGTTATCGATAAGGAATAGCTGACTCAGCCACCGTTTTTGCGACTTTTTTTGCGACGCTCGACTTTCGCCTCGTTGCATTCGCCCATTGACTCTTGATTTACTCGATTTGAGTGTCGTGAGCTATATTCAAGATGGTCGACGCACCTGCCCAGAAGGGGCTTTCGAACAAGCTCGACAAGAAGCGCAAGAGACAAGCCGACGACTCTACGAAGCAGGACAAGCCCGAGACAGCACCTGCAACTTCGGCATCCGCAGATGGCCCTACCAAGAAGAAGCGCAAGCAGAAGAAAACCAAGAAGCAGCAAGCGGAGCACGAGGCGAGAATGCAGGATCGCCAAGACGGCATTGACCAGTCGATTGGGAAAATGGATGGGCGTTTGCTGGCTGATTACTTTGTTCAGCGAGCAAAGAAGGTGGATAAGGAATTGTCGGCGGTTGAATTGAATGATATGTCTGTGCCAGGTATGAAACTAAATGCGATATTGAACAGGATGAAGGCCGTGTACTGACGAATTGCAGACTATGTCTTCCTCGATACATCCTCGTTCACCGAGTCCAGACACTTGGACAAGCTTCCTGATTTCCTCAAGGCATTCAGTCCCAAGGGTGCTGACCTGTCAAAGGCTTCGGAGGAGAAGGGTACCCCTCATACACTGGTTGTGGCTGGCGCTGGACTCAGAGCGGCCGATGTGGTCAGGTAAGATAATGATCAATTGCCTAGCCGGTCGTATCAATATCGAAGCTAACAATTGGTTGATATAGATCGCTACGGAGCTTCCAGAATAAGGAGGCGATTGTCGGAAAACTGTTTGCAAAGCACATCAAGCTCGAGGAAGCTAAGCAGTTCCTCGAACGTGCACGGTACGATCGACCGTCCAATAACGGATGAAGTGGAATGTGCATATGCTGACTATTTGTGCAGAATGGGCATTGGTGCTGGTACTCCGGCCAGAATTTCTGATTTGATCGAGTCTGGTAAGAACCACGCCGACATGTTTTAACTACATTTTTGCTGATCTAAATCTGTGTCTAGGAACTCTCAAGCTGAATGAGCTGGAGCGAATTGTCATCGACGGGTCACATATTGATCAGAAGCAGCGTGGTATCTTCGATATGAAGGAGACACACTTGCCTCTCCTGAAGCTGCTCACTCGGCCGGAGCTGCGCGAGCGTTACGACGCTGGGAAGAAGAAATTGCAGATCTTGATTTTCTGATTGCGCCAATACCTTAATGATAGAATTCTCATTTTGAAGAAAAGCCTTTTACCTAGTTTCAGGAATACTTGAACGTAGTCTTAAAACCAAACTTGATTTGACAGAACATATAAGGTCGGCGCAGGATGGATAGCTGACTGCTCAATCAGGAAAGCGGGTGATACAATCTCACCGCCTCGAGCGGACGGCAAAAACGGAATTTCTCTGCGTCTCCGCCCAATTTTTTCGGAGCTAGACTTGCGCATCTTTTACGACAGTTCTCTTCCACCTCAACCTTTTAATCCCTTCCGGTCTTCTCTGATCCGAAGGCAGCCTATAAATCCCAACCACCTCGCCTCGTCTTAATTGACACAAATCTCCAAAATATTCAAAATGGGCGACAAGAAGCGCAAGGTCGTCGAGGACCCTACCGAGCCCATTGCTCCCGAGGGCAAGAAGCTGAAGAAGGAGAAGAAGGAGAAGAAAGAAAAGAAGGAGAAGCGCAAGGCTGAGAAAGAGACCATCGAGGTCGCACCCGCCGAGACTGCCCCGGCGCAGGATGAGGTGAAGGAGAAGAAGGACAAGAAGGACAAGAAGGAAAAGAAGGACAAGAAAGAAAAGAAAGAGAAGAAGGAAAAGAAGGCCGATGCCGAGTCCAGCAAAGAGACCGAGGAAACCCCGCTGTTCACGATAGACACGGAAGGCGACAAGGCCACCAAGGACAAGATCTCGAAGGACAAGAAGGAGAAGAAGAAGCAGGAAAAGAAAGACAAGAAAGACAAGAAGGCCAAGGAGACTCCCCAGGAAGAGTCCGCAAACACCGACGAGGCCGCCGAAGAGACTGCCACCGGCACTGAAGACGCTGCAAACCAGAAGAACTCCCGCTTTATCTGCTTCGTTGGTAAGAACCCATTCTGCTCGGCACACGATCAACAAAATCGAACCGATCACTAACATATCACGACCATAGGCAACCTCCCCTACTCCGCAAACCTGGAGTCTCTCACAAAGCACTTCGAGAAGAATCCTCCCGCCTCAATCCGCGTCGCAACCAAGCCCGAGGCCCCTAAGAAGTGCCGCGGTTTCGCCTTCATCGAGTTCGACAACTACGACCGCATGAAGACCTGCCTCAAGCTTTACCACCACTCCACCTTCGACGACGGCAAGTACCCGCCTCGCCGCATGAATGTCGAGTTGACGTGAGTATTCCAAATCCCTTAAAACACAAAATCATAGTCGACTAACATGAAATTCAGCGCTGGCGGTGGTGGTGCCAATTCCGAGCACCGCAAAGAGAAGATCAGAGCTAAGAACGAGAAGCTCAATGACGAGCGCTCGCGCGACGCCAAGAAGATCAACAAGGATAAGAAGAAGCATGATAAGCGCCCCGCTGAGGGTCCTACTGGTGTTAATGCCGTGGAGGTGCCCGAGGATGACAAGTGGGCTGGTGTGCACCCCAGCCGTAGGCCGCGTGTGATGCAGTAGATGCAGCGTGGGTGAAATGGTTCGATCTGGGACGTTGGCTATACTGATCGACCGCACGATTGGTTGCGGAGTTTGATTCTCCCCGGTATGGTGATATGCTGGAGCTTTTTTTCTTTTGTTACTGTGCATCCTGGGCAAGGGGCAAAAGTCATGTTTTCTGATGAATTGATAGAGGATACCATTTTCCTGTCTTCTGTGCATATTTTGCAATGCCATCGATATTGAATATTCAAACTAGTCCCTCGACTTTTTACCTTTTATCCCATGATGCAATATCAGCATAGACTTGCTTGTCAAATACTAGAATCTATAGGAATCTATACTTTGAACACTCAAGCTTCGAACATCAAGTACACCTTGGAACAATCAACACGATTTCAAAGTACCTAATTCTATCAAGCCAAAATCAACAGACAAGCTTCCCAAGAAAAACAACATGTCAATGGATTCATCAAAAAGAGGCCCACGAAGCCTCTGGCTACCGGACGCCGTATTAACTATGAATTATTCATTATAGCATACGAGAAGAGAGAGGGAGAGCCATGCACCAAAAGGACCTTTACAAGATCATGCATCTGTTCCTCCTTCCAGACTTGGCAGCGGGACGGGGGTTCAGAACAGCCCTGGAAACACATTAGCACATCGGCACAGCCGGAAATTCCGTGCAGAGGTCCGTACCGGATAGCTTCGTCGAACACGCTCTTCAGGTTGCGTTGCGTCAGTGCGGAACACTCAAGGTACTTATGTGCGCGGATCTCCTTGGCTACGCCCAGTGCCTGCTCGTACGAGACAGCCTCCATCTTCCGGGACCGAAGGGCGTCGATGGTGGCGCGGTCGTCGCGGAGGTCCAGCTTGGTGCCGACCAGGATGATGGGGACGTTGGGGGCGTGGTGTTCGATTTCGGGGAACCACTACAAGAGTGTTAACATGGGGGCGGAGTCAGGGTGTGGCTGGGGGTGGGCTGACCTTGGCTCTCACGTTGTCGAAGGACGGCGGGCTGACGATCGAGAAGCAGATCAGGAAGACGTCGGTTTGTGGGTAGGAGAGCGGGCGCAGGCGGTCGTAATCTTCTTGTCCGGCTGTATCCCACAGTCCCAAGCTGATCGGTCGCCCGTCGACCATCACGCTAGCCGTGTAGTTGTCGAAACTGCGGTGGGGGCGGGTATTAGCATCGGTGGCACTTTTTGTCGGGGGTTTATCGTGGGTTGCATGGCACATACACGGTCGGGATGTACTCTCCGGGAAAGGCATTCGTTGTGTAAGAAATCAGAAGACATGTCTAGAGGTCGGGGGATGTCAATTTCTCGCTCGTCTTGGGATGGTTGGAGTCGTCCGAACTGACTTTGCCCACTGCACCGTCACCCGTCACCACGCACTGTGATCTTCAATTAGCTGGCGCGTTCGAGACGAAGCTCGAAGCTCGGAGCAGCTTACCTTCAGCGATTGAGTAGCCGGACCCGTCGCCATGATTGCGAAAGTATGTACACCAAAAAAGGGGGCGACGATAGGGGGAGGTTCACTCCGGAGGAACCGACAACACACAGAGCTCAGAGAAGAGCTTTAGGGGAGAAAAAACAGAAGGGGGAAGGAAGAAACGGGGTGGAGAATGGAAGAGCTCGAAAAAAGGAGGGGCGTTGCAAATGGGTGGAGGTCGAAGAGGCGAGCGGATCAACTTTGGATGAGAGTGAGTTTCCCCACATCCTTTTATTGATCTCTTACTCGTTGAGGCAGAATATACAACTCCTATTTACATATACCCAGCCCCCCTATGCCACAAGACTGGTGACGAGATTACCTGTTTGGCCACCGCGCAGTAACCCTACACCAATCGCATGAGAAATCCGTCACGAGTCAAGGCGCAACTGCACCGAATCAGAGCTTCCTCTATTTATATCATTTTCGTATCCGTCCCTAACACGTCCTCCGGGGTGATGAGTTATCTACAGCCGCGACACTCCCCGCGAACCGCCCAGGAATTGGCCCGCGCGTAGCTCCCAGGGCTTCGCCAATAGACCGGGAAGCTTGGCGGCGAATTCGCGAAAATAGGGGGCTTTGGTGTGCGCCTGGACCGCGGCCTGGTTTTTGTATCTGAACGGGTGTTAGTGCTGCACGGTGGCGGTTTTTCCTAGTTCGGGAATTATGGCCGAGGCACGGCCTGGAAGGGGGCCGAAATGGAAGATGTTCGCTATTGCAACTTGTGATCAATGGTGATGGACTGACCTCTCCACGATGATGATCTCTTTCTTGTCTTGGAAGGCGTAGTAGAGCAGTGTGTCGGGTTCGTGTTCTTGGACCTGCTTGGTGACGCCGGTGACGAGGGCGGCGACCTGGATAGCACATTAGTATGTGGTCAAGCTGATCATAGAGTATCATGCGAACCTCATCGAAGTTCTCCGGCTTGGGAGTAAGCACTGCGGCAACGTTGAGTTCGGACATGGTCTGCGTCACGATATCAGTATGGGTGGGCTCTACTATGCTGCAGAGGAGAAATGTAAACGGACTCGGGAATTTATCTAGCAGAAAGCCAGGGGATGGAGTGTTCTTGTAGAAAGAATCCTGGTCGGATAACCGAGTCTTCAGTCAAGCCGAACGCATCTTCAACCTCGGGCCATGCGATGTGGGGCGTTGAGGTGATCAGCTCCGATTTCTCCGGATCGTCTCGTGCCTTATCGCCATTTTATGGGTTTTGGTAGTTCAAAATGCTACAATTGTTCGTTATCTTTTCAAGCAAATACATGTGCCAAATATGGAATCTCCTAGACCCTGAAGCATCGTCAATTTGAATCAGTTTCTTCATCCCTTCTCCGCGCAACTTGGTCCCTCTACATTCTCTTTCTAGACGACATCTAATGCAAGAGCCAGGAAATGTACTATGGCGAACGGAATCCAACATATCCTCGGATGTATCGTGAGGCACGTTAACCCGACTTTTCTAGACTCAAAAAGATCTGCTTCATGTCACTGTCCGACTCCAATTGAAATGTTCATCGATAGGTTTGCGGATTTCCAAGTCATGCTTCTTGCCGAGCCCGACAAGTATTTCAAGTATCTCAGGCGCTAGATATGCCCGCTGCGAGCGTTACATTCTTTATCACGTCCAGGGTAGGATCCAAAGGTATGATGAACGCGGTGTTATCCTCAAGGATGAACTCCAAGAATTCCGGCGAACCTTCACCAAACAAGCATGCAAAGCTCTTTGACTGATTTTAAGACCTTGTTCATGTTTCAAAATGACCTTCAAAAAAATGATTGCCACCATATTACTATGATACCACTGCTTCCAGGACTTCATCACTGATTGGAAATGCAGGATCTCGAAAGAGAAGAATTTGAAGGTCTTCCGCGTTGTGGCAGGCGGCGAGCATTGTGTCAGATCTTTTGATATTAGCACCGGCATTCAAATGGGGCCGGAAAAGGGCCGCATTCTGTTTTCTTCGTCGCCGTAGATCGCGATACTTGAAACGCACACAATCACTGATGAAGTGGGCAAGGTTTGAGGGTACTCTCCGAGTAAGAGTTCGACCAATTCTGCCCCTACGTACTCAATATCTGCAAGTACCTCAAAGATGTCGGGTGTAATGCTAGAGAGGGGCTGGTGCTGCAGCAGAGCCTCGAGAATACCAGTCTTTACATCATACGCGTGCTCTAGAAGCATATTTAGGCCCTGGTCGACCCTCCGGGTTGGTGGTATTCGCAAAAGTTCTGACTTTGTTTGGGGAAGAGTCTCCAAAATCCAATGATCCTCGAGCCCTGCGGCTAAGATGAGATCCCCTGATGTTACTTGCAAGCCTTTACCGCGCTGCAAAAGTAGATCGGGTATCACCCGCTGACGGTACTGACACTTGGCTCTTTCAGGATGCAGAAGATCGGCTCCTTGGGCATGGCATGAGTTAGCCCTAGGTATCTACTTCCCTATGAACGTTATTTTCTGACAAAAAAAACCCCAATTTGTCGCAAAATAAGCTATACACTAGTCTTAAAACATCATTTGCATGAACATCAAAAAGACATTAAAGATAGCACTGGGAGAATATACAAAAGCAGATCTTCAACTGATCACAGCCATGTGACTGTTATTTGACGCGGCGGTCCAATTTTTGACTTGGGTTTCAAAAGGTTGGGCTTTTCAGTTAGGGCTCAATATCGCCGACCCAATGAGGGCCTAATTGAAAGTCGGGACACGTGGATTGAATTACCGGCATTGTGAAGAGTCGTAACGGTGCGCCGCATGCGTCACGTAAACGACAGCCACTCCTATCTGTGAAAACCTCCCGTCAAGTTCTTCAGGACAAACTAGAATTGTGGCTCAGCATTGCGTTGCCCCTGACGCCACAACCTTGCTGTGCGACAGGCTTCCACATTTCCGTGGACTGACCTCATTGATCGTCGACTAAGCCGCTCCCCACCGCCAAGCCACCGATTTCAGGTGTCATCGATAATAATAGCTCCTTCCCCAAACTTCCCCTTCTTTCATATCCTTCACACACACTCGCAGGAAGGCTGTCTCTGTGACAATGTCAGATACAGCACTTCCAGAGCCTACGGCTCTCCCCAACCTGTCCGATGCGCCCCCATCCAGCTCCGGTCGCGAGTCGGCCCACTCGGGGGCGGTTGACCAAGCGGCCATCCCCGACGAGCTCAAGGCCCGCCTGGACAAGGTCACACACTCTGAGGTGAGTCGTCATACGCGGGCTCAGCTTGGGATCCGCGCAATATGAAGTCCGTGGGAAGTCAGTGCTAACGAGGAACGTGTCGCATGCAGATCGGAATCACCACCCTCCTCACTCGATTGAAGCAGAGCGTGGCCTCCGCCAGGGTGAGCCCCCGCCTCGACAACCCGGATGGAAACACATGTGCGCTAACACTTTCCGACAGGATTTCTCGTCCTTCCTGAAGAAGAGAGGAGCTCTAGAGGAGGAGCATGCCCAGGGGCTTCGGAAGCTGGCCAAGGCCATTAATGACGCCGCGAACCGCAACGAGAACCGCCAGGGAACATACAGCTCCAGCTATAAGGATATCCACCGAATCCAGGAGCGCATGGCTGACCATGGTCTGCAATTCTCGGTTTCCCTTCAGCAAATGGCGGATGACCTGCACGAGCTCTCAACCAACATCGAACGCGGTCGCAAGCAGTGGAAGCAGACTGGATTGGCGGCGGAGAAGAAGGTCGCCGATGCGGAGGCTCAGGCTGAGAAGGCCAAGGCCAAGTACGACTCGTTCGCTGAACAGTATGACCGTGTCCGCACGGGTGACAAGGCGGGCGGGAAGTTTGGCCTGAAGGGTCACAAGTCGGCAGCTCAGCACGAGGAGGATCTTCTGCGCAAGGTTCAGAATGCGGACAGCGATTATCAGGCCAAGGTCCAGGCAGCGCAGGCTGCTCGTCAGGAATTGGTGTCGACTCACCGACCTCAGGCCGTTCACAATCTGCATCTGTTGATCTCGGAATGCGATTCTGGCTTGACACTGCAGCAGCAGAAGTTTGGTAAGTGATTGTTATGGAATTGGGATGAATATTGTGGTCTGACGAATTGTAGCTACTTTCAGCGAGAAGTTGCTGCTCGGCCAGGGTCTTTGTATCAGTCCTCTGAAGGCTGGTGCTGAAACCGGACCGTTAGCGCCCAAGAGCCTCGCGGAGGTTGTGCGTCAGGTCGACAACCAAAAGGATTTGCACGACTACATCTTGAGCCATGAAGGAAACCCAGGTGCTGTTACCTCGGATCAGGTCCAATATGAGCGCCACCCAGTATGTTGATCACGTCCATTGAACGAACTCCAATTGCTGACCTTTTTTAGACTCTCGGCGGAGCAGCTGCTTCATCGCAGCCAAGCACTGCGAACAAGCTACCGCCTACCATTCCCGCTTCGTTCTCAACACCGAGCGTTTCTTCGCCCAGCCAACCGCCCCAGCCTACGGACCGCTACCAGCCCACCCCGTATCCGGGATCCGCAGACCCCAGTTCGGCAAATCCGTCGGGTCAGCTACCCTATCAGCCCTCTGCGCCGCCTTCCAATGACCCCACGCCGGTTGCTGCGCCTATGCCTGGCCCTCCTCCAATGGAGAAGGGCTCCCTACCTCCCTTGAAACCAGTCTTCGGCGTGCCTTTGGAGGAACTGTATGCTCGGGATGGAACTGCAGTGCCATTCCTCGTTTATCAGTGCTTCCAAGCCGTTGAGCTGTTCGGTCTGGACATGGAGGGTATCTACCGACTCTCCGGCAGCGCCAATCACATTAGTCACATGAAGGCCGTTTTTGACAATGGTGAGTTGTACGTCATTGTTTGCAGAAGAATCACGCACTAACTTCCATTCGAAGACTCGTCACAAGTCGACTTCACCAACCCCGAGAACTTCTACCACGATGTCAATAGTGTTGCCGGGCTGGTGAAGCAGTTCTTCAGGGATCTGCCAGACCCCCTTTTTACCTTGCAGTACTATACCCAGTTTATCGACGCAGCCCGTAAGTCTTGATCCCGCCGTTCATCTTATTTCAACGCTGACCACGACTCAGGGATTGATGATGATATTGCACGCCGCGACTCGCTACATGCCCTCATTAACAGCTTGCCCGATGCCCACTACGCCACTCTCCGTGCCATCATTCTTGTATTTCCATCCAATACCCTTGAAGCGAAACATCGTACTTACCGCACGGCAGCACCTCAACAAGATCCAAGAACACTACACCGAGAACCGCATGAACGCCGGCAACCTGGCCATCTGCTTCGGGTACGCCCTTCCCCAAATCTTGTACTCCCTTCCCTCGAACCCCAAGCTAATTATGTTCCAGACCAACCCTGATGGGCGCCAACTCCGGAGGCAACATCGCCGACGCAGGCTGGCAAGTGCGCGTGATTGAGACGATCCTCAATAACACCTTCCAGATTTTCGACGATGACTAGATCCTCGACGACTGATCTCCCTCACGATATGCTTTTTCTGCTTTTCTTTGTCTTGATATCCCTAGGTTACTGAATTTGACCACCTAATACTGGTCCCGTTCCTCCTGGCTGACTGTTCATGGCATTGTCGGTCCCCGGCTTCGCGTTCTTTGGCATGATCCGGTCCGATTTATGTGTCTGCTGCGTTTTCAAAATGAGGTCTGTGGTTGCATGCCTAATGTTGTACTGTACATATACATGAGTGTTTCTTTCTGAATGAGGTATCTCTTTTACCTTGACAGGGTATTTTCTATTAATTTGCAGATCGTAGTACATCTAGTGGAATCATTCCGTGGATGAAAATAGTAGGAAGGCTTTAAGTTGATGGCATATTTTGCTATGGTACATGGAATGGTAGATGCTCTATAAACTGGCTTGACAAAATCGGCGAGGAAAGGCAAGGTTGGCGCCGAAGCATTCGGCGAGAAGAGAGCGAGGGCAATTGATCGTAAAACAAGGGGAAGAAACGAAGTTCGCCGACTCCCCAACCCTTTGGGATATACAGTGCCGGCTCGGAGGCCGGGTAGGGGAGCATTGAGCCGTTTATTTGCCCATCGTGGATTTCATGGCCTCCCACCGTTCCATCATGGACAAACCGGGCTGGAAGAATGGGTCGGCCTTGATGACCTCCATGGTGGTCGGGTTCGCGTGGCCCCAGATCCGCCATCCAGATGGCTTTCCATGCCAGATAATCTGTTGGATGACGATATATTCGCGGCAGTCCTGCACCTTCTTCGGCTCCTCAATGCGCTCTGCTGATTTGCCACGGCCCACGATCGTGGCCTTGCCCATCGTCTGTCGGGATGTCATGCGGAAGACAATCTGGCGGATACCGGAGTTGGGGATTTCGGGGATCTTAGTCGCGCGGTCTGCGAGAATGCGGACACCTCTGAAGAGAGTGTCGGGCTGGCGGAGCCAGCGAACGCGGCTCCAGGTAACCTTTTGATTCGACGGGCGGTTCTCGACTTGGTTGACGAGTTTGTTGGCGAGACCGTCACAGCAGAGGGCGCGCAGAGCGGAAACGTCGCCGCTAGAACAATGTCAGCCATGAACTGGAGAATGACAGGTCTGTATGCTTACTTTGCAAGAGCAGTGTACATATCCGCATGCAACTGACGCGCAATCTGTCGGCGCTTCCCCCACAGCATAGAATCGCCCATCTTGTCCTTATACGTATAGAACGCCACACTGCGAGGAAGTTAGCTTTGCTGCCATTGCGTCTTTCCCACCCGTGGTCCTCGAGAATGCGAGGCCTCGAGCTGGACTCCAGCAAGGAGAGAGAATGACAAACCTGGCAAAGTTCGAAAAAACGTTCTTAATCCAAGTCCATTGCAGGTACCATGCATCTTTCGGGTTCGTAAAGATCGAGGGCATATCGCGCCACAAGGGGCGCACAAACGTTCCCGGCAACAACCCAATATCATTCGGCATTGCCTGTCCTTGCATCGCATCCTTAGCGCGGGATTTCATCGACGGCTGCGTTACGCTCGGCGCGTTAAAGTTTTGAGACCGGATTGCCGCCCATCGTTGAGGCACCTGCGAAAAGGACCGGATGTGCGAGATTGGGGCGTATGGTTGAGGTATCATGATGCTTGGACGTGCGCTAGAAGCAAGGCTGCCCACGGGCAGTCGTAGTGAGGACGCCATGGCGAGCGGCGACTCAAGATGGATGTGTTCTGTCGCGAATCGGCGGCGGAGGATAAAATCCGCAGATCACGTGAAGACCTCCGCGCTTTCCATGTATGGGGCTCTGCCACAGCGCGGTCCTCACTGACGGTTCTCACTCTCCCTCTCCACTCCTCGTCTTGTTTTCGAATCGGTAGGTGCCTGTTTCGCGTTGGAAACTACTGCGCCGTACGAAGTTGCACCGGGGCGATTTTACACGTGTTCATTTCCTCTTTGCAAATTATCAATTAGGGGACTCGTGACCACATCGACACCCCAGTTTCTGAAACAAACACGCCGGCTTTTCACACAATACTTCTCGAGCGGCCTCGACCCTTCATATAACCGTTCCCAATCGTTGCGCGGCGGCCGTATTTGCCGCGATTGTGTTTAAAGGCTGGCTTTTCAACGCAATGCCTCTCCTCCGCCCTACTCTCCCCCCAGCGCTGCGCCTAGCCAGCCAGACCAGAACCTGAGACGGCCGAGTGTACCACCAGAGCTCCACCGGCCTCCGGTGTCAGTACCGGCAGGCCAATTCGCCAAAGAGGTGGCTTCAGAACACTTAACTGGCGTCCCGCCGTCCTCGACCTCCTCGAGATCCCATACCCCACACGGCAGCGATGCTAGCCAGGCTGGTTCCTCACCGCTTCATCCGCGAGTGGCTGTTATCTTGGGCGTTGACCGCCGGTGGTACATACCTCTTTTGGTCTGCCGGGCATTGAGCACGTTGCCCGCCGCTTGGTGGGGCTTGCGATGTGCTTTTACATTCCTGGCTGAGTTATTGCATATTCGGCCGGGAATAGGACGGGAGGGTTGGGCGGCGGCGATTATCGGGAGTGTAGGACAGGAGTGGGATGTTGAGAGGAGGTTTAGGGTTACTGAGGTGGCATTGGCTATTATGTGGGTATGTAAATCTTGCGTGGGAGTTGATGCTGCTGGGGACATCTTGATATGTCCGTCCAGCTTTATTGATCTACGTGCTAACTTCCTTTCCAGTGCTGCGCATCAGCATATCTTTCCTATTTCTTTGCTGATTGTATGATGTCTCGATGGTCAGTCTCCCATTCTGAAATCCCATGGCCTCATCGTTAACCCTCTCAGGCTTCTGAATTACACACCGCCAGCTGTTGTAATCCGTCTTTTAACAACGAACGGCTTAATTGCGTACATCACATCCTGGGTTCTCTATTTATCCGGCGCATCTTCTGACCCCCGACTTCTTCTCCCGGCTTGGATTTCCATTACCACTGTAAGTTGCACACTAGTCATGTCTCTTCCATTTACTAACAACTCTATCAGACCTTAACATTCGTCTACCACGCAACCCAAAACCACGCAACAATCAAACGCGAAACCGCAGCGTCACTACTGGTCGTCTCCGTGGCCAGTTTCCTAAGCATGTCCTCGCTGCTCCTTCAGCTCCACCTGACCCGCGAAAACGAGCCAGAAGTCCCCGTCTTCGTGATCACTCGCAAGCTGTGGGACTGGGCGGTTGCAATCTTCCTGCGCATGCGTGTTGCTGATAATCGGATTGCTGGGGAATTGTAAATTGCTGCTTCGCACTTCTGGGCGTTTCTTTTTCATTCATGGGCCTATCCAGCTTGAAGGGCAGCGGAACGCCTTGAAGCTTGAAGTGGGAGATAGGGTTGGATTATTGTATATTTTCGGGATTCTCCTATTCATCGGGCTTGGTCCATGGATGGCAAGCTGTTTCGTTCTTTTTTATCCATCGATCTTTGAGAGATCTAATCTATTTCTTTCTGTTTCCCCTGGCGGTACATGGGATAACTGTTGTATAAGAGTCGCACGTAGAAAGAGGTCTTACAATGTGTGCACATATTAAACCCTTACATAGCGGGCCACAGGTCGACATACGGCGACCAAACGGACTACAACTACAGACTATAGCTCTGAGCGCGGTTCAATGAACAGTTCATATTCCTTGTCTCCAAGCAATAGTACTGAGAGCAGCGCAAGGGATAGCAATGAGTGAGACAAAAGGAAAAGAATAAGGAAGACGCAAGAGACCGACAATCGGTTCAGCAGAGCACGCCCCGAATTCAAAACCGAATCTCCTCGAGCCCGGTCAAGAAAGTGACAATTGCAAAGCAATGTCATTCTGTGGCACGGGCAGTCCCATAAGGAAAGAAAAACAGATGGAAAAAGAGCACACACGAAAGTGGTGAATGAAAAATAAAGCATCGTCTGTCTATGCAGATATGGGTATCTACCAACGCCTCGTTCCGTCATGATCCCGTCCTAAAAATGAATAAGCGTCGAGAGAATGAGCACGCTTTCCCGTCGATCATGCTTGAAAAAAAAACCAACGAGGGGTGTGCCATGTCGACAAGGCCCGGTCTAGCAGGCCGGGCACTGAGTGGTGGATAGAGAAAGCAGGTTTGACCGAATGAGGGACCGGCTACGGTGCATGGCCGGCGGTTGAACGGCACATTGCGTGCTCCCTCTCTCACCACTCACAGGGCAAACAAGACCGGGAGGAAGAGACCGGAACAAGGTTTGGTGACGGCGACGGTGACGGGATTAGAAGCCGTGGACCTTGATGGTCTTGGCATCAAGCTCGAGGCCTTCCTTCTTGTCGGTCAAGAATTCCTGGACATCCTTACGCTGATCTCCTTGCAGCTGAATCACCTCACCCATCTCAGTGTCTGCGACGATGGTGCCATTGCAGGCTAAATTTGGGTTAGCAACCGTCGATATGACTAAAAGAGGCGACGGCGATGAACATACCAAACTTCTTCTTGATGACCTTGAGAATCTTCTTCTGGTCGAACTTCTTAGGAAGACCCTGAACAGTGGTCAGAGTCTTACGACCATTGCGCTCTGTATGTGAAACGGCGGTTAGCACAAGCCCCCTGTAAATTGCCGATGCGGGGCGACCGTGACAGTCGACGGCAAAAAGGGAATATGGGAACGTACGCTGAATCCGTATGTGGATGTAGTCTTGAGACTGTTTAGTCTCGCCGGTGTCTTCGTCGGCGTCGGCGAAGGGGTCTGTGAGAAAGACTTTGTTAGCCCCGGTCAAGTACTAAATTTACCCCGCCGCAGCGATCCACGCCGAGGCGCTGAGGCTGAGCGATGAGCGCCGCAAACATAGACAGCCAGGTTTTGTAGGCAGTTGTGAGAAGCCTCTTTGACTGGCCTGACAGGACCTGGAGGCCAGAGAGCGGTTGGGTTGAGGCGGACTCGACACGCGCTCACCGGGGGAGGGCAAAGTGGCGACCCAACTTACCATGGGACTTGAGGTTTTCGATGGACATAAACTCGGCCTTTTGTCGTGAAAGCCCTTGAAAGCGGTTTTTGTAAGGAAAGCGGGAGGGGAGATGTTATATCTCTGTGAGGAGGAACTGTGGCGAGAGAGAAGAGTGGGTTGAATTGATGGTCGAAGAAGAATCAGAGAGAAGAGCGGCAAAGCCTTTTGAGCCCGCTCACGTTGTGGGGAAGGCGGTGTGTGACTAAGCTTGTCTCTGGCCTTTTGTACAGCACATTTCACACTCCCACGGGTTTACCTGTCTTTTAGATGATATTCTGTTTCAATGCTCTTGAATTAATGAAATTAAACTGTCGCCGTATGTGACTACAAGAAATGAAGCCTTTGGTGTATTGGTACAGCACGAACCCACGAGCACACCGACATCCCACTACTGAAATGCCTGATCTGACGAGCAGCAGTTGACAGCATCTGCAACCAGAGTGACTTGAAATAAGAGATACAGAGAATAGTATTATACTCGTAGAAGTCGCATATAAAGGTATCACAGAGGTTCGAGGACTCGGTCTCGGACTCACGGAGAGGGCGCAGGGGGTCCAGCAGCGGTTGCACCCTTGGCGGCCTGTGGAGGCATGAAGAGAGGGAAGTAGGTCTGTCGAAATGGTTAGGATGGTATCGCGGGTGGACAGTTGGAGATAAACGTACGACAATCAGGGCCATCACTAGAGTGTCATGAGATTAGCTCGGTTCATCCAAAAAAAGGGAGGGGATCACGAACGGGACATCCCAACGGACAGATAGCCTGGGGTAGCAGCAGTCTTCTTCTGCTCCTCGGACTCGCCGAGCCAGGACTGGAGGGAGAAGACGAAGGACACCCTGGATCAGCGTTAGAGGACTCGGACGTATCTGGGGACGTAGGAGCGGAAGGTGCTCACCATCCAATCATTCTGTATCGCGCTGCTGTTAGCAATGTTGCCTGATTCAATCAAGAGCTCATCCCGCTCACCTGTTGCGTGTGAACATCTAGAATGGTCGCATGTTAGCAAAGTCCTGGGAGGTCCGGGCGCCATCCACGTACCGCTGCCATCGGCATGGTGCTCGACATGGTGCCTATTTGGAAATGCCAGTCAGATCCTCATTCTCCTTTTTTGTCCCGCTCACGGTGCGATGCGCCACCGGTGGTGTGGATGCGTACCGGAGATGTCGCCATCGTTGCTGCTCTTGGGCGGGTCGACGTAGGGGATCGCTGTGATGGTGTCACATTAGCCAGAGAACTGGGTAGAGAGTTTGGACGGAGACGTACCAAGATCAGCCCTCCGCATGTCCTTGTTTGACGCCATTGTGAATTGAGTGGTGGTGGGTGGGAGTTGGGAAGTCTCGAAGTCGCCCCCCAGTGCCAAGAGTCCCTGCCCGAGCGGGACTAGACTCGATGCATGGGGAACTCCGGAAATCGTGGGGACTGCACTGCTACGCATACGGATCGTGATCGTGATTATCATCAATTGTTTATCTACGTGTGCTACGTGTCGAGGATTGAATCCGTCGAATCGGATCGCTGCACTCGGCGATCGCAGATCTCACGACGCGACGAGATGTCGGTGAGAAAGGCGAGAACATTGATGCGGCGGTCGACGTGATGGTTTTACTCGTCGTAGGTCGGTCGACCCCCTAGCAGATGTATTCGAGATGCAGAGCGTGCACGACATGGCATCTCCGAAGACATGTCCATCATTGTGCCACCGATCTTGGCCGGAGCCCCCACCGATGATAGCCAGACCGTATGATAGCCTCACGTGTAATGCAACGACCCAACAGTGGGCCGAGACGGAATGTGGACAGACCCCGCGAGATAAGCGTTCGGAGAACAAACAAAAGCGCCCATAGAACAAAGAAAGCGGCCCGGAACGAGCCCGGAGCCCAGGTTGATTGCTTTGGTCACAACACGGGGCTGATCCGGCTTCCGCGGTGTGGTCTTGAAGGGACAAGGAATGGGCTAATTGAGGAAGGCGGATGCGAGGCCATTAGCCGTAGCCGACGGAGTTATCTGGGGGCCCAGGAGTACGAAAAAAGGTTGCTGTGGCACCTTCCGATACCTTAGCCGATACCTGACGGGGCGTGGGCGATGTATCACCCGAGATTCCGTCGCTAGATTTAGTTCCATCGATAGTACTCCGTAGTCAATGGCCCGTTTAACCCATTTAGCCCGTTTAGTCCATTTGGTCCGATTCCTATGTAGGCGCTCGGCAACGACTCGGCCCAAGGGTTTAGTAAACCCGAATTTGGGGACGTTGCTAATTGCATACGGAATAGAAACTCGGCATAGGCATGAAACCTGTACCCCGTAACAGTCGCGTACAACATACCACAATCATGCAATACCAAATGTGGAGGTAGAAAAACCCCCCGTCGATCGTTAGTGGAGACGAACGGAGGGCGACGGAGTGCTGATTTGGCCCGTGACTTACGTTATCCGTAAACACCTTCCCCGATAACGCCTTCTTCTCTACTCTTTACTGTTTAATCTGATCCGATTTTTAACCCTCCTCTCCCTTTCTCCTACCCGAGGACCCAAGCGGTAGGGCCCTTAACCCCGATTCGCCCTTCACCAGCCCGCCACGTCTACCGAGGTGGTCAATCATCTCCTAGCGAACCTAGGGCACCCGATGCTTTGAACGACTCGAGATCCTCCATTTCGCATCTTGCATTTCAATCGATACATATCGCGAGCCTTCCTTTCTACTGCCGACTCTTGGGCGATTCAAATGACACCACTCCAACTATACACCGATCCAAAATGAGCCGAAGATGATACCCCATTCCTCTGCCGGCGGCCAATCGTGGGGCCACCAGATGCGATCATTCAATGGTGGTCCCGGACGGATTGATCTGGCGCAGATGTCTGGCCAGTATGATCCTCCCTCGGACGTCTTCCAGCCGGCTCCGTCGCAAGCCCAGCCGCCACCCAAGACTCGTCAGTCTGCCGTCGTCGACCTGACGGGTGGACTCGAGTCCCACGACAGGGAACCTCCGCCGAAGCGACCTAAGCTCGATATTTCTGGTGGATCGAATGTGGGGGATGCGGTGATAGTGAATAGTGCCGAGGCAAGGAGTACCCCAGGAAGCGCGGGCTCGCGACCTCCCCTCTCCTGGCGCGGCCGTCCGCTATGGTCTTTCCAGGCTGTCATGTCGGAAATCCCGGGCAGCGAGAGCCGGGGTGATAACGCGACTGGATCCAGACCATCTTCGCCGCCCCCGTTTCCTGCTCAGCCTTGGTGTAGCGCCGTACCCGATCGTCAAGTTACCGGGTCCAGATCTCGGGACAGCTCTCCGGACAAGAAGGTCCAGACAACTCCGTACCGCATTCAAACCCCTTCTGTGGCTCCAATACTCAAGGGCGAGAGTGAGTGAAGGCGTTCCCCAGGAATGGCTGCATAGCTAATGTCTGTATTTAGAAGTTGCCGATTTCACCCCATGGACCGGTAATCATCCCGAAGACGTTCTAAATGAGCAAACCGCGAAGCAAGGATATTATGATCGTACGCAGGTCTCTCAGAATGAATCCAACACGGCTCGCCCTGCATTATATGGTCAATTAAAACACCGCACGAGCCTGCACGTGCTTTCCTCCGTCTTTGCCGCTGCCTTGGAGAAACGACAGAAATACAACACGGTGCATGCGCCATCGAGCTTCAAGCCCCCACCAAGAGTCACCCTCACCGACAATAAACGGGAGGCCTGGCTCCGAGATCTTGCCAATCCATCTGTACCGCTGCGCAAGCTGAGCCGGACCATCCCCCACGGTATCCGAGGCAAGGTTCTTTTGGACCAATGTCTAGGCAAGTGGATTCCAGTGGCCAGGGCTGTGTGGCTTGCGAAGTGTGTGGGTGCCAATGAGATCCGTGCGTTTAAACGGAAAGGTACCAGTGGCGCGTTGGCTGTGGGCTTGGAAGCAAAATGGGTGCGAGACTGGACAACCAACGTTCACCAATTTGTTGAGGGGGTGTTTAGTTCTCCCAAGTCGGCGGGTTGGAAAGCCCGGATGACCTATGCGTATGTCGAATCTATGCTCACGGCGTGACTTTACCTAACAGACTTTTAGCATCGGATTGACCGCCCGCCTGTTCTTTGAGAACTTACTGGACCACGATCATTTTATCGAGTGGTTCCTGACCTCCTTCGAAGCGGCGTCTCTTTCCACCGTGCCTGTTTGGCTTTTGATGCTTGGCATATACTGGAACAACATCATGCGGTATAGGCGTAGGGGCAGGCGCTTGGCCGAAATTCTGCTTGCGAAGCTGCGTTTGGTATGTGGATATTTCCTTATATCGTTTCAATTCAAACTAACCCGGGAATAGTCCACTGAAGCCAAATTGGAAACCCTTCATCCTCTTGTCGACCGGCTATCTCGATTTATCAAAAAGCTTGTTCATGGACATACTTCATCCATGATTTTGCCGAATACCTGGGACATGTACAAGCATCAGGTCTCATCATGCCTGAACCTCTCGGACAAAGTGGATAGGGCCCTGTTCCAGAGCATTGCAGAACGCAATGCGCGAGTTCAGAGACCCCGAAACTCGAAACAAGCCACACACCGTTCCCCTCACCAACACATTATCCGTCTCCTCGATTCTATCTGCTCTGCGCAGGACATTGCTTCCGTCTCATCCGCTTGTTTGGAAGCCGTCGACGACAAGCCGATTTTAGTCTCCAAGCTACTGGAATGGCTTGCGACCCCGTTCCGCCACGGCATCTGCCGAGTCTACGTTGGCGTTCGGTTGTTGCGAAAGTGGAAGTCATGCGGCGTGGATGTGGACGGGCATATTCTGTCCTTCCTCACCCGATTCCGGGATAGCAAGAAACTGAACATGGAAAACGTATACCATGTCATTTCCGAGCTTGTCAGGTCACAGACATTCTCGGTTGGTCGATACTTGCAATGGCTCATGGCAAAAGGTGCCACTAGCCACTCCCCAAGTGAAGGGCAAACCGTGCGCGACTTGCCATGTGATTTTGGTCTGATAGCCCAATTGCCCATCAGCCGCCTTCCAGAACATGTTGGCAACCTGCGCAGCACTTTGTTGGCCCGTATCGGGTTGTCTGTCTCGCAAGAGACTGCAATGGTTGCCAATGTCAAGGATCTCATCAGCCGTCGTCTTCCGGGGATCTTTGATATGGACATGCATGATGAGTTGTCGCTCGATTCATTGCCTGTGAACTTGACCTGGGCCGTAAAGGCTCAAATCAGCCAGTGGCTGCGACGCGGGGTCACTGAACATACTAGTGAGACTGCAATTATCCGACCCAGTCTCCCAGGTGATGCAGTCCTATCGACCTCCGCCCTGACGCCGGATGAGTTCTACCGTGTCCGCGACATTCTGGAAACCTTTGGTGACATCTCTATGCTGGCAGATGTGTTAAAGTGTGCCTCGAGCTCCGATGACAGTACTGTTCTCGCGTCGGTTGCTGATACCACGAATTGCCATTTTGATTCATTGTCCGTAATTGGTGCTACAACCGACCTGTTCCGCAAGCTCGTCGATGCTTATGCGGGCCTGAAGCGCTTCGGCACGCCTAGTCTGGATCTAATGTTCTCGCTCATTGAACTTGGTCTACGGATCCCCAGTGAGCTCAACACTGTTTCCATTCTTCGCCAGGACCTTTCTCGCATGGAAAATAAGTCGAGTGTTGCTGCTTCCTCGCCTGTATCCGACCACATCGCTGACACTCTTGTCGACACGGACCCTTTGTTCGGTGAAAAGCTGGATCAGCTTCTCCTGTCTGGCAATTTCATGGACGAGTCTACTTTGGACTCGATATTCAACACTCTGACCAAGCAAATGGAGTCAGACGATGGCAAAGCAAAACTCTCGGCTAACGACACCTGCCGCTATCTGGCGCGGTTGCGGTCTTTCCAGCCCAAGCATTTCGATGGAATTCTTGCTCGCTGGGTTTGTGGTCATCTCCGGTATCCTGATCGCGCCACCTTGCTCCGTATGCTTCCATCTCTGATTGGGGTCGGATGCGTCACGATTCGGTCGTTCTTGTCCCTGCTCAGGAGGCTCGGGTCTTCCTCAACGCCGATTCTCAATGCGAAGGAATTGCCTGCAGATCTTGTCGAACTTCTCGTGTCTCGCACGGCTGATGGCGAGTATCTCGATCTGGTTTCCTATCGATTCCAATTGGCGCAACAAGAGTTCCTTTCCAAGAACTCCGAAGAGGCCTTGAGAATTGTCTGCGATGCTGCGGCGTATCTCAGCGCTGGTGATAACAAGCGAAAGGACTTGGAGGCATCTATGGTCACGCTGTTGAGGAAACTGCTAGTGCGAAACCCCGAATGTGCGGACCAGAACTGCGTGCAGAAGCTTGTCGATCAATACCCGGCAGCTACGGGTGTTCTCCAAAAGGCACTCGATCTTCTGCTCGGAGTAGATCCACAACAAGGGAACTCGGTGATCTCAGAGGTCGAGAAGCTTGCAGGTACGACTGATGATTTCTCACTTCCATTCTGCCAGTTGAAGCTTCAAGTTCTCTTCACTGGAGACCCGGACAAAGAAGATCGCAACAGCATCGTCGATGCGATGTTCAAGAGTGTCGTGGCAGGCTCCCGTGCGCACAACCTCAACTGGGTCGATCTCGTTGCTCTCATGAACCCAGACGCAGTACGCCAGATACGTGAATGTGCCGAGAAGGAGTTCTTCGCTATCCCGCTTTTCGACGAGCCCAATGATGCCCTCACAGCGCCGCATGACGTGACATCCCTGAATTCAGCCAAACTGTATCTCACCATCATTGAGCAGCTGGCCAGCAGCATCCCAGAATCCGGGAGTCCGTCGGTTGCCTCGGTCCTCGTGGAGAAGATGGACTTGCTTCTTCACAAGATCATCACCATGCGAGCCAACTTCAACGGTGAACATCACTCTGAACCCGCAGCCAACCAGGCACGAACCAATTTCGAGCGCTCTCTTGCCTTCTGGTTCTCAGCCCTCTTGAGAATGGTCGTCCTCCACCGCGCCTCGTTCATGCAGCCATCTCCCGCCCTGAAGATCAATTCTACCCACGAGCAATCCCGACTCTTGATCTCAATTTTCTGCATTGCGCTTTCTCGTCTTCCAGGCGATGTTCTACGCCTCTTCCCAGGAGCAGACTATTTTCCCCGCTCCGGCGCAGTCGAAGATTACCGCCCCTGTCCAGGCATCCTATTACAAACCCACGCCCTAGACGTCGCCGCCTCCTTGATTGATCTCTTCCCAGACGAAGTCCGCCACCAATGCACCCGCTTCCTCAAGGAGAAATGTCCGCCCTTCGTTCCCCTTCAAAACGACTCCCGCTTCCTCTACCTCCTAGGCCCGATGGTGGATTCTCATGCAGCTGCTCTCGCTCAGCCTGCGTCGGCTCCCTCTCCATCCGCTTCCACGTCAACTCCCACTCCCACGCCTGCCACTTTCCCCAATTCTGCTTCTGGCTCTACACAGCAACCGCCTTCATCGTCAGTACTGTCTGCAGGTGCGAGCGAAGGGTCGAATTGCTTGACGAGTCGGCTTCGTCTCCAACGCGGTGGGAAGATTGTTGGTCCGTATCCAATTCGGCCTTGGGAGCTTTTGGAAGATGCGGCTCCTTTCGTGGGTCCAAATGACACGGCTGTGAATTTGGGATATTTCGATGCGCGACGCGTCAGGGTCTAGACTGCTCTCTTCATCCGCCCTTACCATCTTACCACCACATCTGCCCCCGTCTCCCTTTCTCAACTCATCCTCAAACGCCTGCATTTACTCCCTTCCTATAGCAAGCATTCTCACCACGACTCATCTTAGCCTAAGCACTTGCATTGCCGTTTTGGGATCTTCATTCATACAAATTGCGTCACAAGGGGTTGGTATCTGTCATTTGTCATGCACGCATTGGCCGCGCATTCATTTTAGTCTTTTTGTATATATATATTCATCTTTTCATATCTCGGCGTTGTTGGGACTGGGTTCAATTTGTCATAGGCCCTGGCTGTTCTTGTTTGGGGTTTTTATCATAGCATACGCTCATCTTTTTATATCCAATTATATTTGGTATTGGGGCTTTGTGCCGCTCTAAATCTCTTAGTGGTCCAAGATATTCTCCAGTTTCCCGTAAATTGAAGTCGATTAATGGATCCTTGATAGCTGGCCTATACAGAACAATTGAAACAGATGGATGGCGTTATAGGGAAGTACAAACCAAGGCCACGCGCAAAAAAGACGGGAAATACTAGGCTTCGATTGAAGTAAAACATGCTATTAGAAGTGGGCTCTAGTGTTGTAGACATAAACTAGCATGCATCAGTCCTGTCAAGTCCAGTCCGGCATTGACCACATAAATCAAAAAGAACAGGGTGCTGGAACACGTCGCGGACTGAGAAGGTAAGGTCCTCGTAGCGCGCCAAGGCCACAAGCCGCATCGCCCCAATAGAGTCACCACCGCATTGGAAGAAGTTATCACCAGCAGTTACCTGGTTTTGGTCGATCTGGAGGACCTTTGCCCAGAGACCTTGCATCAGTATTTCAGTCTTTGTTTCTGGCGCGCGTGTTTTGGTGGCCTGCCCTGAAAGTCTGCCAACATCGCTTATGCTGAATGAGGTTCCAATCTGCTGGAGTTGACGTCGGTCAATTTTGCCAGTAGTGGAGATTGGCATCGTTTGAATAGGTATATACGCAGATGGCAGCATATAATTAGGGAGCTCTCCTGCGAGCTGCTCCGTGGCTTGGGCGGCTAGGCGCTGAACGGCACTGTTGAGATCATCGGAAGACAACATCGGTGAATCTTTCTCCAGACTGACGAATGCAACAAGCGACTTATCCAATGACCCATCCAACTGAAGGTATTCCACAGCCACTTGCATATCGGCTGCATATTCATCACTCATGGTCCCAATGGCTCGACGAACATGACTCTCGATGTCTCCCAGCTCTACCCGCTGGCCTCTGATCTTGATTTGCGAGTCCCGGCGCCCAAGGAAGACCAGGGAGCCATCGCCGTTGTACCGGACTACATCGCCAGTGCGATATAATCTGCCAGATCGGGAAGAGTGTTGGCCATCCGGGGAGCCACGCTGCAGCCATACCGGGTCATGGACAAAGGCCTGCGCAGACTTTTCCACGTTGTTGAGGTAGCCTTGGCCAACAATGGGGCCTTCAATCCAAAGCTCACCGGGGGCACCCACGGGAGCCAACGCATCTGGATTTTCAAGATCAACGATCCATGTGCATACTCCTGCCGCACGTCCTATTCCCCCTTCAGTGGAAGAAGTGATGTCAAGAATTGCACTGGTGGGGGTACACTCTGCTGGACCGTAGGCGACTTTGATCTTGGTATCTCCCTCTACCAAGTTGAAATCACTGGGTGATACTGCTTCACCTCCCAAGATCAATGTAGTCAGCCGTGAAAGGACAGATGGTTGGACGGTGCGTGCAACAGAAGGCGTAAGGTCGACAATAGTTGCCTTGTATTTCTCCAGAGCGCCACCGAGATCATCGACACGCTCTGCGGCAGACGGTATGCAAAGACATCCGCCACTGCTAAGCGTCTTGATTAAATTGAGCCATGCCACATCGAATGCATTTGATGCAAAGTCAAACACTCTTGAGTTGCTGTCAAAGCCGAGCTGATCTCGCTGGTAAGCAATGGCGCTGCAGAAGTTTTGGTGGGTGATGATAACTCCTTTCGGGTTGCCGCTGGTACCGGACGTGAAAACAATGTAGAGCACGTCTGACGGATGGACCAAGGGTGGCTCATAAGCGATGGAAATCACACCTTGGTCTAAGAGCTCCTCGCTCACGGCTAACACATGATTGCTGCCAAAGCGCTCGCAGAAAGTATGATGGCGGGCAGATGATAAAATAACCTTTTTTGTTGAATCAGCAAAGACCTGATCAATAATTGCGCGGATCCGCTGCTCCGGATACGACATCTCGATGAGTACAGATGCTGCGCCTGCTTTCATGACTGCAAGTGCAGCGACTGGCATCCACATCGATTTCTCGAAACAGAGAGGAACAATGCTTCCACTACCAAGTCCTCTATAGACCAATTGACTGGCTAGCTTGGATGAAACAAAGTCAAGTTGACCATATGTCATACTTCCATCCCAAGCATCAATAGCCACAGAATTGGGTGAATGGTTCGCTCTCTCAATAATCATGTGATGGACACAGCCGCTGACTGGAGAAGGCAACGTGGCATTCCAGGACCAGATTGTGTTTAAATCATCAACGCTTGCGACAGTCACAGTTTGAAGGAGCCTATCTCGTAGCTCAAGATCGACCAGCTGATGAAGAACATGTTCCAGCTGGTGTAAGAGCCGGGAGACCCCAGGGGCATCCACGATAGCAGGATCGAATGTAGTCTGGATTTGGGTGGATTGGGCTTCAACTCGAGCTTCAAATATCAGTGATGGTTTGCATAGCTCGTAGGAGCTTTCTGGGGCAGCAATAGCTTTTGAGGCTGTTTGAAAGTCGTCTCCAGGATGAGTCACCAAGATGGACTGTAACTTGCAAGCCAAAGCAGTCTCACCCGATATGCAGGCCACTTGCTCCAGTCGCATCCGCATGAAGGGGCCAAGTTCCAAAACATGTTGCCTGATCTGGCTCAAAAAGGAGCCAATGCTCTTTTCCCCATTGACAAGAATGCGGATGGGCAAAATCGAACCTGCTCCACGGCCAGCAGTTGCTGTGCCAAACAGGCTTTCGTCTGAGTTAGACAGACGGGTAGTAAGCAGGGCCCAAGCTGCTTTTAGAATCACATCTGGTGTGAAATCATGGCCTGTCAGACAAAGTTGCTTCATCTCAAAGGACACATTATTGTAGATTCTGTCGTGAGTGGCAGTTGGCTGGATGGCAGGGAAATGGGAACCTCGAATATCAGTGAATTGAGTCTTCCAAAATGCCTCTGCGACTGGCCTTTCGATGCCCCCGACTCGCGTGAAGAATTGGCCAAAAAGTGTCGAGGCAGAGTCCACTCGTTGCGATACCCGAGACTCCCCATGTCCTGAGATGTGGTTTTCGGTCCTTGTTAAAAGGTGATTAATCGCCTGTATCAAGACTCCGTACACTTCCTCAGCAACCTCATGAGACACATGAGGCTCTTGAAACTCAATTACATAGTCTGGATGGCCATGATTAAGAGAGATATTCAGTCTCAAGTCAAACTAGCCCGGAAAATGTTAGCCAGATCTTATTTAATATAGATTATTCTCCCTACCTCATGCACATCTTCGCTTTTCACAACTTGAAATGAGACTTTTCTGTTGGGTGGACACTTCGGGGTCGTGTCATGGATTGAAAGCGATGTGTTGAAAAGTTGCCGTCCGGAAAGACCCAAATGATGCTGAATGTCCGCCATCGAGACATTTTGGAAGGCCAAATCTTGACCTGCTCTTATCGAGGCAGCATGCAATATCTCATGTGCTGAAGCGTTGAGGCGCACGCGACTGATGAGGAGATTTGCCAAGGGTCCAACCAACCTGTCTACCCCTTCGATTGGAGCATCGCGGCCAGAGACATCATATCCAAAGCAGACATCAGACATTCCGGTGTAGTATGAGAGAACCATGGCCCAAGCAACGTGCATAATAGAAGAGAACATTATTCCAGTGCTCTTGCAGAACTCTGGGAGGTCAACCTGAAAGGCTGGAGTGGTATGGCAGACCTCGCTGAATTTGACGGGTTGAGCTGGCCCCGAATGCAAGGATGAGATAGGGAATTTGCAAGGCTGAATCCCTTCCAAATTAGCCACCTTGGTGGCTAAAGCCTTTGCTTTGGAAGTCTTGCTGTTGTATTGTACAATTTCAGAGAACATGGGTGCCGTCTGTAGTTCGCAGCCTTCGTATGCGAGAGCTAACTCATCCAAAAGAATCGATTCAGAGTGAGCATCCGTCAATATGTGGTTTATATCCAAGCGACAGATTGTTTCGCCGGTACTTGATTGACTGATGGTGAACGAGTGCCGTGGCTCACTAGGAGCGAATGATGGTTTCTCCAGGTTGAGCAAAGCCGTAGTCGGATCGTCACCCTCAGGAATTATCTGGGACACACGGATCACAGGGTTGTCCAATACGATTTGGATGAATCCATCACCGTCTGGGTGTAACGTAAATATGGAGGAAAGAATACTGTGTCTTTTTGTCACTTTCTGCCAGGCCTGTTCCAGCAATGACGGGCAGACTCTCGTCTCTATCCCTGAGACATCAGACGATACGCAACGCCAAACTGTGAAAGAATGATATGAGGCGGCTCCCTTCATGTCACTGAGTAACATCCCTTCTTGCAGCGCCGAGCATGTATACACATCCACAACAGAGGAAGCCTTGGCTCCCATTTGAGGCAGACTTTTCTGAAAAAGAGCGTCAAGACCGCGATACGATAAAGAAGGAATCGATAAATCACCGAGTGTCAACTCAGAAGGAGCTCGTGAAAGACCGCGACAAAGACCCTCAAGATCCTTATTGAAATGGTGCATCCATTCGTGAATCCGATCTAGATCCATCTTTTGGTGAACGGTGAATGATACGTTGAGCTCCCCATTGATCACACCCAGCGTGAGGTCAATGAGAGCTGGACGCTGGGCTGAGCCTGAAACCTGAGTTAAATGGCACTTATCAGACTCCTCATTTGCGGGCGATGGTGACTCCTTGAGGATTCCATCGTCCCTCTCCAGTTGT